CGCTACTACTGTTCTTGAAGCTTTCTTTTTCTTTTTATTTTGCTTTTTTCTTTTGTGGTGGGCCTCGCGCCGCATTAGATATCAACTCCAGAAAACAACACGTTGAACCGTCAATTTAATTTCAATTTTTGGCGTTATTACGGAAATCCAACCCTCTGCTAACTATGGGAAAAGGTCTTATGGGCGGCTCCTACAAGATTCCTGTCTCTTTGGTGTTCACCTTATCTACTCTAAGCCAACGCACAGTGCTTCCCAAATGATTTTTGTCTTTCTCAATCTCCCAAGTCAAGCTACCCTACACAGCGCCACTAGAGCTGTTATTGCTTTTCCACGGAGCATATTAAAGGTATTGAACCAATCTTTCAGTCATGCTAAATGGTTTTCACACTTACCGACATCTGGACAAATCGCACAGACCTCTGTTATTCTTTGTCGTCTACAGGATATATGCATAGGCGAAAGAGAAGCCCACCATATAGCATAATATAGCAAGACCGCTACTTTTCAGCTCCTGGTGGCTCCAAAATTCCTAAACATGTGATAAATTTTCATACTTCCATCCAACGCTCGCCACCTCCACCAGGTGAAGCTCTCGTCCCAAAGGGGACCACTGTTTCTGCTCTAAACTCCAGCGATAAAATATTGACACACAGGTACGGGAAGGGGTTTGGCCTGGAGGAACTGGAATAAGATATAAGATCCATCGAGAAGACGCATATCTTTCCTCCCCAGAGACGGGAACCCGAACCAAGCCGGTGGCCTGGTGCCTGTTTGGGGGATAATCATACGCAGCAGCAGGATCATCAATCTCCCCAGAGAAGCACATAGGAACTTGTGCCTGTGCTCAGTTGAACAGCACTCCATGGTCCAGAGGCAGGAGATATTGGCGAGCACACCGAACGAAGCCGAACGAGATACCGATCCATGGATGAAGCAATCGATTGTACAAAAGAGTTCAGGGAAATCTGTGAGACCCGCTATAAGTCCACTGTCGAGAGGACGGTGCCCATCTAGGATGCCTGTTACTCCTATCTATTCCAAGGCTGTTCACTTTGATTGGCCCTTAGAACACGTCCGATATTTGCTGCGGTGGGATAAGCCACGAGGAATAAGCGCTGTAACTTCGCCGGCATTTAGAGGAGCACAATTGTGAATGGGAATTCGCACGTTGAAGAATCTGTTGGACATATGTTCTTCTGTAAGCGAAATCTGAGATATTAATCTTCCAAATTTCCGTGGGATAAGTTGATGCGTATTTACGCTCAGTAATGTCCTCTGGAGGAAAAAAGAAAAGGAAATTGCTTATCGTGTTGTGGGGGAGTCCTCCATTGTGATGATATAGCTGAATGACTGACCTTCAGCCCAGAATAGCCTTTACTAGGGCTCGTCCATTATGCGAACCTTCTTCATCAACTGAAGCTGCGACCCTTCAATAGGTTGAAGCTTTGCGTGCCGGCAACTATGTCAGCTACGCCGTCGATGTCTCATCGAGCAATGTGTGGTTGCCGCTATTGCCTCTGCTGGAGTGCTGGCATCTGACTTCCACGATAATACTATCAGATTATGAGACATGTCAAAGGGCGTCACACCACAAACCCTACTGTACTATTTATGCTTTTGTCCTGAGCCTTCATGGCTAGCATCAATGTCGTCAGATGCTACCGTAAAAATTTAGAGCCTAGCAACAGGAGATATTTTAGACACCCTTATATTTATCAGATGGTGGAGGTATGGTTTACCTGCAACCCCATAATCCTCCAGCCGGTCGAAAGTTGGCCATGCTCACTCGAGGCACCGTAATGCTTAGAAATTCAAACTGAGCAGCAAACATTTGGGAATAGTGATAAGATGGCATCTACTATTCGTCAGCGGATGGGAAAGCTTTTGGCAGAGCCGGAGACTTCCCAACTTTTTCACTTGGTAGATCTCCTCTTCGGATATAAAAAGCACCTGTTAGTATTAATGTATCCCTTTCTAGAATAACCAGCTAGTCTCCCAAATTAATACATAAATATTTTTATATATAAGGCTAGAAAAAAAAGGTTACCAAAGTCGGACAAGCTACCCATTGCAGGCCAGGATAGAGTAAACCGAAACTTCATCGCTTTTACCACCCCTACCTACCAGAAGGTGGGGGAACATGCGGAGAATGCCCCAGCCCTCCAAAGATAGGCGCGAGCTCAGATCACTTCGTGTGTCATGCCCATGTATTTACTATGTTGATGCGCTGCTGCACGTTGCATACTGGACTGGCTTGTCTATAACCCTATGTAGTTTATTGGGAAAGATAGATGGATTGAGCTTTGTTTATCATAACCTAATGTATACGTCCTGAGTATCATCTCATATTTGTCCTCAGGCCAGCAAGCCACTGCAAGGCCTCCTGCAACGCCTAAACTACTAATGCTGATGACAGGGATTCAGCCACCGGTTGTAGGGATGTCACCCAGAATGCTCAGGAATGCTCTAGTAGCATTCTTGGTAACAAGTATGTTAGTTTTATTCCTCGGTATTTCAAGCAGATCTGGTTTAAGAGAGCAACTTGCGTGTTTATATTTAAGCATAAATTTTCCCGTTTTAGAGTTGGTTATTCTATTCTTTATGCTTATTCTAGCCTAAAGACGCACATATTTACTATGCGGCAGTCTTTGCCGTTTATCTTCTTATCCTGCTTATTCAATTGCCCCACAGCTAAAATGCGGTACCTTACTATCTTTGCTTTTATTATTAGCGCTACACTAGCAATTTCTATGGAAGATCTGACTGGGCAAAATTCCTGCAAGGCTAGAGGAGAAACTTGTCAGCTTTCCATTATTGGCAGTAGTAATTGTTGCAATAACTGGGGCTGCCGTCTCCGATATGATTATGATACACGCATCAACAGGTTCATGTGCTGTGAGGGAGATGGATCTGCTGGAGTAAGTAATGCTTTGATAGACGACCAGTATGATCAGTCATATACTAATATATCCAATTCTACAAGTACAATGTAAGTGCTAGTGATCGCTACCTAATGCCTGTGCACACACTAAATCTTAGTGCCGAAAGGAGTAAGGAAACGACGATAACCATGCTCGAAGCTGAAGTTGTATCTACGGAGGATTATCTTCCAAGGTTCAACGGACACAAGTATATTTGAGGACCTATGAAGCAGCTTCTACAGCACTGTAGTAGACAGCCCGAACCAAAGGCTGTTCTCATAGATAACGTATCTTCCACCATACGAGGCGAATTAATGCGGTAGAATATAAGGGGAGTAATTAATTGCTCAGAGCCCTTCACCATATTGCTGGAAGGGCATAAGGTAATTGTGACCTGGTAAGATTAGACATAAGGAAAAATTCAAAATGCAAGGAAAGTGGGATAAGGTTGGACGAATTGAGCTTCATCGAATGGGTATGTTATGTCTTGTAATTTAGTAGTAAATGGATCCTGATTTAACAGACTGTTACCTGTTAGATATACGGCTAGTCCCCAAGAGGAAATAGAGTACGATTGTTAAAAAGGTCTTATTTGAATGAATTGAGCTGGTTGGGCTCTTCTTGATTATTCTCTTGGTTATTCTTGATGATTATTTTGTTGTGCGCTCCGCGGGGGTTTTACCCTGATCTAGTAACATGATTCTGGTCCACCAACGGCCATATTATTTGACATTACCCAAGTTAAAGATATCCCCTATATATGTGGCTACAGGTCACTTGTGCACTAGTTAAAGGTCAAGTGACATTTTTGGGTCGCCCGACCTATTCCGAATGCCTAACCGACCTGTAACCTGCCTATACTGCCACGCTCACCGCTCCCCCGCAACAAACATAGCAAATAGAACAAACAACAAACGACCCCGCACCGATCCTCACACCAATTCGGAAAACAAGAGAAGACAAAGTTTTAATCCAATTCTAGCAGACAGGAGTGAATGTGAAAGGATATCTAGTGCCAGAGAGCCGAGAAGTTGGTATTTATGACCGGCTTGAGCATGAGTTAGACTGAGTTCAATATGTGTCAGGAATACGATATTAGAAACTAGTATCCAAATTTTTTTTTGTTCATTTTTTTTCGTTTTGATTTCTCTATAATCTCCCCATTGAAAGAACGCTGAACAAGAAGGTAGATACTATAAATATGACAGTGATATTGCTCTTCATGCGGGGTGTAGCCACTCTCCTGTGAAGACAAGGCTAGGCCATGGGAGCTTTGGGGCTCTCTAGAAAATTGGTGTTGCTCCTAGGAACACCAACACTGCTCCCAAGGGCTAATTATGCAGTTCCGTGGGAGAAGCTGGCTATAGGAGTAGATGTGTGCCTTCTAGGTGACCAGTTATATGTCACCTATTCACGTGCAGCTCAACAAGAAGGTCCTTTCTTGTTCTTAAACATAGCCTAAATGTCGGAACCAACTCATTGCCAACGTCTGTCCAGATAACGGAAAACTCATGCACTTGTTTAAAAGAGTGATCAGAATAAGATCTGCCAATCCAGAGAATCTGAGCTGCTGTAGTAGACAGCATGTCCTGCATACTCTACTGCTCCGAACGTTGACCAGCAGTAAAAGGGATCGCGATTAGCACCCGCCATTAGTTAACCATGATTGGGTCAAGGTTACTCCTTTGTCCACTTTGGAGTGACATTGGCATTCTGCCCCTGAAAGCCTGTGATGGATGTTGAGCACATCGGTAGATTAGTGACCTAGCAGATCATGAGAAACACAGCTAACTAAGCAAGCAAGTACGTAGCTATCTACGAGGATCTTCGAAGAGGATGTCCTTTACTTTAGCCACTTTGGGTCCGGAAAGAAGTTCAGAAAGGTCACAATTATCTAAGAACAAGTAGGTTCACTCAGGACACTAACGATGGAAGATATTCCATGCAATAATACCGTGACTAACTGGCTGAGCTGCGGTCACATTCTTTAACTCTTTGTGCCGTACTTGCATTCTCAGCTTCTTATTAACTTTAGGGACAGTACCATCTCTTCATTTTGCCTCTTAGTGCCCTTCTCATTTATCTCATCACTCTCTGATTGCCGCTTGCAGTTTTGATCTCGCACTTCCGTTCTTCCATGATCTGATGGACCTGAATAAGGGTGAGGACCCGCTCTGTAGAGAGGATGCGCCTTTTCAGCTTATTCTTCTCAGATTTGGCTGCTATTACCTTGGTCAGCTCTATGCTGTCCTCCTGCAAGATGGTAAATTCAGCACTCTTTCGGACTACTGCCTTGCACCCTTTGTCTGACACCTTGCGAGATGAGCTGTTTTCACTTGCATAGTTCTCAATGTGTTCCTCTAACCTGTGGCACTATTCTAACAGTTTTGCGTATTATTGTGGAGTCTGCAGTTGCATTGCATGTTGACCCTCAGAAGTTGTAGGTGGCACTTCTAAAAAATAGGTAAAATTCTATTTAAGTTGCTCTTGGATATACAGCCGGCTGCATTTGTTGTAGCTCAACCGTGACCTCTTCCAATACTTGAATCCCTTGTGAGATACTCCTGTTGTCTTCCAGATCCAGGGTGCGGGTAACATGGCTATAATGTTGGTTGCCGGAGCCGTCTTGAATCGTCCATGGCTCTCGGAGCTCAGTGGATTCTGTCGGTCTGGTGTTCCGAGAGTTATCGCTATTGGACCTTAAACCGGAGAATCGTAACACCCGGGCAAGTTTTTCACTTAAAATAGACGCGAGAATGACTCGCATTGTTGGGAGACAGCTGCAGACAATGCCAATAGAAACCTCGACAATAGACCATATGACTCCGCGGGCGTAGTCGTACGTGACGTCCCAATTCCCAAGGACGAGCATGGAAGAGATCAGCCGGATAAGGGAGACGGCGCAGTCACTAAGGAGAAATAAGTACATTCGACCAAACAGACAGCCTTTCTTTCTTTCTTTTTTCTTCTTCTTTCATTTCTTTTTCGTAGTAGGCGGGGGGAATAAAGTGGGAGCTCTTACAAGAGACCTAGGGCAAAGATCAAGATCAGAGCGACTTTCTGTGCTGTAGGCAGCTGCAGCTTCCATAATTTGGGAATTGGCATTAGCCAAACAGTCAGACTTGTAGTGATGTTGACGATTGCATATCCAATGGCAAATTGTTTGAAAGGGAGACATTTCCCCTGACCTGTCCAAAACGCACTAATCGGGCGGCAGTTGAAGATTCCCAAGAAGGTCATAATGATTGTCCATATACTAATTAGTGCACCCATTACGTATACTACCACAATCAACCGTGATGATATAAAGATGCGTTTATAAAGCAACAGAAGTGAGAGTTTGACCATAGGCGGAGCGAGGATATAGAAGATCTGGAAATAATACAACAGCTTGAGGAATGTAGAGACATCAGCTTCTGGGACAACAGCCCTGTGTGCCCCAAGTCCATGTGCCCTAACTAAATGACATAGGAAGGTCGTTAGCGATCGACGCCAGCAAGTTCGTTGCTCTGAGGAACGCTTACAGGCCACGAACAGAGCGTATAGCACCAAGTCGAGGCTCTAGATCACGGTCAGTCCCAGTCCCGAACTATGACTGACTTACACTTACCAGTGCAACAAGAATAGTCCAGTCATCCGCCGCGAGAGACAGCTTCCCGAGCCTTCTCGCCATAAACCTTCCGATGACAGCGAGTGTAGCCAGTCCAATGAAGATGCTATTCGCAACCCACAGAGACACCCCTTGATCCTTGTACATGGAAGCATTGTCGGTCGGCATTGAAGTGTTATCTTGAATTGGCCTACAGAAACCCCCAGCAGAGCCTACCAACCTGTTCAAACATTGTTATGAAGAAGGCATTGGTCTGAACGGGCAGAAAAAGGATACATGAGAATAGAATAGGCCGGTGCGTCGCTTAGTATTATCGACCCATGAAATTGCTCGTTTGATACATGGTTTGTTTAGAGTTTTGATCTTCGAGGGTAATGGTCCTGTGGCCATTCGATGACGAATGATGTGGACCGTCAGTATCATAAGGCGGCGAACAGGCGCGCATCTATGGTTCACCGGTTGACCTGAAAATTAGCTTGTGCCGTGAGGAGTCAAGACCAGCTTGTTGCAGTCCAGCCTCCCGCTGTTACTTTAGCGTTACGACTAGTAATGTCTAACCAAGTGCCCGAAGCCACTATGCTATGTAGCTTGGGCTCTACTGCTATTCGTCATACTTGTAAGGATGATTAATCGGCCACAATTTTGAGTGAAAAGCAAGAACTATGACTAAGACTCTACCCCGGTTGAAGGCGAAACTCTCGTTTATGTAATCCATTATGTTTGGAGGCTTGCACCATGCTCGGGCCCCACAGTTAACGGTTCAGGACGCCTACTAGCGGTAGGACTGATTTGGATTGCGGACAAGTGAGGACGAGTGAAGACTGCTTCTCTAAATTGTCAGATAACTCTATACCATAAAAAGTAGCGCTGTTATAATTTGGATGTAGTACTAGTATAGCGGCCTATTCTGACACAAATATAGGTTAGCATGTGGAGCTTTTGCTGTGCACCAAGCTCATTGACTACTGCTTAACACAAAACCATTAGACATCGACTATTTTGAAAACGATTCATACATCGTGCGGCGCAGTTGTATGCGTGGGAATAGTGGGCAGGAAAGGGGTTCGGTGGAAATAGCAATCAGGAGATAAGCAGATAGATCAGGACACAGAATGGCAGATATAAAAGGAGACATGTTTCTCAAGCCTCACTTGATCTTAGTTACCGAATACAACTCAAGCTCTTTGCTTCTAGAAATCTGTACCCATTGTCTGCCAATCTTATTCTTACTCTGTCGCATATTATGGCAACTGTCCCGAGGTCCATCCGCCATCTACACATATTTAGGTAGCCACGCCTCCTGACAGCCATCCCCTAGGTATTTCTAGGGGGTTCTTGTCTTTTCCGACTAGGAATAAGGTCCCATAACGTTCCTGTGGCCCTGAGTATCCTCTCGACAAGTCTGTCCGGAACAAGACGTATTAAAAAGCCAAGAGGGATACACAAAGCCCCTAAAACCACGGAATATGCCCATTGTGCGCCACTCAGAGTTACGATTGAAAATGCCCGGCCACCGACAAACATGATGAGGATTTGTATGCCGATCATGAGGACATTGATGGCGATAAAGAGCCAGTTGTGAAGCACCCCCTCGAAGATATTTATGGACTTTTCCAATTGTCGGTTACTGTTCGATCATGAGGATATGACCTTCCAGGAATAAACACAATAAAACCGGAATACGTACTTGTAGATATTAAAAATTTGGAGCCACACGTAGGTGTTGAAGACCGCTGTCTGTAGTTGCTGCTTTTCATGTTCAGTATGGTAGGAGAAGATAGCCGAGCCGGCGAAATGCAAGACAAGAGTAACTGCCAATTGATAAATCGATTGACCGACTATCATCTTCCATAGGGGCGCAGGAATCAGACGAGCGTTTTTCGGCTCTGGCTTGCGGTTCAAAATACGCTCTGTCGGGGGATCCGTTGCGAGAGCCAAAGCCGCCAGTGTGTCTTGAAAGAGGTTCACCCACATAAGCTGAACTGCAGTGAGGACCGATCGTTCCTCGGAGCTAGCGATGGCAGAAACAAATGCAAGGCCTACAGAGGTAATGGTAATTGTAATTTGGAACTGGGGAGAAAACCTGTTAATTTTGAGGTCGAAACTCCAAGAAGTAGCTTCGTTTCTTACCTGTAGAAACCTTTTAACAGCATCGCCCACTGCCCTCCCCCACATAACTGCTTTCACAATTGATGAAAAGTTATCGTCCATTAGGACAATGGATGATGCCTCTCGCGCAATTTCTGTGCCGGAGATTCCCATGGAAAAGCCAACGTCCGCTGTTGCCAGGGCTGGAGCATCATTGGTTCCATCGCCAGTGACAGCAACTACCCTTCCTGCCTCCTGCAGCCGCGCAACCAATGTCCTTTTATCGTCGGGCAGAGATCTTGCGAGGACTTTGAGGTGCGGGATGAGGTCGGTTTGCTGGGACTGGCTGAGTTGTCGGAATTCGTGGCCTTCCATCACTACATCATCTGGATCAACGAGTATCCCGCATTCTGTGGCAATTGCTCTTGCGGTCAAAGCATTGTCTCCTGTAACCATGCGAACAGCTACTCCAGCTTTGAGGCAAGCCCTTACCGCATCCTCAGCGCCATTGCGGAGTGGATCCCGGATACCAAAGACAGCCAGGAAAGTTAGATCTGCAAAGAAATCCTCAAATTTGATATCCTCAGTAAGGGGCCAGTTATGCAAGTCGCGGAAGCAGAGGCCGATTGTTCGTAATGATTTCGTGGCGTACCGTGCGATTGCTTGCTGGAGAGACTGAGTAATAGTCTCTGTTATGGGAATGGTGGCTAGTCCCCCGGCTGGACTCTCAACAACTCTTGTACACTTTCTTAAGAGTACCTCCGGTGCCCCTTTTACATACACCCGATATCGCCCATCCTCTTGCTGAACCACAGTGAGCATACATTGGCGAGAGGCGTCAAATGGAAACAATTCTACAATCTTCACATTGGCGCGTTCGACATCTACAGGTCCCATCCCAAGGTGGCTCCGACAAAATTGCAAAAGGGCTGCTTCGGTGTTCGAACCAAGGAACGATGAAGCTTCACCGGAGGAATCGCTTTCGACCGCTGTTGTGTTTGTTACAATTGACTCCTTTAGAATAATTCTGGTATCGTCGGGGAGACTCTGGATATACTCTGTAGCCAACGTCTTGTCATCTCCATTGGTTGTAGCCCCATATGGAGCTGCTAGCTGTCTCTCGAATTCAGAATTATCCCCGAAACAACCCGAGACAACGATCATTTTGTTTTGGGTTAAAGTTCCAGTCTTGTCGGAACAAATGTCTGTGGCATTGCCCATCGTCTCGCATGCTCGTAACAGACGAACTAGGTTGTTGTCTTTCAGCATCCTCGTCGTTGCAAAAGCCAGAGCAAGTGTGACTGTGAGAGGGAGGCCCTCTGGAACCGCAATGACCAGGACTGTTAGGGCCGTGATAAAGATGTTCAGAAACGATTGGCCCTTTTCTGCTGGAGTTTGACTGCTACTGCGGAGCCCGACTAGGAATCTGATGAATAAAATCACAAACAGCAGGAGCGAAATGATGACACCAAATCGCGCAATGTACTTGGCAAGGGTGTTCAATCTCAACTGCAACGGGGTGAAGTCGGGTTCTTCATCCAGGGAGAGGATTATTTTTCCATGAGTCGAGCGTAGGCCAGTCGCCAGAACAAGGAAGCTTCCCACGCCTTCCGTAACTTTCGTGCCAGAGATAAGGAATGGATCCATATGCTGACAATCTCGCCCGTCTTGAAAAGCGCTAAACACCTCATTCCCTGGATGCTTGGCCTGCGGCTCCGTCTCTCCCGTAGCGGATGACTCGTCGCATTGTACACGATGGCCCTGGATGAGGATTCCATCCGCTGGAATCACATCGCCAGGATCGATAAGGACGACATCACCGACCATCAAGTCGTAGATGGGGACCTCCTGAGATCGTGCAGAGCGGATCACCTTCACATCGCGGTCTTGTTTCTTTCGGTTCAACTTCTGGAACTTGCGCTGTTTCTGGTAGTCATTGGTAGTGCTGACCAGCACGATAATCACAACCGCCACGAGGATTGCCACGCCCTCCACCCATTCGACGGGCGGGTTTCCGGGGCCGTGCCGAGTTGCAAAAGTCTGATACAATCCCAACGCCAGAGATATAATGGCAGCGCCCGTAAGGAGGAATAGGACATGGTCGTTATATGCCATCCATAACAATTGCAGAATGGTCGGCGGTTTTCTCAGTGGCAAGTGGTTATCCCCAAAGACTTGCTTTCTCATCGCAAACGCATCGTTTTGTCGATCTGTCTGCAGCGCGATACCCCATTCTCTGGCATCTAGACTCTTGGGAACTGTCTCGTCCATGCTCAATCCGCCTCTCGCATCGGTATGCAGCCCTTTTGCGAGCCCAATAATTCCCTGGCAGTTAAAAAAGTCCGTGAGACTCCTCGAACTGATTAGATTGCTTAACCGGTCGGGAGAAAATGCGAATTCACGAGTCGTGAGTACATCTTGAGACACCAGTTCTTCGGGTTCCTTCGGCTCGACATTCTTATGGCAATGTTAGCCTGGAACACTCGCATTGCATCGTCCGGCCTACCATTTTGATCCCCGGACTGAGGTAGCGCGGGGCAGCGTCTGATATGAAGCTGCCATTTTTCTCCATGAGAACAATCCCCTCCTTATAGGAGAAAGAATGAATCTACTATGTAGGCCATCGAAGGGGGCGGGGGACTCGTAGTGGCAGTGAAGTGTCAATAGTCAGGAGTGCAGCGTGGCTGCGCAAAATTACTGGATAACCCTATGCATTACAGCAATAATACCATAAATACAATGTCTCTAAAGCTACTCCGTAAACGTAGACGGGTCCTGGCGCCAATCTAATCCCATACGAATTACTATAACTGCAAAAGGAGGTAAGATTGACTGACAGGCAGTAACCGCTTAGATATTATAGTTAGAGGAAGAAAAACTGAAACCTACGTCTGTCCAGAGAATAATTCATGGAGTCATTGTAGATTTACAGCCTCTAGGAGATTTATCAAACAAGTTAGGACGGAATATTAATTCGGTTCCGAAATATTGGATCAGCGATAGTAGGATCGCACTTGGGGAAATAGGAATTCAAATACGTAACCCCTATTTGTATATATCTATTTAAGGAAGAACATTATTAATTAGTACCTTGCGCTTAACATTTGAGACGATTGGATAGAAAGACAGACTGCTCCGTGCCAAGGGGAAAAATGAATAATAAAAATAACGTAGGATCGTCCCATGTTCGGGTACGTGACCGTACCGTACTGTCTGGTCTGTGTAATATTACCCTTCTCGATGTACGCCGATATTGATATGACTTCGACATGTCCCCCACCGTGCCAGGTTATTATTCCGACCATATATCATATCCTGATCAATAATGCCGCCCTCCAACCGAGAAGACCGTTTCCCGGAGGAGACAGAACCTCTCCTCGATCGAGAGAGCAGCAGTCAGCCCATTCCTCGCCGTTGCGAGAGCTTCGGCTTGTCCTATCGAGGAACCATGACAGCCCTGCGTTTTGGTTGCTCGTACTTGCCCTGGATATTCCTCCCCCTAGGTAGCATAGCAAGGCTACTGCATTGGAATGATCTGTGGATCTTCCTCTTCAACCTTTTAGCCATCCCTTCGCTTTCCGCAGTAATCTCCTCATCCTCGGATGAGCTGGCTGATTACCTTGGAGAATTGGCGGGGGGATTGATCAATGCGACCTTTGGCAATGCCGTGGAATTGACTGTAAGCCATCCAAGAAGCATGACTGAGGAATATATTACTGACAAGGTAGGCCGGTGTACTGGCTCTAGTCTATGGCGATATACTATTCGCGCAATCTGTTATGATCGGAAGTATTCTGTCCGATGTCCTCCTGGTTAGGAGATTTTCTACGATTTCACACCACAATCCGATTAACTATCATATTAGGTGTTCGGCTGCTGCCTCGTGTCTGCGTCTTATAATAAAGATGTTCTGTACTTCAACACTGCCGTGGCCCAGTCCCTATCCTCGTTGATGACCATCACCGCTGTCACAATCATACTTCCCACAGCCTTATACTCGACATTCCCCTCCGCGAACCTCGAAGACACAATAATCTCCTTCTCCCGCAGCACATCTATAGTCCTGCTTGCCCTCTACGTTGGATACCTCTACTTCCATCTAGGAACCCACAAACACCTCTTCGAGTCCCAGAAGCCTGACGACTCCAACGAAAGTCCCCGTCATGGAACACCGCACTCCACCTACATCACCTCTACCCTGAAACTCGTCGCCGCCGCTATTGTAACCGTTATCTGTACTCGTTTTCTTTTTGAAAGCATCCACGGTACAACCAAGGTCACCGGGCTAACCAAAACCTTCATTGCTGTGATCCTTATCCCGATTGCAAGCAACAGCCCCGAAGGAACGGCTGTGATCGCCGCGGCCCAGGTTGGCGACGTCGACAGCGCAATCGGAGTCATCGTCAATAGCACTCTGCAAATTGGTCTCTTTGTGATTCCCTTCCTGGTGATTCTGGGATGGATGATCTATCAGCCTATGACGCTGTATTTTGAGACTTCTCACACGGTAATCCTGTTTCTTTCTATTATTGTTGTGAATCATCTGCTTCAGGATGGGAGGTATACCTATATCCACGGGGTGATGTTGGTAGCTTTGTGAGTGAATCCTCTCTCTTAATTAAGGAAAAGTTATGGACTGATGCCTTGTTTGTTTAAAGGTATTTTATTCTCGTCAGCACTTTTTATGCATACTGAGGCGTGCAATATTATGTCTATATCAAGGGGGGTTTACTAAACGAAACGGCTTCGGTTGGTCTGTTTTAGAAACGGACATTGAAGAGTCGCCCACTGCATGCAGCCCTCACTGGTGCAAGGGCAAAAATAAGTTTGATTTAACTATAACCATTATACTGTATATAAAGTTTCAAATCGGGATACTAATAACTATTATTCCAGCAAGGCTACTTAGTTTGTTCTACCAGTAGAAATACAAGGCAAGAGGACATCTTTGCGTCTGAGATTGAGACAGCAATGTAACATTTGCAATCCAAGGGTCATCCACTAATGTACCATCCGATAGTAGTATAGATAAGATCAATGAAATGGAACTTTTTCCGGCGCCGCTGGACGCATATAAAAGGAAAGCGTAGCAATCAAATACCTAAAAGAAATTCAAATTAGCTCGATACTTTAGAGGCAAAAACTGTCCACTCACGTTCCCATTAGCATAAGTCCCTCAAAATAATTCGTTTCCCCATTGTGCATCATGCCACTCGTCACCATAATACTGATAAAAAACACAGTCGCCTCAAATGGATCAAAATTCAGACTCATGGGTAAATCGAAGGTCCATCCTAGGAAAACCAAGAACGGCGCAATGAGCAATGTCAACCGCAAAATACTGCTGATAACTGCCCTGATACCCAGCTCTACTTTATTCGTCCGACACATCGCTATGATGGTAAGATATTTTGTGGAGTTACCCATCACGGGTATAAGAACCAGATTAGTGAATGCCTTGCTGAATCCTGAAGCTTGGCAAAATCCATTCACGCTGCCGACAACATAGTAGCCGCAGATGAGAACGCATGAGCTGGCAACTAGAAGAATAATAGATGGACGAAAGCGCTCAAAAATAGGATATCGCTCTGGTGGAGTGGCGTCCTGATTGGGAACGGTCCGGGGGGGTTCTGGATAAAGCACCGTGTCGAAAAGAGAGGTATGGGTGCGAAGTCGAAAAAGGAGAAATACAAAGAGAAGCGTAAATAGGACAACTGCCGCCGTGTGGGAGATGAGTACAATGTCGCTTTCGTCATTGGCTTCGGAGTTGAAGGAGGAGAACATGGCAATGATAGTGGGGATAATCAACGAAATAGACACTACCATCAGGAGCGAGGAAAGGATGCTCGTTAGCGTTAGGTCAAACCTGAGTTTCTTCTTGTCGTATCCCGCGACGAAAAGACAACCACCTAGAACCTTCGCATAACATTAGTTAAGGGCCAGGGCTACACACGACCGGGGACTTTACCAGTAACAAGTAGCAGAGAGTGCTGCCGAGCAGAACCGACTGGGACATTCGAACTTGCTGTTGCTTCACTGCAATCAGTCCAACCTCAAGATATGTCAGTGTATTGAGATTATTCTGTGATATGAAATCGGTGACCTCATACAATTAGTTCGATTGTATTCCCTAGACTTGCTTTGAGCAGCTCGTCAACCACCTGCCCTAAACTGGCGTACTGCTGACTGAGAGCGAGGTTTGTCCATGAAATCAGAGGGATAATGGCCACGAGGTTTGACAAAAATACCACCTCATCGGCCCATTGAAGACTGCCTGTGACTATGCCGATTGGCACAAAGATCAAGAGCACTTGCAGATAGCTGTAACATATCTTTTTGGTTACAGCGTGGTAGGGATGCCACGAATTTTGCCTAAGAGGCCGTGGGGGGGAGTTTAAAAAAGAGACAGGTCCGTTTTCTGGACAATGGGTTTCAGGTGCTTCTGACATGCTCCTGGATTCTCTATCCATCCGGATAGATGGAGATGCAAAGGTGCAAGAAGCACGGCTCAGACAGTCACCAAAGCCATCGTTCAAGGTAGGATTGTTTCTTGCTGGTGGGACAGGCGGGGTGTCGTATGGTACCATCCGTGTAATATTACATCATATACGGTATTGGCCCCGTTCGTCCTTGCACTTCAGCCTATTCCAGCCCTACTGAACCCCTGACTAGCCTCAAAGACTACAATTGGATCTCGATCAGCCCTACAGCAAGGCTGTGGACCCCAGTGGAGACCCTAACTCTCCTTGAATTGCGTCTGTATTTAGGCAGCCATATAATTTGCAGCGTCCAATCAGTGCGAGAATAAAAAACCAATTTGTTTGGCAGGTGCTCATTGCATCGAACTGACAGCTTTGGTGGCGAGCGTGTGATAGAGTGAGCAAGAGTGATTGAGAGAACACCGGAAGACCAACTACAAGCCCCCTCTCCCGTTTAAAGACTATTGGAAGCTGGGGACGATGGAAATGACTTCCCATGGTGAGAATCAACCTCGTCTCCGCCATTCAATGCGTTCAACAAGATCACCATCTCAGCTGGCCGAAAGTGCACCGTTTCCGGATGAAGTAGACGATGCTCGGCCTTCAGTTTCCCCAGCTGCGAAGCAGAATCTCCAAGCTGTCGACCTTAATTCAGCTTGGGCTGCAGTCAGGACAACCCTGTTCAGTAGCTATACCAATTTACTGCTGCCCACTGTCTTCTTGGGGATTTTAGCCGGAGCTCAAAAATGGAATGATTCCGCGGTCTTCATCCTGAATTTCTTGGCCATCCTCCCCCTCGCATCATTGCTGTCATTCTCAACGGAAGAGCTGGCAAAAAGTGTGGGGGAGACGGTGGGCGGATTAATCAATGCCACTTTTGGGAATGCATTGGAAATGATCGTGAGAAACTCAATGCGAATTACTCAACAGCCTGAGAAAGAGCTGACAATCTCCAGGTGGGCGCGACGGCGGTCAACAAGGGAGAACTGCATATCGTGCAGTCCAGCATGATCGGAAGCGTGCTGTCTGGAAATATCCTGGTACCCGAATTCCTACTAAAATTACGCTGTGGTGACTACTAATCTGCATACAGATCCTCGGATCTTGCTTTTTATTCGGTGGATACAACACTGAAACTGTGACCTTCAGCGTGGACGTAAGCCAGATCATGTCTTCATTGATGATCGTGACTTCCTCGTCTCTGATTATCCCATCCGCTTTGTACTCCACCACGGTGTCCCGATCGGACGAAGTGGAAACGGGCGTCTTGGATCTCTCCCGAGGAGCAGCCACCATTCTCCTCGTGTTCTATCTCGTTTTCCTCTACTTCCAACTCAAGAGCCATGCAGATCTATTCGTTACTGGCGACGATGGGGACGATGAGGTTAGTGAGGTGCAGTTGGGCCCGTGGTCGGCCACTTTGGTTCTCATTCTTGCAACCCTGGGGGTGACTGTCTGTTCCGACAGCCTGGTCGACAGCGTGGACGGGATCGTAGAAGCATGGGGTATAAGCCGTGCTTTTATAGGTCTTATCATCGTCCCGATCGTTGGCAATGCAGGTGAATTCAGCACGACCGTGAATGCCGCCATGAAAGGCAAGATGGGTTTAGCAATTGGAGTGATTGTGGGTAGTACTTTACAGATTGCGCTATTTGTGACTCCATTCATGGTCATCTGGGGGTGGATTATTGGACGACCTATGTCGCTCCATTTCAACACCTTCGAGATTGCAGTCTTCTCCCTGGCCGTGGTGATGACGAACTGTCTGATGCGGAAGGGACAATCAAATTACTATGAGGGTTTCTTATTGATGGGAATGTATGTGTCCGGTCTCCTTTACTCAGGTACTGAATGCTAACTATGCGAACCGAAATTAGGTATTTGATTCTAGCTATTGCGTTCTATGTGCACCCAGACCAAAGCGTCATTTCCTAGGGAAATGAGTAGAGGTGTTATGGAAGGACATGAGGTTTACATAATTATTTCACGTAAGTTATCTTTAAGATAAGTAATATAGTGGTAAAATTTTGACTAGGAATAGAGAAATGTATTTCTCGGCCGCGTGGCTGTATTCGATCGAACAGGGCTGCCTACACCTAGTGGTTGGAGGAATGACACAGTAACGGTGACTTCCCCCCACCACTTCAGAATCTCTGGGTAGTGATTATAATTAGCGTTACTGAATGATTACGACTATCTTTCCGACCCCATCCACCGCCATTTGGCCTGTTTCAAAGTTAGTGGAATCCACTTGCGCCGTGTGACATGTATGTAATGTAGCATGGACATGCCTTACGGTGCTCATTAAGAGTAGGCCATTTCTTTGCTATTTTTAAGCTCAGCCCTATTTTGCTTGGCTGTATTAAGAATATTAATTCTTCGTTCACGAATCTTGGTATCGTGGTTGCCGTATACTCTTTTAGTTCAGTCTTCTCCATTGTAATTGACTTTCAACCTTACTGGAATTTCCCATGGAGAGAGAATAAGAGCAGACGAAAACCTTGAGCAGTTGGCCAAGAAAGACATTGAGGTTGTGCAATAAAGACGGGAAAGTCACACATTATCCAAACCTACTCTCCAAGAAACCCCCCCGCCGTCTTCGTCTCGATGGACACTCCTCAGCCCGAAGCCTCAACTTCTCTGGAAACAATGCATGTCAACGTCAACTCAGGAGAGGCCTCTTCAAGCTCTATATCTACTCTCCGTCTTGATTCCGTAACGCTTATTCGACATCGACATCGATACCGGCACCGTTGGATTCCATCGCAGCAATATAGGCTGAGAAACAGCCTCCTTGCAGCGGTCGGATACCTCGAGCTTGCCAACGCGGGAGACTTTCCGGCAAACGTCTGGAATGAAGTTCCTGTTCCCCTATATGCGGCCATACTAATGGGATTCGGCGGCACACTCGCTCTCATCATGTCATATTTTGCCTTCAAAGATGCTCGTCTGAGTTGGCGAAATCTCTGCCTTCTTCGCGAGGAGCGATACAATTTGATTGTTCAGCAAGGGGCAGCAGATCCTGAGAAATGTCACGAGAACGGCTGCGTGGACGTAAAGAGCATCCACAGCCAACTAGAGATTAATCTAAGAGAGATGGGAACGGAGATCGTCGATCGCGTTGGAATGGATATTCTACTGGGGTGGGGAGCCATCATGGTCGGAATCGGTACTCTCATGGCAATCGGTGGTGCTAATCGCAAGGTCTGGTTCGCTAGTAACCTCTTGTCCGGGTATATTGGCAACTCCCCTGCCGCGATATACGGGTTGGTCAATATGCTCTGGTCCACGTATATTTGGACCCGAGCTGACCGCCACGGGATCGCGGCAAAGAAGGAACTGGACATCGACACCGTCGAACGGTATCTCACACCGCGTCTTCGACACATTAAACTACATGCTTTTGTCAATGGTATTACAGGAATGGTTGCTGGTATGGCATCCCTCGTGACAGCGACTCGATGGTGGGGTTACGTTGTTCTGGTACCGTGTATTATCTCCTCGGTATGGTGCAATTATTTCTGGCGGAGAGCCATTGGCTACGAGCGGCCTTTCCTGCAGCATCAGATGAGACTATCGAAATCATCCTTACTCTGTGCTCTACAGGCTTGTTCTTCCACGCGGCAGGCCCTTGAGGAAGTAAAGTCGTCGACATCAGGTCGCTCAACAGCAGAAACAGCGTCAACCGCTCTTTGCAAACTAATCTCGGATCCTACATCCCTCGCTCAAGTCCTGGAATTTATTGTGGACAACGATCTTCTCGAAGACTTCTGTATAAGGATGCTGCAGAACGAACAACTAGCTACAGAGCTCTTCCAACTGGCCGATGCCGAGGCCGTGACCATCTCTGCTGAGCAGCTGCTAAAGGCCGATTCCCGGTATACGTCGCAGGTCCTGGAGATTGCGACACAATGCGTCGTGGACCTTGGCCAGCAACATTTTCTGTATCGAGAGCGGTTCTTGATAGAAACACTGGGTGTTATTTGTGTAGAGAAAAATTAATAGTTGTATAATATTTTATAATTAACTGGAAAGAGGGTCTGCATCTACCCCTGGACTATCTTGCCCAGATAATCAATACACAAGTATATCTACGAGAATATAATCTTGTCTTTATCGCACAAGTAACACTGGAAGGGTCCAGCGCCATGAAGCGTATAAACTAGAGGAATCTTTTTTTAGATTTCCTGTTCGACAGATCCAGTAGTCGAGGACCAAGGAGTACTAATATGTTTATCATAATTAAAAGAAGTAGATTAAGTGTAAGAAAACGCGGGTAAGGCTGATACGCCATACAAACTAGTAGTTCGCGTAAGCAACTAGTCGTAATGTAACTAATTTAGTGCGTAGGGCTGTATTGTCAATAGGGAGTGGACTGTCCAACAAATAATCGTGAGGGATCTTGTCATTGGGTTGCATCGTGCTAGAGAGGTCCAGTGGGTGGGTAGTCGACACATACGGAGTTGCTCGGTTAAACATCTGGTCTGATGAAGGAATCTGATGACAACACTTATTCCATATCAGTACTCCATACTATTATCCCGATCTCTCCTGGGGGATCAGGATTTTGCTGGGGCCGCCCGGTGACTGACTGGCTTCCTTCATTTAACTCCAGGCAGCACAATTTCTGCTACAGGGCAATACTGGGGTGGGGTGGATTGGGCGCTAGACCCTCAGGAATTGCTTAGTATGGTAGTCCCCATTGAATATTAATAATATCTGTACCAAACTGCATCCAATTTGAGTTCCTCGCAAGTCGATACTTAACTGTCTCCGTGTCAGTCGAGGGTGGTCGTAGTCCGATAGGTAGTTAGACAAACACGACGCGTCACGCCAAAAGCAAAAAGCAAATAAATACGACCGACGCCGCGTGATGTCATGTACCATCAGAATAATCACAAGGCTGGAGGGATTTCTCTTCGGGGTTTCCGTATAGGCCCGAGTCTCGCAAGTGGATCGGTAGGGGTACTGAAAACAGACGGCAACCCTGTGGATGTACCTAATTATCTGAAAGGCAAGCGTAATTCAAACACGCCCAGGACCTGATATAACCGACCAAGGTTCCGGTCTTAGTGTATTGTTTAGTACTGGAGTAAGTTACTCCGTACCCATGCTTATAGAAACCGTACAGGACCGTACCTCGTACTTTGTAGATAGTACCAAAGTTAATCTGCATTGTCTCTCGCTCCAATTTCCTATCTCTTCCACCTCTCATCCTCGATCGTTCATTTATGGGGACCAGTTCACCCGAATCCTTTCTAGACGCAGTGTATCGTCTCGCCGCAACCTACACCAGTCGAGGTTCAACCACAGAGGCGACTCAGCTTCGCGATGTGGCCGACACGGCCAAAGAAAAGGCCGCAGCAGGTGGGGCAGGGGGGGCTGCGGTCCTGGAGGATCTCGGTGCCTTGGTCAAGACATATCTGGAAAGCGCCCGGTGGAATATTGCGATAGACCTCGGAGTACTCGTGCTCAATGCGCGAAAAGCCCTTCTCGGAGAGAAAGATCCTTCGACTTTGACGGCAATGAGTAACCTGGCCTCCGCGTACTGGGGCCAAGGGCGCTGGAAAGAGGCTGCGAATATCGGTCATCGGGTGACGGATCTGAGGCGCCGTACTCTCGGTGATGAGCATCCGCAGACACTGACTTCTATGTCGAATCTTGCTTCAACGTACAGTCGACAGGGTCAATGGAGGGACGCGGAAATATTGCAGGTTAAGGTTCTTGAGGTACGAGTGAAAACACTCGGAAGGGACCACCCTTCGACGATGACGTCGATGGGTAATCTCGCAGTCACCTATGGGAACCTTGGTCGTTACGCCGATGAAGAAAAACTAGAACGGCATTTAATCGAGCTCGGTGAAGCGAAGCTCGGTGCGATGGATGGTTCCGTCCTCACATGGAAGTCAAATTTGGCAGAAACATACCGTGAGCAGGGTCGGCTGGAGAGTGCGAACAGACTGCATCTATTGGTTTTCAATGCTAGGAAAGACACCCTCGGAATACAGCACCCACTCACATTGACGTCGATGGCCAACTTGGCGTCGACTTATCGACAACAGGGCCGCTGGGAAGAAGCCGAGCATCTTGAGAATTGTGTGGTGAAAACAAGCGAGGCGGTTCTGGGGCGAGACCATCCGCAGACCCTCATGGCAGTCGGTAATCTAGCCTCGACCTATTGTAGGCAAGGGCGGTTACGTGATGCCGCCGGTCTCTGGACCAGGGTGGTAGCCCTGATGAAGACGGTTCTCGGGGACCATCATCCAGACACACTCACGGCGATGGCCGACCTGGCGGTGACATATCAGCGCCAGGGACAGCTGAGCGACGCCGAAACCTTAATGATCCAGACGCTGAACGGTATGAAGGCGACCCTCGGACAAGAACACCCGCATACACTTACTGCCATGGCCAACTTGGGAATGATATACCAGTCTCAGGGAAGATGGGAGGAGGCTGGAGACCTGGCTGAACAGGTGTATGCGGGCCGGAGGAAAATACTGGGGGAAGAGCATTCGGATACTGCTCTTGCTCTGGAAGATTTGATGAGGATCGCGCGAGTGGAAGCAGCAGACAGGACCATGCAGGCGTCAGAGCACCCCAGCAATTTGATTCTGATCCATCAATGAGATTGAGCATCCATACGGGGAGTCATTATCTTCTTCTTTCTCTCTCACTATCATTTGTCTCAGTCTTCAGCCTTCCGGATTTAGTGGAAGGGTGGTGGGCGACCCCAGAGGGTGAATGTACATAGAGTTTAACATAAGGATGTCTAAGGGAAGGTACTCAAGGAGAAAAGGCTTGAATGAGGTCGAAATAAAGTTGCGCCTGACTTGATCGACGTGGGGAACTAGATTTGGAGGCCTGGTTGTACATATCGAGTTCGCCAAGGGAACGTGGATTTCTGCAGAATCTGACGAGACAAATGGAATGATAAAGATACCCCAATCTGTATGCAGCTGTACCCAGTCACGAATTATCCACCAACCGAAATAGCAATTATTTAAATGAACCAGTGTGTGAATGATCAGTCCATCCGACCTGCACATACTAGCCTGACTTTTGCACAGCCCCCTTGCCAAGCCTTCAAGCTTTTATTTACAATTTATTTAGTCTTTGGAATGCTGGTGTGGACACTATTTAGCCGCCCGTCTCACCCTTTTTCCCCTCGTAGAAACCGGGTTGAATTCTGTTCTGGATAGCTATGACAATATTGTAATCCTGACTGAGCTTCTGCCTCCCCATGGCCTCCCCAAACGTAAGTTCGGATCCATCTCGCACTGGACCGCAACCAGCTCCCAAAATTACAGTGGACTTGGTCGATGTCCTTGTAGGTGTAAGTCCACCCGGCCAATATCTCATAGATTGAAGATTCTCCTGACAATTCTCTGGCTTTGTTCCCGCAGAACGAAGATGATGCCAGTCTCGGCGCCAGCGTGTCCGACATTTCGCCCCGAACTTGCTCGGCTCCTACGCTTGCCATTCTGTCATCAGACCTGGAGCCTCAGGGGACATCGCCCAACTCTCTGCACAATCTTCGTCCGCCATCACGCTCGTCGTGGGAATGTTCGGCGACTCAGTATTCATCTACAGATGGGCCCTCCAGGACCCTCTCTGGCGCAACGACCTTCAGTAATATGTCTAACCTAAATGCTAGTTTCTCGGTGTCGCAATGCGCCTCGGGTTCCCACGAAGCTATATTTTCGGTATCTGTGGAGACGCTCGAGAAATTACTAGAGCAAAGAACTATCGCCGACTTCGATGCATTAGGTGGATTACGTGGTCTAGCGAACTCATTACTGACGGATTGTCACTCTGGGATTGCGGCTGACACTGATTCGGTGACATCGGATGGATCTCTTCCAAATATAGCCAGTCATACAGAAAGGAGGCGCGTCTTCGGGGAGAATCATCTGTTGGAAACAAAATCGAAGACATTTCTTTACCTCTTGTGGCTCAACTTCAATGACACGGTCTTGTTGCTCCTATCTGCAGTGGCGGTCGTTTCGCTGGCCCTGGGCTTGTATCAAACCTTTGGGCAACCACACAAACCTGGGCAGCCGAAGGTTGAATGGGTTGATAGCGTTACGATACTCACAGCCGTTCTAATTGTGGTTGTGGTAGGGGCTCTTAATGACTATCAGAAGGAAAAGCAGTTTGCAAAGCTCAATAGAAAGGTCTGTTACAAACCATGGACCACGTCTACAAAGACTGACTCCCACGAGCAGAAGGCAGACCGCATGGTCAAGGCAATTCGATCAGGTAGGTCTATAGAAATATCCATCCATGAGGTTATGGCTGGGGATATCCTGCACGTTGAACCGGGAGACGTGCTACCCGCTGACGGAGTCCTTGTCTCTGGTCACAACGTTTGCTGTGATGAGTCGACTGTTACTGGAGAATCGAACCCAAAAAGAAAGACACCAGCACATTTAATAACGGACCTCTTGCGTCCAATCACACCTGATGATGACCCGGATCCGTTCATGATTTCAGGTACAAAGGTCCTGGAGGGACTTGGCACCTATCTTGCGACCGGCGTTGGTCTTCACAGTATCAATGGAAAGCTCATGATGTCCATAACCAATGAGGAGCCGCGTCCCACTCCCTTACAGGTGAAGCTAACTGCCGTTGCCAACCAGATTGCTACGGCAGGCGTATCTGTGGCAGTATTTCTCTTTCTGGCCCTCTTTATCAAATTCCTTTGGGGGGTAGGGTGGAGCCAAGGCTTGCCATCAGACGGCAATCTGTATGTGCATACCCTCCTACGCATAACCATTGTGTCTATCACCGTGGTTGTCATCGCCGTTCCCGAAGGCTTGCCGCTGGCCGTAACCCTGGCCCTTGCTTTTACGGTGACCCGGATGCTGAAAGATAAGAATCTGGTCCGGGTGCTCAGTGCCTGCGAGACAATGGGAGGTGCTACCAGTATATTCTGTGATAAGACCGGGACCCTCACCACAAACCGCATGACTGTCGTGGGTGGACTCCTTGGGACAAAGCATCAATTTGGAGCGAAGCTCTTATCTCGTGATACTCAACTTGTCTACCCTCACGGCCTGTCTGAACTCCACGCTATATCAACAAACAAGTTGATTTCTCTTCTGTCAGAAGAGGTCCGATATACTCTATCGCAGTCGATTGTCATAAACTCAACTGCGTTTGAGAGTGAAGAAAACGGCAGACCAACATTCGTCGGGTCAAGGACCGAAAGTGCCTTGTTGTCCTTTGCGCGAGAAAGACTCGGAATTGGACCTGTGGCAGTGGAACGGACAAACGCCCAAATCACCCAGGTTATTCCCTTCGACTCGAGCAGAAAGTACATGGTCTCCGTGGTGAACCTCGGAGGCGTCTTCCGAATGTATATGAAAGGTGCTCCCGAAGTTCTACTCGCGAAGTGTTCTCGTATAGTCAAGGACGCAACCTCAGATCTAGACCAAACCGCCCCTGTGAATGATTACTATGACTTGCTAAGCCAGGCCATGCATCATTACAGCGACCAAGCTTTGCGGATGATTGGCCTTGCGTATCAGGACTTCCCGGCTTATCCTCCTCCGGGGGTGGGAAGAATCGACGATGAGCCCGGACAGACTATCATAGACGACGCTCTACAAGATATGATATTTCTTGGAATTTTCTGTATTCAGGATCCACTGCGGCCAGGGGTAGAAGAAGCGGTCGCCAAGTGTCAATACGCAGGGGTGACGGTGCGAATGGTCACTGGAGATAATATCGGAACCGCCACGACCATTGCAAAGAAGTGCGGCATTCTGGAACCGCATAGTGTCGTCCTTGAAGGACCTGCATTTCGCATGCTCTCGAAAACCGAAATGTATCAGGTCATTCCACGACTTCGTGTCCTTGCCCGGTCGAGCCCCGAGGATAAGAGAGTTTTAGTCATGCGAGCAAAGGAATTGGGCGAAACAGTGGCAGTAACGGGGGACGGGACAAATGACGGGCCGGCTCTCAGGATGGCAGATATTGGGTTCTCGATGGGCATGTCGGGCTCTGAGATTGCGCGAGAAGCATCTTCTATTATTTTGATGGAAGATGAGTTCTCATCGATCGTCAAGGCTATTGAGTGGGGAAGGGCAGTCAACGACTCTGTTAAGAAGTTTCTGCAGGTTGGCATCCCTATCCCTCTATGACCCTCTTCTTTGCACTAATACTATCCCAGTTTCAATTGACCGTCAATATCACTGCTGTAACCCTTACCTGTGTCTCTGCCATAGCTAGTGAAAGGGAAGAGCCAATCCTTACACCCGTGCAACTGTTGTGGGTGAATCTGATTATGGATACGTTCGCTGCTCTCGCTTTAGCCACCGACCCTCCCGCACCAAGTGTGCTCGACAGGAAACCACAACCAAAGACCGCACCGTTGGTCACAATAGAGATGTGGAAGATGATAATCGGCCAGTCCGTCTACCAACTGGCGGTGGTTCTGGCGTTGAACTTCGCCGGTAGCAAGATCATTCAGGACATTGGCACCGAAGATAGCCTTAAAACACTTGTGTTCAACACATACGTTTGGATGCAGTTTTTTAATCAGTACAAGTAAGAAATTCCTGTCAAATATTTGCAGAATTATTTTCTAATCCATGATATTAACCAGCAACCGCCGTCTCGATAGCAACCTCAATGTTTTTGAGGGCATTTTGACGAACTGGTATTTCATCGGCATCAATGTGATTACTATTATAGGCCAAATATCAATAATTTCCTTTGGGGGCAATACCCTTTCCGCCGTCCGTCTTTCCCCTATACAGTGGGTGATCTCGCTTGTTCTTGGAGCGTTGAGTCTAATGGCTGGTGTCATCGTGCGCCTGATTCCCAATGAACTGCTACGAAGTATTTCGGCTAAGTTGGGAAGTATATGCCTAAGTGAGGAAGAGGACGATAGATTCTAGACTATTTCAGAAGTATGATAGACTGATCTACTCTAACTAATGACATAATATTTATATAGCACAATGTACCAGGTATCAAAATTAGCAGCAGCATAATTGGACAGAATTATCAACCATTTTTGGATTTAGCCTGATAATGCCGAAGTCATGAATTTTGAGTATAATTCGAAGATCTGTCAAAAGATGCTTAGCTTTTTGGTCGAGTCGCCCAGACTGAGCGAAAACCTCAACAAATCTGACATGCCTGCAATAAGAATATATTGGCTGCTCCCAGCTCGCTACAAAAAAAAAAAAAAATAGATATGAAGAGCACCATGCTAAAATGTTTCTACACCTGAACAAAGGCTGGAATTTAAAATACACTTCAAACAAAGAATAAGAAACCCAGGCAGGATTCTACATACTCTGACACTCTGCAATGCATATAATCATTCCTCATGTTATAAAAATAGTGAAAGAGTCAATACCCACACCCGTCAATTTACCCTCTGATGCTGAGGCATTGATGATACCTCCTTCATGAGAACGGGGGCCGCAGCTATCGAATGTAAGGTTTCATTTTCTATTTCGAGATATGAGTAGGATGAAAATAGATGGAACTTACGGAATGTCTCTCCAACTTCGCACCTCCAGTTCTTCCACGCGACGGCCGTCTCATTCGCGATGACCGTCTGCTGGCCGATGATACAGATCCACTGTCCATGGTAAGTGCCGCTACCAGGGATCTGCACAACAGGGGGTCTTGGAATAGTGAAATTGTTAGCATTCCATGATCACATAGAACAGTGACTGAGTTGTGAGTATAAGTAAAGTTGAACATGAAATAAAGAAACCTACGAGGGCCCTGCCTATACTGCTGACTGAATGAGCCATCGGGCCAAGTATTGAATTTGATGAGCTAGAGGCGGAGTGATGAATGTCAGTCAACTTTTCAAGAAACATACTACAAAAAAGCCCAGCAGTAGGAAGATAAAGAGTAGTACTTTCATACTTCCTCAATGATTTGATAGTACCCACTCGGAGCAATGAAGTTGAATGTCCGAGTCGCTCCAGGAACAAAATCCCGGCCACTAGTGCTGGGAGGAACTAAACTACTTCGGAACATTATATTCAGAAATTCAAGCAACAATAACAATAAGTTGATTTTATTGTGCACACGTAAAAAATCGAGAGACTGACATGATCCCATTATTCCCCGTACATCGCCGGCCGGGGCGCCAATCACGCCGAAGGAGGTTAGATTCTTGAACGTGGTTCCCGTCGGACATTTGCAGGGCCTGTCTATCATGCTGCAGGGAGATAGGCGGGGCGCAGCAGTAAACCAGCAGCAACGGCAGGGGATATCCATGCACACAGAGCAATGCACCAATGCGTAAATTTTGAGAATAACATTGCTCAGGCTTGAAACTGACACCTTTCACGGATTCTATTCTGTATGCTCACAGATACGTATGTTCGGTGTCCTTACATACTAGCAGTTCGGCTCCTTATACTGGGTTCAGAACCTACACGAAGGCGTTGATTACTTGCTCTTCAAGAGTTGACATTCATCTCCTGCCCGGAATTATTACTCTGATCTCGTAACCTTTGCAGTCCGACCCGTGGCGCACGCCACGTGAGGGTATGCTTGGCCTTCTAGATTCGGGGGCGAAAAGACGGGGTGGTGCAATCTTTACTCGTGTCAGACTGGAACATCCCCTGTCAGAGACACTAAAATTAGCTGTTGTCTCAGTCTCGGTTAGGATTAAGGCTTCTGTCTCCACGTGGAAATGGAACGGGGCCGTTCAAGTTCTCGTAGCCTAGTGTTAGGTGTGGGTGCGTCACCTAGCATTACAGTGCGCTACCATATAAGGCGCTCAGGAATATCTGATCCATAGTGGTCTTTTGGTCCAGTGGAATAGTTAAGATCCTGAGCTTGGCTATAACACCTAGAAACCGAGTCCCAGGCATGGTTAGATCTACCTGGGGCTTGAAATCAGTCTAAGAAGGGTACCACGCGCTTGCAAACCGTTCCTCCACGGACAATATTTTCTTTTTCTGAATGCAGAATCAACTTTACTTGTCTTATGCCGGCTTAGAGACTCCGCCCCATTCCCCTCAACCTTCAGAACTGGATGAATTCCGGGGTACGCCTCTGTGAAATGCCTAAATGAAGGCCAAATAAGGTTGATACATCGGATACCAAGCCACCAGCTCTTCAGCTGCTCGTATAACAGGGAAACAACCGCAAGGGAGCGACTCAGGCGGTCGGTAGACAAAATGCCCGTCTTCACCAGGGGTGGCGTACAGAGACAATGCCATACTACTCCTTACTTTTGTACTAAGGGAGGGGGGGTTGGATCGGATCTTAATTGAGAACGGTTCCTTACTCAGGAGCAATCTCGTACCAGTTCTCAGCTAACAAATACATAACTTCACCTACTAGTGCCACTTGAAAATACGGCTAAATTGATAGAAAATCAACATTTATAGCTAGATGCACTATTATAATCAGTTTTATAGTGCACACAGGAAGATATGTACTACATCATCGTTCGTTTTCCTTTCAAACTGATGATTGGGCTTTTGCTGAGAGTTCCTTTTCGGGTGTTGCTTAGGACTATCGGTCGTTGAGGATGCGCGTTGGGGATGCTGATCAAAATATATCGTCTCAGTTGACTAAATTTGCTCAGACAATGGAGACGGTAACTGCAAATTATACTTTGGCTCTATCTTATTATTTTACCTCGGCTCCATTTTTCGTTTTTTTGTACCTGCACTTGTGCTTGGTTATTAGCGTCATGCTGAGATGAGCCATGCCAATCCTCTCCAAGGGAGGTCTAAACGGTGTCTCGTTATCTGTCTCCGCAGCTGGAGCAGGGTTCCTGGACGGAGATGGGGATAAGCTGATGCCAAGCATCGCAACTCTGACATGAGAGAAATCTATGTTCGGAGCATCATCCAGACTTTCTCAAATCAATACCTAAAAAACAGACCTTTCGGACTAACTTTTGACTAGTGGAGCACTGGCTGAGCCCGGAACAACTTACTGAAAACCACGAAGAATTTATTTTATTCCAGGCGGGACTGGACTTCTGCATCGGGATATAGAGGCATAAACTTATTATAGATCATATTTATTTGACAATCATGTTATTTTTTTCGATATATACTAACTGGGAGTAACAACTCAATCAAACATTGTCGCCTGCTCTATATAAAGTGAAGAATTTAAGGTCTAGAAATGGAGAGGCATCTATTCGTCAGTTTTGAACACGGCGGAAATTGAAAGTTCGGTCACAGCCTGAAATATCGCTCCGAGGTTATCATTTGAACACACCACTTGAATGGTTACCTTTCGCTGGGTGGAGCTTGACTTTGATTGATCCCGTAAGTTTGAGTCCGGTAATGATGAGCTACCACGGCTCGTGGCGGTAGGAACCTGTGTCGCTCCCAGCCGTAAATCGTCATGGGTGAGTGGTGATGGGAATGCACGGTCGAGATCCATCTGGAGGAGGGTTGGGAATGTTTCAGAGCAGGTTCCTGGTTCTATATCAAAATTAGATACATCCATGCACCGATCAATCATCGTGGGCGCCCGGATTCATACGTACCACTTTGCTGAAATAGGCACCCCATTGGCTCGTTATCGAAGTCGCTCGGTGGGCCATAGATGGGTGAATGCGATAGCGAATGCGAGATCATCGGCATGAGCTCCTCTGGTGCAGTCGATATAGGACAGAGATCCTGGTCGCTGCTACCCCAGGACTCTAGGCCCAGCTGTCGATTCTGCTCACGCGATTTGAGCATCTCCTGCTGATAGTCAAACTGCAGGGGCACCTCTGAACCGCCTATCTGAATAGCAGGGTCACTGCCATTCTTTAGCCGGCGTTGCAGGACGTGATACCGATTTTTTGCCGAGAGACTCGTTCGTCGAGGAAAGTATAGTGAAACAAGCTGTTGCCAGAAATGGCCGTGCTTCGTGACACCTTGGAGGAGTAATTCATCCTGTTGACGTTAGATGTCCTGTGGGATGTTATGGGAATAAGGCCGACCAACCTCTTGCGGTGTCCATGGACTGTGATCGATCTCTGGATTAATGGCATGGCTCCATCGTTTCGAGCACTGATCAGGCAATCTGCTTCCCACGACACTTGCGGCGATGGCCCATTTCGTGCCGTGCTGCTTAATCGCTTTTATCAGACGTTCATCCTCGGCCTCAGTCCACGGCCCTTTATTGACCTTGGCCGCTGTTGTCCCATACCACCGTTTGCGACAGTCTTTATTGGTTCTCCCTGGTAAAAACGCTGCTATCTCATGCCAACTGATGTTCCTTCCACTTGCCTGTGCTACACACAACACGTCAGTATCCAGACGTCAACAGTTAAGCGTCATCCTTCCTGGCAACTACTAGGAAGGAGGAGATCAAACCTTTTCCAACTTCTCGACGTAGAATCATGTCCTCTTCAGTTGTCCAATTGCGACGTGGGCGGATCATCATGAGTGTGATTCAAAGCGTGTCGTGTTGGATCGCAGTGGAAAAATCTTCCTCTTCAAGTAGCCTCTTATTTACATGCAGTCACAAATAGGAATTTTCTTCTTTTTCCTACGGACAGTCCCACATTACCGGCTGAGGTTTAGCGGATGCACTATTGCAGCAGACATAGTCTGATACAATGTTAAGGGGATCGAAAATCATTCAAAGGATCGGGCGAAGACGGATTAGCTTCCTGCAGGCTGCATCCCATCCCTGACACTTCGTGTTGAATGCTGCCATTCGCTTGCAGTCGCGTGTAGTCACCATTATATCATGAGGCTCTGAGAACAGGACGGTGATTTGTTCGCTTTTATATACAGAGAAACAGTGGCAATGATTCAGACTGCAACTAGTGTGCGGGTCGTTGTAGGTCGAGTCGCATTCCATATTTCTCTGTTGGTGCAATCAGCACACTAGTGGCTGCAGGAGACGGGGAGCCTGTCTTACAGCGGGATCTGGATCCCTTCCTTAATTGGTGGGCTCCTTCGATAGAATTACTGCTAAATGAAACTCAATCTATCATATCAGCGCGTCGGGCCTAAGCCAGGGTACTTAATTTTGGACACGCGCGAAAGCCAGTCACTAACCACCACCACATAGGAGGAAGTAACCGGAAAGCGAAGGAGCCATGTAAGCGAGCGAGCCACCTCTGTATGCATATAAAATGGCACTTTTTGTCATCTCAATGTCTCAACAACATATCAATAGGGCCTAGAATTTATAATCTGAGCTGATAAATAGAACGTAAACAGATATTAGGTCTAGAAGCTTATAATATAAGTACTCCTTTATATTACATTATAAAGGTCTTTAATACAGCAGCATTTAAAATAATTTTGCAATACTGGCTAGAAAACTACTTTAAAATCTAAATAAAATTGACAAAAACTCTATTGTATATGTTTAATTGGTAGGAATCAACTCTGTAGTATATTTAGCATATTTGTTGAGATATTAAGATTGTAAAAGAGTGCCATTTTATATGCAATACAGAGATGGCTCGATCGCTTTCCGGTTTCGTATTTCTAGTGCTTATCTCATACTGGGAGGAGAATGGGGCTAGGTCTGTGGCACCGCTACGTTTCGTTTCAACCTCACAACAAACATTATCCCCTCGGATACTCCCAAAATCTCACAGGTGTTCCCCTCTTTTCGCCTAGACATTGCTACCACGTGTCTTTGTTATTAGTGCTTATCTCGTATGGGGAAAGCAAACGAGGGACATCCCTGGAGTACTCATGTAGCCTATCAGAAGCACGAAGTTCAGTCGACGGAGCGTTGTTCCAAGATAGGTCCTTGTAAGCGACAGTGTCCTGATTCCTGAACTGTTGAGCGGCCGGCCTAAATCTGCCTCGTCATTACTTGGTGTCACCCAATGAGAAGTGGCCCTTTTCCTAGATCTGCGAATTCCTTCACGTCATATCTGCGGAGGAATCAATAGTCGCCTGTACGGAGGTGGGCCTGTCGGAGGTACCAGTCATACCTTGGGAGTATTGGAATTAAGGTTAGGCCGAGTAATCTAGAACATAAATTTCGCCTGACAAATATAACGTTAAGCTACATAGCTCTAGTCAAACGGGAGGGAGGACTGGATGTACAAGTACGAAGACAATAATCTACTGTGCACATAAGGAAGATATGCTGTATTTCAGTCCAGTCTATACCATGTATGCCGTACCGCCAAGCTTCGATAGATTACTGTTAGATTTTATATGTCTAATGATATAAGAGCCTGAATTATCTCTGTATCCTTATTCTCTTTGGTTGACTCCTATCCTTCGGAGTCAGCCACGTCACTTGGCTATTTCACATGATGTCCCAATATGGACTAGCTTTATTCTGACCATTACTAGAACCACTCTACTGCCCCAGCCCCGAATTTAATATGATGAAACGCCTTGGCGAGATCCTTTTTGTTATACGGAAGTTCGATTTATCAAGATATATATAGTCCTTGACGGTGTACGGCTGAGAAAATTACATAATATTTTACCATTCCCATGGGAAGATAGTTTTCGTATATTACCTGCATAACATTTTCCGACCCCGTACTTCTGAAGTACTGCACTACTCTGTATGGAGTAGGTGATATTCTCTGACACATATTTGCTATTGGACTCATGTGGTGGCTGGCATGCACACAGAGACTTACTTCCGATCACGGGATCCTTCAATATAAAGAGCTATGGAAGACCACATGACTCAACTTTCGTCATACTCTTTACACAGAGCCTAAAAGTCACTGTAGAGAGGATTGTAAAGGTACTGGTGAATGCCCCAGGCTGGATATAGCAGATAAAGATATATATTAGCTAGTGTATATTATGCACCTCTCACACTTTATAGGTATCTAGACAATGTGTATAACAAATCAAGAACGATAGCTTATCAATGGTTATTATATGATGTGTACATCGCCGGTATCCGATAGGTGCCTTGACAATATTTGCAACGTGACCTGCATTGCAATGCAACGGTGCTTAAAACACATTTTACTTATCTTATTCATTTCTGATGATGATGTAGTGTTTATATATATATTTAAAAAAAAAAAAAAAAAAAAGGCCAGCTTTCTCACGGCTATCCCGGGGAACAGCAGAGGGGCATCGGGGTGAATTGGGTCTTGGCGTCAGCGTTTCTCCTGAGCGAGATTACCGAGTTTCCCCACGCCTTTATGCAAATGCAAAAGACTGTGTTTAAATTAAGCGAGACGGCTAGAATATCTTGTTCATGGAACGGTTGAGAGGTAGTCCGAGTCGATCGAGGACAGGCAGGATACGGCCTTGAGGAGAATGAAATATATCATGTATGTCAAATGTATTATACTGCTTTCGGTATTTACTAGTGCAAACTAGATATAGTGGCTGTAGGCCTCGATAGAATTATATGACTACGGAGTAGAAATTATGTCAGGCACAGATAATTAACTTAGTTAGCACACAGACTTACTGTTAGGTGTGGGTGCGTCACCTAACATTACAGTGCGCTACTATATAAGGCGCTCAGGAATATCTGATCCTCATTGGGATCAGATATAGTGGTCTTTTGGTCCAGTGGAATAGTTAAGATCCTGAGCTTGGCTATAACACTTACTAAAATTAAACCTGTACAGAGTATGAAAAAATAACATCCAGATTACCTTAAGTTTAATTGTTCATTACTTATCACCCACATCCAATACCTTATGTGGGTCGGTCCGTCCCGTTCTATATATATATTGACAGGTCTCAAAGAACAAAATGATATGATAGTGAAGAAGCGCTGTGTGTCCCTCAATCTTCAAGGTATTTTCAGAATATTCCGAATAGACTACTGTGTACATCAGATATCGTTATTGTTATGATTATTCTCTCAATAGAAGGAATGGTGGGCAGATGAATGCTATACGAGCCGAACGCCATGGCCTGCTTAGGATCTTTATCACGATGGTAACAACAATCAACTGATTCAACCACCGTAGCCAACTCCCCCGACGTACACTCTATCTAAGGGGATGGAAACGATTCAGGGGGATGGCGCGGAGGGCTAGCCAAGACGCTAGGTGTTATTGGATCCCGAATCCCGATATTTTTCTATCAGTTATTGGCTTCTCCCCGTGCATAGGTACCGATAATGTCAGAGTAAGCTCTGTCACCTGCAATGGTTGGTCTGACTAGCCTTTCTCTTCTGCGGCGCAGTCAACATGCATGATGCACCTGACCAACAAAGACATAAGGCTGTTTCGCAGGACCTAAAGAACATCATCCCCCGCTTTGACTATCTCACCAATCCCCTAAAGCTCCGGTTAGCCGAGCGCACACAAGTAACGGCATGAAATCTCCACAGCCCGCAACAGTCTACGACGTGGATGAGGATGACAATCCCATCCTGCAGAGCACAATATCCGCAACTCGAATGACCCCAACAACACCGAATTCATCCCCCTACAGTAGTAGAACCAGAAGCAGTCCCCCAACACCCCAGAAATGCATCTTTGGCAAGTCCATTTGCAGAGGTCCGATCGAGGAGATGGTGAAGGTCTGCAAGCAGGACCCACACCCCTTCACTATTTTCACCAGAAGTCCCGATACGAGTTTGGAACGCAATGAAATCCAGGGATATCAATTTAGAAAGGTTTTTTTCAGGGGTACATGCTCGATCTACCTACTGTTATAAGAGCGAACAAGGGTACTAAGCGTGAAACTACAGATGAAAATGAAATTTTAAATCCTGAGGCGATTTATGACCGGGGGCGAGATGTTCGACTGACGGCTTTCATATCCAAGAAGGACGAAGGGCACCCAGACCCCAGGATATACGTAGAGCAGCGTATTTATGAAGGCAGACAAGAGAAGATCATGGGCCATGAACTTGTATTTGGGGGGAAAATTCAATTCGATGTCGAGTACGTATTTCCGGCTTGTGGGGACGAAAAGCGTGATCTGCGCCTTCAAATCAAATCAGTAAGATATTCATTCATAGTTGGATAGAGATCGCAGGGTAGAACATGCTAAGCCACATCCAGCTTGAACAGGAACTCTTCCACAGCTACATGCGGCACGCAAAATACTATGGCTACGATGTCATAGACCATGTCGAGATTCACGGAGATCAGATTGCTCAAGGCCTGACGTATCCGCTTCAGCATAATAAGGTAAAAGTGCCTAATCAGATTTGCCTTAATGCCGAAGATCTTCAAATTCTTTTAGATGCAAAGCGAAACAAGTTGTCGCCGGGTGGTGTTTTATATGGCGAAGAGATAGAGCTCCTTCAGCTACACTTCACCGGCCTCGGAGTGTGTGCGAAGGACGGATCACATACGGGGGACCTTTACGTTCGAGTTATCTACAGATCATGCTAGGCAAGATGTTTTCTTAGGTGCGAGATGTAAGGTTCCAGTGTAAGAAGATGAGATCGTCGCCATGTTTTTGTATTTAAATGAGATTAACAACACAGATCCTTCAAAGCTAGCAACAGAGCTCTCTAGCTCCTATTGAAATTTCTTAGCTGCTCCAAGGGTTATAATAGGTGGGTATAGAAGTGCACGGGACGGCCGTAGAATACGTTTAGTACCAGCCACCCATTCAATAATATAAGCAATCACTTCCAACACTGCTTCGTGCAAGTCTTCTACAATATCAAGTGAAAGAACCAATTTCTATCTGTCGGTTCTAAGGCTCTTCTTAAGGCTGAGCGCATCCGCAAAAATGATCTCTAAATCACTTCATTTTCCAGGAAAGACGAGCTTTCTGTTGTCCCTTTTTTCCAATTACATTCAGATACTAGACCAGTATATAATTTGAATACAAACTTGAATCTATGAATTAGTCTACCTCGCACGGACAGCCCTGAACGCAAATTTAAACAGATATAGTCTACTTCTATTCACGAGAAAGGAAAGCTCTAACTGATAACCTAGATTCTAGGGACGTGAATCTACCGCCTGTAACTCGCCGCAAGCGTGACGGATTGCCTCGGAAACCACATCGATATTGACCGGGTCGAAAACCTCGAAATGATTTCCAGGGATATCCACCCATGGGACAGCCGAGCGAGTCACTGTTTCCCAACCCATCACAGCCGTCTTCGGGTCTGAGCGATCTTGGAGCCAGGGATTCTCGATCCATTCTGGATTCGCGAGGTCTTTCCATCCCTGACTCGAGCGCAAGAGAAACACGCGGGGCACCGGGCGCGTCTCGGGCGGGGCCGGAGTAAAGGCACCAAGGAGGCTGGCACAGGCTCTAAAGTGACGCCGGGTCAGAGACCGGATCGCCTGGGCAGTCTCCGCCACGGCGGGTTTAGCGGCACCTGTCACCGCGTCGATGATGCGCGACGACAGCGGTTGATGATGGACCGGAGGAGGGGAATCAATCAGGATCGTGCCAACAACGCTATATCCCTGGTCTATCAGCCGGCGGGCGACTTCAAAGGCAACCACACCGCCAAACGACCAGCCTCCCAGCAAGTATGGCCCGGCGGCGGTGGCCGTGACCTCCCGGGCATATGCGTCGGCCATCTCCCCCAGACTAACCCACCCGTCGAAAGGATCTAAGAATTTGGGATCATGCAGCGCGTACACGGGTCGGTCCAACGAACGGAGGCGATGATAATGAGCACAAATACCACTGCCATCGTGGATCAGAAACAGAGGGGAGCGGGGCACACCAGTCGATTGCACGATTTCCGGCTGTTGATACAGGTGGAGGATCTGGGACACCTTGTCGATGGTGCTGGGGCTGAATAATACCTGCGAGTCGGCAGAACCCGCATTGATGGGGGTTGGGACAACCGTAGGGTTGGTCGAATCCGACGAATATGCTGTATCCAGAGACGAGACTGAGGAAGAGGAGGAAGAATGATCTTGTAACTGGGCTTGATGATCGTGTCCTAGGATCTAGAATAGAGGTATACATGAGATAATGGTTGCAATATTGAAGAATAACAACGGAGATATATGGACAGAAAGAAAGGAAACTATTTCTTGGACTCTTCTACCGATTACACCATTTGCAGGGCACCTACCAGCTTCTCAACATCACCGACCGTGCGACATTCGGAGAGCTCCGTGTACGATAGATCGCTGTTAAGGCCGATCTTCAACAGGCTGGACTCTAGTTCGAAGATCATAAGCGAATCGATGCCCAACGCTGCTAACTCAGAACTGGAGGTGATGCTATTCATGTCCCCACCGCATGTCTCAGCAATAATGGCACGGGTGAGCATCTGAATGTCACCACCTAAATCTATAGGAGAGCCCTCGCTAGGCGGCGTCCCTGGTTCTGAGCTGGGGGGTGTCTGAAGTTCTGAGATGGGGGGCGTCTCTACACCCTGGAGGCCGCCGCAGAGTCTCTCCACGTCCCCAACGGTGGAGCATTTCGCCAATGCTGAGATATCAAACTGAGCGTAGATTGGCAACAGCTGCGCTTCGAGCTCAATCATCAACAGGGAATCGAATCCAAGTGCCTCCAGATTCGAGTCGGCCGACAGAGACGCTGGATCCACGGCACATGTCTGAGCGATGAGGTTCCTAACGGCCCCTTTCGGCGGAGACGAGGCGACGGGCGGGAGTGGCCGAACATCCGCAACATTGGGACGAGTGATTGTCGACGGTGCCTGACGGATGGGTGCGGTAGTCCTGGCTCTCGACAGGTTTGACGTTCCCTGCCCTCTCTTCGAGGCGATACTGAACGCCTGGCGAACTTTCTCCAATTGGACGCACTGAAACACCATTCCCTTGAAAGCAGCCATTATTCCGCGCTCATCCATAGCTTGGACATCCGCCACAATGACACCCTCGGCTGGTAAGGAGATCATGGTGCAGTGGACATCGAACTGACCCCCAGACAAGGCCGGTTCACGGAGGACGATTGCGGACGCCACTTCCTTGCAGATTCCTGCCTCACTGGCCCCGATGGAGAGGTTGGCCACGAACCCAGCCACATGCAGCAGGACGTCCATGAAGACGGAGTTGGCCTTGGCCGGGGCCGACGGAGTGCCGGAGTATTTGCAACACGCATACGCTTCCCCGCCGTCGGGACTAATGCGAATGTACTGCGCCTGTTGGTATAACGCCGAATACGTGACCACCCGTGTGAATACATTCTCGTAGAGGGCCTTGGTTGAGAACGTTTCTAGGATGGCGTTTGGCTCTGGATGCACGAATCGGTCGATCGAACGATGCATCAGGTGCGCCTTTCGGGTGTATTTCTGCTCTATCGCTCTCCGGTCCTTGCGCCTGAGGTGGCCCTTGCAGTGCGCGCTGCGGTGATTGGGGTTCGAGGCATCGGGGATGGACGAGATCTCAAACTTCCAATCCTGACCGACTGGAACCATCTCAATGCGGACCGCAGCAGTGGACTGGCTCGTGTAGAGCAAAGGACCGACGTATGATATGTCCACCAGGGACCACGCGTACCCCGCTGTACTATCCGGATCTATGTCATTTATGGCTGATAATGCCATCTGGTGGTACACCGAAGCCGGACAGAGGGCATGATCACACACCACATGGCCAGTGATGAACTCTTTGAGAGATTGGATGCATGTCTCATAGATAGCGGTAAAGCCATTGGATTCGCACGCTCTTTGAACCGTCCGGCCAAGGAAGACATTGCTGGACACTGGATCCAGAATTTGATCGGCCAGGACTGTCTGCCGTTCCCCGGTTTCGTGTGGATATGACACCACATACTCTGATTGGAAAAAGGGCAACCCGGGGAGGTTTACAAGACGAGCGGGATCTTGGAATGTAAACGCTTGACGCCAGTCGATCGACTCCGCAGTCCGATAGAAATGGCTCAGGAGCTGTGATAACGTGGAAGAGGGCGAAACTCCCTTCCTCAGGCAGGGCAACAGAGTCGCCGAAGGGGTAGGGACCTGCGCAGCGATCATTGGCAGAAGCGAGGCGTGCGGTCCAACTTCCACCCAGTGGGCCGTCGCTGAGTGCGCGTCCGCAGCCAAAAAGTCCTTCAGCCCCTGCTGAAACGCCACGGTTTCGCGGGAATGACGTGTGAAATACCCTGGTGTGAACACCTTCTCTCCCTCCCTCACGGTACGCCCCAGGACATTTGAGATCACTGGCACAGAGGGCGACCGCAGGGGCACCGTGCTGGCGTACTCCTCCAACTCGGGCAGGATGGCGTCCATCGCTTCGGTATGGTATGCCAGGGGTACATCGAGTAGTTTGCTCTTACCCTTGCCAGCGCTAGTAATGTCCTGCTTGAAGGCCTGCAGCTGCGAAACGGGGCCCCCAACTACGCAGTCGGTGGGACTGTTGTCGCAGGCGATGCTCAGTTGTCCAAAGCGATCGTCGCTTTCAATCATCGACTGCACATCGGAGGACCCGATATTGACGGCCAGCATCGAGGTCTTCTGTGGTTCGCAGTGAGTCATCATGAGTTGAGCACGACGAGCCACCAGAAGACAACCGCTTGCAACATCCAATACCCCGGCCGTCACCAAGGCCGCATACTCACCAAGGCTGTTATGAGATATTAGTATTATCATACAAAGGCAAGGGGTCAACGCTTGACAGCATACCTGTGCCCAATAACTGCGCTCGGTCGAATCTTCCAGGAGATTAGAAGCTGAGCCAAGGCAACCTCGAGTGCATATATTGCCGATTGGAACGACTGAAGCTGCACGGTACTATTACCGCTCGGTTGGTCCGCCACTTGAGGGCTAATGACATCTAGACAGCCGGGAAAACCATTCTCCCTCAGGATCTGATCACAACGGTGCACAGTTTTGGCGAAGACGGGGTAGATGGACATGAGCTCATGGCCCATCCCCAGATACTGCGACCCTTGTCCCGAGAAGACAAAGACTATCTGAGGCTGGGGGACATTGGAAATATGGTGAGGCTCGGCAGTCTCGAGGTTTCTGATCAGTGTTTGAACCGAATCCGCGGTAACCGACAGGCGGACATTGTAGAGTTGGCGGCGCGCAGTCATAGTGTAACAGATATCCGCCAGGGACAAGGAGGATCCTGTAGCGAGGGAACCAGCCAAGCTGGCAATCAGGTCTTCACGAAGTTTCAGGAGGACTTTAGCGTTCTTTGCCGACAGACCCAGAACATACGACTGGCTCTCATCCTGGGCGATGCAATGGACAGGAGCGATGTACTCCTGCAGGATCATCGCTGCATTTGAGCCCGCGGCGCCGAAGTTGTTGATGAGCGCCAGTCGTGCCTGGTCTCCTGTGGGATTCCACCGAGCGCCATCTCGGCTAATCACTGCTCCATCCTTCCCTAAATCCTCAATCTTGGGATTCAACGTCTTTAGAGAAATTTGCGGTGGGATCTTGCCGTATCGCATCATGAGGATGGTCTTGGCCAGGGCGGCTGCTCCGGATGCCGCCTCACAATGGCCAATATTGGCTTTGATGGACGTAAAATACACTGTATTCCGGGCATCACGGCCGCTGCAGAATGCGTTCCGCAGACTTTCAACCTCATTCGGGTCGCCTGCTTGGGTCCTGGACAATCGTCAGTGAAGGCGACATATAAACACTAATTACCTTACTAAGTACTTACCCTGTCCCATGTGTTTCAACAACGGTAATCTGCCACCCCCGATTAATACATAAATTTGGAACGAGGAGTATATAGACGTACCTGATGTGGATGAATCTTGGTTTTGTGGCACAGCCGCTGAAAGAGCTGCTCCTGTGTCGGGGCGTGAGGATGGGTAATCGAATGGGCATTTCCACTCTGGTTCACTTCCACCCCTTTGATAACGGCGTGGATCCGATCACCTTCAACCAGTGCGTCGCGCATCTTCTTGACGACGAAGACGCCACAGCCTTCAGAACGGGAATAACCGTCCGCGGACGCATCAAATGCTTTGCACTGGCCGGTGGGACTGAGGAAATGCGCGCGATCAAGACCGAGATACATCTGCAAGCAATCAGTGCGTGGAAACAAATGGAACATCTGCAGAAAAGAAGTTACATACATCCGGACTTGATATCACGTTGACGCCGCCAACCAGCGCCGCTCGACAGTCGCCAGCAGCCAATGCTCGTACAGCCTGGTGAAGCGCCACCATGGACGACGAGCATGCGGTATCCAACGTCATCGATGGGCCGCTCCAGCCGAAGTAGTAAGAGATCCGGCCACTCTGGAAAGCACGAAGGGTTCCTGCGAAGGCTAATGAGCCACCAACCCCAGAGTACAGGACATAAGAACGGGTACAAACCTGGACTGTAGTAGACGTCAATCTCCGGGCGGAGGTTATCGGTGTAGTCGAGGGTCGCGTTGCCGATAAAGCATCCAAAGGTGTCACGGGCAAACGACGGAGTGGAATCGGGAACGTATCCCGCATTTTCAAGGGCGCGATATGCCGTCTGCAGCAACACACGCTGCTGCGGATCGATTGACCGAGCCTCCCGCGGAGAGATATCAAAAAGATCATTGTCGAACAGGAACGGGTTCTTCAAGAAGTTGCCGTATCGGGTGTTTATTGACCGTTTGGCCCGGCTGCCATGCTCGTCCTTTTTCCCAAAGAAGTCATCCACGTGGAATCGAGAGGCAGGAATCTGGTGTGCCAGGTCATTAGTATTAAGGTATCTGCATTCCATCTTCGCATCTCTGGACTACTTACCTCCGTACAGGAATCAACGCCATTGCAAAGATTCTCCCATAGCTCGTCCTCGTCCTGTGCGCCGGGTAGTTCAACATCCATGCCTACGATGGCTATGTCATCTAAGGAGATACGAGATCCTTCGCTTGCGGGCATGCGGGATACTCCCATGGCCGAGACATCTCGAATCTCCACCCATGTTGGCATCGGCCGGAGCGACTTCGACATGCCATATCCGGGACCAAAGTTTAAAATTTGGCACGGTCTGGAATCCACGGACTTCTGAAGATCAGACAGCATGGCATCTTGGACGGACACCCAGTCCACCGGCTCCAGGAGGATCATTTCCAAGAGAAGAGCAACCAACTGTCCCAGGGTGGCAGGGCCATCTAAGTCGCCAACACAGTCCACAGGCGCCCCGGCAACTGTAGAAAAGAACGGTACCACCAGAGTAATGGGTACGTTCCACTGCGAAGACAACTCCTGTTCCACACTATTCATTGTTTGCTGGAAGACGTCAAACAATCGATCACGATTATGGTACAAGGTGAGCACATTTGTCGGGCGCGTCCTACAGTGGGAAGGGAGTTTCTCGTGGATGAATTGTGCCAGTTGATCTCCTCTCCCACTCAGTGTCACGCACGTGGGTGACATTTTGGCGCTGACGTACACGGGGGCATCAGAATTCTGTTCAATAGATCAGCATAATCCGTACCTCTGTTGCTTCTCCTGTTCATCCTACAAGGAAGAGGAGGACTTAATCACGTACTCTTCCATTGTCCGCTGGTCTTGTGATATCATCGGAAAAATTGTCCACTACGACGCTCCACGGCAAACTCGTAGAGCTGTTACCGCGAGTGGCCTGTGCCCTGCGATATGTTTCGGAGTTTATACCAACCCATAGAGCAACTTGGAATAGGTCCTGTGCTCGCTGAAGAAATTGGACAAGGCTGTGAGTGGATGCGATTGCTGCTGCAGGCAACACGCCGACACAAAAGCCAGCTACCCCTCGCAGGTGAGATAACTCCCGAGACTGTCGCAGATATCGGACAATCTGGACTAGATAAATGGTTGTATGCTGGAGGACAACGCTCTGATGATAGCTTGGAGGGGGGCGCAAAAGTGTCTCGGGCTCTGTGAAGTCGTCTAAATCGATCGCATCAACGGCAAGGCGGCCTTGCCTCATGGCTGTAGCAATTTGTGTCCGGAAGCATGCGTGACATGCCTGCAGAATGATCTGGGACTCAGGTAGAGAAGCATCTTGGATTGCCGTGTCTAAGGTGACCTGAGAGAACAGCGACTCAGATCCAAGTCCGGCGAATACTGCCACGTAGTCCATGTTGAAGGACAGAATGTAAGCCTGGTAGTTTAAGATTGCTCAAATGGAATGAGTGGTATGTCCACATTGGTTAAATAGCTACCAGTGACAATGGAGCCTCGGCGACTTTGGAATCCTGCATGGCTATCACTAGCCACAATCCACACATGGCGTCGACAGTATCGGACGAATGGAACAATAGGCCGTTATGCAACGGAGAACACCATGGCGATCTGAACGCCCTATGGCTGTATAGAGGAGCGAAACTCCGTCATCAAGTCGACGGGCATAGCATTGTGGGTAAAATTGCCTATTTTTGGGTACGCCACGCGCGAAGCATGGATTGCCGTAATACGAGCCCCGATATCAACCACTCGGCGGATACTACGGGGCTTCTTTTCTGTCGGGAATTGCGTGCAGTCCTAATATTCCCGAATCGGACTGAGTCTTACGCCGCATGCCGTCTGGACATGCAATTCCCGTCCGGTCATATATCACACTTCCACCACTGTCGCGCCCTAGTATAGGGTCGTATTCATCCTTCGATTTCCCACCATGGCTGCTCCCGAGATCCAGAACGGTGACCAGTCCGTTGGCTTCCAATTGCACCTGGTCATCGTTGGGGCCGGGCTCGCCGGACTGGCTGCTGCTATCAGTGCCCGCCTGGAGGGCCATCGCGTTACGCTGCTCGAGCGAGCCGACCAGTTAGTGGAGGTGGGTGCTGGGCTACAAGTCACCCCCAATGCCACTCGCCTGTTCCATCGCTGGGGGGTATTCGATGAGCTGCGCTCCAAAGCCGCCGTCCCGTCCTATCTGGCGGTGCGACGGTACGACGGTAGTCGTCTACTAGCCTACGAGGATCGATTCCAGGAGAAGATCATTCAGAGCTACGACGCGCCATTCTGGGACCTCCATCGCGCGGATCTACAACTAGCGCTGGTGCATCGCGCCCAGTCCCTCGGCGTCAACATCCGCCTCGGTGCGGACGTGGCGGAGGTTGACCCCCAGCGCATCATTGTGACCACCAAGAGTGGCGAGAGGGTGCAAGGGGATCTCATCTTGGGGGCCGACGGTCTATGGTCGCGCACGCGAAATGTCTTGGTGCAGCCACCGTTGATGCCGAAGCCCACGGGTGATCTTGCATACCGCATCATCCTTGACCTGGAGGATATCAAGGATCCGGAGCTACAGAAGTTAGTATCGAACCCGTCCGTGAATTTCTGGGTCGGTCCACACTCTCATGTAGTGGGCTACTCCGTGCGACAAGGCCGCACATACAATCTGGTCCTTCTGCGTCCCGATGATCTGCCAAAGGATGTCCCTCGGGCTTCAGCCAACGTGGAGGAAATGCGAAGCCTCTTTGAGAACTGGGATCCTACGTGGGTTGAGCATCCCTATGCGCGACTGTCCACTACTAATCGGAATAATATTGCAGCCTACGTAGGTTACTGGAATGCGTGAGTAAGGTGGAGAAATGGCGACTAATGAACAGTAATTATGCCCCAGCTCTTCACTTTGAAACAGTGTGGAATAGGATGCATTTCTGATGCTTTTTTGCGATTAGTTTCCACTCTCGACACCTGGGCGAACAGTGAGGGCACCTTTCTACTGGCGTGAGTCCTACACTGTACTCTTTGGATTTTCTTGCTGATACTTGAGCCTAGCGGCGATGCATGTCATCCGATGCTTCCATACCTTGCACAAGGCGCCAATTCCTCCCTAGAGGACGGTGCCGTCCTCGGTCGGTTGCTCAAATACGTGACTAGTCGTGAGAAGCTTCCCTCGGCGCTCGAGATGTATCAGCAGCTGCGAAAGTCTCGAGGGGAGACCATCGCAAAGGAAGCATTAGAACAGGTTGGTTTGGTTTAATCCCAGTCCATGTCTCGAGTCAATGGGTATGCAGTCCTAATGGGCGGTTTAGAGAGCTTCATTTCATATGGAAGACGGCCCTCTGCAGGAGGAGCGCGATGCCATATTCCTGGAAAACCTAGGCAAAGTGCCCGATTGCCAATTTCCGAGCCGTTGGTAAGAGAAGTCGCTTTGATCCATGACCCTGTCAAACTAACCAGTATTTCCATCTTAGGACTTGCCCTTCTGTACAGCCCTGGCTGTATGGCTACGACGCTGTGGCCGAGGCAGATAAGGCTTACAAAGCGCATCCTTTTTAAAATGATTTACAAATGGGACGGGGGAGATACGCAAGAGACATGCAAATCAACATCAATTTAGGAAGAAACTGTACATTTAGAAATATTATTCAAATAACACCCATTGCCATGCTGTGACTCTCTCCAAGGCTGTTGTACCACAATAATCCAGGAAATGTGTGTTTTGTTTCACATCCACATATGGCAGATCATTCGAACATTCCTGTGCATCTGCTTGATAGGCCGCAGACTTCGATACTCGTCAACAACAACTAGCCCTTCTCATCCAGGTACTGGCACGGGCAAAACATAAGCATTAGGGATGATCGGGAAACCGGTATGGGCCTCGTGTTCGGTGCCCTAGAGTCACTACATCCACTTCTGGTGCAGGATTCTGCGCTAAATGTGCGCCACTTTAGCTCATTTTACTCAAATTTTGGGGGCCTTCCCATGGTAATTTCCAACTCGAGGCTAGTGCATGGGATACACCAGTTCCTCATACTCTGCATCGCCATCCAGCGCTTTTTTTTTTTTTTATCTCGCCGGGAACGGCAGCAACCTACTCCTGCACAGTGTCGGTGCATAATCAACGAATTAGCACGGTAGCGATCTCCAGAGTTAATTTCATTGATTAGTCTAATAAAGTGCTCCAGTTCAGAACGTGGAACCTCTCGAAATCTCGTCGTTCCATACCCGAGTCACATCTTTAATCTCCGGATCAAAAAACTAAGCGTCACTCCAGTAAACGCCGCCGGTGAAACGAGATTCGTGAAGGCCCAGTCGGGTGGAGATCAGGAGAATCAAGTTCATGGAGAATCGCCAGCCAAGATTCTAATCCCAATCGGGTCAATATGAAGTGGATTTCCGGTCACCGCAGTGCATTTTCTCGGGGTAGAAGATCCGCCACTTATCATTGCCGGTTCGCTATTGTCAGCCCTAAGGAGCGCGATGGTGGATGTCGTTATCTTGGTCCTATGCACTGAGACCAACCCCCGGTGGCTGGGATGCAGCAGATAGTGAAAAGAACCTCATGACCGAATAGCCATTTCCAGCCAAAGGCGGCCATAAGGATGAATGACGGCAAACCCACCCACACTAGTGCCGGCTGGCCGTCTTCCTATCAATTCGTATCTGCCGTAGCTTACCACCATGGAGAGTGTCCTGGAAGAGGAATGGATTCTCATCCAGGCCGATTACGATGAAGATGTTGGTTTGATTGGATGTCAGTGCATCATCACAACTAGAGCGCCGAAAATTTCCGTGTCTTTATTTGTCCGAGAAGGTTTTCGGGGTGTATACTGCCAACTGATAAGCCAGAAAATCTCATAGACTTTTGGAAATATGAGGGCAAGAATTGATTCGCTATGGGTTTGTGCAAGCTCCACTCGGACATCAAAGCCCTTGAACCTCCTGTTCTGATGGAATGGTTTACCTAGTATTTTAGTTATTTCAGAAACGCTATTGTCGAAAATACTCTAGACTTGTATGTCTGCCAGAACTCCGGTCAATCTCAATACTCTAAATTCACCGTGGGCCAGCTGCCACATTTTGGCTACATTCAGCTCCTCAAGACCTGATATTTGTCAAGACAGGTCCTCATCAGATAGGATATTAGCGGAACTGGTGGCTCGCGTTGCGACTGCTCCCCATGACTCCCCATCGTTAGATGTTGATTCTGTCCCCGCATTTGCTGAGGCGGCCAATGCAATTTCTATTCCCTGAGACACGAAACTCTTTGACCATATCCAGCGTGATACTGGAGAGAGTGACAGCAAGTCATCTCGGCTCAGTGTCTGTCTCCGCGGCTTTCATGCTGCAAACCGTTGCTGCTATTCAATAGATCGGCTAGTTTAACGACAGAGACATGGACAGACCGTGTATTATAGCTGAAAAAACTTCGACGGCTACTTTGTGCCCAGGTGAAATTGTCATCTGCGAGGGCGATGGATCCGGAGGCTTGAATCGATAGTGGGCAAGAGGAAGCTCCCCTCGTTCCGTATCACATCTCTAGGTCAGATCTCTATATCCCCTTGAATCAAATGGCCGGCGTATGCTGAGTGGGTTGAACAAGTTTGGCCGTATGCTCGTCACCGGACTCATCGAGCCCCGGTGTTGGAGACCCTGGATCATCCCGAGGATGGTGCGGCCTATGGTAGGCAGGGACCATTCATTACCATTTCCTGCCTCCAGATAGCACTGAGGATATGGTAGTAATCATCTCGGATGTTATGCTTAACTCCTAGCTAAAGAGCTGTTGAGGAATTGTTGCAGATTATTTATATGTAGTTCGTAACAATACCTCTTCCATCAGCCCGATCAAATATTACTCCAATACCGGTATGGTATGTGTAATGATGATCTTTTCGACTAAGAGGAACAGACGGATCCTATTGAACGTCGAGTTCTTCATATTCCGCTTTCATTTTGCTTTTTTATCCCACTTCTTCTAAGATGACGCTGCTGACATGAGTCTAAGAGACTTGCAATGTTTGTCTCCTCGTAGCCGGTTCACTGAGGTGTGACTCTGGACCATTCGGCGGCAGGATCAGTGGCAGTGCAGAGGCGCATACGGCCAGCAAGAGCCCGTGTGTTGGATCCTAGAGGGACTGCAATTGCAATTATAGAAACACGCCCCAATGTTGCTTACCTGTTTCGAATAAATGGTTTATCCTGGCCCTGAAGATCAACTCTTCCAATTCCTTCCTATTTATCTGTCCCATTCAGGAATCTGGGCATGCAATATCTCCCTAAAAACCCATACTAAGACATCTGCGTGCAGCCTCGTTACTCTATTATTAGATATTCGAATTATTCATTTCTATGTCTGTATAGTATGTTTGTTTTAGTGATGATCTCTCGTCCGGGCCTAAGGCAACCCATCCACAGGCGGACGCAAACAAAAGCAATATTTCCAACATCTTTCGTGCAGATCATCATCCATTTAAGGGAAAGCTAGTACAATCCATGCAGATCAATGTGTTGGATAAGCCAACAGGTGTTCGATCGAATAACCTTAACAAGCGGTGTGTTCATCCATTCTGAGACATCTGCGCAAGACTGGATAGAATATTGATGTTGATTTCAGCTCCCTGAGCAAGCAATTGATTTCATTTTGCTTTTTCCTGTCTCACTTTTTTTTTGATTGACATATTTTTAGCACTCTATGAGAGCGACAAAATGTTGTCCTGCCAGACATGCAACGGAGTTCGAAATATAAAAGGCGTCGTCCGATGCCACACATCCCCCCCATTCAACAATAATTCGAATCCAGCAGTCAACTACTAGATCGATTACGCACCGTCTTCTACTTACCTTTGCAAACCAAGAGTCGATTCTTCAAAATGAAATTCCTTACCGCTGCTACCCTCCTCACTATTGCCAGCTCCACCGTTGCAGCTCCGGCACTCGTTAAGGATGTCCAGCCCCTGCAAATCAAGGATCTCAACATGAGGTACAACAAGGGCATCAGTATGGTACAGGTTAATTTTGACCTGTATGACCCGAACAACCAGGACCACAACGCCAACTCATTTCACTGCGCTGTTAACTTGTACGTAGCCACTTCAATCCATGGGCTCTCCTGCCTTGATGGAAAATACTAATCATGTTGAAAAGGGAACCCAACCGCCCTGAGAACAGAAACATCGACAAGCCTTGCGACAACACTCAGTACGACTTTGGCTTCCCGAGCGATGTGAAGAACATCCGGGATGTGAACTTAAAGATTAGGAACCTTGGCGCCAGTCCGTTCTGGGGGGCAAGGGCGATCTCAGCCGAAGTCCCTGGATCTTCCTGGCAATGCTATGATAACAACACCATTCCAGCCAGCCCGTACACGTCTTGCAGCTGGGCAGGTATCATGGAGTTTGATGTCTCCGCCGAGTAGTGGGTGAAGGTATTAGGCATACTAATATATTTGTCAATATTCGATCTTTTTTGGGTCATTTATCAGTTTAGAGTTAGATAGATTCGATCGAATGTCAGAAAGTACTAAAGAATACACACCTCCTTCACCAACAAACTATATATAGCTACCAGCGAAACTCCACTAGGCTAAAAATGGCACTGGCCCTAGATAGACAAATTTTTTGGTATCTATGAGTAAGTGATCATGCTATGTGAAATTAGGACTCTAAATGCAAACGTTTCTCCGGACGGGTAGTGTATTTTCACGTCTAATGGATGGCTTGTATGAAGTCTAGGATTCCCTGGATCACTCGCAATATCTGCCCATTCTATAGAGCTGAGTATTTCTCGCGATAGCCAGTGCTGCACATTTCTAATGGTGCCAACCGCGACTTGGTATTTGTCAGACATTTTTAGATTAGGGAGTCTCAGCCAAATTGCAGTGAGAACGTTCCATTCGTCCCTGTCGGGCTTCCAGGAAGCGAGATTTCGGAAGTTGAAATCGTATATATAAAACTCCACCAGATGGCCCACTGTTACTTTACTGTTGACATTCGTCCGGTTGCCCGCAGTGATTCCCAACTTGGGCAATCAAATATTGGCCAAGTTGCTCGATATCCGAATTACATATTGAGAAGCATTCAACATGCGAGCTGGTGGTCAAAGAAGAAACTATGCTCTCATAGCGTTGTCCACACGGACCTCCGACCGAATAATATCTTATGGAACGCTGAGTTGAAACGGGCCTTATTATCGACTTCCACCGATGCGTACTGGACCACTGACCAATGCACAGAACAGTTCTGTCTCTTAAGAGACGATCGTGCGAGACCGAAGGACCGGAACAAAAAAGAGTGCGTGTGGTGTGAGAGTAAAAGGCCTCGGACGTCTTAAGATTCCAGGGTGTAATAAAGAAATTTATCCTTCAGCAATCCTGTAAATTCTTTATGTACATTCTATGGGCCCTCTTTCCACACATTATTATTCCAAGGATAGGGCGGGAATATCAGACTTGACTCCCTGTGGAACAAATGATTCGGATTAACTAAACTTGGAACTTAAATTAACATGGTACCATAAGTTTAGTATGGAGAGCTTAAGCCTATGTTCAGCAACTGGAGTTCTCTTGAGACATCCAGGCGGGCTCTCCACCACGGGGACTCAATTCTTATGTCTCCTGCGTTGCTTGCGTTCTCTGCATTCTTCCTCCCTGAAAGTGACCTTCCTGCTAGAAATTCCGTCCAGAATAACTCTATCTACAATGCGGCCAATGCAGCTAAGTATCTGCACTTGAGCAGTTGACAAAGAGTGAAGTCGATTGTCGTGCAACCAACTGTCGAAAGATTGGAAAGCTAACCCTGGTACCAAATGTACAGAGATAGAGATAGAGTCATACGGTATAAATTCCGATCGGGGGCCACTCTCTATGTAATCGAATACAGCATGGTCGACCTTTGACTGCTTCCTGAATTCCGGGATAAGATGACGGAGGTTGTCAAACGCTAGTTGAAGCAGGGCGTAAGTGTTGTTCGCAAAAATATCCAATTCCACTTCTGGGCATGAGATAATTTCAGGTCCTACAGTTAGAACGTGTTAGCTAGTGTAAAGCATATAAATAGCGTCAAGGGATTTTTACTGTACATCTTGTTGACTGGACTTTGCTTGCTTCAACCCCTGCTTTCCAGAAGACACTTTGTCAAGCGTTGTTGATCAATCGGCAATTCTTTTCATAGTCGGAGCCGAGAAGTGCGAGACCACTCTTTCAAAATTGTTGGAGTTTAGGGATGAAGATGGGGGACTTTCCATTTATACGCCAGGGAGCTTAGTTGGCAACCTAGCATCTCAAAGCCAATTTTTCGCCGAAGAGCAGATTGGCTAAATGGCCCTGCAAATGAGCCGGGTTTTTCTGGGAGACTTCCGGCCTTGCCAAGCCGAAAAATCATATTAAGTGATAGCATGCCACTATATTATGTTCCTCAAGTGACCTCCTACTTAATCAAGCAAGTATGAGTCTTCCAGTGGTGGTCATACTTGGTGGCATTGTGTGGCGGAACTATGGAACCGTCGACCAATATTGGGTGAAAGCGGGTAAGGCAGTTCGCGCCGTAGTAGGTATTAAGGGACTGTAAATTTTAGATTCCCGAGGTGCATTTCGTATTTGTTTCCTTCGGTGGCAGATGAAAAGAAAGGGAAGGCAGCCAATGGCGTTATGTTAGAAGGGTTTCTAGACGAGCGGATATTGGTTGGATTCTCACTTAAGCTTTATAAAAGATATCGTTGTGATATACCCTGCCCTATTCGTACCATCGGAGGACTTAGGCTTGTCCTTTGGATAGAGAAATTCACTTGTTGAATACCAAGCGAATATAGATAAAAGGCCGGGAATATCATCCATCCCACTGTGGTATTGGGTGAGGAAAGATTCTAACTCTGGGGAGCCCTGTTAAAGTTTAGAAACCTGGCCCTTCAAGTGGGAAGGCCACCCTTGTGACTGTTATAGTTCCACTCCCAGCAGCTTGGACTCAAGATTTAGATTGATAAATCTAGTATTTTATGCACTGCAACTCAAGGCACCTACTGAGAGCTCTAGTATAGTATCTAAGGCTTCCGATTGTAATCTTTACAGCATGGGGGAAGTATACTGAAGCAGGAGGAAGTAATTATATTATCTCATGGACGTTTTATTTACGTGATTATAAAGTTGCAAATAGGCCAGATATCTATATAGTTATCTGTACACCTTTGCATCCCCGCAATATTAGGTGCAATGTATGGTCAGGCAACTATTCCAAAATTCTTCTCTATGGGAACAAACTGGGGATCCACTTTATGTTGTAGTTTCCTACATGCTATATCCTGGCCTAGCTCCTTGACTTTATTTCCCTTCAGGATCAGACCTTGAGCCATTGTCTTCTGATGCTCTATTATATGATTATATCCTGTAGCATGGACTTCAGCAACAGGGTTGTTTTTTCTAAATCTTGAAGATCGCTATTGTAAATATTAGTTTAAAACTGCTGATAAAGCTTGTTCATTGGCACACAGGCCTTCTTAGCGCCATTAAATAAATATTCTTTACTTTCCTTTAAGTGGGTATGAGTAGCTATCAGTCTTAGAATAGGGATTTACCAGATTTTCCGCCATCTCCTGTCCTTGACAACTTCCAAAGCTTGTGGAATATCTCTTGTGAACCATAATATTACTCGTATTCGCAAGTATCGATCCTTCATTGAATTAGGTCTCTGATTCAACTAAACTACCAAAACATCTCGCGTTTATAAAGGCGATGTAACATTGTAAACAAATGGAGAATGTGAACTAACTAATATAGGAAATATACGCGATCTGATGATGTTGTAGCCTGTCATCGAACAACATTTGACCCAGAAAGGTGCTGAATAATTGTCAGATATACGGCTAATCCCGAAGAGGAAATAGAGTACGATTGGTAAAAAGGTCTTATTTAAATGAATTGAGCTGGTTGGGCTCTTCTTGATTATTCTTCTTGGTTCTTCTTGATTGATTATTTTGTTGTGTGCTCCACGGGGGTTTTACCCCGATCCAGTCACATGATTCTGGTCCACCAACGGCCATATTATTTGACAATAATCAATAATACCATTAAAAGTTAACTTAGTTAGTATACACACTTAGTTATTAACTGGTTATTGTCGACATACCCAGGGTACCAAAGCCCTCAGCCGGGATCTCTCTATAGGCGAGATTGACCTCCCAGTTAGTCCAAATATATAATCTGAACACATAAATATCGAAAAACGCAAGTAAAAAGCTGTATTCATTGATCGCCAGAAGACTATCTGATGACCTGAAGAGAGGAAACAACATATCAGAGGGGGAAGTAATCACCGGGCAGTGCGCCGCGGCAGTATCTGGGCCACTTTCATCGAAAACTACCATGGGGTGTCCGGTATTGTTTCGCTCCATGTCCGGCTACATTGTGAAGAAACTTCATGATTAATTTTATTTCGTCAAAGAACAAATACATCTATTGCATGACTGCTGTATGAAATAAAAAGGGTATGTATGAATGAGGAAAAAAAAAAAATGTAAAGGGCCCGAACCGCGATTCGAACGCGGGACCTCTCGCATTTAAGGTATTAACTATCCCGAAGCGAGAATCATACCTCTAGACCATCCGGGCGTATATTAAATTTTTCTTCGCCAGAATGCTTCCATAGACCATTCAAACACTTTCAGCCTAAATCACCTCTGTATGTTTCCTTTCAATAACTAAAGCTTACAATTGGTTTTGAACACTATGAGGTAAGTAACAAGTATGGCATGGCATGATCATTGAGTGAATATTTACAATTAAACCCACTGTCTAGCTATGTAGAGATCCAGGAGAAGCTACGCGAGTCCAGTACACTATAGAACCAAGTGGCACTGTGGCAGTTAAAAAAATGGAATCTAAGGAGCACTCTTAAGATATCATTTAAGAGCCTGATTATCGGGCCATGGAACAAAGGTAGAGGAGCAGAAATTTTCCCGAGTGCTGGGATATTAATCAAAATTGCTGCAGCTTTATTTGGCCTGTGTGATGGTTTGGTTGTCTCTGCGCTAGTAGAGATAAAACCACTTGACCATATAAAAAGGTACAAGATGACTGATCGAAGATCAGTCGCATCTAGCGCCCTATAAAGGAGCGAAGGCCATGCCTGAGCAATACATTGGGTTCAACCCTTGACAGCCTGTCGGTTAACTTAACTTTATCTAGATGGGTGACTAAGAGAGGCCGCTAGACCATAACTAGTTACACTAACATTATACGAAAATCATGTGACTTTGAATGACTGCAGATATAAAGCAGTTTTCTGGAAATTTATTACATCATAGCCCGGATGGTCTAGAGGTATGATTCTCGCTTCGGGATAATAAATACCTTAAATGCGAGAGGTCCCGCGTTCGAATCGCGGTTCGGGCCTCCTTCCCTTTTTTCGTTCATATATTATATATATATGGCTATTTTTGCTTCATTGCATCTATCTGGATAGATAATGAATAGCATCAATCCACAGTGACCGAAAATGCACCGTGTATCCAGTCTACATGAGAGGATCTTCTGCTAAAAGCGGTTTGATATCACTCATAAGCCAGGGGGTTATTGTAAAGTCCCGCCTGATCAGAAATAACCTAAGGAAGATGTAAATAGCGGTCCGCTTCTGTTCTATATATGTTTTGGTACTAATATTTTAAACCTACCTGTTCTATTTGACCCCCCAAAGTATGTAAGAAATTGCCCTTCGTTCTCTCCAAAACAGTCACAATGCGCTTGCGATTACGCAGGACACTGCGGTTTCAATCCCATAATATAAACGTTTCCAGTTGCACTCCAATGTCCCGGAATTATTGATTCCTCATCCTCCGCCATCATCTCGTGGTAAGCATATGTCGCCAGTATGAGGCTGGGTGAGCGTGTGCCCAATGAGGAAATGCCTACATTAGTAGCCGAACCTCTCGCGCGGCGCCGAGGAAACTAATGAGTATCGGGGTCAGCTCTGGAGGCAAGTAGATTCCCGCGGCACTGAACTCTGGTCGAAGCACCCTGGAAGAGACACTCCACAACCTAAGTCCCCACTACCCGGTAGCGCAAGCTTTTGATGGAAAGACCTCTAAAGACCAAGTACTGCCTTTTCCACGCAGGGGACACATCTTTTTTAAGATTTTCCGCAGCAGATAGCCTCCTACATAGAAAAAAAATTTCTATAATGCAATCATCTCTTAGTACAATGGTGTTGGTGGTAGTGGTGGTGGTGGTGAATTCATACATCTCTCAGGAGGTATCGCAAAATTCTATCTTGAGCACCAGGTGGAATTTTGCTGTTTTCGCAAATCTTTTGTCTCATGTTGTACGATAATGTAACCACAAAACCATGCCTTCAACTTATAATGTCTCGAAATTCAATTTTCACAGTTGTAGAAGTACTTTACTGGGCCCGTGTTATGAAGTTGTGTGATCAATCGCTATATCATCTGTTTACGACACAAACCTTGATTTCAAAGCTTGGAAATTCGGAAACTAGCTGATTCTGCGAGTTCCCCGGCTGGAAACCCTGCAAAAGTATGTTCCCAGATTGATGTAAGTGATAAGTGTCGGCCCGACAAATATTACCTCTAGTACAAATTTGGTTGCCTAGAATAAAAATTCTCATTAAATTATAAAACTGTTTAAAGTCCTTCCTTGGGTGTAGTCAAAAAGCGTAAAGTGATAACACCATTTTCCTGAGCTACTTGATCGTTGGGTTCATGTAAAGGGCTGGAGCCCGTTTGGCCTCTCGAGCTAATTGTCCCTATTGTCCCTATTGTCCCTACAGGCCGTTTTGGCCCCATTGGCCCTCGATGTTAAGAGACCTACTGTATTCGGTATGGTCACATGGCCTCTCTTAGTCACCCTTCTAGATAACTAGTTGTCAGATATACGGCTAGTCCCGAAGAGGAAATAGAGTACGATTGGTAAAAAGGTCTTGTTTGAATGAATTGAGCTGGTTGGGCTCTTCTTGATTATTCTTCTTGGTTATTCTTTTTTTGATTATTTTGTTGTGTGCTCCGTGGGGGTTTTACCCGGATCTGGTCACATGATTCTGGTCCCTATGAGCCCTAGAATTGAAAATCGTGCCTCGCGAACATACTACTACTCCACACAGGTGTCACGATTAGACTTGTTAGGCCCGGCCCAACCCGCCAAGATATGGGCTGGGTTGTCCGATGCAATACCCGGTATGGGCGGGGTTACTTTTCCTGCGTGGCTGGCCTACGGGTTAACGGGTTAGCCCATGGGTTGCCAAGAGATAAAATACAGTAAATATATTACTGTATTAAGAGACTGTATTCTATCAAGAATGTACATCATTGCCTCATTATGAAATGATCTACAGCATTACGGGTGGTTCATATACTATTAGTATACATAATAAATCTCACGTCATCTCGATATGTTGCTGTTAAGCTATCAAGGTGCAACCGATCATACAACCAGCCCGCACACCGCCTTTGCCCGCTATGTAATCAGTACATAACGTTCACCTACAGCGGTTCGACCTCTACACTACGGAATATCGGTACGAGCATCGTCTCCTATTGGCATGGTGTCCATCGAACAACCCGAAGAAGACCACACCGTGGATAAAGTGCTTTGACTCTAGCTAGCCTTTTTGCTAGGTCACTACACCCACTCTATGAATTTAACTAGGATTCCTATTGCAAGGTTAATGTCTTCCATGCCTAAACCTCAATCTCAACCCTAGAACCTTCTCCCGATGCTTCCCGCTCTTCTTCTACCAGTAGCTCTTTGACATGCACATTTAGCCAATACTTTCTAAGCACCACGGCGTCAATGTTCCTGCTCCCTGAAATTACACCAAGACAGTTCTCCGACCCACACTCGCACCGGAACGGTTGCACCATAAACCATTCCGTGCTGGGATAGAAGAAGGTTAACTCGTCACCCACAAACAACGGTCTCTTTGCTGCTACACGGACCTCACACTTTGCCATGTCGAATTCAAGAGTTGGGGAGCAAGAGTGATTGCAATAAACCAGATCTGAATTCAGCTCGATGTTCGACCTCTTTCCAGTCTGAACTGAAGTGTACGTCTTGCAAGCAACAGGAATTGCGCTTGTGATTTTTGCAAATAGAGCACCAGCTGGCAATGCCACGAGGGAGTGGGCCCTGGATTTGTATGGCGCTCCCTTGACGACCAGGATAGAATCTGGGTGACTTGGTTGCGTCCAAGTTGGAACGAACTCGGTCATGGCGATTGATTTTGTATGGTGCCTAACTTCGGGAGGTTAGAAACCGTAGTCTCGTAAGGGAGTAAGCATGGGACTATATTACCTTGGTGTTCAACAAAATGTTCTCTGTTCCCATTCAAATGCTTCGAAATTTGCAAAGTAACTTCACTGTGCATCGAGCTTATACCGCGTTGAAGACAGTACTTGTTTACAACGGGGAAGTGCTTGATCCGTCGAATTTATAGCCCGGGCGATGCTGTTATGACTGCTGAGTACTGTTCGTTTTGCTAATTTGTATGCACATAGAAGCAGGTTTACAAATGCCACCAACAGCCCCTTGCGGGCAACATACTACAAATGTCCAGGCAGGTATGAAAGAAATATTGTCCGCCTTTTTAACTCAAGGCCAGCTTTCAGCCTTGGCCGCAATCAAAGTGGAGCAGCGCAAAACGTAAGGAATTCTGTTTTTGTCGATTTGGCCCCTTCTTCCTCGGGAATGTTTCTTTTCAAACATTTCCATAAGTACCTATAGTTAATAATGCAGCTATGGACTTGAAGGCCAGACCCCCTAGATAGAATCCAAGGTTCACCGAAGGCGCAGGCTTCAATTAGGTCCCATACCATACAGTGATCGATCCAGCACTCAGCTGCTCAAATCCCTACATTCCATCTCCTGTATCACATTATCGGCCAGCATATTTGCGATAACCCAGTGAAAATATACAAAATTTGGACACCATAATGCATATGAACTTACCGCAACAGCCTCTTCTAATGATAGTGTCATTCCTGCTATCTGTCTTGTGCCACTCAAGGTTCTGCATCAACAAGCGACAGTGATCTTATGGAGTCAGAAAAGCAAATTCTACTCTCCATATTGGACCAATTGCCCCCCTCGTGGCACCTGGCATAAGACCTCACAGGAACCGTGATTGCATGAGTGTTATCACCCTTGATTTTGCTCGAATCTACGCAGCTTATTGTTCCTGGGCTGTAAATGTTGGGCTCGTTGCATCCTGGTCTGACAAGTGTAACAAGCTTTCTCAATTTCAATTTAATGCTGTATACCGTGGGTTTGGGCGTTGTTTGAAGGATATAGAAATCAAGATATTCCTAAAGAGAGAAGCGCAACATCCAAACATATAATGGCAATGTTAACTGCTGTCAACTTGTATAGGGTCGGGATGCGCTTTGCCCCTGTAGGATTCTGGCTGTTTCGTAGATATAGATCCCAGATAACAGGATTTCTTGCCAAGACCAAGACAACTGCAGCCTTTCCATAATGCTACAGCCGCCAGCGAATTGAGTGGCGCTGTAAAGTTTATCTGTCGTAAGTCATTAGAATAACGCATACAAAATTACAATACAGTGCCTTGCTAACATGGTGGATTTGGAAGCAAACCAACGCAGCAGGTCACACGGATACCTATGGAAGAATTATGTATATCTCCAATCATTAAAGGCCAGATTCCACTCTTAGTTCCTTACAAACTTCCAGATCAATCCGTTCGCAGAGCCAAGAAAATGTCTTGACGATCGCCTCCTGCTTGAGAGCCCATTTCAATATACAGGAGCTATTTGAAGATTTTCTCGCGAGAAGCCCATCGAAAGTATGTATTTCCCAAATGATCAACATTTCATAGTATGATACTCTCTTCTTAGCCACCTTTATCATTAGCACTGAGGGTATCTCACCTCGCTTTTGGTCTCTCCGCCAACGCTATTTCTCACGGTGAATCGTCGTCCAAATCTCTGGCACCTTCCAAGGATCGTGTAAGGCATATAGCTCATCAGAACATTCGTGTTCCTTAGACTCCTGTGGGCATTCACGGCGTAGGTCACCAGTCATAGTCGCCCGATCATTTCATTCTTTTTCTTCAGTATACTTCCCGCGAAGGAAGTATGGAGTGTACCTGCCGAAGCTCCTTTGTCTCTTCTGCAGCGTCTGGGAAAAAGGCCCCAAGTGCTCCTAGATTAAATTAATGTCTAGCATGCTTGCTATTAGCACCTAACAGCGCTCATGCATGGCATATCCAAAGGGATCGTACTGCGGACAGCAGTAGCTATGTCTGTCTGGTGGGTTCCATGGAAGCCTCACAGTAGCGTTATGGAGCCCTCCAGGGATTCCCCAGCAACATCCCATCTCGATCCAGGGGAAGTTGTAACAATTCAAGACAATGTGGTGTTGCTAATCCAACTCCTGTTACGTTAAACGTGTGACAGGCCCCCCCTGCGTGACTATATTACTACGGAGGGTGATCAGCGGCTCACGTCCTTGCAGCCTACGTGCATAGTAGGAGCCCATGGCTCAGAAGAAATGGTTTCACTTCCACGGTAGTGAAAAGTAGAGCCTAGTGATATCGGAAGGATGTCCCTCCACGCACTCCTGTCGACGCATCTGGGCTTGCCAGTCGGCGTTTTCCTCGAAGACCCTAATAGACTGCCGGTGTAAGGGATAAGTATTCGTCTTCGCCATGAATCCGATCCCCACAGAGTGCATAGAAAGATTCTGGGGAATATGAAGCTGCGGAAGGCTTTCAGGGGTTCCATTTTTGTGTTCTCCAGTTCTAGGATGGGAGGGATATGGTTCGTCAAGGGAGAAGAGTGATCGAGAGGCCTCGGCGTCGTCATAGAGTCAGAGTGACGACACAGAAAAGCTACATGGAGATAAATATTGAACACTTCCATCTCTACAGAAATACCGATTGGATGAAAACGTACTGGGCGATTTTTATTTTGAATGGTTGGAACATGCCTTTGGAATACATAGATATTTATGCATCTCTCATCATGGCACTGGTTTGGTGGGCTGTTCATCACTCCATTCAACATAAAGTCCCAGACACCTGCTCATTCCAATGTATGCAAACAGTGCTCATTCACAGAGCAAGGCGACACAGTATTCCGAAACAGACCCAAGGGTGCCCCAAGCTTTATCACAACATCAATTCATCCAGTCAGTATCGTCTCTCTTGCCTACTCCTTCATATCATTAGCATTATTGTCGCTGGAGACGGTGTCCTCGCCCCTATCGGAGCACGCCTGGACCACCTGCAACTTGCCCATGGAACGAGCCACCCGAACGGGGTCGAATATAGACTTCGACTGTGCGAAGATCTCGTCGATCTCCTCCAACGAGCGACCCTTGGTCTCGGGGAAGAAAAAATATACACATGGAACGATGGCGGCATTGATGGCTGCGAAGATAATGTAATACTGATTCGAGATAGTGGCAAAGCCAACCGGGGTCACCTGTGCCAGCAGGAAGTTGAACGTCCACACTGTGGCGGTAGAAACGGCGCTGACGGCAGCGCGTATCTGGAGGGGCGCCATTTCCGCGGCATAGAGGAAAGTCAGGCCCGAGTAACCGACGGTGAAGATAAACTGAAAGACGTAGAGGAAGATGACGGCCACGACTAGGGCGCCTGTGTTGTTGTTGGTGGAGGTCGTGCCGGCCAGAATCGCCATGGAGACCGACATGGCTCCGGCACTCCATAACATCAGAGGGCGCCGGCCGAGACGGTCGATGGTGAAAAAGGCCAGGAAGCCACCGAATGGCTGAGTTAGACCCATTGCGGCCGCCAGAATGCGGGCTGGCACCGCATCCATGCCGAGATACTGCTCGAAGATGGTCGTTGCGTAGTAGGTGATCAGGTTCACTCCGCACATTTGCTGGAACATCTGACCGGTGGCGGCCAGGTACGCGCGATGAAAAAGGCGCTGCTCCCCCATCGTGAACATATCACGCCAGGATCCGGATCCGGCGTGGGCCAGAGAGGTGTCAATATCGTGGATGCTGTTGGTAATCGTATCCGACTCGCATTCAAGATCTTGCAGTGCGGCAAGAACCGTCCGGGCTTCCTCGCGTCGACCCTTCTTGATGAGCCAGCGGGGAGATTCGGGGAGCATTGTGATAAAAATCATGGCCGTAAGCGACAGGACAACCTGGAAGGCCAGAGGGAACCTCCAGGATACGGAGTTGTTCTTGACGAAGTAAAAACCCAGGTCAATCCACAGGGCGCTGGTGACCCCCACTCCCACGAATATCCCATCAGTCACCACGTTGGACCCTCGCTTATGCGCCGGGGAAATTTCCGACTGCCAGACGGGGACTGTCGCCACGCACCCTCCTGTACCGAGACCGAGAATCAGCCTCGCCACGATGAACTGGGCGAACTGGAAGGATGAGGCCATAAGGACGGCACCGATGATGGACACCAGGTTTGTAATGAAGATGACTCTTCGCCGTCCCAGGAGATCACCCAGGTAAACGCATGACAAGGCACCGAAGATTCCTCCGACGGTGTACAGCGCAATGACGGTGCCTGTTGCGATGCGTCAGAAATATTCTTGTAACGCTATCCAATGCAATCACTGACCTTGGATTTGCGAGTTCTCATGCTGCTTCCCCGCGCCGGCGTGGATGGTGTCCATTCTTGGGAACTGATTGTTGAACGACTCGAGGGTCAAAAGACCGCCGGCGACGCTCATATTGTAGCCGTAACAGGTGAAGGTTGGGCCTACGACCAGCATGACGGCGGCTCGGAGCAGTGCATTGCCCCGCAGACCAAGGTATGGCTTCGTTCCCATGGTGAAGCTGGTGTCGTGCGATGAAGGAATCATGCAACACGAGAGGAACAATATGAAGTTGTGAGGAGAATCTCAAAGATTACGGTCATCGCAGCTCCGTATGTGCTTTTATGACGTTCGCTCTTCAGAGCTAAGTCCAGACCCATCGGAGGTAGGCATATAACTGTGCACATTTTCGGTAATCGCCGCCTAGCGCTGATACATAAAGCTCGCCGATGGAGTGGCGTCTGGGGAATCCCAGACATCTCATTGCCCGTGGCGGCCGCAGCGTGGGGAGGATCTGCCTTTGTTATAGTTTCTCCCCGCTTTTTCCACCCGGTTTCCAACAGGTCGACTTTCGGGCCCGGCCGATGTTGGTCCTTCTCGTGATTTCGACAATTTGGTTAGTAGCCGGAACTGCTGTGTCTCATGGTCGAAGGGATAAACGCTGCCATTCGATCTGGAATATAAGGCCCAAGAGCTTCTGACACGAGTGGGAATTTTAGAGAGAGACAGATCGCCGATGACAGCTTCAACCTATGCGGATGCGCCCGGTCCTTTGTTCAGTAACAGAGGCTGCGGTTGTGGAAATCACTCACGATTGATTTTCGCTTATTCCTTACCCATGCTTATGTACAATAGCATCTAGAAGTAATTAGCTCAAAATCAATGCCACCCTGTGTGCAAAGCACTCCCACACCTTCTAGTAGTTAGTGTGTGTATAGACTAGGGTTCCGAGATATGCATTACCTCATGTGTCTTTAAAACATGTCCATGCTTGTTTCCGTTTATGCATAAGTCGTCATTCGGCCTTGAGTCTACCTCGGCATTCAGGCCACGTATCCTGGTTCGAAATAGGCAATGATCTGTGGAAGGCACATTATATAATCCTCTATGCACTCACTAACTAACTAGTTAGTAATTCCCTACCCAATATGGAGTACACAGTATTCCAAGGGACTGCGTTTCTCCGGCAGTTGTTTGTCGGCACTTGGGAAAGGTACCGAGTCCCTCTTCGGCTTCTGTTCGCTACATGTGTACGGGGTGGAAAGGATGTCCGCTGTTAGAGCAGAGGCGACCTCTTGTCCGAGATTGCGGTCAGTGACTTCTTCAATACATCCTGAGCAGTAATTAAAGGTATTACACGTCTCAAAGTGAGGATTTAGTAGATATCAGACCAGTTAGATTTAAATCAATGCCCCACCCGATCCTGGTACTTTATAGAACGTAGCCTCCACTTCTCTTAGTACAACGGGATATTCCACTGGGGTGAAATTCAGAATCATATAGGCTGAAGTCCGCTTCGTTATTTTAGGGTTTTATATATTTCTTATGCCCTTGGTTAACTTCCACTGCTGTTTAAGATTGTTCAAGGCTATGTGTACGTATATAGTACAAAGACGGGATAAAGAAATGCGGTTCTTATGATTTACATATTTAGCCAATCTGCTAATGGTTTTAAACTGGTTGCATCTATATATCCTTACTAGTGCATGTGCAATGCCTTCATAATAGGAGTCATTGAGTTGTGAGCTGTTCTATGTTCCTTCGGGCCTTGTTACTATAGAGAAGAACCGCATAGCCTCGATTCTGGAGAGTTAAAAATTAGATTTGTAACAATACTCTAATATTATAGTCGAGATCTTCGCCTACGTCTTTCTACTGTATTGTCTTTACCTTCGAAACCTAGGGAGAACCCGATCTATGCTGCTGCTCAGACTAGGTAGTAGAGATTAAGGCCATGGACAACTTTGTCCAAACAAACTTTCTATGTTTAAGCTGCTTGCCCTCTAACATTAGCATTAATAGATCCTTTACGTTTCCTTTACATACCATAGAATCTAAACTACTTGACTGGAAACAACGTAGAATATGTGCTGTTCATATCTGACCTAAGCTTGACAATTTCAGATATATGGTGTGATGCACGCCGTGGCAAGCCGCTGGCTGTACAAAAAGACCAACAATCTAAGCTTTGAGACCTTCAACCAGCTGATCACCCAACTTCCTGATGCTCTCCTCAAACTCTTTGGTGCTATTTGCCTTCCACTTGGCGCTCTTTCCGGGAACTGCGTCCTTGCCCTTGAAGCCAATGTACAAAACATCATTCGCAGTGTGGCCACTGTCTCCAGATGGATCCTCTTCGGGAAAGCAAAGCTCTGCCATCGAAAGAGATGATTCTCCTGTGGAAGTATGGCCATTGGTATCACCCCAGATACCATAGAACTATGGATTCATTCAAAGTATCAGCCGTGTACTGGCAGCGCGCGTAAAGTGGACACATACCAGTTTGTTGTTGCACACAACTGCCATCACACTGAGTGGCTCCATTCCGTGGTCTCTCGGATCAAACCTGTCATCGGGAGAATCCTTGTTCTCATTGCCGAATACCACGTACGGGTGAATGTTTGCATCTAGGTCTTCAATTCCAAATTCCTTCAGGTCATCCATGAAGGCGGTTTCGCTACGGCCTGAATGGTCGTCAGAACACTTGCCGGCGTGTCTGTTCGCTCCATCGCAGTCGATATCCATGTCCACGTATTGACCCCCATGCTCGGATGAATGCAGGTAGATAGCATTATGGATATCACCGCAGTAGGTGAAGGTATGTCCATCATGGTCATGGCCGTTGTCGAAGCCCACGGACAATTCGTCGGAACATTTTCCACTCTGACGTAAAGCACGGTGTTACTCAAAGAGATCCATGAATAAAGTGGAGAGACTGAAGCGACCTACCTTGTGCTTTTCATAGATCTGCTTCAGGTTGTCAGGCACATCGTACGCGGCGGCACCAGTGGCCAGGGCAACGGCTGCAATTTCCGAGAAACGCATTTTGCTAAGTCGATGATGATCTTTGCAATGGAACAATGATTTCTGTTGCTTTCCTCCGTACGGTTGACATTCTTTTATACCTGGACCACGCGAGCATATCCCCTAAGCGCTCTAGGAGTCGGCTGCTACATCAGGGGCCAGACAATACATAGCCCCCCAAACTAGTCCACACTCCAAGGCCACACCGAAGGAATCGTCCCCGCAATCACCCCATTCGGCGTTCGTGAGTCCCTTAAGGGGAATGGTGATGCCTCACCCTGGCTAAACTAGGAACTCGGCCCTGAGTTTCATCCGTACGCTAATCCTTGTCTTGCTGGGGGCTGGAATTTAGCGTCCACCGGGCAATCCGGAGTTTCCGCAGATAATCAGATCAACAAATCTGGGATTGGCCCTGTGACCCGCTATTTGGCACAGGCAAAAAGAACCAACTAGGATGAAATTTGACCGTGTAAACTGCGGCAAGCTCGACGCGAGGTTAGTATGTTCTGCACAGCGTCACAGGCAATTCCCAACTCGCTCTTCAGGACGGGGTCGCGGATGATTTTCTGACCCGCCCGTCCCCGCAGTATACAAATCGCGGGTTCTGATATAGCTCCGACGGCTATCAATCAGGCCCCATCGCTGCCAGGATGCTCTTGGCGCTGGCGTGTCGATCTCAGAACAGGAAATCTCCATGTTGGTCCTGCTTTACCCTATCAGGACGAAGATTTTAAGTCCGACCGATTTGCCTGAGTGTGCATGACTGTACGGGAATGCGATCTATTCATCCCATTCCGGACTCCCGGATGATCAGCTACAGTGGGATCAACTAAGTAGTGTGGAAGGCTTCTTTAACTTTCTTAACAGCAAAACATATATTTGATAGGTTAGTGGCACATCTCATAGAATGTCAAACAAGCACTCACACTTGGATAGCCCACTGCTTGGAGGTGGGCCGTTCCTGATCAGCTCTCGCTCAGCTGCGACATTATTTGCTTGGCGACAGTTCCAGGAGTTGACTTGCCAAGAGTCACAGTGATCCTGAAGGTTTCTAGTAGAGTAGATGAGCCCGGCGAGTGCGACACTAGTTATAAAATAAACCTCTTGACATGCGGCAGGTGTTGCCTTACATCTTCTTTGTTGCATTGGTCTGTTGACATATGCTAACAGTCTCCGCTCTCGTGTTCTAAAGGTTTCCATCTTTTAGTTAGATGGCATGTTAAGGCAGTGAATATAAGACCGCAAACTCTATTTCCACTATATGTGCTGGGGATAGTAGGCGATTTGGACAGGTGTTCAAGCAAACAAAATTTCTTTGGACTCCCAATATTTTGCTAATACTCTGGGAGAGGACAGCATGTAGAAAGAATATTCGGTAAAAATGAAAGCGTACTTGTACAATTACAATAATTAATATGGGATGTCTATAGAATGCAGCACCGGAATCCCGTGGAACAGCCAGAAGCACCGCAAACAGATATTTTTTCTATGCACTTTGGTAAAGGAAGGCATGGATAACTCAACAATAATAGAACATAGTTACGGTATGAAGCTTCAGATGCGTGGCTACTCGTGCTAGACAAATCGAAAGAATTACTAGATTAATGATGCTTACTGTAGTATGTATAAAGCTGCGAAATGTAGGCTGTGGAAAATACGCAGGCCTTGATAACCATATTCAGAGTGTAATTTGTCAGGTAATCCATACCCAGCTATTATGCTGGGCACTCTCAACTATAGGCCCCAAAATAACAGGCCAATTTATGATCAGTTATATTCAAAATGTGGAAAGACCTATCGTAAATTTTGGGTAGCCGGGACGCTACCCTGAGTGGAATAACACTGTTATCCCTATTTCTTGCTAGGTGGTCAGGGGGTGGCGTGCTGTCCACCGGGCAATATAAGATGTTTAGATCTCCTAGAAACAAATCTATTGTTAGAATTACCTGGCTGGCCGTTTTTTTTTTTTTTTTTTTTTCGTAACGTCATTAAGTTTGATAGCCACCGAATCAAGAGAGATCAGTCCAACATAGTTGCTCTTCGTAAGTAGCTTTGGGTGGCTCCTCTTCCACTCCTTTACTACCCTCATGGCCATTTCCCACTTGAACTTCGGAAGAGCTTCTGAAAATCGTAACTTGATATCTTCTTGACCACACCTCTACCATATTCCTACAGGTCGTGCAGAGGAGTCGAACTAAATCCGGATCTCCTGTTACACTACCGAATCAAGTGCAGAGTATAATAACAAGATTTGCTTCTAAGGAATCCTCATTTGTATACTCTGTGCACTGCATCTCCGGCGTTCGGAGAGGTATCACGTTACACCCATCAACGCTCCTCACGCTGAGTACGGTACAGGCTTTTTTGTGAAACTCTAGGAGCTCTTGCAGACTACCAGAATGGTAGAACTCCTTGGCCTACGTAATAAATAGATTTGGGGCATTCACTAACGGTTCTAAGCACATCTGTCTATTGCTGCAAGTATGCCCCTTGATCATGGCTTGCAGTGGGCCCTTGAATTATATTTCTCTGTACTGACAGTGTTGATTTTGTGATTGTGACCTTGCTGATAATTAGCTACCGAATCTCACAGTTTGCAGTATTCTGTAGCCACATAACAGGTCGTACTGCTTCTGGCCTTGGGATGATCCCACTCCAGGCTTTTTCTCTCTGGCATTCTATTTCTAAGAATAGACTTATGTCATTCTCAACCTACTTCTACAAGAGCAGTAGTTCATGGAATATTCTACTACTGTATTGCTATCATTTTTTGCCGTCTTTAGTCTGAGATCACTGTTTATAGGAAAAGTAAGGATATATTGCATGTTCAGAAGACACTACATTACTTAGACAAGCATGACATGCTCTATCAATTCTTCCCCATTATCGATCATTAGACAAACGCCCATAATTGAAAGTATTCTACTCGAACTGAACAATTATGTAGAATAAACGTATAGCGAATAATTGATATAATCTGGCAAATTCTCTGGTACTGATTACTAGCATAGAAGCCAGTTGAAAATACGACATTCTGAATCTGCTATACCTCATTTTATCCTCATCTCTCAGTATTTGACTAGGACGCTTTCCTATGTATCCGGATTCAAATGCCTACATACAAAGGGCTGATCCTAGTGTTAACACCTTTTGGTGTTCTAAGGGCCTTCTTTCTCCTGCGTCCTTATATGTAACATAAGTGGCACAATCTCACGTCTTCATTCCTTGTATAACCTGCGAAACTGATAGTACATTATAGCATGGCATTTATAGTTACAGATTCTGCAAGTGGTTGGCTATGAAAATTTTGGCTATATATTTACTAACGTTTTGCCGCTTCCTAATTTATTTAGTATAAGATTTTGAAACAAGGGCCGTCAATTGATTGCTACAACAGTGAAGGAATAAAACGTATTCTAGAGGGCTGAGCTATTTTAGCACAGCCTCGCCTACTCTTGAAGTCGGAGCACCCCTCCGGTGATTTATCTGTATATACTGTTCAGCACGCGACTCTGTCTGAAGTACCAGCTTGACGATGGCAGATCACATTATGACGGAGAAGCTTCATAGCTGAAACGCTGTGCAAAAGATGACTCAGTTCTCCATTACACTGCATATCCCTAGTGCCCTATTCTTACTGGGTGTCTAGATGCCAAGGTGAACCTCTTCCCAGTGAGAATACCAGCTCGGTCAACATAATCTAATAAGCCTAGTTTCTAAAATATCATGCAACAATGATGGCACCAAGGAGATAGAGCTGAACATGCGCCAGCTCCTCCAAGATTGACCGAGAACCATGAAATTCTGGAAGGACAGAGGGACCCAGGCTACCGTATGATTTAAACGATAGGTGACTAAGTGGTACTATTAACTTTTGATATCCTAGGAGCAGGCGAGTGTTTGGCATTCGCGTGTCCATCGTAGGTGATTCATTTGTGGTTTTTATGTGCACCATTATGTGACAGTCGAGGTTTGTGTTAATATGGTTCTCGCATGTCGGAGCTAATTCTGTGGACTATGTTGTTTCTTTCTACCCAATTCGATCTGCTTAATGACGAAGGTATAAGGCCCCTCATCCATCGACCATCGGCAACTATTTAGTTCTTCAGAATTATCCTATTCAACATCCATACCACCCCAATCTGAGAGCGCCGATGTTTTAGATCTATCTGTTACGAAACCGGATGGATGACAATTCGGAGCCTATCAGCTTAGAGATAGTCGATCGACTTATTGGACCTCCAATGCAGGATATAATTGCCTTTGTTAGATCTGGATTAATTCAAAAGTGGTTCACACAAGCACAGGAACTGGGCAAAACTGTCACCAAGCATGATCTTTTCATGGCCTGGTTAATCGACAAGGTCAAACTACAAGCATCGTCACAAGAACCTATATTTTCTGATCTAAGAAGGCATATTATAAATCAGGCTGTATTAGTATACAATCTGTATGCAAATTGCCTCTGTTCGCGTAGATTTGTGTATAATAATTAGTCTGCTGGTAAAAAAAAAGGAAAAAAAAGCCTTTGGAGAACGGATAATCTCCGAGTGGTTCAAATTAGGCAATCCTCACGACGACCTGAAGACGGAACTTAGCTGGCTATTCCAACTTTCAGTTTCATTTAGTCAATTTCTTATCTTACGACTTATACAACACATTTCTTCTTCGCGACCAGTTCTAGATATCTCCCTTCGAGTTGCTTCAAACCACTTTCCTGATGGAACTGCAAGCCGTAGCCATTTTGCCCAAACCAGGGCGCAATCGGCCCACCCGTGATGTTGAAGCTTTCCTTGACCACCCACACCCAGTAGTTATACTGCGGACTATCGGGATATTTGTTCAAGTTACTCGGGGGGATAGATCGCCACGAGAACGGGGTATCTCTCGGCGCCAGGTACCCTCCGTATTTCGATCCAAACCGATCGAGCTCCATTCCTTCCGGGAGAGTGTAGGTCGTTGTGACCGGCTTGCCTTCGGTGTCTAACAGTGCGCCGTCCATTTCCGGGTAGATATATTTATTGCCGCTCGGGGCGAATTTATCAAGGAAGGCCTTCGGACAGTACGTTCCAAGGGGACTATATCCCTCGAATAGACTGGACCATTCATCGTCGTTCGCCGCAGTAAGGACACTGGGTCCTAGGAACTTATTGTTGCACAATGAGTCTGTGGAACCCGTGCTGGGGACTCCCTCGCAAGGGTCTATGCCGCATTTCTCGACGAGAGTATCCTGGAAGTCTATTAATAGTGTGTATAAGTGTCGATGTAGTGAAGGGTACCTTAACGTCCTGGCAGTAGGCACCGAATGGGAGCAAGAGCAGAGCGAGAATTGCGTACATTCTGAGGCCTTTCAAGCAACACGTGCTGCAATTCAAACCACCACTCTGAAAATTGGACAGCGGGATCTAACTGATTTATACCCTGTGATGATGCATATTCTTCATCTTCGTACACTTCGGTGGGTCTGCTACCTCGCGTGGGTTATTCAATATGAAGGGTCATACGGGAAGAACAACCTCCTTTTTGCAGGGGTATCATGTACCCCCGGCGAGGGCGATATAATATTTTGCTGCTGGATTCTGGGCGCATTCAATAACATCAATTAGACAAGAGTAGTTGCAGGGGGCTAGAGCGGGTTTTACATAATATGGTGGTATAGAGACATCGTATGTCTCTAATTAATGCCCCTAAAGTCTTGGAGCGGAGCCGTATTTGAGCATATAATCATATAATGGCTAGTTCAGCAGCAGCCAAGACTTGGCTACCAAGCCGATTGACAGAATATTTTGAAAAACCTCGGCGCTGCATGAAGGGAAGTGTAGTATGAAGCATGGAATCATATACTCCACAGACCATAAGATCTTCCAAAACACAGGATGGTTCAGGGAATATGTAACAGAAGGTTGTTCTCCATTACTAGGTAGCCAGAGCTATTATTTTATTTTTACAATTCTTTCTGCTTCCCATTCCACAGTGGAGTCCAGCGGCCGGACTATTAATTTAAGATACGCCGTACGCTGCCAACAAACCGGTAAGTGGGGCCATAGGTAACGGCTTAACGACCATACGAGCTCATCAGCCCACTATGTTTCCACTAAAAGAGGCTTGGAAATTATACCAATGGCTGAGTGAAAAGACATTGTGTCAGATCTATCAGCAGACAACGATGATGGATAAAAGTATGCAGATGCAGGAAGAGGAAAAGAGAGGCTAGAAAGAGGACGAGAAGGCCGCAAAACAAGCTTCTGCACAGCCTCAAATGATATAAACAGGCTAATAGAGGTAATAATAAAGTTATAGAGCCAACTGAAGGAAGATATGAGAAAATTAAGGAAGAATTGGAAGAAGTGTATAGTACAATAAAGAGTCAAGGACAAATATGGCGTCCACAGCGATTCTGCGGCTCTAAAAATTAGTCAAATAGCTTCACTATAACTGCATTTGACTATACCAAGAAATTTAGTCATTTAATGTTTTCGTTGTGGCTTTATAGCTTCATTTCTACTCCAGTGGTTGACCGAAAATCAGAGCAGGCATCAGGTGATCGGGTACGGTACCGCCTACCGAGTGAGGAAGAACTTTTAGCGCTGCATATTCCTGTAGAGCAGTAGGGCTTTTTCTTTTTGAGACTACAGATGAGGTGAAAGTGGGCTCGCCTAGCCGCTGGGAAGCTAAACCACTTTCAGATAGTCAGGTGACGACCCGCCTACACACCAACAATTTTTGGCTTAGCGGTCATTTTATAAGTAGTTGAATACTGGTATAAAACTGGTTATCAAGACTCAAAATGTTTTGAAAGATGGTAAGAGGAATGAAAGAAAAGCACCACTAAACCCAAAAATATTTGTTGCATAGGTGGGTCCTCACATGACCTCTAAAAATGGTTTAGCCTACTAGAGGCTTGGCAGACCCACCTTCATCCCGTCTGCTCCTGGCCTGAGGTATTAGGAATTACGAACCGTTATTAGATTCGTTATGATTCTGTAGCATAGTGTGGGGCCTAGCTTCGGCTGCGTGGTGGTGCAGCCTACGAGGGGATAAAAGAGTCGGTGCTCAGGGATAGTTCATACACCAACAACAATCATGTCTACAGTTGCTAGGCGAGAAGGTCACGGTGCCGCTGCTAAAGACAAGTATGTAAAAGACTGCAGAATCAGGTATAGACAATTTAGTAGTTTCTGTTTTATTATTTTTACCTTTACTCTCTGCCTCTTCATCCATATAAGACTCTAACGTCTGGAATGAAATCAGATAGTGGTTACAAAATACCTCAATCTTTTCGCGTGACTCTCGGGCGGCTATGTCCTCAGCAGTTAGTGGGTGCATGGAGAGCGCTGGGCTACATCCATGACATCCTCCGTGGCATTTCGCACATCCAGCCACCAGATGTTGCGGTGGTGACATTTTGGGACTGGCAGAAGAAGTGCGTGAACCGGGGGGCGTCATTCTCTCGGATCATTGTAAAATTGTATCTCTTTTAAAAATTAGGAATTACCATTTGAGGCATGTTTATGACATGGAGACGTAGATATTGGAAAGACTGGTCAATGAAACATTGAGCCCAAGGTAAAAAGTGTCAATTATCAAGAATAAATGTTGTTTGTCTCCGTGTAGATGTGCCAGGCAGGCCTGCATATGGAAAGAAGATGGACGCATGGGCAAAGGTATGGGGGGAAACGGTCATTTTTACTATTTTCTTCTGTCTGCACCTTGCGGGGCTTAATGGATAGTATGAAGGGGAAAAAAGTAGGTCTTGGCCGGTGCTGGCAGCTGGACACTCGTTTAGCCCGATGTACAAAGAGTCCGCCAGACTAGCAGCCTTAACTAACTATTACTTAACCATATTATTGCCCTAGCAGGTGTAGTGAATGTGATTCTAGTCCTATTAGGAAATAGATGGTGTCGGTGTGCCACCCGCCGATAAAATGGTAACATCTTTTATCTAATTCCATTAATTTTAGTTAGTTAACTATTATTATTCGAGCAAATTAGTATACACACCCTTGTATAGAAATAGCTAACGGTGTGGGTAGGAATTTTAGCCTGAATTTGTTCTGTTCTTAGTACCAAATTTTTTTTTTTTTTTTTTTTTTTTTTTTTTTTTTGGCTTATAATCCTACCCAATATGATCTAATCTATAGGGCCTCCCTCCGTCCACATCAATCAACAAGAGAAAAAATGACACTATTGTTCTGTACGAAGTTATGCGAGCGCTATTTTGCTGTCTGGTTCGTCCAGATAATAGGTGGAACGCTTGGCTGCCGCTCTGATTGGCTGGATGTACGTGGAAAGAGGAGAATGTTCGTGAGACAGATAATGTATATTTAGTACAGGAATGAGGACGAAAAACTGTTGAATGAATTAAAGCGGAAGGTACAGCACCCCGATCCAAGCATTCTCTTCTATATGACGCTCAATGGTCAGGCCCCAGAATATCGTCCGAGCCGGCATTTTACAAAGTAAATATGAATATGCATTTACAAGAAATAAGCAAAAAGAAAGAGCCTCTACTCCCTATTATATGGAGAGGAAAGTAACGGCTTTGTTCGCTACAGTATACCATTTATATTGGGCCCTTATCCAATCGGATCAACCGTTAAAACCACATATTGAACATTTGAGTACTCAGTAGCGGCAACTTAACGATTTTCGGCAGGAATTGAATGCTCAACGTCAGTACTAAACCAATATTCGACAAGATCTCGACGCTCAGCAACGAGAACTAGACGGTTTTCGACAAGATCTAGCAATGATACCACGACTTACGGCGGGAATTAGATGCTTAGAGGCACCCTTGCAATCTTTGGCAAATAGATCTGTACAGTCGACAGCCTCGAATGCATCGATGTTTGCTTTTATTTCTTGCTTGTAGGAAACGACTTGGAATTGCGAAATTAGCCGAAAAGATGAAGGCGTGTGATCAGCCTTACAGAAGACTGGCTGAACATGACAGGATTAAGGGCACTTATTGATTTGTGATAATTGTGCAACCTCACCTGAAGTGATGCGTGTCGCTTGTAGATGCTGTAAATGAGTACTTCGTCACTCATCTCAGGTCCTGGAAGGATGGGAGACGCTGGCCGCGAATACTGTTCTACATTTAGTTGATGTGTGGTACATGCTAGCTATAAGAGATTATTGAAACGAACTGCTTACATCACAAATATGACTCACACATACATCTTATAATCATGTACAGTTGAACCTGATGGCAAAGACTAGCTTTATCCTGCTCTCAGTGCGGGCGAGTCCTGCGTGCATCTAGCCTCAGCTAAAGTCGGCGCATGCAAGGGAAGCGAATCGTGCGTTGCTCTCGTGTCCACTCTCATATCTCGCTCGATCCTCTAGTGATAGTTGCTTTAGTAGAAAGCCAGACAAGTTCAGTTGCTTCAGAACAGGAGTGGAGGCGGCGCAATGCCATACATATGTCTTTATAATATGAGGATGATCGATCATTCCTTCAGCGGCTCTGAGAAATCGTGACCGGTAATGTTGTTAGTCAATTGAGGACAGTGACGGAACCACACTGCAATTACATCTAGGCAGCACACTTGTCGACCCGGTCAGCAGGTGAGGCGCATATGCTCTGCAGGCTGCGGAGGCATCAGGAAACGCAATATTCTGATTCGAGTCCATTTTGCTGTGCCGTTTTCGTAATTAAATCCTGCGCATGGTGGCAATAGAGTATCACGATATTCTCACTTGACGAGATGCGTCTGATTGTGGTGAGCACCAGCTAATTACTGCATGCAGTCCAGTCACAAAGAGGGTATATAGATATGCGAGGGCTAGCCAATCAGTGGGGATCAGCAAGTCCGTTGTAAGATACACAGATATGCCCCTCCGACTCGGATAAATTTCTCTAACCTTACATTGCGTTCAACTTCGACTCCATCGAAGCGCTCTTACGCTGCGTGCAATTCGGAACCCACGCTGGATTCCGGGCTATCGGACAACGATGCGCGAAGATCGACGACGGAACAGGCTAACATGTTAAGAACTATTCCGCAATGGTATTCACTGCTCCATTTTTGAGACATTACCCTGACATCGGCGCCACTCGTCTCTGCCGGTGCCGTATTTTCATGGTTTTCCGCTGTTTGCTCAGCCTTGAACGATGGCTATTCGCCTCAGACCGTCGTACAGATGTAGAGTGTTCATCTATGAACGCCCAACATGAAATAGTGCGCCAAGGCAAATCGCCACTGCTCTTGGCGAAGCTGAAGGTTTTTGTTCAAAGGAGTCGGCTTTTCAAGACTTCACATAGACAAAGTACCACGGCTTTTGACGAATTCTTTCGCCTATTGTACCGTTATTTAACTATGCTTAGCTATAATTGTATTTATTCGCAGCCTTCTTCACGCCTAGAGAGTGTTGAAGAGTTCATATCTGCTATACCAGCTACACCGGCAGCCTACTAAAGGGGTTCTTTTCACAGTAGTAACCATCAACTGTATTAATCACTATCGCCGATAATTATCTAAAAGGCGGATGACGCTGAGTGCTCGCCAAGGAGCTAGAAGTGATCGGATCCCGAATCCTGAATATTCTCTATCAATAGCGTTGTCTGTCTTCCCGTCGAGATGCGATGATACAATATTTACCTGTGATAACGTAGAACACTAAGAATATCAACTTTTCCAGCAATGTCTCAGCTCGTAACATATAGCCAATGTCAAATACCATGCTGCTTGCCACTTCCCCGCTCTTATTGCACAACCAAGATGCTAAGGTACTTCGAATGTCGCAAGCAGATGGCATAAGCGCTCGCAAACATGCACACTCCGGTAAAGATGATGACCCAACGATAGGACATCGATGATGGAGTTTCGGTTGACGTTTCGGTTGACTTTAAGTTGGAAATAAGTTGGAAACTAGAAACCCTCCAACAGGTCCGCCAAGCACATTTCCGATACCTTTATGAAGCGAAGCAAGCTGAAGACAATTGGTCCTGCTGTCACGTCGATTATGGAGGTGCTCATCCTCCACTGGATGGCAGTAAACCTTGCTCCGAAGAACCGGAACACAATGGCAAAGATAATCAAGACTGGGAGCGACCTAGCTAGTCTCCACACAGTGAGACAACCAATTGTTGCAACCATGGCTGACAGCAAGCCAAAATGTCAAGTAATATGTTGTGATCAGATAGCAGACCGAAGACAAACTGATCCCGGACTTGACAAACGCTCATCAGCGCGAGGAGACGTGCGCTGCTCTTGTCGCCGAGTCTTAGGGATGATGAATAAGGGCTAGGTACAGAGAAGGAAAAAAGTACCCAAATACTTGCACTAGGTTTGAAGCCGCGTACACGTAGAATAGATGACTCTGAAAAAAGTCCCGTTAATTTTGGGGCACTGTCTCGCTCTGAGGGCGACAAATGGCTCTTCAAGAGAGTAATTAACGGTCCCGTGAGCAACGCGAAGCCACGGCCATAGTGCGAAGCGTCGTTCTGTATCCGTACTTTGCCAAAAGTGCTTGCAGCGCCAAAGGCATAACGGACACTGAGTAGACACCGGAGGCACCGGAAAGAATACCGTAAGCCATTCCACGACGCGCGATCTAGTAATTATTTACCATGCTGAGGATGAGGCAGTAGATTATGAGGAAACCAAGACCATATGCCACACCTTGTGCAAGGACAAGTACTTCTAAGTGGATACAAAAGACCCTGAGACGAGTACGGTAATACAATCGGCCCTGAGAGACAGGTTAGCAGTTTATGTCTTGACCTCCTAGTAAGTTATGAGACGTACAGCCGACCCAAATAATCTGCCACTGACACCGCTAATAGGGCTGAATAAAAGGCATGATGACTGGTGCTCCGAGATAACCGAGTCCGGATGCCATGTTAACTACCCACAATGGAAATATAGCGATTATTGGCAAGTTCTGGAATTTTGGAGTAGTAGTCCTGAAAGACACTCAAAGAAAGGGGGAAGCCTATGTAAAAGTTCTATCAACCTCATTTATATAAAGTCGACTCGTGATAGGAATTTATCCCATTGCAATGCCTCAAACAAAAAGGCAGCGCAGAGCAGCCTCCAAGCAACAGATCCTCCATCTATGGGCGCAAGCCCTTGTTCCGTTCACCTGCCATTCGTTGGCTCGTCCTCTACATTCTGCGGTTGTAGTGATGCTCTTTCAAGGCTGAAGTAGTTGTGACTGACTGGGGTAGCGCGACGGTCACTAACTCGGTGTTACTCATCACGAATGTTTTAAGAAACAGGTAACGAGGAGAGCTGATATAACAATTGCAAGCCTTTTAGGCTTCCATCCCGATCATGGAACTGTCAGATATACCACTACACCACAAGAAGTACGCTGTATCAATTTATGCGTAGTACTGGTATATCTGCCAATTCTGACAGGAGCCTAGATCACCGCTAGCGGGCTTTACAGCTCTTTCTCGAACCACGCTGAGCTAACTTCGAACCACGTTCAGCTGGAATCCGAGATTAGAGTAACGACTGGACCTGGACCGTATGCTGTTACCGAGGCCCGCGTCGGTCATCTCATTCAGCTTGTCGTAAGTGGTGCTAACATTTTCCTTTCAAGGGGTTATCTAAACTTTGAGAACACTCGATAAGTCGTTCAAAGAAATTTATAAAGTAACTCGGACATTCTAAATCTTCCAATTAAGTTATAGTATGTGAGGGACCACAAGACTCTACTGTACCAATGGTGCGTTGTATTTAATTGAAATTTCATAACTGGGACCTGAGCTCCTCCAGCGGCACGTTCTCATTACGTAGATATCGCTATGCCACTTTCAGGGAACCTTGCCTGTCTCCGAACTTCGATGAACAATAACGAATGCCTATCCAGCGGCACTAAACAAACTCCTCCAGACCTCTCAAGAAAGGGGTCATCAAAGCTTTCAACCTCCGAAGCGCTCGGCATCTCCATCATCGCTGTATCGGAAGCTCTCGGCCCATGCAAACACGTCCTCAAATCTTCGACATTGATGAATACTTCCAATCCCATCCACCCCATCTCCCGGCTTCATCCCGTCAAAGCGTGACCGGAATGGTTCCAGGTTTGAATCAGCCGCGCACATAATAGACTGGCGGAGATAATCATAACAGTGCAGCGTATGGCCTGACGGCTGACGAATTTGCCCCTGTAGCGCCTTTGAATACTCTTCAAAGATGAGATACTGTAGTAGATTAGGGGAGAACACCACATGGGCTAGAATATGGCATGAGCTCACGAGGCAGTGAAGCTGATGGAAGACAGCCACGCAGAATCGGCCTGACCCATCTGTGTTCACATTCTGGATAAAGTCTGGGATGACTCCCAACTCCTTCACCTTGTCTATTTGAATGTATCCCATTCCTCCTGGTACAAACCATTATTCACCTGCAAGTACGAAGTGGTCCTGCGGTAGGGGTTAATAAACATACTTGGAAACAATTGCATCCACATGTCCCTGGTGTCATTGCTGTGGTAGATTGTATAGGTAGTGTCAGGGTTATAGGATTTCAGAATCGGACCGACTGCCCGGGAAGGGATTAACAATGCCACTTGAAATACTCGGGAAAGAAAACAGACTCACGTGGCGGAGCCTTCAAGCCTGGGAGCATTGAAGTGCCATACTCAATTAACGACTGTGAGAAAAGGATGTAGTGCAGCGAAATTGCCACAGTTATCGAAATTGCGAAGCTGAGCAGCACTGTCAGGAAGACCACACATTTCAGTGGCCATTGCCGTTTCTTTCTGGGCCCAGAGTTTCCTCGAAGTAGAGGTTCGTCAAAATCAGTGTCCATCATAGTCATTGAGCAGAATGAGGACTTTCTGAAATGATGAGTGTAGGACGGGATACTAGTTGGTAGCCAACTACGAGAAGGTTAGGGTTGTTCGCAGTGCCTCCGCATTTTGCTGGCCACAGTTTGGCTTCCCATGTTTTCTCTAAGCAGATTCATAATCGGGTATCTTCTGATTCATAATTATGGTGGCAAACTTGGATCCTGTTGTGGCCATCCATTCCGTCTCTGATCCATTGGTGCAAAACTTCTGCAGCATGGGTTCCAGATGCACTATAGCCGTTCTTGGTATTTATTTTGTACGGTATGCATATACTGTACATACAACTATTTTTGTACTGCAAATACGCAATACGGAGATGTAGGATTTGGTTGGACTCGATACAGACAAGTATGCAGTCAGCATCCTTTGAAGCTAGCCGGGAACAGGGAAGGATCCTTAGCTTAAATCACGCCATTTAGTGTGGCCTGGGATATGATGTCAGCTGGAGAGGATTGACTATTCTTGTTAGCCCCCCATCTGACTGCTGGCCTTTCAGCGTACCACATGCATCCTCTAGTGGTGATTGAACTATGCAGGATCTTCGGCTTTAGGAAGATGCAAGCATTTCGGTCCCACATGCGAGCCGCTTCAAATCCCTATGAAAGGCGAGTTTTAAGCCCCACTTATATCTACTTCGGTTATGCAGCTAAACAGGGACTGACGTTGCATCTGCATGCATGCTGGGGCTGTCGAACGGCTCACGAGATGCGGTTGCGGAGTTTGTACCATGTAGTTTGCTATGTGCAGTTTCCGATGTGGAGTCTACATCTGATCCGATGACACGTCATCCTCAACCATGACGTTCTGCTTCTAGTTACCTCTTACTTCCAGAATTCGGCTACTACAAGTTGAGTGATAGAGGTGCGGGGTATTGGCGGGCGATCTGAGAAACGAGAAAGTCTTCGGGATAGTAGATGATGAACTTAAACATAGTTGGTCAGTGCTGTTACTAAGAGATATGAACTCCATTTCTATCTCTCATTGATCTCAATTTCATGGCATGTTGTCTTGAACGCCTTGAACAGTTACCGATTCCAAATCAATAATAGAACTCATACAAACGGGTTGACCAGTAGCGAGAATGCCTCTGTCTGCATATAGCTTGTTAGGCTCAACCTGTAGCTTCGCTGGGTAAGAAGTTTCCTGACTTCTGTACTGGCTGTGCCTACGCATGTTCGTCCTGACCGGCATTGCTAGTCTTCAGGTCATATGGGCTGTCTACTTTGCCCATGGAACAGTGCGTGATCCCAAAATAGTGGCTGCTAGATCTGGTTATCAACTGAGCTTATAACTTCCGCAGGCCCATCTCCTCAGCCTTGGCTTCAGCAAGTCTTCCAGTGCCCTGACTCTGATGGCTGGGCCATTGTGCGGTGTTGTCGTTCAGCCGTATATAGGAGGGCTTAGTGACACATATCGCTGCTCTTGGGGACGACGTCGTCCATTCATCTTTTTTGGTGTCGTCGGGGTTTCTCTGTCAATCAATCTCTTTGCAAGCTTAGTGGACGCCCACATATACTTGGAGGGGTGGTTCCAACTGGAACCTACAAGCTCCCGATGGATAGTCAAGCTCCTTGCGGTACTCTTGGTATATACCTTAAATATCTCTGTTCAGCCGGTACAGAACGGCCTGAGGGCTCTAGTGGTGGAGACTCACTCTGCCCATGAGCAGATTCAAGTCAATGTCTGGACCAGCTATATGATTGCTGGTGGTAATATTATTGGGTATTGTATGGGCACTGGCCCAGCCATAAGCCTCCTTTCATGGTTAGCCATGACTGAATTCCAAATGTTATGTATTTTGGCGTCTATTTTGCTCACATTGACAACGGTGGTGACATGCCTGTTCACCACTGAATACAACACACTTCTTACCATCGAGCCATGCCCCACCGAACACGCTTTAAGCCCACTGAAACACGTATTCCAGGAGGTTCAGAGGCTGCCGTATCTGATTAGCAAAGTATGCCGTGTGCAGGTTCTAGCATGGCTTGCCTGGTTTACATTTCTTTATTACCAGACACTGTGAGTATAGGTGGGTGCATGTTCAAGTTTCTATACTAACCTATCTCCTGTCTAGATATGTTAATGAGCTTTGTACTATGCATTGTTCCCTTGTACCACTGAATAGTCTACTAATTATTATCTAGACACCGGAGGTACAGTAAACACTGACTCAGGCATTAAGATAGGTTCTTTAACTGGTCTTCTATTTGCCATCACAAGTCTTATCTCGTCACTTATAATTTCCATTCTCCTTTGCTCAAAAACCGAATCTGAGACCGAAAAACCCGCCAGGAACCAACGCTTCGCGGAGACAACAAGAATGTGGCGTTTTGGTCACATATTCTTTGCTGCTGCAATGCTCAGCACGACAATGATAAGAAACTGGGTCCAAGCCACTATCCTAGTGGCTCTTGTTGGGATCCCGTGGTCGATATCCTCAATTGCACCATACAGCCTGATCGGAACTGAGCTTGCAGCAAGGAGGAATTTCGAAGCCCAAGAGGACCCGGAAAGCTTGCATCGTCTCCGTGAACAACAGGCCGGGACAATCATGAGCATCCACAATGTTGCAATTTCTGCACCCCAAATAATTGCGGCCGCTATAAGTAGCGGCGTGTTTTGGCTGTGTTATCTGCTAGGTGTTGAGGATAGTACGGTATGGGTGCTGAGATTGGGCGGCTGTGCTGCACTGGGGGCTGCATTCATGTTATAAGAAATAAATCCATGTTATGCCGTATTATATAAATGGTCGTCTATACACCGTGTGTTCCTTCGGATACCGAAGAGAAAGTCAAGGGAATCCTGAGTCTGTTTTGACATCCTTACATTTAGGGAGTTCATGTATTTACTTACCCGCAACGGAATTGTTTTTAGAGGTTATATAAAACTCTGCTAGAGATCTAAAGTGGTAAGGATACTTCTGGGAAACTACATAGTGTTTACACAAGCGCGGCAAGCTCTTAAGTCTACCAGGACAAGCGTATCAGAACAATCTCCATTAATGTTTAAGGAAATGGAAACAATAACTTTATAAGTTTCAAGTATCAAATTTGAATCCCATATATCCCCTCAAATAAGAGAAGGCACTGTTCGCCAGCTAGGAATAGCCATAGCATTCCCATCCAAAGGGCTAAAAAAGGAAAAAATCGTCTCAAGAATAGGTAGACCCATTTAACCCCACTCCAGACATAATAGTCTGCTCCCTATCATGCACTCTCATGACCTCTTCACAGTGCGTAACATGGCCATACGCAGCCTCTATATTCATCTTACTAAACAAGAACCCAGGACGCAATTGCTTCCGCCAGCGATAAGTACAATGAGCAACGTGCCAGTCCCAGGTCGTAAAGAATGGAAGATTACTGTCTGGTAGCAAGGAAAGCTCCTTCATAGTCAATTCTTGTGTCCTGTTCTCGTCTGCCCAGTAGTACCATTTGCCGTTGGGCCCGGGGCCCATTCTGTCAAATTCGGCACTAAGCTCATCGTCCCGGCAGGCTGCCGGGAGCCAGGCGGCGGACATGGTGTCGTATTTGCAACCTTTGCTGACTGCTTCGGTTGTAGAGCTACCGCACTCGCAATTGATGGGCTGCTGAGATTGAATGTACCTAACAGTTTGAAGGAGGAGGCTGATGACGCCATAGATCGCGAGAGTGATGTAGAGGATTGTTTTGAACCGGTGGAGGAAGATCTTCCATCGCTGGCGTCGAGGAAGAGGTGTTTCATGGTCGAGATCGGAGGCGTCCCGGAGGAGGCTCTCACTTGAGGTGTCACGCTCGTCGTGTGGACTGCGAAGATTCGGTTAGTCGGACGAGTAGAGTAGGCGAACAGAAAACGGGCTGGATACCATTCTTTGTACTGGAAATTCATTTTGACAGCCAATAATAAAACCACAGATAATTAATGTAGGATAGAATTAGAGCACGATATTTGACTCCTATGCTCTGCTGGAAATATTTGAAGCTCTCATATATTGCTTGGTCTAGGCGGTAGCTCAGAGAGTGGAAAAGCCCGAGCAAAAAAATGAAAAGACAAAGATTGGCCTGCTATGGATGAGGGGAAGTGCTGACGACTTGCATGGGTGCAGCCTGATATCGGCCTTATCTCATTTGGTATATTGCGAAGAGTCTAGATCGGGGTTGATGACTTGAATCCTGCGCCGGATCTGCAGCCGGGTCTTAGATCCCGCCGGTGTTTGACCTTACGTGTATGTAGCCTACATAGTCTAGTCTGGTATTTAATGTGAAGACAGTGACGCTTGTATTTTAATTATCATCGGTAATTAATTATACTGGTACATGATGCCGCATACCCTATCTTAATCCTTCGAGCTTGTCTCCAATAGTTTCACGACAGAACTGCGGAAATCCGCCTGAAACGTGCCCATTAAGATGCCACAACCAATGCGTGTCACCAGTAAATCACTTTTACTCCGCACAATAATATCTCACATGGACAGTTTGATCTGCATGGTATTACTCCTTCGGGCATCAGCAATTCCACTTCTGGGGTCAACTTCATCGATCCCCGGGATTCTCTCGGTGAACAATGGTTGTGAAATGTTTCAGTGAAATCTGCGCAATTGTGTTCGCAAAGGGGGCCCCGGTCCAAGCCGCTGAGCAGGAAGCCAGAAAGTAGATTGCTGAGGGCTAAGTGTTGGCATATTCACTATGCTGTGTATCTCTTCTATGCTTCTATACTACTTCCCCGGAAAGTATCGCACTCGAGCATTACGATCAATTTTTACTCTTTTGTCTTTCATATACCGCCACTACTTTTGGCCACTTATTCATGGCATCTCAGTGGGCCGACCCGAGATACAAATTCCTCAATTGGCATGATACCTTGCCAGATATTGAGGAGGACGCGTCATCCGATGCCAGGTCAGAACGATGTCCGTACTCAACTAAGACAACTACTAGACCTAGCCTCAGTAAGCTGGCAACTGCCACCGTACTGGGATGCATGGTTTTAACAATTCTCGCAATCAGCATAATCACACTAGTACGGCAGATGGAATTTGAGAACAAAATATCTCCATTGATATCACACAATTCATCCATCAATTCACCACCAGCGTATCAACCGATGCGCAAAAGACCATGTGGACAAGCAGCGCATGAAGCTCGGGCGGCAGGATGCAAATTCGATGTCCTTAGAGCTGCCTGGCTGCCCCGAGAATGTAGCGATGATGAGCTGCATGCAGTAGCAATCAGTGACGCTCCCTGGCAGTTTTATCGAAATACTTCGGCATTCGTATACCGTCAAGGCCACTGGTGGCCGACAGGGGATGAAATGGTGCCTATAAGCGGGTATGAGGAGCTGAGCGAGCAACGCCATATCGCTTGGGCCAGTCGTCGGTATCATATCGCACATTGCATGTATACGTGGAAGATGATGGCACGGGCAGTGGAGAGTGGGAGAAGAATGGATTCTACACTGAGGGCATTTCATCATATTTCGCATTGCGCGGATACAGTGTACGAGTTTATGGAGGAGAGGGAGACTCCGTTCGAGTTGGTTATGACTCCGGTTAAGATTGCATATCCAGACTGCTGACATAGGGGTTGGGACTAATGGCGAGGTGTAATTTGTGTTTTCATCTGTATCATGGATATAATTCCTTCTAGGTCAATTTTTGTTCTTTTTCCAGGTTAATTCTGGCCTTGGCTTGGTATTCATACACGAAAGTGGCTAGAAATGTGATGGTCGAACACATTGTAGACATTCCTGAAAACTCTGAATATACAATAACTCAGCATGTACATCTAGCGTGGTTGCCAATTATATAGATCAGGCAACATTCCTATGTCATTATATCTGAGTTAAGGCCCGCCGAAGACCGTGTGTTGATCTCCTGTAGAGGTCGACAGCTTTGAAAGACCTCGGCGCAATGTTTAACATGGTATTCCCCCTCAAAGCTCTTCTCAATCATCACCTTCCCAGACTTGCGCGCGCGCGATTCCTTCTTCCAGTAAAACAGGCAGTGTGCGAGGTGCCATTCATGAGTCGTCCAGAACGCTGCCTCATCGCCCTTCTTCTCCGCCAGCTGCGCTACCTCCTCCAGAGTCATCGTTCGGTTGCCACTCTGGTCCGTATAATATGCCCATGCCCCATCCTGGCCAGGACCTGCGTGATTAAATTCGTCGATTAACTCATCGTCACGGCATATAGATGGAAGCCACGAGGTTGCCATCGGATCATATTTGCAGCCTTTCTCCAGCGCCTCTTTGATGGAGCTCCCACAGTTGCAATCCTGCTGTGTGAACCAAGGATAGCGAGGAGGAGCCAAAAGCAAGATAAGTTCGGCTCCTAACAAGAATGGAAATAGTACCAATGCCCCGATGGTTACTATTTTTCTCCTGGAGACGGAATGTGAATGAGCTTGAGGCGGGAGGTAGTGAGCTTCTTCTTCCATCTCAGAAAGAATCTGGTACCCCGTTTTCTCCTGTTTGGAGTACTGTGTTCGATACCTTTTTGGGAAGAATAGGGAGACAATCATCTTTGCGAGACGTGAAATTCTTCGAGTCAGCAATTCCATATGCCGGTATACCTAGACTTAGACGTACCAAGAAGGGTTGGAAGACCATTCTTTTCTTTTTGCTTTGTACAGGTAGAAACAAAGGACCAGAAGAGTCAGGCGAAGGCTAACAGTGGATTCCCTTCGTTCAGGATCATACTCTACGGAAAAGGAGGAGGAGCAAACCTTCGGACTGGTGACACTTCTTTCCCGGACTGGGGTCTGCTTGGAGACTACACATTCCCGGCTCCTTGTCTTTCCCCTGTCAAGTCCAACGTACAAAGTCATTTTTGCTCAAGGACTCACAGCAGCGGAGCCTGGATCAGCCCCCTCGCCTGTAGGGCATGGGATTTTGTTTTCGGATACTCTTTGTATACAGGATGTATACACTGTAAACTGTGTAATACCTCGTACGGTACTGTATGTATGTATTATAAATTTCAGTATTTTTATGCAGTTGTAGGGAACAGGGCATAATCCCCGTGCTATCTTCGCATCTTGAAGCAGCAGGGATACTCCATTATTGGTAGGTGGGGTAGAAGGTTTGCTATTCATCCAACGGCTAGACTCGCAGCTAAGAGACGAGAAGCACCCTGGATCGCCTTGATTACCCCTCTTCAGCCCTGCAGCTTAGCAGCTTAGCTTGGCAATCGCATCGAACTGCACGGCTTTGCCCTAATGAGTTCTTACTGCAGGCTAAGTCGCAAGGAATCGGACATATCATCACAGCTAGTCTGGAAGAAGAGGATAGAAATGATCCAATAGTGGCATGCGATGATTAAGCTTATGGCTCATAGTTACAGGTAAAAAAAAAAAAAAAAAGGCAAAGCATTTTCGCCAAGAGAGACTAAGAATCGTAGATCCTAGTATGTGGATTTCATTCCTTCCAGTGAAGACCATCAAGCCAAAATGCCAGAACAAGTGCAGGTGCACACTACTTGATGTAAGCTCGATTATGCTCCACAAACCCGAGTGAAGCGGGAAAGGCTCGAGGTTCACACGGAGTAACCCCGCTGCCCCTCATTCTCGCTCCTGCAGGATAATGCTCCATCGTACGTCTGTATACCACTTCAGGAAATGTTGACGAGAAACTGGGTTTCGACCCAAGGATTTTTGAGTCTGGCAATTTGGGCACCTAACCTCGCGACTAAACTGCAGGAGAGCTGTAAGTCGGAAAACGGACATCTAGTAGATTCATTCTTGACTGTTGTGCCAGATCATAATCGGTTGCAGTCAGAAAGATGATGTCGACAAAAGAAATCAGACCCGGGAGAGAACTGTGTGGCAAGTCTTCTCAGGCCGCGGACGCGGGGAAATAAGTTAAGAATCATAATATTCGGGGATCTATGAAAGTTCATTCAAAGATTCGTTAGTGAATACGAACAAGGAAGGTAGTGGCATTGCAATACGTAGGTCACTCATTATTCAGCTAGATAGGATCTTTGTAGGAGGTATTAGAATATAGCTTTTTCTATGGGTAGTGGAGTTGGACAAGCAGCAGTTAATCTCATAAAGTCTGATACTCTGACTAACATAGTACTTCACGGCTATCAACATTGACCATGAAGGAGAGTAAAGACAAATTCGCAGTTGTCTCTTCAATCTCCTCCCATATAAATCGTCAACATGAGGAGTACCCTCCCAAAACCCAGATTCCATACTCGCAGTACCATTCAATTCACATTTCCAGCTATCCAGATCACAGGAGACGCAAGCAATACATCCTTCGATATTCTCTAGCATGGCACGACCACTGGTAAGGGAACGTCTTTAGTTGTCGGCATCTCCGGCAAGGCCAATACCAGGGTAGATATTGGTACGCTTCTCATGATCATCGCCAGCAAGCCCAATCCCTGGGTAAATATTGGTGCGCTTCTCAAGGTCATCACCCGCAAGACCAATGCCGGGATAGATATTGGTACGTTTCTCAAGATCATCACCCGCAAGCCCAATCCCTGGGTAAATATTGGTGCGCTTGTCAAGATCATCACCCGCAAGACCAATCCCTGGGTAAATATTGGTGCGTTTCTCAAGGTCATCGCCAGCAAGACCAATGCCGGGATAGATATTGGTGCGCTTCTCATGATCATCGCCAGCAAGACCAATACCAGGATAGATATTTGTGCGCTTCTCAAGGTCATCTCCAGCAAGACCAATGCCAGGGTAGATGTTTGTGGGAGATCTGGATATAATTGAGTCATGAGAGCCTTCATGGGCAATTGGGGCCGCAAACCCAAAGGCGAAGAGAATGGAGACAGTAAAATAACGCATACTAATCATTTTGAATGGAGACGTGCTCTGAGAGAAGAGACTGGGCTTGATGATAATAATATAATGGTCAAGATATCGAAGTTATCAGAGGAACGGTACTATGATGACCAGACCGACAAAAACTCGTATATATACCAGGCTATCGAAGATGCCCTTAGACCAGGCCTGACAAATCTTGGCAGACGAATTCTGTTCTGTCAAGGCAACCTGTTATGTGTCCCTAACTCGGGGTCTTCCCAGACTATCCATCTGGATCCTTTTCATGTTCTTGCCCCATCTCCTTGTCAACCCAGTGCTGTCCGGGGCCATTGAGGTATTTTTCTTATTGGATCATGCTCCTCACAACGATAGAGCTGGCCCGCATAATAGTCCTTGACTTGAGCGCGAGAAGGTAGTGGTGTACAACGTAAACTTCACATCTTTCGGAGATAGTTACACTCAAAAATCGAATAAATTGAAAAAGACGCATTGGTAAATACCTAGTGCATAATACACACATAATACCATGACATATCAAAACAATACAGGCTGTTCTTATCTATATCCTGATGACGAAGATCATACAAACCAGCATGCATTTGCATTCATATTACAATGAATCCCAAGTGCCATGGATATAATTTTCAGCCCCACAGCTGATGCAAGCGTCTATTCCGTGAAATCCGGTTTGCTCATATGTCAACCACTACTGTAACAGAATCCTTCAGATTTTCAGAATCCAACCGGAGCTCAGGCAAGAGAACAATCCCCGATATACCCCTCATTTCAATGCCTCAACTGCGACGTGCATCCAGGATGTAACGTCCGGAGACTTCCCGTTCTTGGATGTGTTGGGGCTATCATGGCTCGCGAAAGGCATGCAGATCAAGATGAGGGTCCTGTGTTCAGATGCTGACACCCATTATTTTTTCGAGTCTTTGGTAGCTTTCTCGGATATAACCTGTGCATAGGACGTGAGACTGAGGTGTTAGCTAGAGCCAGATATCCCACCTTGTTCACTTATCACCATACATACAATCATTTCTATTATGTTTGAGATTGACGGCCAGTCATACTCAAAAATAGGGGGTGGAAAAGACAGAGAGTTTGGATTCACTAGATGAAGAGTCCCGTTCCACTGACGGCTTGCTCAATGGCAGCCCAATATTGTCCCGGAAACGTTGGCTTCAGAGAGCTAAGAACACCAGGGTTCTTCTTGGTGTTGTAGTGTGTGGCCTTATTGGAACTCATATTCTGGCCGTACTCTTTGGTCTGAAGCTACGTCCGAATATGGACGAACTCTGTCTGTACCACACTTCTGCGTACTGTATGTTTTTGGACGATCCTGAGCAAACTGCACCAGCCACTGACAACCGGTAACAACAGCACCGGTATTGAAAGAAATCAACCCTGAATTGGAGTTAGTTCAGTTCAACGGGACTCTGGGATATCCCTCCGAGTTTACTGGGGACCCGAGTCCTGAACTGGATGCGGTATGGGACAAATGGGGATATGGTAGGTGACATCATGGAATTTCTCCGTCCGAAAGGTACAGGATGGCTAATGCAAGTGGCGCCAGTCAAATACGCAAGTATCCCCCCTGAGGAGTTCCTAAAGCTGCCCGGCGCAGATCCAGACGCAGCGCGACTCACCCCTGAGTATGGGGGGAGGGTACATTGGCTTCTTAGAGATTAGCCACCAGCTGCATGTGAGTAGCTTTGCTTAAGTGGCAACGGAGTATCATACCGTGGGCTGACACCTCCAGTGCCTGAACATGATGCGGCAAGCTATGCACCAGGACTACTATAATAACCCTGAGTTCCCCGAGCAAAGGGCTCCTGTTTTCACTGATAGACCGTTCACAGTCAAGATGCATCTACGTATGAAATCGAACAAAGCCAATGGGCAGTTACAGCGCTAATATTTGACAGAGCACTGCGTTGAGATCTTACGCCAGAATATTATGTGCAATGCCGACGTCGGTATAATCCCTCACGAGTGGGTGACCCAAACTCCAGATCCATTTGCCAACTTCAACACCTGGCACAAGTGTCGCGACCTGAAGAGTGTAGAGAAGTGGATTCACGAGCACGAGATCCCAACCCCCCCGGACGGGAGTGACCTGCCGATTCCGCTCGATTCGAGGATCTTTCCTACTTTGCCGTAGCAGGAATTGATTTTGGTGCATCAGATAGTTATTTTTACTACCATGTTCCGACGTTATTGAGGACGGCTTAGAGATTCTCCTTTAACAATAGTGATCCGTATGCTTTTCAGGCTGATCACCTAAGTAGGGAAAACGTAGAAACAGAAGCCTGATTCCATTGTTTCTGCTCGCTGGGGAGAACATACCGGTGCACCAGTCTATGAAATATTAAAGTCTACATTTATCTTGCGTTATAGCTCAGACACTAATGACGTAGACATATCCAGGCTGCTATATATCTGCCCATCTCCTCATTCGTTCGGTTTAAATTTTCTCGTTCCTCAAAAACCTGCAGTGCTCATATTTTCTATTATTGCCTCGGAGCTCAGCACATCATGTCTAGCCAGCTGGAAAAGGTCCAGTCCGAAAGTGACCAGACTCAAGAGAATGAATCCTTACTAGCACATCCAGACTACAGAGAGTCTTCAATTCGCCTCCTGAGACGGCCACTCCTGCTTTCAATCCCATTCATCTGCGCCTGCATCTTGCTCCTCGTTGATATCTCCATCCGATTGAACGCTACCACAAGTTGCACTATTGAACCTTAAGTATGCATCCTCTCAGCTCGTCTCGCAATCGTTTCCAAGCTCCGAGAGTCTTTTTAACCCTCAAGCAAATACTAGCATACTTCGACCGCCACATCAACAACAAGTACATCACCCACCATTTCACAGACGAAGTAAACTCACCTTTTCGCTCGGCCTCCTCCGAAGGCCAAGCAGCGTGGGATGAAGTCATGAGAGGTACGAGTCCATACCTCTAGCACTACTGGAAATACCGCCCAATATACCATCGTGTATAGTAACATAGTTATACGTAGTTGAATTTTTTCGAATGACTAAGAGCGAATTATCCGCCATTGGTGCGCCTGACTCCTCCGTCAAATTGTCCAAGTCCAGAGGTGGAGGATACCTAGCTAACTTGGCTGTTTTTCACCAACTCCACTGCGTGGTGAGTATTTGCCCCCAGTTTTAGTTATGGGTCAGCCCTATTGATGATGTGGTACTGGGAGCAGAGAATCCTCTGGGAAGCAACTAGAATGGAATACTTCGCTCCCCGGGAACCTGTCTTTTACGGAGAGGAGTCGGAGGAGAAGATACACGAGCATTTGGGTACTTCTCTCTTCTCTACCTGTCTCCCACTCATCTACGTACCGCTTGGATTACTACTCACGATTGTGGATATCCTGAAAGAGCTATGCTAAGGAGATACAGATCATTGCGCGGATATCGTGCGCCAGGCGCTCATGTGTCATGCTGACACGAATATTATTTCTTGGGGGTATCCAATTGAGGGCTCAACAATGCTGCGGCCGAATTACAGTCTTCCGAGGACTTGTCGGGATTACGATAGTATCATCGCGTGGGGCAGGGAGAATGAGATTCATTATCCTTAACTCTCTCCTCTCCCTCTCTCGGATATTGATTGGGTGTCGTATGGGGGTCAGTTTGTTCAACAGCGCCTCAGTAAAAGTCCCGAGTGTGCCTTACCAATTTGATTGACTAGAAAGTAAATACAAATTCGGAACTTGTTTTACAACGAGCTTCCATAATATGACTGGTGGGTATGTATATAACACCTGTAGTTACTAGGTCGATTAAACTTGGGAAATTTGACCTTACTAGATCCCTTCTTGTAAGAGCATCTAGCCAGGGAACAAACCATGACTATTCATCCTTTCCCTTTGGGGTTGCCAATATTCATGCATCCCACTGTTGCTACATGGTGTCGGGAGAGATAGGGGGATGTAGGGATTAACTTCCCCGCTTTCCCACAGGGCTTCTATACGGCCTTGGTTTTATTTTGATACATAGATATTCAATACATCAAAATATGTTGGAAGTGGGTCCAATTAAAATGCTACTGCGCGTGATGGGACGACCACTATATAGCACGGGAGTATTTTTAATACGGCTAATAAACTTTGGGTCATTCTATAGTTAACGGCACTAGGGGGAAGGCACCTTTGTCTGACCTATTATTGGATGGTAAGGTGAGTGTTCTGTCTATAAAACAGCCTTCAGTGCCCTGTTTCGATATTGCATTTATCCTTGCTTATCTTTTGATATATTTTCCTTCAGGCAACAGCTACACTTTGAACAGATATTTAATAGGAAGCCTACCATGGTTCGTCAAATGTCCATACGTTTTTTACAATTTTGCTAAATTCTACTGTTCAAGGCCCCCCTGCACGAGTCTATTATTCGCCTTCCAGCCCAGTTGGCGTTAAATGGTTTACAGGTACGAGGACTGGGAATAGTGGCTTGTGAGAGTACGAGCCTTCGGCTTAATCTCAGCCCCGAAGCCAAATCCCTCGTGGATATTTGCCAGGCTCTCCGGAAAAGCAGATTCCGCAGTGTGGACATAAGTCGCCTGTCAGAGAACAAACTCCTCCATGAGTACGCTGAATTTTTTCTGGAAAAACTTTCGTATGATGGGCTTCTTATGCTGTCTCTCCTTACTTGGCACTTTGACGCGTCACTTCATAACTTTTCGACAGCGGCCCTGCCTCCTCGAGAACTTCTGAAATTTTTCTCTCGACCAACAGGGAATATTAAGCAACTGTGCGAGATTCTTTGGGGCCGATACATTCTATTTTCAGAGCAGGCATTGACGCTAGGGGATTTTAAAGCCAACTTCAAGAGACTTGTGGGTTTTCTTGAGCGTGGATTTGGTTTATACTTTTTCAGATTTTCTCAGTAGATGGAGAGCAATCTCAGTGCAGTATACTACAGTATGTAAGCGTCACTTTATAATAATAAAAATCAAGCGTCTAGATATTCTTTTACTATACTTTTCCTATGAGTGTATAATATCCTATTTCATTTTTAATAACTTTACAACTTCATTTCTTTTGCTGGATACTATACCTTGCATGTACCCATACAGGTCGGCAAAAAAACGAAAATAATACTAAGTTGCAAATGCGTGATTATAATCCATAGTTAAATTTTTTTAACCGTCAGTGCACATATTTACACTATTTTACTCCATTTCACACTAGGCACAGGACGATGGGGGTAAGAGATGCTCATCTGCAATGTACCCTGTGAGACAGATTTATAAACAATGCTCTCCTTGCCTTGGTCTTATACACCAATGCCTTTCTGTTTCTATATCGTAATATGGGTACTATACGCTGGACCAAGCGCTGATTGACGTATACTTTCAGTTTGAATGTCCTGCCCAACAACTATCTCTGATAATTCGCTTATCAAGAGGATAAGGCCGGCAGATAGGGTGGTTCGGCCAGTAACCCAAATAGACTTGCCAAGGGTGACGTGCGTACTACCGATCAAGCCGGGTCCATCTACACGAAGCGCAGTGTAGACAGCCTGGGAGAAGTTCAGGGGAGTGAAGGTTGTTTTATACGTGCGGAGGAGGGTGAATGTTCCAATCTAGTTAATACAATTAGTGGAATTCCATTACTAGTCAAACGACCACAGCCTTACGCCTTTGTATAGTAGATCCCGGACAGGAATAAGGTGCACATCAATCCCATTTTTTGGGATGACGACGCCCGTGCCATCTGGTCGTATCTTACTCTCCCTTGGTAGAGGAAGCGTCCCATCCAGCCAGTTATTTATCTGTGGAATAAGTGTAAGTATTTTAGCTTCCACTTTCTTATTATCTAGGACGTGCAGATGATGTGAACAGTTGCTCCAGCCTTTAGCAACTGGTTCTGTCGGGATATATCCCCCCTGTCAGAACAAACTAGTGGTGACATACTGCTAGCCACTGATGGATAACATCCCTTGCTTGGTGTACGCATTCTTGCGTTGGGCTGCGGCTCCGGTGTTGTAACCGCCGAGGCCGGCGCGTGATCCAGGGGTGTTTTCCAACTAGACTGAGAAAGAACATCTATCTATATAAATTAATTAACTTTTGCTTTTTCAAGCATACATGCTGTCCACTTAACTGTGTACGCAGTACCCTAGCTGGTGATACCAACAGGTTCCCTGCTGGATCGCAATTTACAGTATCAATGCTGATCTTCTGTGAGCGGACCGACTGATGGGCGACGGGTTGTTTTTGGTGATAAGGATCAACGTTATATGTATTTGTATTTACTGTTAGGATTATTTCGCGCGGTCTTCGCTTAGAAATGCATTTATCAATGTTGTGATTTTTATTTATATCTCCAAACATGAAGATTTATATACAAGGTAAATATTAGATTAATTGGAAATCAAAGCGACAACCTTTCTAAGGAATTAGACACGATACCCACACTGGCCTCAACAGCTTTTGTTTTTGATGACTCGACCTTTATTTCTTTTTTTTATATATTGTCACGGTTTCCTCCACATATCCCTTCCTCAGTGGTCATCGTTGCGAGTGATCGATGCATGAACAAGGAATATCAGTTCGTGCCCCCGACATAGATCTCACCATTTGCCGTGTTTTTTTACAAGTATGATGCCATTCCACCGCAAACATTAACAGTCTCGTAATTAGTTCCGAATCCTCTTATCTCCGGAATAATCCGGTAGTAAAAGTTAGCCGCATGTCCAGTCTTAGCAAAACTAATAAGGTTATCCATCTTGTGCTTGGCGTTGTCCGCATAGACAGCCCATGTAGCAGCCCCCGCCAGTGCCATAGACTTTTAATGGGCTTGGGTGAGCTTCGATCTCTCCCTGGTAGTGAACGAGATCTTGAACCCAGGTTTGTCAAATCGCTTTTTCAAACCAAATCCTCCAGTGCTATTCGCACCAGAATCCCCTCCTGCAAGGGGCAGTTAAAGAACGGTGTCGCCGTTTTTATAGTGATTGGCGATGATATCGTACTTCGGCGAGTCCTCAAGGGCGAAACCAGTAATCTGGAATCTGTGGATTGGTAAAGGCTCGCCCTGGCGTCTAGCCAAGGGAGCAGTATCCGAGGAAATCGAGAGAGGAGCGAGATTTTCGTAGGAGATATTATCACTACTGGACAGCATAGTCTCCCACAGCCGGAAATAGTCCTGGGAAACATCGACGTGACGCTTACCCGGTAGACCTTCGGGAACAGATCCAGAGTAGTGGGCGGCAGCAACATAGGCCAAGAGTAGACCGTCTGAAATAATATAAGATAGTTCCTCACATCTACTGCCACCGGTATATTCACAGACTTGTCGAGCAAGACGCGAGCCCATTATGATATAGACAACCCTAGAAATTATTAGTCTCTTAAAAATTATCGGGGATCAAGGGGAGAGCATGCGCCTTACGTAAATTTGCTAGTACTAATAAAACGAATTGTTTGATTATCTCACAGACCCTGGTATCCCTCTGCTCTAGAATCGCCAGGGGGCTCGTCAGCCGGATTAGGAGATCGGATCTCAAGACTGATATCTGAAGGAAGTTCAGTAACATCCACTGTAGTAGTAGATGCCGCTAAAGTAACTTGACTTGTAGCCAGAAGAAAGAGAAGAAAGATTGAGAACTTCATGCTGATGCTTTAGGACGGTTGTTGCGACTAAAGAGATTATTTTTTGGGGGGGTTCGCTACTCAATATTTATAGCTGTATGTCGATATTTAGCGTTGGACGTTACTCTGTAGAGCGTACCCGACTTTGATTATACGATTTGCACGTGAGACATAATATAATGGCTATCCACAAAAGAATGGACTATTGAACTACTGGTGCTTTTAGTAAGTAAAATCCCTGTCTCCATGTGGAGTCGAGAATCAGAATAATCAAAACACAGGAACAGTTGATAGTGGATAGCTTCCTACGAACCTTTGCAACGCTAGCCGAAAGGAAGGGGGGTGGGGGTTAGTGTTAGTCTTCGTACATAAATACCTCACGTAGCCGGTGGTCTTCTATTTATCTACCATTGATTCCTGAGAGCAACTGTTCCACACAGCCTATTCTTCCTTTCTTCGAGCGGTGCTAATATGTTCTACTGTCGGATGGCTTGAAATGGGCACCAATGAAAAAACCACTACGTTAATTTCTCACCCTTCCTCTTCGCCAACACCTTCGCGAACTGTTACTGTTCTTCGGAATATCGTACAAAGTCCGCGGACGTAAGTGCGGTCCTATATATTAATGCTCTAAGATGTCTGAAGCTAACTTTTTAGCTTACCGTTTATCGCACTGATTACTCCACTTGTGCGATGGTTTTGGAATTACATGGGATGGCGTAACGGAGGAGAGGTGTCCCTATTGCTGAATCACGGACTACTAATACTGTATTTTATTATATCGCAGTATGTTCGCAGGTACGGTTAATAGATTAGAAGGCAATAATTTACTATAGTAAATAACAAATTTTCATCTGCCCACCTTAATTATCTGTGCTGGAAAGAAGCTTCAACATCCTGTGTTTGAGATCCTTGCCTGACCGAGTTCGCTAAAAGTCTGCGATACAGGGTTTGGTGAGACAATTCTCCCATAGTCTATGTCACTTGTCATCGCTACCTACCCAAGGCAAAATAAAAGGCCTAAATCCATGCATCCTCCACCCAGATGGTACTGCGTTAGTGCTTTCTAGGGGGAGGTGCGAGCAATACACCTTACAGAAAACTCCGAAACTGCAATATTATTATAGATACCCACTTTGCCCTACATGGCGTAGGGCTGGTCTGTGTACGGAGTAGTGCCATAGTTAACAGTCCACACCGCAGTCATACTTAAGTTAGCATGTGCCGATGTTCACATATTTGCAGGAGGCTTTCCCTATACTGCTAATGCTGTCCGTGGGTTTGTAATGTACTAGCTCCACTTCTGGACCGTCCCACACCGTATGGTCTTTTCTTATAATCACTATTAGGATAATCCACTGAGCCATTCCGGATAACCGAACACGCGCTAAACAAAGCCGTTAATTAAGCCACCCTCCGGACTTGGCAAACGCGACGCTAGCGTCTCGCTAAGCTCCTTCAAAATATAAGGTTACATTACCACAGACCAATAGGCAAGATCTAAAATCTGCCTTTGTTCGGTCCTATTCCCGGTTGGTCCTACAGCGTGGTGGATTCCTACTCTGTAGTGGATTCCTACTCTCTAGTGAGTTCCTACTCTGGAGTCGGTCCCTACTCTGAAGTGGAGTCCTACTCTGAGGTAGATGCCTGCTCCCCAGTGGGTGCCTACCCTCTCGTGGTTTCCTACTATCCAGTCGGTCCCTACTCTGTAGTAGGTCCCTACCCTCTAGTAGGTTCCTTCCCTGTGGCGGATTTCTACTCTGTAGTAGGTACCTAGTCACCAGTCTGTTCCTCCTCTGTATTGGGTTCCTGCTCTTCAGTCGGTTCTTGTGATGAATATAGGATCGGCCCGAAGGATTACCCGAAGTATCGGCAAGGTCCTCGCTTATATGTCTTCCCACAGACAAATTCCTGTATACTAACTAAGTTCGCTCATCCAATTCAATGGCTTAGTTCACTTTATTCAATATCAATTCCTCTGACCTACTGTAGATTCACAACAGTTCCTACTCTCCAGTCGGTCCCCACTCTGTAGTCGGTCTCTACTTTGTAGTTGGTCTCTACTCTGCAGTCGGTCCCTACTTTGCAGTCGGTTCCTCGGTTCCTACTGGAAGTCCCTCTAGTCTGATATTAGCCCGACAGGTGACTGCCCTACCAAGAACACCAACCTTATTTGTTATCGATTTTCTCAAGCACATACTTGGAGGGATGTTGAAATGAGAGAGTTATAGCCAGATTGATTGAAGTTGATTGACTCAAGGAGTTATCTGTTACACGGGCGGGATGCCTTATATATCTGTTCCCTATCCCTGGCCATGACTCTCTCATTTCAACACACGGGATAGCCATAATAGGACTAACATTGTCATAATAAGCAAGGTACAAGGCAGAATACGACCTACACCGTAGGATATATGTCTCGTTGCATGTATCTGAGGAGCTGTGAGCCCGTGCTTGGACGCAGGGAAATAGAACCGCCTTCACAAGTCTGGTTCTGTCTTGGGACTGTGGTCTTGAGACCAACCGAGACATGTGACTTCTCTGCCAAGACCCTCTTGCTTATGTATCCCCATCGCGACTGTGCCAAATCTCTTGCGGAGAGGAAATTTTATGTAGTTTCTGTCGAATTGGAACTAGACGAGCTACCCTCCTTGCAACTAAAGAATACTGGGGCATTGTGAATTCTTACGATAGTCGACATAGGGCAGCAGACGTGCGAAGGTTGCAGTTTGGAGAGGGCTCCCGGGGAACCAGATGCGTGCTGTTGCCGGACGAGGCCCGCAGGCACATAAAGGCTTCGGCTTGGAGAGGGTCATGGCCGAACGAGGACTGCAGACTAGAAGAGGGTCATAGTGAGGATACTCCTGCCTTAAAAGATCGTCCAGATACATACGGACTGGTGTGTAACGATGCGAACGATGCTGATCACCCGCGATCACCCCAGGGTGACCTCACCAATAGCATGTTTGGACGATCAAGAACTGGTGCACAGTGCGCCGGTGTTTTGCATTGACCCTAGTTAGGTACCTCCACTCATCTGTGCCGTCTTAGCCGAAGCGAAGCCTGGACAGGACCTTTACTCTAGGCACCTTGACCGGCATAAAAGAGGTTACCTATCTGGCGGGCAAAAGCATCGTAATCTCTACTCCTGAATTTCACTTGTTTATCCTTTTGAAGTATATATTGGCACTTATTTTTTACGTTTGATGCATACTTAGCCGCTTCCAGGCCTTTCCTCCTCTGAAGGTAATTGTCAGAGGTGGGCAGACCGCTGGGAAGGGAAATTCCCATCCCATGGGGACTCCCTTCCCGAAAGTCTTGGCAAGGGAAGGGAAACTTCTGGGATTCTATCTTTACTGTTACCAACACCTCAGCCCGCACAATATAGGAAGCAGCAGAATCTCAGTATTTCAAACGCGTAGGTATTATGTTTGTTCATGTATGTTCCAGCAACAGCTGATACATCAGAATATCCATATATCTGGGGATAGCCCTCAATGGTTCCAAGGAGAATTTACAATTATTGTCTCTTTAGGATATCTTATAGTTCGTAGACATGAAATACATCTCGAGTATCGACAGAGGGTAAACATCCCATAAATCTAAATTGGTGCTTACCAATTGCGCCCAGTTGATATATAGCTCAACGCCACCCTTTCAAGCCATGTCTGTATTCCATAAAACAAGTTTATTCCTGGCTAACGTGAGGTACCCTCTTCATATACCGAAACATATAATGCCCCCACCTCCCCTCATTATCCGACGAGGGCGCAGGAGCATACTGATCCAAGTCGATATCGAGTGTGCCAATGGTTTCAAATCCATGTTTCCCATACATTCGCCACGCATCCGCCGACGAGTGTACCCACATGAAGACTCCTGCTGCATCTGCTCTGTCTGTGCCCCACTGCAAGAGCGCGGATCCTACTCCTTGCGACTGCCATTTGGGCGCCACACAGAGGGAGATGACAAACATACACCTGGCGCCGTCCGGCATAAGTTTGTCCATCCAGTCTTTTAGATCTGCGTCCGTCATGGTTTCTAGCTGCTTGATTGGATCATCCTCAATGGCGTCTGTTTCTGCCTTGACCAGGTTATTTGTTGCAGGTATTTTCTTCCCTTCTGCAGGAGGTTCCGGAGCGGTTTTTACCGTTGGAATCACGACACCAGGACGTATGTCTGCAATTTGTTCATTTGTGAATCCTCGAAAGCCCCATGATACCCAGCCTGCAATTTCGCCAGACACATTGTCCACTGCTTTTAGGAGGACAATATTCGGCGATGTCGCTTGCCGGGGTATGTCTGCTGCCATTGATTTCTCCAGATTGTATGGATCTTTTCCGAGGCCTTTCATTTGAGTATGGCGATCGGTGAGGAAAGAATCGCCGCTTACTTTGCCGAGGACCGGGGCGTCTAGAGGGGAGGCCAGTTGGATAGAGAACTCAGTGGCTGCCATTGTGCTTGTTGTCTTGTTGTTGTGCCAGTAGTAGTCATAGAGGGAGAAGATGTGAGACTTGGTGGGGAAGTTGAATAGCCGGGATTACGTCTGTCATCGACACCCCGCGCGGGGTGATTAATATTCGATTCAGACACTTGGAAAAAAGAAAAAGAAAATAAGACCGATGTCAATACTGCATTGAGATACGTCACATTGCACCACATTACGTAGTGCTGTATGTACTGTCCTTCTTGTCCTAATCCTGGTTAGAGTATCTAATAGGGCTCTTGTACATTGATGTCTACAAATAATTAAATACTCTACGTCCCACTCTAAAGGCAACAAGAAAACCCTGCAACTGTCAGGGTCAGGTCAACAGCCTGGAGTGCCTACTTCCGTCCGGTTGGCGCAGTGCGATTGTGCGCCATATGCGCACTCACAAGATGTCCTGCTTGCACAGCAACTCAGTTCCCCTGCCAGAACAGCAGCTGCCACTATCCGGACAGCTGACGGGAATTAGTCCCCGGATCCGAAGCATGGGCGCCACAAATGCCCAGCATGTCAAGCATGGCGGATTGCGCTTCGAGGATGGTGCCGCCGCCGATAGTGCCCACCTCGACGGACGGCACTAAGACAGAGACGTGTAGATTTCCATTGACACTGATGATATCATTAACAAAGGCTAATACGAGACTCAGAAGGGAGGCAGCATACATCTTCATTATAGTGATACAGCTGGAGCTCTCCACGTTCTGCGCCGGATCCTGGCCGGTGGCTAAGAACACGGCAGCGACGAGGTTGGTGGCATGCGCGTTGAACCACCCTATACTCCCAGCTATAGCGCTGCCAGTAAGGTTCTTGGCCGTATCCATCTCTACAAGAGTCTCCACGTCTATCTTAAGCACGGAGCGCACTGCATTGCCGGGGATTGTGACCTCTGCCACCACAGACTTGCCCCGCCCGTCAACTCAGTTGATAGCGGACGACTTCCTGTCGACAAAGTAGTTACCCGTCATTGAGATGGTAGCCATGTCGTCGAATCCATTATCCCGCATTACCTGCAATGCCTTCTCGGTCCCCTTGGAGATCATGTTCATCCCCATCGCGTCTCCCGTGGTCGACTTAAACCGGACATAAAGATAGGTACCAGCTTGGGTGTTTTCAGACCTTGGAGTCGCGCAAACCGACTGGCAGAGTTAAACGCCATGGTTAGGACCTTCTACCCCGTACTCTGAATCCAGCCATGGCTTTGCCTCTGCTGCACGAGACACGAATGGGAATCCAATGCAGGGGGCACGGGTCATCCCATCGCTGTTGATCACTGTTACCGCTCCATTCCCAGGGTCAATCGCCTTGCAGCCGCGGTTGTTGCTGGCCACCAGGACGCCCTCGGTGGTCGCCATAGGGATGAAGTAGCTCTGGCCATCAATTAATATTGGACCGGCCACACCCACGGGCAAGGAGAGGTATCGAATAACGTTCTCACAGCAGGCTCCGTACACTAATTCATTGTTCAAATCCTGGTAGGGGTTTTTGGAGTTCTCCAGGCCGCTTGCAACATCCATCGTAGCTCTTGTGCGAGACACCACAGCACGACGGAGCTTAACAGCATGGGTGAAGGCCTCCAGTCGAGTCATGATGGGCTGGTCGGCCACGGTCGTCTCTAGAGCGTACCCGGGGATTTTCCCCCGGAGGCAGAGTTCGACCAGCTCTTCATCATCCAGTAATGATGCCTTCTTCTCCTTCACTATAAGCTCCAGTTCCTCGATTATCCGTTTGCTAATAGGACGGTTGGGCTGTAGACTTGGTTTGTAGGCAGATTTTGCAATCGCTATTGAGGTCTCAGCAGATTTCTTGGTTTCGCGAATATTCCTGTGCGCGGCGTTCATGAGATAGCTGTTCAGAAACAGGCTCACACCGAGAGCCACGATCACCCCCTTGCAGACAACTGGGTCTTCCAGTGAGGAGAGTATGCCACCAAGGACATGACTACCCAGCACGTCATTCAGGAGCAGCGTCATGTACTGAATATCCTGTCGGCCTCCACATGGTACGACAGGTGATTGCATTACATACTTGATCGGGGGCAACACGGTCACACCCGTCTCAATGCTACTAACTCTGGCCGTGACATAGATATCATTGAGGCCATTAGCGGCCACTTTAAAGGGATTAATGGGACCAGGGGTGAAGAGACTGGAAGTCCTAAAGAGCGGCAGGACAGCGTTCAACCCTCCCATGACACGGAATGAGAGGGACGACAACTGCAGTACATTGAACAGGACGAAACCGCTGATCATATAAAGCTTCAGTTTGGACACATCCTCTGCCTGTATCTTGTACCCAAAGATGCGGAAGCTCCACTCCTGGCTGTTGGCATCCATCCCATCACCATTGGTAGCGCCCTGCTAGGCTACTTGACGGGGCACACAGTCATCCTCTAGAGCCTTGCGGAGATTTATGTGGTGCCGAATGCGGGTAATCTCCAGCTTCCCGCAGATAATAGTGATATACAATGTGAATAAGAGCAAGGCATCAAAGAACAGAATCCAGGCCGCGACAAAGCAGAACTGAGGGAGGCCTCCCCGGACCCGAGAGGCGGCTCCGACCGCTAGGATGGTGATTTCAATAACATAATCGCGAACAATTCGCCATCCCTCGTGCTGGGTGGCCACCTGGATATTGTCGGGAATGGATCGATGGCTAGGCAGTCTGATTAGGGAAACAGAGTTGGTGGTTTTACCGGACGAGCGGTTGAAGCGGGTCAAGGGCTCGGTGGACGCATGTAGTAAAGCTCGGGTGAGACGAACAGGTTTCTCGAATCCCACCATCACCGCTAGGAGGGGAAGGCCTTCAGAGAGAATGTGCATGCTGATGGGCACCCCGCAGCTGGTGGTGACGATTAATCCGAAGAAGAAGGCGAACAGACACGAGAGCGGCACCGACGCACCAACCAGAAGCGAGACCCGAGGCGGCGCGTCGAGATAACAGGAGACAGGAAGGTGGTCCAGCGATCATTGTCTCGGGGTCGATATTGATAGGAGGCGAGATCAAAGCAGGGGATATTGTCGATGCAATGGAAATCTCGAAACTGCCACTCTTTCTACGTGTTGTCCGATCATACTGGGGCGAACTGTGAGGGCAAGTATAATAAAGGAGGTAATTTTCTGTACCCTGTCATATTCATTATGGTGCCAGCATCGGTCCGATTTTTCCGTACTCTGTACAGGGGACAGGCGTTCCGTCACCGAATAGAACTAAAGCAGCCTGTCGCCAGAACGGGTTCGAGCATATAAGAAAAGAGCACCGGTTGGTGATATACCCACCAGTCCAGGCAACCTCCATTTCTGCCCTTTGCAGCCAGAGTACTGTCAAATACCACCACACCACAAAAGGTATCGCTGATACAATTTGGATGTAGTACTAGTGTATCTGCTTATTCTGACACACCCCCTCGGCGTATAATTATATATGTTTTGATTACACGCTGAACCTCGCAACAGGTACCTATTCTAGTTTAGCCAGCGGAATCTTGCCTAGTGGATCACTCCTCTTCGGGCTGCCATCTTGGCCTACTTCTTTAGAGAAAGTGGAAGATGATCAGACTAGGATTCGAACACTCGGCTACTATATTCTTTATATCGGATAGGCACTCTATTTCCCCTAGCGTATATGCGCCTACGCTCGTAAATCATATGGTATACTGCGATTCCTTTTTCTGTTGTTATTAACCCTTTTAGGAGGCGTTACGAGATGTGGATCTTGTATAGCTTCCAAAATTGACGCATTTGGTAACTAAAATCGGATGAATTGGTCAAAATGCGATGAAATGGTTAAACTTCGCGTTGTTTTCTCAACTTGCGAGAATTTTGGTGGTGAGGAGAAAAATGAGTGCAAGAGGTTTTAAATACGGCAGGTCTGCCTTAGAGAACGGCGAAAAAATGCCACTGCAGTCTACAGAATGTCCTTAAAAGTTTCGTGGATCTGTACCTCTCACTCCATAACAGCCTATATTTGTTAGCCTAAAATTCAGACCCGCGAGCCTTAATTTGCAGATACAATGCTTCGCGTACAATCATTTCCCCCAAATTTAAGCCATCGTGGGGTAACAGATACCTAAAAAGCTCTAGGTACTGTTGGCGGCAGGAGCTACATCTCCACTCAGACTGCCTTGGCAGCTTTGCCTTGTCCACTTGATAGGCTCTTAGACAAGCTTTTCATAGCGACACCGTTTCAAGAGGCCCAGACTAAACTTATAACTAGTATTCCATTTTCAGATCTTCAGCACGTCGGGGGAGTGACAAATTTTGATCATATAATGATCCCGTCGCCTCATGCACCTCGGGTGCTACAGCGTTCGGTCACTGCAAGGTTGCGAACTCCCAAGCTGACTGTATACCTGTATACACGCTACCCTCGTCTCCTAACATACTAATCACGCTCGAACTGGCCCTTAACCGTATTTCGGTATATCTAAAACAGATGGATCGGGGTAAAGTACGGTATAAAATCATAAATTTATATATAGTTGACACAAGCACAGCATGTGACATATTCTGCTCATATGGTCTCAGCTGGACCTTGGACCGGAAATATCTCATAACCAACATAATTTTCATGCATGAGGGCTCTCCCGAAAGACACAGAAGCCAGTACAGCACTAATCCAGCAACTTAAAAATAGCAGCCCGACTAATCTTGCTTCCCAGGTTTAGTCTTGCTTCGCTTCATTTCTGAGACTGCCCAGATCCCCGCAAAAACGTATGCATAAGCCGCTGCAGCTGCAAAAGCGCTGATCTCAACTTCAACAATACCAGGGAGATTTGTTGGGAGCTTTAACCATTGCCTCTGCACATAATCGGGGAGCAATGACAATATATTTCCGATAACAACTATTGCCGACAGGTTGACACGGTTGATTGCAATCGTATAGCCACAGATAGAATGCAGCACGGCCCACTTGCGATGCTGCTCGATTTTTCTTGCCCTCGCCATCTGAACCGTGCGGAAGAGAGTGAAAAGGAACACAGGTGCGTAGATCCATAACCCCCCTGTGAAAGTAGGCCATATGAATGGGGGGATCCATACACCTCTAACTGTAAGTGCATGAATATGGAAGACATTCTCGTGCGTGTAGGTGAGGTCACGTAATAGAAACACCATTCCACTCAGTGACTGAATCAGGGAGACCGAAAGAGCTATGTACCCATTAACGCGATGCAAGTTCATATGCTCTTTACGAAGGCTGTCAAGATGTTGAAGTGGTATTGATATGCACCATATAAATGCTGGGGCAGCGTGCAATCCTTGGTAGAGCCAGAGCGGCGCTGTCTGGAGTCTGTGATTTATAAAATTAATGCCAGACTGCTGAAAGGTTAATTTTACACGGTATGATACTCAGGGAGTTGCCGTACCTCTGCTTGCCTGTAGTTTGAGAGAACTCCCAAGTGAGACCTATTCCAATATTTAGGCACACCAGTGAAAGCCATTACAGCATAAACAATTAGTATCGCACTCAGCGGGATAGCGAGTCTGAGTGAGAGTCTGGGTCGTGCGGTTTGAGGATTCATCATGGCGTTATTACTACACCAGCGTCGTAATGTCATTGCAAACTAGGCTTATTTATATTAGAAGTAATTGCGAATTTTGAGGAGTGGCATATTTTCGCTCTAAATCACATGCGGGGTAATCAGCTGTCTATCTCGGCATGTGGGGGCGAAGCGGAACAAGGCGTATCTATAGAGCATACGCAACAGGCTCAGATTTTCTAATCCAATTTGACTTTTTAGTGTCTCGTAATCATTAAAGGGCTTTAGCCCTCGGCTTCACTTATAACGGGGTCATGTGTATGACCAGTTGTGCTTCAGCAGTTTCTCTAATTTAAAGGGCAGACGCCCAACTGAATGGCCAGCCTGCATTTCAGCATCAAGGCCTCTATTCATTATGGCGTCCTATTACCTTCCTCGACATAGCCAGCTGGCTAGAAGCGTCCTTTATACAGTTAGCATCCTGGGCTTTTTTGCTTTACTTGTCTTCCCCATTAGCACCGGCCTGTTCTCTGAATCTCTAAGTTTAGCTCGCCAGCACCGCATTGGGTCCAGATCTCTCCCATATAACACTGTTTTGTCCGGTTGGGAAAGGCTTGATGACGCTTTAAATGGATTTACAACATTCTTCTACGATCTAAGCGAAGGTGCTGCAGCCGACACTACCTTACTGCTCGTACCTTTTGTAGGATCTGCAATAGGTATCTTGGTGTTGGGGATGGTTGAGAGCAGAAGAAGTGGCAATATAGGCAAGCTGCCATCCTTGTGAGTTCATCCGTTGCTGTAGGGTCATAGAGAGGTCGGCTAATCCCTCGCTGAAGTTTTACGACAATGGCGATGCTCGGACAGCTCCTTGGCCTAGGTTTTGTCAGCCCCGCATTTCTCGGCCTCTGTTTAGAGCAACAAGGCGCAGGGCTCACTAGCCGTGATATCGCTATTGATCCTGAGAAATCGTACACAATTCCTTTAACTATCGTCCTGGGATTTGGAATTCCATCACTTCTAGCTGCACTTCCAGCACCGTCACTTATTTCAGTCGATCTGAAAGTTCAATTCGTCCGCATCTGGGAAATATTTCCCATTGCCATCTATTTGGTCCGTAGACTCCTTCAAATCGGGGAGTGTACGTTCCGCACTAAAGTGAGACAGGGAAGACCACCCTTCAGCATCCCTCACGGGGTGTATGCTTTTGGTTTTGTTTGTAGCGCTCTTTCCTATGTCTACTTTTGGAGCATATCTTTGACTGCTTATTTTGTGCCTTTCCTCTTTCGCTCTCACATCGCACTTGCGTTGGATCCAGTGCACCTAGTGCGACTGGTGAACCCTTTTGTAACAAACGTGACCATGCCATCTCTGTCTGAGGGAATACTGCAGTTTGTTCAGTGGGATCTAGCTCTTATCAGCATAGCTCACCTCATCTGGGCTCTAGCATTAAGGCTACGTCAACTGCCTAACTATCCTGGCAGAATCTCTACGAAGAGTATTGTCGCAAGAGCAATTCTCTGTGCTGTTATTCTAGGGCCAGTAAGTTCGGCGATTTTAATGGTTTGGGAACGTGATGTTGAAGTTTTGGGCAATGAAGCGCGTCTCTCGCGAGAAGCAGCGATAAAGAAGAGGGATCCTTGATAACTCTAAATAGATTCTATGATATTCGTAATTATGGTCTACTTTCAGCAAAATCAGAACTATCATAGAACAGAAGTTGAGAAACGGGTAATCTAGACGCTAATTGGCATCGAAACCTGATCGATGAGAAGCAAACCAGATGTCCTGCAGCAGGTCGATGCTAGATGAACCATTGTGGCAGTATCTAGCACTCTAGTGATAGGTTTCGGTCAAAGCTTCACTCTTTGCTAAAAGTTTATTCCTGGGGATTGTTGATGAGGTGCAGTGAACGACAGGCTAATGGAGTACAGAGGCCATCTTACAGGCAGGTGCGAGGTCGGTCAAGATGACCGCAAACGACACCACCTCCATGTTTCCAGCTAGTATTTGCATACCTGTCAGATATATATAGGTGTAATTCTATATGAGCCTGAATATTCTCTATATTTGTTGTGATGTGTGTTGTCATTACCTCTCTTTTTCTGATGGCACGGCTTATATATATTGGATATACTGCCATGCATGGGCGGCTGCCCCCGGTACGACCTCGCTGTGTATAGAACATATTAGTTAGTTAGTAGTTGCCACCTGGCACCCTTTCAATACAATGCACAATCGCTTCCAACATCTTCCCAATTGCTCGTGACCTTCTATAATTGTCGGAATATCGGGCTATCCCTCTGCTCCGGGTGCCGGTTTGCACTCTCTTAGTCAGTATCTATATGCAAATTCACTCGTTATTTAGCCTACTTCACGGGTGCCTCCGTACCCCCGAATCCCAGAACATGAGCGCCTGCCCCCGGTTCGAATGATACAGTCTTTGACCAGCTCATGCTGTTTTGCATATCATACAAAGTTAACCCGAAGTTAACCCACCAAATACAGTATTTGGTTCGCGTTGTCGCGAGTAATCGCGAGAGAGTATATTGAGGCCTAACAGTGTCACACTATTACTCCTTTAAATGGGGTCCCATTTGTTATGGATGCCCTGCGATGATAATTCCTAGATAGTTTGTGTTCTCAGCTACTGCTTGTTTGGTCAGCCTTTGTATCAGGTTTTTTAATATCACTAATTCATCAATTAATCATGAATGCTTAATCCGTTCAACTACATCTCTGAGAAGGTTCCAAATGAATAATAGCGTTTGATCAAGCACTTACTTGAGTGGAATCGCGTTCTGCCCTTGCCAAATATCAGTAGAGACACACATTCGTTTCCCCCCAATCTTTTTTTTTTTTTTTTGGTCTCCCAACACAGGGACTTTCACGAAAAGAACACGATGAGCATTCTTCACGGAGACCAGAGAACAGTTTTAGTTAGACTGTGCATAATTATAATATTCCATATTGCAAAACCTGTACCGCCGACAGAGCATCAGTGGGAAATATGCCACAGATCCCAGTTCTTGCGGCGCTTGTACTCAAAATATATTTGCTTGATAATTGCTGCTTATTTTACCAATGCTAAAGTTGTGTATCGAGCTACGCCCACAGAGGGGACGGTAGCAACTCTACGTCGCCGAATACCCAATCATCCAACCAATCCAGAGTATTGATTGTTGGGTTCTGTTCTGGAGCATTGAACTCGCAATCAGAAACTTCTGAAAGGAGCCCTTCTCTCCTAGCTACCCCCTTTAGTACCTGAAAGCCTTTGTTAGCGGATGATGTTGCCCCTTGGAAAACAGCCCTCTTTACGCCCTCTTCATCTAAACCAGTCTCCAGAGAGTCTAGGTGACTCAAACAGGCTGTAAGGAAGCAGTGGCTCTTTACGGAGGTATCTCCGGAGTGGACGCGTTCGAGAGTCCACGTCACTGCCTCTTCGAGATAGATACGTAAAGAGGGATTGTCCATGAGGGGATGACTCGTGCTAGGCTGATCCATTTCTTGATGGATGAGCTCAACAGCGATAGTGGCTATGGCCTGAAGCAGGATAGTATGAAAAATGCCAGTGCCATTTGTAGTAAGGCGTCTGAAGTCAATTATGCCATCTAAAGTTTTGGGTTGAACAGCTGTATGCCAGACGTGCATAATTCTTGCAGATGTATCAAGGCAGACTTTTCTAGAATAGTAGAACCTAGGGTCGCGAATCTTGTTTACGACAACTGGTTGATGCAGTGCCTGAAAGAAACGAAGGACTAACATTTCTGCCATTGGCATATGGAGCATTACAAGCGCAGAGCTGTTTGGCCCATTTTGGCTGGTATTGAGCGACAAAAGAGTCTGCTTTAAAACTCGGTAGGCATCTGTGAGCTCCGAATTGAGGCTGAGGACTACGTCATATGATTCGCTACCGTGAAAGTTGTTGATGTGCCCTAGCAAGCCTTGCCGAAGATGGAGCGACTTCAGAAGCGCAATTTGGATAGAGGTTTGTGTCAGAACATCGGGCGCGTTTTTGAGCAGCGTTTGATGATTAGCCGGCCCCTCCGTGAGCTGGCTATCATCAACATTCGAAGAGGTGACGCACCGGCCTCAAACGAACATTGTAAGTTTAACTCAAGTATAGAGGCCCAAAGTCGCCGCCGCATCTCTGCTTGGTACACTGTCATCGCGGGCAGATGTTTTGGGTCCCGATGCAGGCCTATATGCATAGCCATCCTGACTAACGACCCAGTCGTGATCCAACTTAGATCACTGCCAACCCCACAAGTTAATTTAGCAAGGGCCAGCAGACACATTATTTGGATGCCTGTGATTGCCATTCTACTCTTCCCGGGTAGCATGAGCCATAGCTGAGCTTCATGGATCCATCGCATTGCTGTAGATCTCATCACAAAAACATCATCATAAACTATAGATCCGAGAGCCATACAAAGCTGGAGCTGGATAATGAATCCTTCGCTGACCGAGCTGGGATCCTGTCTGTACTTTTCGTAATGGCAGCGGAAGGTTGGGATGTGGAGAATGCGGAAGGTGCCTTCGAAATTCCGCACGTAGTGATCGACAAGCAGATCAGTGACATCCCGAGCGGGAATATGCCTGCCAAGATCGGTTGACGATAGCGATTGGACACGGTTCCCTTTGATCTCACGAGCTAAGGACTTCAGGTTTGCTAAAACTTGATACAGTTCATCTTTCTCAAGCTCAGAGCGTTTGAGGAGAGAAAGTTCGACGGCTAGCTGTGCGCACTAAATGAGCCATTTCGCATTTCAAAATATCAAATCGTAGGGGAAATCTTACGAGCTGTATCAAGTTAGACCAATGACTTCGGCCAAAGTACCGCGTCTTGGATACTACGCCAGTGCTGCGTACAGGTGTTCCATGTTCCAGCCGTTCGAGGTTACCGTCTCCAACACTGCATTTGGAGATGTTGTGGGCAAGCTTCTGTTCTAGATCACGGACTTTGGCAATCAGCCAGTCGACACTGGCTGCATCAGAAGGCTGAGTGTTCGGACTGAAACCTCTAGATGGGCTGTGGTTTAAGGCGACTCCATTGTCTTGCGAGGCTATAACCCTATTGGATGAAGTTAATTGTGGGAGAAGGTTTGTGCTGCTTAGTCCCCTAGTTTGGGACGGCAGGGCTCCATTCGCTTGGGAATGCGGAAGATGCACAGGAGCATATGTACAGCTTGGGCTCCCCGCCTTCCTGCAGGGTCCGCATGGCGACGTTCGATCGCACCTAATCTTTCGCCTTCGGCACTGGTGGCAAGCGAGCGGCGGTCTTCTGCGTTTCTTCGGCCTCTCTGACGGGGCACAGTCCGCCATGGCCAGAAAATGTTTTGATATATGCGATGTCTTGAAAATGATGCGCAACCTGTAGGGAGCGGGAAATTGCAATTATGTATGTCGGGTTGTGGAGAAAATACCGAAGGCGAGAGTGTTAAAATGCCGACGTAATGGAATTTCCCGCAAACTTAATTTCTTTTTTTAGTATTTCACCGGAGATTTTGCGGTAGTTCTGCACTAGTGTCCTTCCCCAGGCTTTGTCGACCCATTTAAAGCAGGGGGAACCATGACGACACTCTGTCACCCATTAACCTCTTTCGTGGGATTTCCTTTGAGGCACCGACGAATAGCGGTGCTCGATGCACAGACTCTGTTAGCACTATGAAAGCGAACTTCAATCGTATTGGTAATGACGCGCCCTCGTGTAAGTCCGAATATAAATGTCTAGCATTCGGCAAGCTACTGACAGTGACGTACAAATGTTAATTTCTGGCCTCGCTGATGCGCCAACTTCGTGAACCATGTGATGGCAGACAGATCAGATAGATAAAATAATATTGAGTTCTATATCGAGAGTTCTAAAAATAGGGGGGAAAGGAAGAAGGTAAAAGGGCTTTGTCATGGGAGCGAGAATATGGTGGAAGCTTCCCAAGCCCTGTGCCCTCAGGTGTCACTGCGTTGAGCTGTACGCGATGTCTCAGGTAAGGTTATCACAACCGATTCATTTGCTTTCTGCCGGGAGATTGCCAGGCTGGTTTATCTCTCTTATCCTAATACCCGAAAACAAAACTCATCCTAGTGGGCAGAAAATCACACATCCTTGACAAAATTTTGCTAGAACCTTTTTGATGTTGCGCTGAGATCTGGAAAATCGGCGATTGGATGAGGAATTTACCGACCCAAATCATGTGTCCAAAATTTGTGCGGCATCGACTGGCCGAGACACGTCTACTACCTGGAAGCATGCTGATGGTTGAACGCCGCTAGATGAAGATGGAAGAAGGCAACGAGTATGAAGCCTTGACCATTTCCTCCAGTGTTATCGGATTTGTGCCGCCATAATGTGCGAAAGGTCTGACTCAGGTGAACCATACGAAAATATAAATATCTAGTTTCGTCCCTCCTTTTTATGAGGCTCGCTACTTATCCATATTTACAGTGCCTAGGGCATGGGCTGATCTCAGACCTACGCAGCCATTCACTCACAGCTCCAGACGCAGCTGCTTTAGACCTTAACATGATGGCAAGCGACCTCCATGCTCTTTCTGGGCTGCTGCAGGCTGCTGCAGATAGTATCCACAGGAACCATTCCTCAACTAAGACGTCAGACAGGGAGCTCACCAACATAGCAGAGTCTACAGCGGGGCTGCTTAGGGCTATCAAGCCTGCTGACCCCTTGGACACTCGATAAGCTCGGTTCAGTTCACGGCAGTTCGTCTGTTAATTGACCGGCAAGACTTTGAGGCTATCCTAACAAATACTACTGTGCTCCGAAATGCAGCCATCGCTAGTGCCGATGCTTCAAAAGCATGACTGAGACAAGCAACTAGACACATTTTCGTCACTGGACTCGGACGAAAGGATGTCTACACTGGACTACCCCTGTCGCTGCATGCATGTAGAGAGGTGCCTTGCCCTACGTTAAATTTATCCTGGAACCTACTGTTAATTTAGTAAGAACTTTACTGCGTTAATTAGTCAGAGACGGGCTTGAAATGGTTCCCCAAATGGCTATAATTATGGACCCCCGTAAGCGGATGTTCAACAGTTATGTTGCCCAAGTTAAAAGATGGGAAGTTGAGGCCTTCCTCATATTCTGGCAACAGGGTGGACTCAGTCATTGGCTTAGGGGACAAAGTCGATAGACATGACAGATGAATATTGTAAAGCTGTTGAAAACTTTTTACTCCTAGGAGCTCCTAGGGGGTACTGTACAAGCTAACTTCAGTCCACAGATTTTTGCTGTGAAGGCGAAGACCTCTAAATCATTAAAACATATCCCTCAGCAAAAGAAAAGAGAAGGAAAGGATCATCTAAGGTTACTTACGCACCCGCTCAATGTTTACGGTACAGAGGAAATGTACCAGCGGGCATTGACAGGTCACGAGAAAGCACTAGGTCCTAATCGTACGTCCACATTGGAAACACTGAGGAATCTTGGGAATCTCTACTTTCATCAGGACAAGCTGAAGGAGGCAAAGGAGACGTGTCAGCGAGCACTGTGCAAATCTTTTGTCTCATGTAGTACGATCATATGACCACAAAAACACACCTTCAACTTATAACATCTCGAAATTCAATTTTGACAGTTGTAGGAGTACTTTACTGGTCCCGTGTTTCGTTGCGTGATGAATTGCCATTTGCCATATAATATATTTATGACACAAACCTTGATTTCAAAACTGGGAAACTCAGAAACTAGCTGATTTGCGAGTTCACTAGCTAGAAACCCTGCAAAAGCTTGTTCCCAGATTGATATAAGTGATGAGTTTCGGCCTGAAATATGCCTCTAGTACAAAGTTGGTTGCTAGAATAAAAATTCTCGTTATAAAATCGGTTTAAATGCCTTCCTTGGGTGTAGTCAAATAGCATAAAATGATAACACCTACGGGCCCTACTGGCCGTCGACCCACAAGACGTGACTCTCATTTTCCTCTTTCTTTCTTCCCTTCTTCAAACATACCTTTTTGTACATAGCCTATTATGTAGGTTCTATGGGTTCAGCCCATGACAGTTCACCTTGGGGCCAGGAAATCAGCTCACATTCATGTCTAACCACTCAATATTTCTCACAGGTCCATAGCTTTACTGTATGTCACTGGTTGCGAGGCGTTGCTTTATTTCTTTCTTCTCCCCTCCCCCGCCTTTTTTTTCCTTTCTCAGCCTTGGGTGTAGCCCTTCCTTCTAAACGTCCAAGTCTTGGTCTCTGTTTTAATATTATTTTTTCCCACTGGTTGTAAAAGACAATCTGATTGATGACCACCTATCGTCTCATGATGTAAAACATCAAGTGCATAGTGGTGTATATGTCCTTTTGGAGAAGGACTCGAATATCACCTAAGATGGAGTTGAGAGCAGAGGCAGAATCTAAGGTAGTACAATGTACGTCCTTTGTACGTCGATATAACTTGAGATTAGGTGATCTTAGGAAGTTATTCTAAGCTATTCCGATATTCCCCACTAATTCGCATTCCTTATGGCTGAATTCCAGATTGACTTATGTATACTTCTATGGGGCACCAGAATATACGTATCAGCCAGAATTATGAAGCTGATTTTACTGTGCGACATTCTCATTGAAATTATGTAGTCTTACGAAAAATTTTTGCGGTCTTAATTGAATGAGGGCCAGAAATTATCTAATCCAATAATTTGCACTATTTGGAAACCTATATGGCAATGATAAATGTAGCCTATATTTCGCAAACTGGGCCTCACGTAAAAAAGGCCTGCATATATTCCAAGTCCATATCAAATTAAGCGATCAAAGATTGATCCTACTCTGAAGATTGCTCTGGGTTACTCCAACACCGCTCCCTGAGTACTCCGAGTGCTCAGCACACGCACTCCAGCACTTGCCCCACGCTCCCGGATCATTCCCGGAGTAAAAAGCGGCACTAAGTCCGGCCGGAAACAGAAAGAATATGGCCCAAGGTTTCCGCAGCAAAAGAGTGCGGTAGTAATTATGGCATCGACCAAGGTGGGCCAATAGTACTCATTATTCAGCATCCGCTCGGTCCGACTTTGTTCCTTTGTTTGTTTTTCACCTTTTTATCCAGCTCCCCAGATAGATTCAGATAGTTAGAGACCTCAAGAGACCTTATCCTTTTCAATGCAGATCCATATTATTATATGATCGGTGATACTGGCTCATACGCGTATTCAGCTGACCGACGTATGGTTGTAGTATGTTTGTATGTAGCCCGGATCATGTGACAAAAGTGGGGGTCAAAAATCTGAGAACACGTAGCCAACAACATAATAAGAAGAATGAATGCAATTAAGAACTGAATCGAAAAAAACGGATCAGCCCAAGAACTGCATATTTTAGACCTTTTTACAAGTCGTATTCTCTTTCCTATTCCGGAGTAACCGAATATCTGACAATTACACTAATTCCATTATTGCTGTTGACATAGCGCTAATCTATTCCCTCTTGAGAAATAGTCTCTTCTATATCAGAATCGTTGCTAAATGTTCATATAACTGAATGTAGGGAGGATGTACAGTGCTAGAACACGATGTTAGGTACATTAAATGTGGACATAGTCAATACGAGTATACTGATAGTATATTTACTCGACGTAGATGCATTCTGCGCATTCTCTAATCCGACAGAAGCTAGTTTAAAGGGTTGTCAATCATGTATGAATGATAGTATCTAACTTTTTCCCGGATCCATGGCATGTCTACCGTGTTCTATTTCATATACGTGCATTCGGGACAGGAGACGAACTGCTGGACATTTATTATCAGACTAGATATTGTATTCTGAGATCTGGAAATGGCTCACAATCGCGAAGAGGAATGTGGCCAAAGGTATCACTTTTGGACCTATTTCGGGTTATCTACATGATGTCTCATGTAGATCTGTATGTCCTTGGATGCCGAGATAATTGGTTCCATTTCCGTGGAAGTCAGAGATTCGTAAAGTGAGAAGATATAATGGCCATCAGGTGACCCACATAACTAAATCTAATACACACAACATACAATCAAAATAATAGGAAGCCAGGAAAATGTGAGATATCTGAGCTATTTATGACAGATAATGCAACAGAAATAGACCACAAAGGAACACTATTCCAAGTAATGGCGCCGCTATTGCTAGTAGCACAAGAAGTTAGTTGACCTGTTCGAGCACCTAAATCTTAAAACGATCATTTTTCTGCCTTGTATTTTATTCTTTTCTGGACTTTATATTCTGACCTCACATGTCTTGTGAGTACTTTGCCTAGTATCTTCCAATCTCTAAACACAGCTTGCCACATTCTCTAGTCTGTCTAGTGTGCCTCGGTCGATGACGTCTATTCGTATTTATGTCTACTATGAATAGAGCTACCTTGATTTCCATATATGCATTACCTAAGTAGATCCACACCATAAATTAGTTATTGAACCTAAGTATGCAGTAGCGCAGATACAAGCTTTGCTTTTTCGCCAGATGCTCGCATCTCACCCTTACACCAGTGTGATCTCACCGCCGTCTCCTGCATTCTCATTGGTGGCACCTGGCTGATCATCGTGGCGGTGCTTGTCGATTATTGGCAACAACGGAAGGTTCCGACTTGGACCTTGCTCTTTTAATACAGTATGATGTGTCAGAAGATCCGGGGGTTGACTTTATAAATATTCCCTTTACCTACTCCCAGCGACCTTTGGTCTGCCCCGAATTTGCCTGCAGAAACATAAGAATCGTCGTCGTTATCACTCCAACGATCAAAATGTTTATCTCTCAGCCCTTCTTGTGCGCACTAGTTTTGGGCTCCGTGGTCGCCGCAGTGGACGTCGACATCAACGATGTCCCCTCCCAATGTCGGCAGATCTGTGATCCAGTGGCGAGTCTAACTGCCTCCTGCGACCGCAAAAACCAGGATGACACCCAGGAACTCGACTGCATCTGCAAGGATTCCAAAGCGCCCACCAGCATCCCGTTGTGCGAGGCCTGCATTGCGCAGAATAGCCGTGATGGACATGATAACGGTAAATCTCCTCCATTCGGTTGTTTCTTGCAAATAAATAATCGAACCATGTGTTAGATGCCAACGATCTCGTGCGATCATGTTCATTTTCAACCACGTCTTACAACCCAACCTCCTCAGTCACTGCAACAGCAACTGCCACCACCAATAGAGTTACCGGAACCTCAACTAGTCCCTCCACCACTACAACATCGGGCTCCGCCGCTGACGTCACTTCCCAATCTACGCTGGGACTTGTGGGCTCCGCGTTAATAAGCTTATTTGCTCTCTTGGGAGTTTAATAAAACTTGAGGCACAGATGTTGGTGTTGTTGTTGCGAAATTGGTTATTAAGAGCGTGTCGAGTGCAGATATTAATTGTGGACTTGGTGTTTTGCAACCTGGACATGTCAAATACCCTGGTGAACACAGACCCTACTTAAAAGGCTGGCACATATTGAGTTTAGTATCTTGATGAATTGGCTCTCGAGCTGTAGGCAGACTGATTCTACAAGCTCACTCCTACGTACTTTTAATTTCTCTCCATTCTCATTTATTCTATCCTTTTCGGGTTTTTATTTTAAAAAATGAATCTCCCCGTCGTCCTGTTTCTTCACTGGTTGATCACGTCAGCATCAGACGCTTTTATTGTTCCATTTGCCACTCTGGTAGTGCTCCATGATCTTCCCTCTCATATTGCAGAGTCTGAAGTTTAGTCGCTCGTCTAGTACATCCTTAGGAATATAGGCACTTTCATTAACTCATCTACTCTTAAATGATTAGGCATTAGTTACCAGTGGGAAGGGAATCCCCGCAGGCTTGAATAACCTTCTGACGTAATGTGGTTCTTGGCACTATGCCAAGATAAAGCTGTTAGCTAGAGCTCTCCTGCTCTTACCAACTGCTCTGGAAATTCAGTTTTATGTTTCTTGGGAGAAGAATGTTGTCGACTATAAAAATACGCGTATTCGCAAGTATGGATCCTCCATAGAATTAGGTCTCTGATTCAACTAAACCACCAAAACATCTCGCTTTATAAAGACGAGGTAAACAAACGAAGAATGTAAACTAACTAATATAGGAAATATAGGCGATCCGATAATGTTGTGGGCGGAGGGAAAATCGTGCGGGTGCGAGGGCTCTTTTGACGCAATTACGTAGTCGGGATATCGATAAATCACCACACAATCTTCTGAGGCGCCAGAAAATGAGTTATCTGAAGCACTATTCTTTACAGGTACGCAAGGAGATCGTGGTATACCTTCACAAATTTTTTATATTAGGCAATATTCGTTGATTTATTCCATATATATATATTTTTTGCATTGAAATGTAGCTGAACTCCGCACTGCGAAAAGTGGAGGGAGGCTGTGCGACGGGTAAATAATTTCAGGACTAGCCGTAGTCGATACGAAACCCTGCCAAGGGATTAAATTTAATCTCAAATTCTTTCTCAGATTGTCCTGGATGCTGCTTTACATTCTTAATTTCACGTTAAGCTTGCTAACCTCTTTCTTCCCAGACTCACTCTGGCTTATCCAATACTGTCAATTATTAGTTAGTCAGTGCCATAGCCGCCTTGTAAATGTCCAAAACATCTCTACCCGGCTTTGGTTAGATATCCTCACTATCTAAGTTTAAAAAAATCGTCCTTGCTGGGGCCGCTGGAGAAACCAGACTCGTTTCTAAACGCGTTTAATGCAAATACTTCGCTAAACACATTGTGTGGATCCGTGGCTGGGTTTTCCATATACCGTTGTGTTGTTATACTCGGCTCGCTTTTGTGAGTCTTTGAGCAATTTATAGGCCTATGCCATCTCTGAATACCGCAATTAGTTAGCGGGGTTGCCCTGAGTCGTCGAGTAGAGTGTCAACGAATAGAGATGTGCTGTCGTGGTCTTACTTTGCGTGCTAACTCCGCGTCGTCGAACTTATTATGATCTGGCGTGTTGTGAAAGCGCAAGTTCTCGATAGGCGGCGCAGATATCTTTATCTCGCAGTAGTCTTGATCAGAGCAGTTGTGAATTCTTGTTACCGCCTCCCGCTGTATCAAGGTATACTGCCCTCCACTGTGAATCTTTATACCTGGGCTGTTGGCGAAATCATTAATATTTAATATTTTCAGGCATGCGTGTGTCTCCATCTGGGTTATATAACACTGCAGAATAGGAGCTCCAACATAAACACCATTTCATGACATACTAACCCGCATCAGGATAGTGTACGACTGGTGATAGCCTATTCCACGTATAGTTAACGTAATGGGATAAGTGGTACAACGCGCCAAGTTCTGCAGCAATTCTGGTGACACGTGCTGTCGCACACGGATGCCCTGAAACGGTATGGAAATCTGGAAATGGTTCGTGAGATATAATTGTTGAAGTGCTGCAGAAGAGGTTGTACAGGAAAGTTTGAGGAGTCATTTTGTTATTGGCTGCCAAGTATAGGATATGTATCAGAAGTTTATTTCCGGGTGACGTCCAGTGCCAGTTTACCATCTTAATCGATCTGGCAAGGGAAAGCGAAGAAGGCCAGTTTGATTCCGATCTCTAGTGTTCTTCCAGGAATGTCTCCATGTCCAGCTCGGGTTGAATTCAACGGTGAAAACTCGTTCAATATACTCTCATATGTTCATAATCTTCCTTGGTATCTTATTTCGGTCGACTCCCGTGTAATTCAGAGCGATTCTGAGTATGCGACTCTGCCTGAGCGTGCAGTACTGCCGACCATCAAAGAGCATGTTGCTGCCTGTCAAGCGGCATTAAGCCCCCATCGTGGAGACCATCCTGTTTTGCATTTAGTTTTGGGGCCGCAGCGTGCGCATGTCACCAGTTTGCATTCTAGGTAGCCAAACGTACGGTAGCGGTACTTCTCAGGTCGACATCTCACTATATTGCCGAACTTTACTATATGGTCTTGGTGGGTTCTTCAGCTTTAATTTACAACAGACCGACTAGGAATATTAGCACTTTTGAAAGGAACCTCGAACACTTTGAAATGAAAGGGAATGGCCAGGAGTATGGGGTATATTTAGTAACAGTAAATCCTAATTAAACAGAGGGTATATGACTCTGGCTGGGTTGAGGATCACAAGGCAGCGATACCGTTATTCTATAAGTTCGTATCAAACTGACCATTGTACTGAAAAGGTGTCCAGACACCGATTTAGGCATGATACGGTATTTTTTTTCTGGTTGACAGTTCGAGAAACTAGACCCTCTCTATGTTTCATATTGTCTCTTTGCCACAAGATACACTTGCAGATAGAAGAGATCACTGAGGCCTCAGAAGGTTCAACAACGTATCTGAATCAAACCGCTTCTCGTTTGTTATGAATATAGGATCAGCCCGAGGGATTACCGGTATCCGAAGGACCGGCGAAGTCCTCATTTATATGTCTTCCCACAGACGAATTCCCGTATACTAACTAAGTACGCTCATACAATTCAATGGCTTAGTTCTCTCTATTTAATATTAAGTTCCCTGACCTACAATTGGTTTACAACATCCTTGATAATACCCGAGCCAGCTTTATGCAGCAACCGGATCACTTCTTCCAATGCAAGATCACTTTTGGAGGTTCCACCTGGAACAGTCCTTTGCAGCAATGCATCCGCTAGGGGTGTGTGGCCCTCGTTGCTTTGAATCTGATTGTTTGCCCCGTTGTCCAGAAGCATTTGGACAGCGAATAGGTTGCCCCTCGCAGCGGCGATGTGCAAAGCAGTTCGGCCGCTATTATCAGTAGCATTGATAATGTCATGTGATATTTCAATGACAGAATAAAAGAGACCCACACAATCCCGGTTGCTTGCTGCGCGATGTAGGAATGTCTGTCCTTGTGGATCTCTTTTATCCAATGTGTGTGTCAAGATCAACTCGACAGTATTTTTAAAGCCTCCATGAAACGCCAGCTCAAGCGCGGTATTTCCCAGAGCATTCTCCGCGAAGCTATTGGCCTTCATTTCTAAGAGCAACCGCGTAGACTCGTGATTTCCTCCTCTGGCAGCGAGATGCAATGGCGTGTTGCCGCAGTAATCTGTGGCCTCAGTATCAATTCCTCTGTTCAGTATAGCCTTCGCAATATCCGCAAATCCATCCCTGGCAGCATAGTGTAGGGCTACTCGGCCACGGTTGTCGGCCTGAGAAACTTCACCGCCATATTCAAGGAGCATCTGGAACAATGCTAAACCCGCTTGCATTCCATAATGCAGCGCCGTTTTACCATCGTTATCTCTCTGGGTTGTATCACCTCCGAATTTAAGCAATGCTTGGACTGATGTCATACGCCCCACTCTAGCTGCATAGTGCAGTGGTGTTTCACCATGGTTATCCTTCAGGGATATATCAGCACCATGCTTTAGAAGCAGGTAGATTTTTGAGACGTCCCGTCCCCTAGCAGCATAGTGTAGAGCTGTCTCGCCATGGTTATCCCTCTGGTACGTTTGAGCTCCATTTTCAAGCAGGCTTTTGAGTATTACAGTATCTCTTCCCCTAACCGCATAATGGAGGGCCGTTCGACCGTGGGAATCTGCTTCAGAGATATCCGCTCTATGTTCCAGAAGCACTAGAGCTAACAAGGGCTCTCTGTCTTTGACTGCGTAGTGAAGAGATGTTTCACCATAGTTGTCTTTCTGGTCAGCATTAGCTCCATTTTCAAGAAGGCTTTTGATTATTGAAATATGTTTTTCCCTAACAGCATAATGGAGAGCCGTTCGACCACGAGAATCTGATTGAGATATATCCGCTCTATGCTCGAGAAGCATTAAAACCATCAAAAGATCCCTGCGTTTGACGGCATAGTGAATAGCTGCTAACCCATAACTATCTGCATAGGATGTATCAACTCCATTCTCAAGTAACCCCTGAACTATTGAGATGTAGCTCCTTCTTACGGCGTGCTGGAGAGCTTGCGTACTGTCGATATCTGACTGGTAGACATCTAGATCCCACTTAGAGGGCTTTTTGAATGCTGAACCTTGTCCACTATCAGATGTCAGATGCAAGAAAAGACAAACACTGGGCATATTAGTCTTAGCGAAGTGATAAAACAGCATATCACGGATGTTTAGGTTTTCAAGATCTGACGCCCAAAATATGGCTGCGTTTGTGTCATGCCGATTTACCAGGTTCCAAAACGTGTCCTCGTTGCCGTTGTTGAAAGCTGCGAGAACATCCGGTGCTTCTACCTCCAGCAGCAAGCTTTGAAGTTCCGACGACTTGTAAGTCCTGGCCCAGACAGGAGCGAGATACAAATCTCCTCGTAGCTTATCTCTCAGCTTGCCATTCTCTCGATAGCACACACAGAGGTCGTAAAGTGTCGCAACTGTGGCAGGATGAGATTCCCCAGCCGAAGTGGTGTAGTATCTCCAGACAATCTCTCTATACACCTCTTCCTTGTCGGTTCGAGCGATGTCTTTGTAGTATGTGGCAAGCGCTGCAGCATGTTGAAGAGTCTCGCTGTCTCTAGGACCAAAGAGATTGAGTGCTTCTTCGTACCGCATTAAGATTTCCCACTCTCCATCTTCTACCTCAGTAGTTTCATTTAATTCTTCGGGAGTACTTTTGGTCGATCGTTGAGTTAAAATGGCACGCTGGAAATCCCTCTCTCGTCGTGCATGTATCTCACGAGCCTCACGAAGGGAAGCAGATGCTCGTACCATGATATCGTCCTTTTCGGCCATGCCTGGGTCGCAGTGATGGGTCACTGACACATATTTTTCAATGGCATTGTCAACATATCCTAGCTTGAAATCCACATCTGCAGCATCGAGAAGCTCGACCAATTGTTCTTGAGTTCTAGGCCATCGGCTGCCTTCAGTTACAAGGCGATACTGTAAGCCGGCTTCCCAGAGGTCTCTGGCTTTCTGAAGCTCCCCCTTTAGACGGCAAATCCTGGCATAGGGTGGTGCTATCGAACCAAATAGCATGAAATATCTTCCATGCGGCGGTTGAAGCATATATTGTGGAACCGTCGCTAGGAATATATTAAGGATGGTAACTAACCTGTGGCTATGGCTCCTCATGTTCTCATAATCTTTCATAATGCCATTTGTGAGGCATGCCTTGCCATTGAGCAAGAGTGCAGCAGCTACATTCTCCACCATATCCTGTCTGGGTATTTTGGCTCGAATAAAAGACTGTATTAGATCGTGGATGACAATCGTATCAATTATGTTATCTGACGAATTACGGATGAACTTAACAAGCCCTGTGCTCTCAAGTTCTCCGAGTACTGCTGACAGCCTGCTGATCTGACCTGATAGGTGTTTCAACCAGGATATTACGCCAAGAGATTGGCCATCGGACATTTCTGGAGGATAGGTGGAAATGTTATCCTGATCTAGAACAGCGCCAGAAAGTACGCTGAACGGAACATGCCCCGGGCCAAGGAAAACAGTTAAGTAAAGAAGTTTGAGCGAATCGGGACTCCGCTTGCCCAGGGCGTCATGTAACATGTCAAATACCGCCCAGAGAGTCAGTCCTTTCTCGTAAGTTCCAATATACCTTCTGGTATGTGCTTTCAGAGTTTCGTTTAAAAATTTGGTTTCGAATCGCTGCTTGTACTCGTGTATTGAAATAAGGCCGTACGACAAAAAAGAACCAGCTTGCTCTAGAGCAAGAGGCAAACCGTTAAGTTTACGAGAAATGTTTTTGGCTGTTGTGCTGGCTAAATCCGTGTAAGTAAAATCATAAAAAACATGTAAAATGGATCCACTCACTAAAATAATCTGTTGATTTGATATTGGCACATCGCAGGATAATCTCAGAGCCAGTATGGTCATCAACACCTTGTAAATGAATGCCAGGGAAGTCCAAACGCGAGTGTAGATGACATGAAGTCGTCACCAATAAAATATGACCGTGATTGCACGAGGGCAGATACTTTCTAACATCAAAGACCCCATTCCAACTCCAATCGGCATCGCTAACGTACGGTATATCGTCAAAAATGATGATCCATGAGTAATTCGAATCTTGCTCTAGCCACTCCAGCACCCTTTCAACGGCCGGTTTTGTAGGGCAAAAGTCAGATGGCATAAGCGACGATATTAGCTCAAACGAGTCGTCAATCAGGGATGTAGATGATGCATTAACCCATAAAACGGACTGATAAGAATCTCTCTTGCCAGCAATGTAGTGAATTGCTAACTGTGTCTTCCCACATCCACTAAGTCCCCAGATAACAAGAGATTTTGTACCTCTTCCTGGGGAGTTTAAGCATTCCTGAATCCGCCGCAGCTCGCCTTGGCGTCCAAACATCTTTGTCCTTGGTATTGGAATCTTCATTTTAACGTTTCCTGGATGTTGCCGATAGCGAAATCTGCTAGGAATGGAGGAACGTAGAAGCTCTTTTGCGTAGGCGGCCGCTGTTGCTGCTGCATAATTCTGCCACATTTTTCCCTTGTGAGAGTCTGCATAGTCACAAATTCCTCGGATCACAAGGCACGGAAAGTGGTCCATCAAACCTGCGGCTTCCATATCGTAGCATAATATTCCCAACCTCTCCGTGAGTCGGTCGCGCGTTTGCGCATCTCTCATCACCTGATTCGCAGACGCGATGAGACCATAATGGATTTGCGGCAGTATCGACTCCCGTTGGATGCGAGCTACTCTTTTCAATGGATCGCATTCGCACTCACAGGAAGAGGTAGGAGGTCCTTGGTGAGGGTAGGATGACTGAAAGAGAGTATCTCGATCCTGTCCGGGATAGATAAAAAATGACCTCATGGAAGGATACATCTCTGCGCCCTTCGCCAAGTGGAAAGATATATTGTTTTGCCCCATGATATGGTTTGCCTGGAGATGAGAAACCGCTTTTAAGAGAACCTCCGGTGGCTTATTCAAAACCCCAGTCTGATAGAAGACACCGTCTGCTAATGTCTTTCCGAAATCATACTGTACGACACCCCCAAAATGAGCCGTTGGTTTACTTACAACAATATCTCCAAGGCGAACATCCACTGATCCATTGGGTGCACCACCGCCAATCCCAACCATGAGTCCGAATTTGATAGAGGGAAATGTGGATCGCATTTGCATCGCTGCCACCGTAGCAGATGTCTGACCATATATGCCGGAAGGGAGACAGGCAAGGACGATATTATGGCCTGCAATTTCCCCCAGGCAGTAGACATTATTATCGTTTTCTCGTATGGGAAGTGGAACATGTGTATCATCAAGCATCGCCTTCGTAGCCGCCATCTCAAGTGGCAAGGCGCTGATCCAGCCTACTGTGTAATCATGGTGCATAAACTTTTTCCTCGTGCTTGACATTGTGCCAAACTTTTAGGAGAACAGGTATCACTATACTATCCTCGAATTCGATGGTTTTGGGGATAACAATAATACTCCACAGTGTGTGGTCTCGGGTTGTCCAGATGACAAAGCTGAACCAACTCCGAAGCAGCCCCCGCTTGGATATGCAGGGCTACCTCAGCTATGATTATCCTTGTATGTCTATCATACAGGAACCCCTGTCGTGGCCATTTGCCATTAGTTCTGTTCTTGTGGGTCCCCTGGTAGGCGACTACGAAGCCTTTGAATTGCTTCTGCAAAGTTCAACACAGCACTTCCAGAACTGTCTTTGGCAGAGCTGCTAGAAGCATTTTGAGCTTTCCCTTCCGGCATGAGTGATATGTCCCCAATCTCTCTCCACATTCACACCTATTGCCATCCCGGAAACCGAAAAATTTTAAATGAATTGCAACCCAGGAGTGGCCAGCTCGTAGCTGGGTTACATAGCCGGTAAGCTCAGTTTCTTGGTACTGAATTATACCACCGCCGTGTGTGGATGGAGGATAGTTTGGTGTCGATTTGACGGAGGTGCGCACTTTTTGGCTGTTTCCCATTCATCGCAGCAGTCTTCAAGTGTCTGCTTGTGGATGGATGCTTTCTGCTTTGACACAAAGCGGCAGGAAAGGTATGCTCTATCTGGGTTAGTTGACATTTAGCTCGGCAATCTGTCGTTCTAGGTCACGACAGCGTCCAGAGATCCATGGAAGGCGAAGCGCTACTCCACGGCTCCGACCGCCGACCTCCAAAGCTGTATGCAGGAAGCCTGGGTTATTCGTTGACCTGACTTCTCTGATGGCGTCCTGATTGCTTGTAGGGTCGACTTGCTGCCACATAGGATATGGGCGGTGTTTTTTTCCTGATATCCCTGGTGATACGCTTAGGGATGCTACGGTTCGGATCAAGTCGTAATAGAAGAATATGAACAAAGTCACGAACAATCTTTGCATACTTTGTCTACAGTGTAAAAGTGTATTTATTGATGATGGAGGGTAAAGGGGGCACAAAACATGCCAATGGTGTCTGCAGCCAACGAGAACAGACTATGAGGATATGATGGGGGTTGAACCGCGCGAATAGCAGGGTAGGAGTGTGAAAAAGGCCACGTCAGCAATTCAGATTTGTGGAGTGAAAATTAGAGGGCCTCAGGTCCCTACAAGGAGATATGGGCGCAAAACCCGATGAGGTAAAAAAAAGCGGGTGAAGACAGACATAACACAACTGTGATTCACTGGTGGTTACCCACCTATCACTATGCACCTGGCGCGTGAAATACTGGTTTGTGCGGTCAATACCACGATAACCGCGCTCCGCTCTGTTCTGAGTTCCTTTGGTCGCTAGCTGGGAACATAAAGCAGATCATTGGCCTGCTGCCACGCCTGCTGAGACCAGCTGGTCCGAATGGTACCTCCTAGCTTCTGTCAGATAGTCGGTCAGCCCCGAATAAGAAAGAGAATACGATTTGTAGTACGTCTTAAATGATCAGTTCTTGAGCTTTTGAGCTCTTCTTAATTATTCTGATGATTATATGATGCTTATCTTGCTTATGTTGATTGTGTACGGAGCCTTATTTTACCCCTCTTCAGCCACATGATCCTGCCCACGTACAGCCATTCTATCTGACAGTAAACAAGGCCCTCTATACGCAACCAACATAATCAAGACAAAAATAATCAGAATAATCATCTTAAGAACCAATGTAATCAAAAAGAGCTCAAAAACTCAAGAACTGATTAGTTTAAACGTTTTATGAATCGTATCCTCGCTATTGGGGACAGACCGAATATCTGACATAAGTTTATCTGATCCGTAGCAAGATCGTCGTGTGGATTTGGGGGATATATCTTTTACTACCCTCTCTTCCGTCTAGAGTCTATAGGCTCTAAGCCCTGAAAGCCGTCATCTTCAATGACTGACACCTTGATGTTATGGGCTCTCGTTCAACAGGTCGTCATAATTTTCAATTCGAGTCAAAATTGCATCACAAAAATCGATTCCTCTAGCAGTGATGAACCAGCGCCGAACCGACTACTAACTAGACGTCAGACACATTTCCATACTCAACAACATAAATCGCCTTTCACGCGAAGGTCATCAGCAGACAGTCGAGAGTAGTCATCATTAATCGACACCCCGATATATATATCCGCCCGTCCCAGTACATCTACCATTTTGAACAAATCATATTAATATTGCAAACACTGCAGCTTATTGATTTATCTATTATTACCATACCTGAACAAACCCCAGCCGCCTTAAAAATAACCAAAACTAGTGTATCCTCACAAAACCCCTTCTAAATCACTCAACTAAACCAAATCACTCCTCAAGAACAACCATCCCCAACCGTCCCGCAACCTCACTCATGCCCACCCCCCGCCAAACCTGCGTATCATCGGGACAAACCTCCAAATCGGGGTCCGGATCCCCGGATGCATCCCAGTCCGCCATGTAGAAGTAAACTCCGGCCTCGGAGACAAACTTCGCGCGATCGAGCACAACTGCGAACACGCGAAAGGACGTGCGGAGTGTTCTTTGTGCTGCGATGAGAGTATCTTCGGGTTGTTGGAGGGTGATGCGGTGTGCGGTGGGGGGTTGTACGTCGCCTGCGGAGAAGGTGTGCATGGCGCCGATGGGGAAGGGATTTTCTTGGTCCCCGTCTTGGGTTTGATGGGATAGAACTTCGATTTGGGCGGTGCGGATGGAGAACCAGGAGGGGGATCCTGGGATGGAGAATTTGAGAGTGAGGGCTTTGTTAGCCGGGAGGTGGGAGACAATTAATGCTATAAAAAGGCGGGCTGTGCTTTCTAGGAGGGAGGGCCCCGCTGTGTCGCGGAGGTGGCTGAGAAACGGCGCATAGATAAGGTATTGAATATCGGGGTTGTTTCCCCTGGTGACTGTTACAATGTCGGCATCCTGGGAAACCTGGAATGCTGGATCAGGAGAGAAGCCGCCAAGTGAAGTTTTTTGGCCTAGCTGGTCACAGATCTGCTCTTCTGATGGGGATTCAAGTTAGGAGGCTCGCCCTCGTCCACGTTCATGGCATATTGTAGCCCAGGGCGACAGGCGTTGAAGAAGATATTATTTATAATGATCTAGCCGATATCAATCTGGCACATGAGGCGCTCGATGGACAACTCGAATGCCTCTGGCGAGAGATCGCCGGAATCAGATAAACACTGCGCGTCGTCAAAATCGCTGTGCGCGCTGGAAAACAAGTGGTTAAAGTAGAGCAAGTCCGGGCTTTTGCCCTCCTTAGCAAGCTCATCCCAGTCCTTAACATAGCCCAGCCGGTAACTGTGCGATCGCAGCAGAACACAAAACCCAACGGGCGTGTCGTCGCTAGGACGGAAGAATTGGGGAATCAGCGGGGGTTGATTCTCAACCCCCGACCGGTGTTGCTGCTTGCGGTGGGCGATTTCGCGGCGGTTATGCTCAATACAGGCGAAGGCGTCGGGCGCGCAGAATAAATAAACCTTGAACAAAGGCTTAAGCTCTTCATTCATGAAACTGTGCATCAGGTATTCCCGGAGCTGTTGGTGGTCTGCGTCCAAGGAGACGAGGCTGTAGACCTGGATGGGGACCAGGTGGCTGGGGTCTGGAGTGAAGTCGGGCTCGACGATCTGCTCGAGCACCACGCGGTGACCCAGATGGTCGGGGTAGGTGCGCACCTGCTGCCAGCCTTCCTCGGACATGATGACTGACTTGGGGGTATGAAGTATGAAGAGTGGAAGGAAGGGAAGGGATGAAATGAAGAAATGCAGACTTTAAGTAACTAGTTAACACAACCGGGATGTAGTACGTAATCAAATTGATGCCGGAAATTTGCTCGAACATTGGTTAACGTAGTCTAGCACCGATCCTCGTCCATAGTGAACATGCCATGGAAAGAACCCTTGGCCATCTCCACAATGGTGGCCTTGATGGCAGTAAACTCGGTCTGCAGGAGAATAGGATTTCTTCCGTCCCCTAGCAGAGCTCCCAAGACTTGCTTCGCCTCGTCTTCACGGCCCTTAAGGATAACCAACGTGGAGATCAGGAAGAAGCAAGACAAAGGCCAGAATAATGGCAGCGACGAAAATCTGGAAAGCCAATGGGAAAGGCCAAGCATCGCTAGGTTGCAAAGAGCAAGCCGAAATCAATCCTGTAGCTGATAGTAATGCCGCAAGTAATTATAGCGCCTTCGATCATGACCAATTGACTACGATGTTTGGACATGCAGCATTCGGACTGCCAGATTGGCGCTGTTGACGTGTTCATGCCGTTTCCTGTCGGTACGCGATTAGCTGAGTATATTATTTGCCCGCGCTTCTGAGGACTCACCGAAACCTGTGACTAAGCGTCCAACGATCAGCTCGTGTAGGTGGAACGCGGTGCACTGCAACAGAGCTCCAACAACCATGACGAATGAACCAAGGAAGATAGTCTCGCGCCGACTCAGCCATTACCAACCAAGATAGTTAGAATAGATCCGGAGAAGCATCGCAAGTGGTAAGGGGCGACGACAATACCTACGCCCATGTGGCCAGCTAATGGCTATGTTCTACTGCCACAGACACTGAGAGCACAACTTACCTTAATGAGTGGACTGTGTATGACTCTCTGACTCGGTGAGATGGTTGTATTATTCACCATTGAGCGAAATCGTAAGAAAGTATTTGATGAAGGAATCAAGGGTCAGAAGGCCACCAGTGACACCCTGACCATAACCGAATAGAAAAAAAATCCATGCCGGCTATAAGCCCTATATCGATTTGCAGCTTGCTGCCCTGGAGCCCCAAGTATCTGCGAGCCATCTCGGAAGCACATGTGCCGGATCCCTTCCGGCAAGTTTGATACGATTCCCTAACGGGGATGAGAACTCTTAGGAGAAATTACTATGGAACGGGTTCATGCGACGATGAGTGCAAAAATCCTTGTGGATATAAAGAGAAACTGGAGGGAGAAGAGTAATTGAAGCAGGGAAGGGAACTGAAAGAAAAGAGGGATCTGGGAAGCGATAACAACAGGCAAAAGGACGGGGCTTTTTTTAAAGCGACCAGAAGTGAGCAATTAGACTAAAGAGTGATACGATGGATGTGATTTCATAGTAAATATAGGTTCCGGACGGGAGGGGCTGAAGTATCCCACGGTCTCCTCAGGACATTGGGACAGTTGAGTGGTTCAGTACTTTGCCCAAAACTGCGAATGGGAGGGCAACCGAAATAATTGAGTACTGTTACTTCCATCCAACTGGGCAATTTTGGGTATCGCAAACTTTCAAAGAGTCTGAGATTGTTCCCACGCTTGGACTACACTTGTTGCTTCGCACAGACACCATCGCATCCATGTCAATCTGAGTTTCGGCGATGGTGGTAGCCTGATCTGAACAATCGGAAGGAGGCCCGAACGGTCTCTTTCCTCTTCGGATGTTTATCCAAATAAATTATTTTCTCCCACAGGTTCACAATCAATCATAGTGGAGTTTTCTCGGAGATGGGAAAGATCTTATCGTCATACTCCGCTCACATGACATATGTTGATATGTTATAGTGCCACGTTGTCTCCTTGAGAATCCCTAGATGCTTTTTCATGAATCTGGGAGAGTCTCCAGGTTTTGTGGAAAGAGTGCCTAGTATTCAGAGTCATGCTCTTGCTTCGGCAATGAGATACATTTATGTGTTTCTGGGATTTCTTATTTTCATAATGAAATATGTTGTTCACTGTTTGTTGTGCATTGAGCTTAGTACCGTTATTTGTGAGCTTCTACTTTACTAGAATTAACATCGTTATGTATCTTTTAGTTCTGTACACCATCAATCAATTGGAGAAAGAGCAAGCGGTAAATCAACTTCTTTTGCCCCTTTTTTCCATGTAGGTGGGGTAGCTAAAAATTAAACTGAGGCAACATTATGTCAATAAAGAAAAATATAGTATTATGCCTGAATTGGCGTCATGGCGCCTTTTTAGTGCAGAGGTGCTGTTGACACATTGTCAGAGCTATCTACGACAGTGATCTTTCCAATTTTCAGGGATTTGTATTGCTGCATGTGACAACGCGAGCATTTATTCATTATCTATCACTGATGGTGCCGACCTTGTATCGACGACGACAAACTCACAAGCTCCACCCTCTCTGCTGTCCCGGCTAGATTTTTGCCTAAGCGATGAAAACCATGACGATTATATTGATAGAATGTGTCAGAGTCAACTGCACCATAGGAAAGTATGACTATTAGACACAGACAATCAAAGCTATGGCACAGCCCCACAAAATTTGATAATAAAATTCGACGTGCCTTAGCTTTCTGTCCAAGCAGCCCTGCCTGAGGCAGTCTTCGCTGAATGAGGGGAGCGAGGGGCCAGTTGATAAGGTAATGATCTGCATCCTAGGTGGTTGCCTAATGTACGGGTTCACACCCTCCAACCTCTTTCCTGTATTCTAGAGAGAGCGAGTCAACCATCCAAAGTATGGTAGTTATCGTGGTCCAGGGTATCAATGATATATCGTTCCCTACATTAGGCAACTGGCTGCGCACAGCTGTCGATGAGCTTACTGCCTTCTTCCTCCCCGAGTCACACCACCAGTCATTGACGTTTGGAGCGGCCAGAAATACTTTGCGGTATTTGACATGGTTGGAGCGAGAGCATCGGCGATGTCATGCATATGCGCTGCACTCATTGGGCCTAGTGTTCCATGGTCATACAAAGAGGATGGACCAATGGTAGGCAGCAGACGGAGGGTTCTACGCTGTCAACAGTCGGACTATTCATGCCCTAATGCAGCCTCGTCTCACTCACATCAACAACAGCCACCCTAGTCGTTTAATACCATGTTGGACTCATATACATGAAATTAGCTGCGGGGAGGACAGGAGGTATTGTAACGTTCAGATAGGCTCTAAAATGATGACGACTTTCATTTATCCAGATACTTCACTGTACGTGATATGCAGGCAAGGGTTATTTCTCTCCAGTTTAGTCAATTTTTGCTTGTAGTGGCCGCGAAGGGTTCTGCATATTATTATTCTAGGCTTATTCTGTAGCCGAGCCTCGTAGCAACCCCAGGGCCTCCTCTTTTTGTAGATCTTTCCTCCTAATCTCATTGTCTCTTCCCCTTTCTCCTCCCGCTTACGATTGTTATATTTTGGGGTTATCCCTCACCCATCCACCATCATGGCATCCGAAGCGCGTCCGTTCGGATGGGCTCTGCGCAGGAATGGTTCCTGCCTGGCAGATCTCGAGGTCGACTGCGGGATAACGGTAGATCCGTTTCACGTCTGCTGTCCAAGCGGCTCCTTCTGCCCGACAGATAAAAATGTCGCCTGTTGCCCGTCCGAACCTAAGTGCCACGATGCGCTCCATGCCAAGCCGGTATGTGCCAATAGCACCTGGGATCTGTATATTAATGGCGATTACTTCTGCTGCGAGCAGGGAACCACAGCATTCGCGAAGGACGGTGGATCCGATGGATGTGGCATTCCCGGATATCATCTGCAGCCTTGGGAGCACAAATTGTCAATAATTGCTTCTGCTTCGGGCAAGTCATCGCTTGCTACTCAAGAAATATTTGACATGCATTCATCTCACTGACTGTCTGGTTTTTGATCGCAGCATCGAGCTCGACGATATCAACCCCAACATCAACCTCCACTTTCACATTCCACTCATCGGGCACAGGTACCCCTGCGCAGGTGACAAGCAACTCATCAAATACAAACATTGGCGCCATTGCTGGGGGTGTCGTGGGCGGAGTGGTAGGCACCGCGATTATTGCGGGCTTATTGGGTTTCTTGATCCGTCGATCACGACGTCAGCAACAATCACCTAAACTTCAAACTCAACTAAAACCAATGCAACTCATGCAACCATGGCAGCGTTATCAAGCCCGAGCCGAGCTGGACAACAACCGTGTGGTAGAATTGGAAAACACCCGGGGCAGCCAGCCGCAGGTGGAGCTGCCATAGAGGGTTAGAATCAAGACTAACCAGCATTCAATATCCAATGATATCTTTAAAAATACAACCCCCGATGATATTGGCAAGGGCTTAAATATATCGCTATAAGTTAGATACCTATCTCGGTCTGGAACTCAAGGTGGGAGTTGCGGGTGACTGAGTCAGGAGCTGGGTAACAAAGGGGATGCAGGGATATATGTGGTGAGAGTAGCTCGATGTGTAAAAGCTGTTACAGCCAGGTGTGGATTGGAAAATTATGTACGAAATGGAATTATGCTCTATCTTCAGGTTTGACAATCATTCTGGTACACCAAATTTAGTGTCCGCATACTACACATGGAAGAGAGCCACACCTGCGTCCACCGACGAGGAAGGAAATTAGATAGTACAGTAGACAACTGAGAGGAATGAAAAACTAGGTGAACGAAATAGGAGACGATACTACAGAAGATGCCCGAGCACCCCAATGGGAAGACAGTTGTTGATTCAGAATGAGGAGAAAGCTACTCCATAACAGGCTAATTTGTTTCAGCAAAATGTCAGATCGCTTCTGTATGCTGCTGCAATCACTCGACCAGATGTACCACGTACGGTGATAAAATAATCCGAACGTTCGTGGAATCCATCACAGAAAAAGTTGGATGGGGTTGTTGAACGTGCAATCCGCTCGAAACATTTGGCGACAAAATATTCGAGACCGGAGAAGGTGAGGTTTTTATGCGTTCAAGTGATGTGGCTTATGGAGAGACTGAAAGCCGCAAAGCACAGAAGGATACTTAAGCGAACTATTTGGAGGTCGAATCTACCAGAAGGACAGCAAAAAGAATACAGTCACGACGGCGACCCCAAAGGCTTAGCTTTTGGCACTATTCGAAGCAGGAAATCAGACCTACATTCTGATGGAAGCCGCTGTTCAGCGCAATCGGACTGAAAATAGCACATGATATCAGTATAGGGTGCGATGACCATAGACCTTATGAGTCACCGTTCGGACGAGGCTGACATATTTTACATATTCACCATCATTAGCTTCGTCGGGGAGTTCAAGCTCAACGCATACGAATCAATTGGATCCCAATATCTAGGGCGACAGCTGACGTGTTGACTAAGATTTTATAACGTCAGAGTATGAGTCTTTTGTTAAGATGTTAGGATTGGTTAACATTTCGGGCACCATCGGTTGACTTAGGCTGTCTATAAGCCCTGGAGGAGTGATTCAACCGGACAAATACTGCTAATCTAGACTTGACTATATAGAATTTGCATTCTATATAAGTTGCAAATTACAGAGCTATGACCACTACTTTTGATCCTAATATTACTTATGCACTGGAGCAGATTGATATTTAGGAGATATTAGTGGTTAGAGGCTTGCAAGAATCAGGTAGTTATTCGATCATGACATATATACGAATTTGGTGTCAAGTCGACGTTGTATTCATATGAATATCGGCCTTCCAAATAAAATGTTAGCAGAGATTTGCATTTTGCAAGTTAAGTGTGAATGCGGATAGGATTTCCAATCCTTCACAGAGTGGTTTTCTGGACTTATACAGTAGGTTACATGCGCAAACTGCACTATTGAGGATTATCCCTCTGCCAATTCCGCACCAGGATATGAATCTTGAGCGTTAGCCCGCCGTTGTACGGGACTTCACATTCTTTAGCTTTTACGCAGCCTTGTCTGGATTGCATCACCAGTGCTTCATTATGGACTAGTCTGCTCGTATCTCGCTTAGTATTTATTACTTTAGCTAACTATTGCTCCATATCTGATAAAGTAATATCTGCAAATTAGGTGGGTTGCCAAATGTGCGGGGTTCACACCCTCGAGTACTGCCCCTTTTTCTGTATTCTAGAGGCCGCGAGTCAACATCAAATAACATGGTAGTTATCGTGGTCTAGGATATCAATATATCGTTCCCTATATTAGGCAGCTGGTTCCGTGCAGCTGTTCGATGAGCTTACCCCCGAGTCACATCAATATCTACTAAGAATATCTACCTCTGTGTCATCTTATGGTAACTAAGATCCATTGTCAACTTGGGAGAGAGACAATGATAGATACCAACACAAACGCTCCTCCAACTCGACCTCGTGTCCGGGATCTTCTGCCAAAACTTCACCTTGGTCGTCACCGCCCTGGGTTACTAAACTCTCTCACTGATGTCCCTGGTGTATTAGTCCATACTGAATCCATACACCGACCGTCTACAAATACCAGCCATGCGATCAATACAGGCATAACCACGATTCTGCCCCGTCGGGATTGGTTCAATTATGGTTGTTATGCAGGCTACTTTCGCTTTAACGGCTCTGGTGAGATGACTGGCTCTCACTGGTTGGATGAGACTGGTCTACTTAACTCGCCTATCATACTGACCAACTCTTTCTCTGTGGGTGCATGTTACACAGGTATTTATGAATATGCTGTTCGCGAATACAGAGATAAGGAAAGTGGCCTGGTGGATTGGTTCCTGCTCCCGGTGGTGGCCGAGACATGTGACTTATATCTGAATGATATTGGTGCCATGGTTGTCACACCAGATATGGTGGTACGAGGAATCGACCAAGCTAACGCCGACTTTGTAAAGGAAGGTAATACAGGAGGAGGAACGGGTATGGTCTGCCAAGGATTCAAAGGAGGCACTGGCATGCCAGCCGTATTATTGATGGCCTGGTGTTTGGCGCAGAGGTAATGTATACAGTTGCTGCTTTGGTCCAGGCAAATTATGGTGCTAAAAGGGACCTTCACTTTGGTGGAGTTCCAGTTGGGCGCCTAATCGCCGAACAAGACGCGATCGCCACTGCTGAAGAAGAATCGCAAAGGGAGGATGCAAGAAAAGCCAAGGATGGAAGTATTATTGTGGTAATCGCAACGGACGCGCCGCTCCATCCTACCCAGCTTCAGCGTTTGGCTAAAAGAGCTACTGTGGGTCTATCGCGTGTAGGTGGATGGGGATCTAATAGCTCGGGGGATATCTTTATTGCCTTCAGTACTGCCGAGAAGATTCCCCGAGCTCCAGATTTCAGCTGGAAACCAAGAGTCGAACAGAATATTGCTGTGGTGCAGATGTGACAATTAATGCCTTGTTCGAAGGTGCGGCAGATGCTACTGAGGAGGCCATCTATAATGCATTAATAGGGGCAGAGGATATGGAAGGTCCGCGAGGTAAATATTCCAAAGCTTTGAATCATGTAAAACTGCAAACCATCATGGAAAAGTACCTCTAGCGACATACATGTCTATTAGGAGTAAAGATTTATCCATGCGGACAGGATATTCAGAGACATCTAGGGTCCCAATTCTTCGGGTCTGAGCCGTAAGTATCCTAGCATGATAGCGAAGGGTGTAGCTGTCGATATCGGCGGAGATTTGTCACCCTAGAGTAGTTGCTTCCCTGCGAGGAGGTCACCCTAGGCTCGGCCTTCCAGGCATGTCACCACTCTTATGATATCCTAATATTACCGATCCTACAGTGCTGTCCAAATCTGATAGGCAAGCGTCGTCAATTGGTGGGCATAACATTGACGGTTCCTAGTGTACGTGGGTTGGCGTCCTTTCTCGAGAATCACTCCGATGCTCTTGTATATAAACCCTCAATTCTATAGATAAGAGAAATGGTAACAAATAATTTTCCTCTGATCTATAACGTTCCCACAGTGATATGATCTTGCGGTTGAAACTTTGGTTATGGACCTCACAGAATACCTAGGAATCCGCTGCACATATCCCTTTTGTTGAGCTGATTTACCAGTAGCCGCATGTGACGCCCCGTCAACCCCTTAAAGCATGTATTGAGTTGTCATAGCTTAATTGGTTAGCGATAACAGGCATGTTGAATACCTGTTTCTACGCAAAATTAATTACTAATAGTCCTACTTCCAAGACACAAGCTGAACTGTACGTGCATATAGGTGACCCTGGCCGCTCTCAGCCACCAATAGAGTAGGTCTCCTACCAGATCGCTTGGAAAGGGAAGACAAAAGAGGGGAGAGCGGCATGTTTGTTGTCTTGAGTGTTTAGGCGGAGGAGGTGATGGACATCATGCGAACTACCCGTCGACTCCGACAAGTAATGCAATCCACTTAGGAGGGATGTGTTGTAACAAGAGGAATTCTCCATGTTTATTATCAAAAACTTTAAAATTTTATGCGCAAGGTGAGCACCAGATAGATTTCCAATTAACCAGATCCTAGAATCTATTCCATGTATGAAGCTCTGTTGTTTACTTGATTAAGCCTCGACTCTCAACAATATCCAGGACTACTTAGGTAGTAGCTCGAGGTTTGCACGGTCCTCGAGTTATGAATAGATATATCTCTCTTTATGCGTATGAGTTGGTTTCTGAGTAATGCTGTTTAGCCCTAAATTTATTGAGTCTTTTGTATGCAATTGTTCGGGGCAAAATAGTGGTTCGTTCAGCCTACATTGATAACCGATTTGAAGTGCAAAAAATGGATAATTAATATCTACCCGTTGAAATTTCACAATTTAAGTGATCCAGTAGTATTGCACTTCTTCGAGCGTTTAATCTGGGCACGCTTTCGTTAACGTACTTCACAAGGAGCTGGACGCACAAGCAACCCGTACACCCTGTACATAATCGCATATAAATTAGCACTTTTTATGACAGTAGTATCTCAACAACAACATAAGTAGTAACAAATAAATAGTCCCTAATATGTAAATAATTTAAAATGCTCTCTACATTTTAATTTATATTTTAACATTTTCTGAGCCTAGAATACAGAATTGTTTTAAATATCACTGTATTTAAAGAATTTTTTTTTTTTTTTTTTTTTTTTTTAAAAAAAAAAAAAAATATAAACAATTAGATATCCTATAATGCTATAGGCCTAGTGTCTATATATTATTCTATATATATATTTCAGGCCATCTTGACATGTTGTTATTAAGATAACACAGAACATAAAAAGTGCTATCTTGTATACAATTACAGGATGTCCGGGCCACGTGTGTCCGGCTCGCTTGTGGAATACGTTAATTAAACAGGCAGTGGGGCATCCCAACTCGCCCAATATTACAGGCCAAACTTGTCGGGCTTTTAGGTACGATGCCGTGATCCGTTTCCGGATAGCATAATTACTGCTCCCAGAAAGTGGCTCCATGCCTGTGACCATGCTGTCGGAGGATGAAGTAGATTGCGAGCGGAATGGAGACTCCTGTGTGGTGAGTCTTGCTAAGAGGTTTTAATTTAGAGGTCCGTACAAATATTCAAAGGCTCTGCGCAGCTAGAGACATTACCCAAGAAATGTTTTTGCATCCGGGCTCATAACCTGTTGTGATTCAGAGGAAGATTAGTTATTCTATTCTCATCTAGAGACTTAAGGGTTTATATACAGAGTGAACATCAGATTGATTTCCAATCAATCAAGTTCTAGAATCTATTGTGAAGCTCTTCTACCAGACAGAGCCTTATTCATAAACAAGAGCAGGATTTGTGATATTTTAGGCTGAGCTGAGGGCACAGCTTAATGCTGAGATTAGGGCAGAATTTTGCTCTGAATTTGACACTGTGTTCGATGCTAGGTTTGACGTCGGATTCGACGCTGGATGCAATAAAGTATCTGACACAGGATCTGGTAAAGGGCCTGGTAAGATATTGTCCCTGAATCTGAAGAACCAAGAGCCTCTGATAGATCGTCGCGCACCCAATTTTGATGCAGAATACTCTCCATCTCCTCGTTTTCCTCAAGAAGAATATCTTGAGCGACAGCAGGGGGTGGGTCTGCACGAAACTGTCGTTTATTTATCTCTACATAAAGCAGCTTCTCAACACGGTGCGGTCAAGGCGATTCCGGAGGTTTGTATGCTGCAAATTCATTCGCAAGAAAGCTCTCTCTGCCGCTGCAAATTAGCAACGGTAGTACACAGACGACGAACAAAAGGAGCAAGGATAGGAGCAGATTCTGCCTATTTAGTAGAAGTTAGCGGCTATTTGATATTTTAAAGCTTTGACATAATGCTTCCTACCAGAAAAGAGATGGGGTTTTGGCTCCCCAACATACGGCATTACAAAAGGTACCTGTTTTTTGCCGGAATACAAGAAATTTATACCAAGCAGAGGAGCTTCCATCTTCGCTTCGAAATGGTCTTAGAGCACCTACTACATGGTGTTGTGCACTGTCGTCAAGATTGCCAGGAACGTTGCTGGATCAAGATGATATGCTACCCAATGAAGTGGCTCTAGTTAACGTAGTATTCGATTCTGCCAACCAGTGCCATCTAGGTAAGAGTAAGAATCATCTTAAAGGATGTTTGAGCAGCCAGCATTCGCAGGCTTTCGTGCAGGGCTAGCCACCGTTGTGCTACCTCCATAATTGACGAATCCTGGGCTTCAGTTTCTTTCTGAGCAATATGCAGAGGCTGTAGTATCTTTGTTAGCTCCTTTAGCTCCCACCAAAATGCATGTGATTCAGCTATTCTAATCACATCTTTTCCATTTGCAGGAGCAATAAACCCTACTCACAAATTACTTCCTGAAAACTATAAAGAGAAGTAAGCATGACGTATTGCCCATCGCGTAATAACAAAGCAATTAGTGGCTTTCTAAGCCCCCATTTCTCAACTTGTTTTGCTTGCAGCCTTACATATTCAAGAGGAGATTGATGAAGATCACAATATCCAGAGAGTTGACTTAATCTTTGTTGCTTTAGGGATCTTTGATGCAATAGGGTCAAGAATGTCCTTCCTAATCAGCTGCAGACCATGTGAGTTGGAACCATAAAGGCTTCCTAAGCTTTGGTTTGTCTGACAGGATTTGCCATACCGACTTCATAAAACAGCTGGTATCTGTTGAATGGAATTAACTGTTTTCCAGTCACTAACATTATCGAGCTCTGAAAGAAGGTCTTGAAGCATAAACCATGATTTCCTGGGTGTAGTAATAGTCATTACAATAACCCGTTAAGATTGGATATACGAGGTTTCATCTACAGTAACATTTAGAAACTGGCTCCTCTGTACCTCGTTATAAGATTCCTCTAGCAGGTCATTGGCAATTCGATGGCGGAAGGGATTTGATATACAGGATTTAGTGCATGGATGAAGTCTCGCAGCTCTGGTTGCTCTAAGAGGCTGAAAGGTCTGGCTCCTGTAAAACACACCTGGTCTAGCAGACGGTCAATACTTCTTGTTGGATTAGAAGAAGGGAAACTTAACGATTCCACTCGCTTTCCAGTAGTATTCCCGGAGTCCATAAGGCTTGTGCTTTGGTACATTTCTTTGCATGCACTCTCTGGCGTGTTGTGTTTTTTTGCTCCAACTTTGAAGCACCCAAGGCATTTAGCTTGCGGGACTTAGCGAAAATCAATAAAAACACAGCATATAGATATAAATTTACTTTTGATGCTCTATATTATTTCAAAGCACTTTTGGGACCTATAATGAATCTTGCTCAGAAGAATCTTCAGCCATGCTGATGCTAGAACTACTGACTTAAATTCCTACCCATCAAAGATATATATTTCATAATAATTGCTATCAGTACTACAGGCATCTTCTCAAGATGTCGCTGTAAATGTTCACGCAACGAAAAGAACAGCTGCGACTGAACACATGAACTGACACAGTCTTCCCTCAAACCGTTTGTGGTAGTCTAGCACAGCATTCTTAATATCATCAACCTCCCTCCTAAACAACTTCACCGTCATAGAGCCAATTTCCCGGAATTAAAAGGGAGGCACCATCCGATTGCTATGGCCGTAGGCCTCTTCGCGAGCAGACTTGAGGCCGCCCATCTGTGCATCAATGACCGCGTCCGCTTCGGATAGAAGGTCCTTGCCTTTGCGTAGATTGCCAATCCACTCCTTTAGCTTTACGCGGTGCTCCTCATGCTTCCCAGTTTTGATATTCTCACCCTTAGTGTGGAATTCGGTTAATTGATCGATATTGGCCTTGGGCTGGGGATTTTTTGCATCTCCATCACATAGCATGCTGTCCAACCTATCACACTATTCCGTTAGTATTTATTTGCCTGAAATCTGGGATACTATTTAGACAAACTGACTCAAATTCATCATCATGGCCATTTTTGTAGCAGGCAAGAACTGTGACTAGCTTGTATAAGTCTCCCTGATCTGATCTTTAAAATCATGGTAAATAGTAGCGCGGTATAATAGCTGTTAGCATCTTGGGACTCTTTTCAGGCTCACTCCGGGTGTGTGCATCCTTAGCGTAGGAAAATACATCATGTATGGCACGCAGTGGCATTGGAACGATACCATGCAGTCATCGGAAACATATGCTCTTTCTCCGGCAGTGCCACACCTGGCAGTTCTTATTTTGACATGATTAATTGTAATGGACTCGGCTCCTTTCTTCCCGCGGTGTGGTTTCCAGCTTGTCCCCTGTTAAGCACCGTTCATAATCAGTACACCGGTAGGCCACAGAAGGAGATTAGTTATTAGACTTACAAAGTCATGCGCCACTTCGGCCGCGGCCTTGCCAGCTCAGTGTGTACCAAGCTTAATCTCCTTGCCATTCAAGATATACTCTCCCGAGACCTGGCCCCCAATGCCACTCGTGGTTGTATGTTCAGTGGTGAAGCTGGTTTTGCAGGCCACCTGTAGAGGCCAGAGTATAATTATTAAGCACGAATGAAAGACCTTGGTTTTGTATTTTTAATGTTCAGGATTTTGTCTAGAGTGCTGATGTTTAGCGTTTTGCCCTTGCATAGTATTATAATATCTTCAAGAAACGCGATTTATTGCTATAGACGTTATGTACCGTGACTAGTGGGCTGTTATAATAACAACATTTTCTGGATAAATGTTATCAATTTAAATTGTATACACTGTACGTCCTGTACTGTATATCGTCTACTCTATAAACTCGCTTTGTGCAACTAAACTTGTTTTATCAAGAACTGTGTGTACGTACATATAACGAGGTGAAATAGTATTACTTAAAAGCTTGCAGTACCCATAAATGGGGCGACTGGGCGCTTTACAACGGAACTTGGCGGCACTTTAAAACCCCACCGCTACAAAAGGACACAAGTACATACCAACTTAAAAAAGAAAAATTTCCAGACACATAAGAAAACGCCAAGAGCTCGTGAAGTTGTTTTGATTAGCACCCGCTAGGCACCAATATTCAGTGTAAGACGTGTATATATGGAACATCCGTGGGTCGCATAGTCATCATCTGGTTGCAAATAAACCCCAGCGCAATTAAACTCCCCGGCTGCACAACTTACTGTCGGGCACGAAGGGTCGTTGGATGTTACTGAGATCTTATGGCGGGTAAATTCTGCATCGCGGTTCATGTTGATGTAGGAAATGTCCCAGTATACTGTAGGGTCAGATCTGGTATATTCGAACTGCAATATATTGCTTAGACTTGGGTCAGTGGCAAGCTTGATTGATATGCCACCATCGTTTCGGCTCCTCCACGGTTTGAAATAGAATTTATCCTTAGGAATAGTGATTATCGGGCCGGCAGTCTCAGCGACGGACCAAGCGTAAATGGTATTATTTAGATAATTTGCAACTATGACTCCGCCAGGTCGAGAAAATTGATCCAGGGCGACCCTGTCATGTAACGGCCAGATCTGCCCAGCAGCAATAGCAAGTGAAGGTGCAGTGAAAAAACAGACCAAACCTGGGAACATAGCTTATCTCTCTTCTTTCTCTGTCTGGTTATCAACAAAAAAGGCCAGTGATATGTACCTCAAATATAGGAATAATATTTCTTGGTGTGGCGCCACTGTTGGCATTATAGGCATGGTCTACTTATATATGATGGAATGCTGCTGTTACGTAGCGTATATTGCGGGTTAAAAAATGGATCCTTTTACTCATATCTTATAAGTTATTATGTGTACTAAATAATTAAGTATGTATACAATGTGCACCATTCAAAATAAAGCAATCGTAGAAGGATAGTCATTTATGTATCTATACGTTGCTTATTATAATTTCTCCATTCTATCACCTGTGGGATGCTATTATTTTAAACTACAGCAGACTCTCTGCTTGAGGTTAATTACAACTAGAATGTGAGGACCTGTGAAATCGTCGCCGAAAACGACCGCTACTGAGGCCATAAACGGCCGCATTTCCACCCGTAACTCCCATCTTCTAGTTAAGTCATGGTGTTGGCGCTCAACTTCAGTCTGTCTCAATTCACGACCAAAACGACGCCGAAAATGGCCTCCTTCGCGGCCAAATCCAGCTACCCTCCAAATTCGACCGGCCAGGCCAGGAGAAAAAGTACTAGTCAGCTGAGAGCTATAGTTCATCTCGCCAGTCTCCGGCAGGTTCTTTTTGTTCTTGCTAATGTATCCCTCGGCTGACTGCGGTTCAACTATTCTTGTATAAAGGATCATCCCTTTCACGTTAGCTCGATTACCTCAAACCGCTCATCCGCAGCCCTAATCAAACCTGATATACCAGGAATCCTGCGCCGTAGGCATAATAGAATAGACGACCTCGCTCCAGCAACCTGCTACCCCTCCACCGGCGGACCCAGCACAAAACTAAACTCTTTCAAATGCGGCGAAGCCTTCCATCTTGCAAAAAGCTGCCTATTCTCCACCAAGATCCGCCGTAGCATCTTTCCCCTCTCCTCTGCATCAGGCCATACCCCCTCCCATATCCTCACATATGGCTCCATGACCCCTAAGGCCTCCCTCAGCCACAATCCGGCCCTTTCCTCCTTAATCCGACCACTCTGCACCATTCCCGTCTCCAGCTCCTGAAGAAGATCTTCCCTTTCTAGCCCTGTTTTCACTGCAGCCCGCATCACCCCAAGTAATATATGTGACCGCACTGCAAGGTCTAACTTATCTAGCTCCACACCTACTGTTTCCTCTACTGCAACAGCAGCCAAAAACTCTATCTCTTCATCACTGCCAAGCTCCCCATCCCATCCTCTCCACCACGCAAACGCCCCAACCCCGCCATCTGGCCACCCACACCACGTCACCTCGCTCTTCCACATTCCATCCTTCACATCCGGCTCAACAACCCCATTCTGTTCCCAGCTTGCCTCCCACAGCTGCACCGAGTACTTCCCTTCCCACTCATACACATCATATAACCCCTGCGCCACAAGTATCCCGAGCAGTTCTCATTCCACCTTGTTGGGGACGGCGCCTCAGATCTGGTCCGTGCGCTAAAGTAACGGGCCCCCATATACTCCAGCCAGAAGCGTGCTTGCGTCTTTGAGTAGGGCCGCACGCTCGGGTGCCCCTTACGCAGGCGGTTAATGGTTGCCTCGAGCGTGCTGAGGGCTATATCGGTGAGAGTCACGAGGGGAAGTAGGGGTTGTCTAAGGTATGTATATGCGACATTATAGGCCCAGCGGGGGAGTTTCGTGGCATGTGGGCCACCGCCGACGTGAGATTGCTTGCGAATCGGTAGATCCAGCGGGTTATCTGAGTCCGGTAGATCTTGGAGGTCAGGAAGGCGGTAGAAGCGGGCTGTGATGTTCTGTTTTAAGAATGGCTCCGAATAATAGGCGCGCCAGGCGGAGGGATGTAGGAGTGCGTGGTGTTCAGTGTAGAAAGTATCAAATTCATCAACGGAGGGGAAGATGCCTTCGATTTGGTCGGAGGAGCGATAGATGCCTGCTGCGATCTGGGCTAGGTAGAATAGATCCAGGGTGCTGTGTTTGTGATGGTTAGTATAGTAGTTTTTAGGTGGGGATGGATGGTAGCTAACTAACCGATTGAACTTCAACTCGCCCTCGCCGAATGACCATCCGTGCGCGTGCAGTTTCTCGATAACATCAAATACACCCATACCAGTCCACAGCACCTCATCCATATGGATAAATGCTATCCGTAACACTTGATCATGGCTATTGACAGGCACCACGCCGTTTTCGACGTCGGTGAGGAATTTCTGAGCGCTCATGGCAAGCCTCCAAAAAGGGCAGAATGAAATGTGGGAAGTAGAACTGTAGAAGTATGCGTTATATCAGAGATGGATGTGACTAACCCTTTTGGGTATAGCACGTTTTCACCACCTGATATTGAGTTGAGAAAAACAATTCAGGATTCAAAATGCCAGAGCAAAATCCCAGGGGTTCGAAGGGACTCTTATATTTAATTCTGGGAGTTGATCGAGCCACACCTCTCTCTCGGGGCTTGTAGCTCGGCGTGGTCTAAAAAAACCTCGGCGTGGGCTAACGTGCTTTACCGCCAGACGATCCACGCCGCCTGACGATCCAGCTCTCGATCGAAATCCACCACAGAAATGAAACCACAACACCACATACAAATAAAAGCATACTTAGCTTTTTTGGTGTATTAAAGGTGAGGTCCTAGTAAAGCATATACAAAATTTAAGTATCCCGGAAGCAGTGTGGGAGGTGTACCAACCTCCCACTACGGCTTGTTGCTGTGGGGGCCTCTTTAACAACTTTGGCGGCCTCACCACTAGTATCTTCCTGGATTTAAGGATTTAAAGCAGTATTTCGCTTCTTCCGACCCTTCTTGACCTTTTTAATATTATTTTAAAGCTGCTGCTCCGCCTCCTTGGCCAGGCAAGCCTTTTCTTTTTTATACTTTTCCTACTCCTCCTTCTCCAGGCGCTGTTGCCTCTTAAATATCTTTATTTTTTTGTTCTCTTCCTTCTGGCGCTGTTTCTCTTCTTTGGCCTGTTGTTAAAGAAGTTTTACCTGCTTTTTTAAAGCTTTATTAGCTGCCTTGGCTGCCTCCTTCTCTGCCTGGAGGTCTCGAGATCTCTAGATTTTTATTAAAGAGTAGAATATAGCACCACTGTTCTCTAAAAAAAATAAGTTATTTAATTGCATGCCTTTTTTATATAGGTGCTTCTTTTTTTTATTTACCAAGGTATTTTTAAGGCCCTGGGCATGGATTTTAAGAAAGGAGTTCTTTATAGTAAGCTGCTAAAAGTATCCAAGAATAATTCTGGTTTTCCTGTTATAAATATTAGTAACTATAGTTTTAAAAAGCCTTTTTATCTATTACTAATCTTTATGCGCCAGTATAGAGCATGCAGAGCCACTAGACAAAGGCCTAGAGCTAACCTCGCATGTAAAGTGCTTTAAAACCTGTGCTAGATCCTATGGTTATATACCAACACTCCTCCATGCCGATTTGATATTTTGCTTGGATAAAGTGGTCCCCCAGGTATTCCAAAAAAAGCGGAAGAAATCCCTCTTTATAATAAAGGTCAGGCCCTGCGCGGTAAATAAATACTCGTCTAGTTAGTTACTATATACATTGGCCAACGGTCCAAAAATACAAATATTAAACGGCTGTAGAGAATATATTAAATAAGAAGGATATATTGCTATAAGGATTTTATTAGCTTTATAAAAATTAAGAAACCTCCTTGTGACATGAGATCCATGGCTATTAAGCAGGAGAAGCCTCCAAGGCCTCCCTGCTTTGGCCTTGGTTTTAGGATTAAAAATATCTCAAAGCCACGCAAAACCCACGTTGTTGTTGGTCCAGCCGGTTGGTAAAGAGGTAAAAAAACAATCCTGTGTACAAGGATTATAATCTTAAAGCCATAAGTCCTGTAAATCTCCCGAAACAGCTTAATATATTAGACCTAGAGGCAGCGAGGTCTGATCAGCGCAAATATAGGTAATTACAGTAATCCAGTCCCTGTTCCTATCCTGGATATATTATACGGAGCGATCTCTTTTATATTTTAGCTTTAAAAAGATTCTCTTGCTTTTAAAAATAATTCTAATAAAAAATCCTTTCTTATTTATATTATACATATTTTCTAGTTGGATCTCGTATTCCTCCATCTTTCTGGCTAATTTTTAGAAGTACAGCATGTATTTCCATGCCAAATCTGCTGCCTTGTAGTTGTGGTCGATACTGGTTGTATGGCAACGGGTAAGCTTTTTCTTGTAGGCATGAATGGGGCGGCCGGGCCGCTGGTATCCTAGCCTTGTTCTATAGATTTTCTAGGCAAAATTGCGAAGCATCTTATGCGTAAGATAAAGGCCATGTTCTGATAGTTTATTAATATATTTTATAAGCTCTTTGGCCTGCTTGTTAGAGAGCAGTTGCTGGCTTTTATATTAGTTTGCTTTTGTGCCTTAAATCCCTTAGTGTCTTCTTGCAAGAGTTATGCAGTTAACACCAAACTTTTTAGTAATATTGCGGTAAGAGAACAATTCTCTAGGCTTTATAGATTTAATCTCTGCTAACACTGCCTCGATAGAATCCATATTAGTGGTGTTGTGGTGGTTTGAAGACGTTAAGTAAATGTCAGTGTAGATGTAGGTGGATCGTCAGGGGGTGTGGACCATCAGGCAGTAAAGTACGTTAGGTAATTAGTAATATTCCTTTATACGCATGCAAATAGATACTTTTTTTCTCCACAGTCGCGGATTAGTGGGGAATATTAATATATACACGCTTGCAGACTAATTAACCGCCCGAGCACCTACCACAGCAAACACCCAGAAATACGCGCCGCAGAATCCCTAGGAGTTTTAATAGAAATCTAAATATCATACTAAACAGCCAGATCTAAAGGATTCCAAGCCATTAAAGGATTCTATTTACTTAAATAGTAGAAAACCACGCAAATTATGCCCCGTTTGTAAAAAAAAGGACCTCATAATAAAGGTTAAACAATATATCCGCCACAACCTCCCTGTGCGAACACGGGCCCTGAGATAGTACAAACCGCCGTGAGAATATAATAGAGTGGCGTCATTGGAAGTCTCATTCAACAAATTCCTATACTTTTCACCCTCAGAGAAAGATGGCTCCGGTGCATTCAGCTACATTCGCGCGACATCCTGTCCATTCTGCCGTGACGGGCTTGAGAGATGGCACAGAATACTCCTCAGCCCCAGTACCAAGAGCCCGAATGGTCTGAAACAATGCATCTCTAATTGCATTCTCAGGGCAACTCTGTCGACCCACATGCCACCTTTAACGCCCGGGTCTTGCAGCGTACTCTGCTGCTGTTCAGTTATGGTGGACGGACGCGAGTTGCACAATATATCGCGGATGATGGAGACGGTCAGCACAGCGCGGAGATCCTAGTTTTGCGATGTCGGGCTAATATGGAAGGAAAACAGCCTTGGCGACAACAGGAACCTTGACAACATGAAGCTGAACGGCGTATACTGGGGAGGTCTTAGCTTTTTTTAAAGAACTTTGGATGCTGTTACATCACGGTTTGTATAATAAAAGCATGGTATGCCAGATGGATAAAAGGCATCTGATGTCACATACAGGCGGGAGGCACTAATGTCCTGGTTTAGAAATGCGAAGGCCCCTGGCGGTGTGATGCACCCGATGTGGCATAGATGCGAAATACGAGAAGTTAAATATAATGGAAACTTGGGTTGCATTCCGGTTAAAGTGCCTTCCGTGGCATTTATTTCGGTATACATGGATTGGAACCTAATCTCGAATTAAAATTCATTGGAATCGGTGAAAAGGACGATAAAAGCACAGCACTGCAAACGTAGGATCATTATCAAAGGGATGAACTTCCCCCCAACTCCCCCCGTACTTCGTTCTGTTGTAGTTGTATAGTCGTTGATACCGGTAAGTTACACGTAATAAAAGATGTTGCATAGTTAGATACATAGCTGAGCTGATAGGATAGTGTTTGCCGTGTCTTTCTTAATTACCCTGAATAAATCGTCATGAAACACATCTCAGTATGAGAGAACGGCTACTAAAAAAGTATGACGAATAATTAAGAGCTGTGATCTTAACTATTTTTATTTTTGTTTAGACAGAGATAATGGACGTTATGAGTCACATACACCGGCTTGGCGTCTGTTGTGAACTCAGGGGAAATGGGGCGTAGGGAGCTATTCTATCAGCTACAGGCCAACTAGCCTAACTGGGAAGTAGATGTCCTTCTGTGGAAACACCAGGAATCACAGTATCTCAACCAACTGAGTCTCTTGCATTCCTATCTGCGTGCTCAACTAACTAAAGGATTGAGGGGTAGAATGGATCGGTAGATATTTCCGCACCGCCAAGTCGGGCGGATTATAGTGTTTCCGTAACAGCGTCCATAAGCATGATAGCGGTCATTTTTCTGGTCGGCAATTGCTTGTTTTAACTGTGAAAGCGAGCTGCGTTACCCTCCCGATTTCTATGCATCATAGCAACTCAACCGCTCAGATAAATGCATTCCTATACGTAGACCTGCGCCCGATTTCACACCAAACAATGGTGTCAAAAATGAAGCTTTAAAGCTACATAACAATGTCAAATTATATAAAGTTCTCTGTGTATAAAATTAGCCGTGTTATACTCAACCACTCATATTCATAATTTGAATAATAATAAAGATCATATCTCTTCAATCTACGCATAACCTGCACTACTTATGTTCGTGGGAGCTTGCTTGAGGGCTGAATAATCACCGCTCGAATTGTGTTGAATAATCAACTTAGGAACGCGTAGGTAACTGTTCTTTCCAACACTGCTTTATCACAACTACCGGAAATGCCGAGGTACTTCGTATTTGTGGTGACGTTGACCCACCATACTTAAGTGAGCTTCATTAGGTCGACTTCGACGGTGCCTTAACAAACTTGAAAACCTGAATGCTTGCCTAATAATCATATCACTGGAGCCTGTTTTCCCGCCAAACCAGATGGCTGAAGATCAGAAGATGAGATCAGTGTCAACTCGAGTCGGTAATATATCGTATACAGTTAGTGGTGAAGGCCGGCCGGTAGTCCTCCTGCATGCTACACTCCACGACAGCCACGACTTCGACCCTATTATATTTCGACTAGCAGAACATTATCAAACAATCGCCGTTGACTGGCCATGGCATGGCAATACAAAAGGGTCAGATATTGCCGCTACATGTGCAAAACCAAGCGCTATCCTGTTTGCGGATGTCCTGGAGGACTTCGTTGCTGCGCTCGACCTACCTCCCGCGATTCTAATTGGAAACTCAGTGGGTGGTTTTGCAGCAGCAAGACTAGCAATTACCAATCCAAATCGTGTTTATGCGTTAGTCTTGGTGAACACCGGCGGTTTCACCTCATGGAATTTGTTTAGCCGATCTTTTTGTTACATTATGGGGTTTAAAGCAGTGGCACGCATCGTTCTGCCGTATATTATCTCTCAATACATGAATGCCCAGACCCCCAACGATATGGCAATCTCGCAGAAAGCTAGAACTCGAGCCCAAAGCAGAGAAGGGTCAACTCTGGCTGCGACTCTCTGGCGCAGCTTTCTGGATAATGGCCACGACATTCGAGCTCAGGCAATAGCTATCAAAAAACCGACATTGATTATTTGGGGAACTAAAGATATTTTCCCAGTCACTACTGCTTATAACGCACAAAACTCTATACCAGGATCGAACCTAAAACTCTTTGACGCGGGGCATGTCGTTTTTTCTTCCAAACCTGAGGAGTTTCTTAATGTTTTGGACCAATTTCTGCAATCGATTCGTTAGCCGAACCAGTAATTGACTGGATTGCCCTTGGAGGCTGGGCTTACCTATTCTCGAGCCGGCGTTGTTAGTCGGAATAGCCCTCGGAGGACTGATTTGACTGCGGATTAGTGTGAAGCATTAAAAAATGCTTTAACTAACTGGGATATATAAATGCCTTAGGGTGATAGATCAGGTATGATAAGGTAGCTCCATATTTGCCAAGGTGAATCATGGCTTGTCATTGTATTGCTTATGGCATTACGCTGACAAGAAAAGCCCACCATTTGCCTTGTAAGTTTTGTGTTAGTCAGCACCTGCTCGGTCATTTAAAGTCATTCATTTTATGCCACCATATTTTATCATTCCAATTGAACACTATTTCATACGTATTTAGTCTTGAATATTTGCTTAACTTAGAAGAATCAGACTCTCATAGATCTTTGGAGTTGATACTAGCCGCTCTTCCTGCGGGAAGAGTCAGTCTCCTGTGAAGATCTGGCTAGGCCATGGGAACTTTCGGGCTCTCTATAAGTTAATAGTAAGCTCCCAAGATTTGATTATATAATCTTATGAGAGAAGTTGGTAACGTAATCGGTAAGCGAGCGCCGCATGAAAGCGAGCGCCGCACTTCTGTACGCCATATAAAATGGCACTCTTTGAAACCTTAATATCTCAACCACCAGTAGATATAGAACATCTTTATAAGACAATAACATATATATGGATTCTAAAAGGTATTTTCATGTTTTTAAATAGCTTTCTTGCTTTTTAAATACTAGGACAACTAAAATATAAAAAATACAGTTGTAATTTATCTTATCTGGAGAAATATTCATTCCTAAAATTTCTCTGCTTAATATATATATATACGTTATTATATTATACTGTATATTAAATTTTATGCCCTCTAGGTGCTTTATTGTTGAGATATTAGACTCTCAAAAAGTGTCATTTTATATGGAATAGAGAGGTGCAGCGCTCGCTTTCATGCGGCGCTCGCTTACCGATTACGTTAACCTCTACTGGGGTGTTACTGGAGTGGAAGTCCCCATCCTACTCAGTTCCCATGTCGACCCCTAGACTGACAAGGAAAGTGAGTGGGCATTTCCCGTTCCCTATGAAGTGCACAGTATCTGTATAGACAGGTGTGTGAGAGCACTGAGCGGGCATTCTCTATCTGGAGCACCATGCATAGCCTACTAGTGCTTAGACATTGGTTGTTCACTGCGATGTCCAACCAGAACTAGCGCTGATAATCCTGACTGTTTTGGTCAGACAATTACTTGTTATGTTTATCATATGTTACTGTAGCTACGTTACTGTAGCCTGATGGGGCTAGCCGGTACTGAGATTTATGGAAGCTTCACCCTTGCATGGGTGTGTGAACACATAGTCAGATCTGGATTCGACTGTCCATGAAAAAGTATAGAATATACTATATCGCCAAGTGACTTGTGCTGCTTATCAGTCTTCATGCTCCTGCCAAAGATGAGTGCAAGGAGATACTGGACTGAGGACGAGGATACCATCCTGCGTCAAGAAGCTCGCAGTGTAAGTAATTCGATCCGACCACCACGTACCTTCCTATTCCCTGCATCAATAATGACAATGCTTGGCGACAGTGGGGAGCCTCGGGGAGGTAAAGCACTGGAATCGCATTGCCTCGAAACTGCCCGGAAGAACTAATAAAGACTGCAGTAAATGATGGACGAAAGTTAGCAGAAACGTGAATAAAGGATCCTGGAGTGCTGAAGAGGATGGTATATTACGGGTAGCCGTGGGACACCATGGATATTGGTTCGTAATTCTTTCTACATCTACATCTACGGGCATATGACGAACAATGTACATCAGTTGGACACTAATTGCGGAGACAGTCAAGACCAGACACACAGACCGTAAGCATAAATATCCCTATCTTTGTTGCTTCCTTTTGCTTTTCCCCAGAGTTTGCTAACCGCGATAGGATGTGCCAAACGTTGGTGCCAGAGCGTCTTCTGGCCGCGGTGAAAGCTCAAGGAAGATGCTCGAGGGTCATTAGCGAAACCGAATTTCCTCAGAGGTCTCCGACAGATCTCAAAAGTCGGTCAGTAGCTCTTATCGGGGACGAGAGGGCGCTGAATTCCCGAAATGTTAAAGCTCTAACAGAGTCTTTAGAAGGACAGATACATGATCATTCAGCGAAAAATAAAGCAGGATAAAGACATACAGCCCATACTTCCAGGACCAACTGTCTTCCTGTGTTCCCACTCGATCAATACTGCCAGGCCAGCATGAACATCTGTTTGCTTCCGCTCATACCCAAAACAGTCACACCAGCCAGATGGGTCTAACTTGATAATTCTTGACCTTCTGACCCAGCAGACAACGCCACGTTTATGGTTCAAGGACCTGTCTACAGCACTAAAAGGCTTTGGGCTTCAACCAATTGATGATGATCAATATCTCTTCTCAGACCAGCATTTAGTTGTGATGTTTTATGTTGATGATATTATTATCGTCAACTTGCCAAATTCGCGAGCAAGAACAGGCAAACCATGTGAAGAGAGCTCTCGAAAGGCGCTACGAACTGCGAGATATGGGATAGACAGAATGGTTCCTAGAAATTCGCGTTATTGGAGGTAGTACAGAAAGAAAGTTATGGCTATGCCAGGATGCATATATCGATCAAATGGCTGCTTGATATCACCTAAAGGATTTAAGTCGGTATTCCAAAACGCCCATGGAGTTGAGGCGTCACTACTCGCCCAATCGGGAACAGGCTACAGATGGTTAAATTTATCATTATCAACAAAAGATAGGATCCTCGCTCTATCCAGCAATTATTTGGAGGCCGGATGTTGAGCGTCCCGTTAATAACTTAAACTCGCTGAATTCATAACAAATCCATGAGATGCACACTTTGAAGCAATTAATCATGTGGTTGCAAATCTTTACTCTACACGTTTCTACACCATTGAGCACTCAGGCAATCAGAACCATTTAGTTAAATAGGACGATATCTTTATCTGCGCAAGCGATGCTTCATTTGCTGATTATTATGACCGCAAGAGCACCGAAGGATTCCTTTGCATGCTCTACGGAGGTCCAATTGATTTGAAAGCATCGAAACAGCGTACGGTGACTACTTCCACTACCGAAGCTGAGCTTCTCGCGATTTCAGCAGCTGCGAAGATATTATATTGGTGGAAGCGCGTGTTTAGTGCAATTGAGTTTGATCCTGAGCACGATATCTCAATTAAATGAGACAATCGCCAGACAATTGAGTTGTTGACCAAGGAAGAGCCTTAACTACGTGCAAAATTACGCCATGTTGGATATTCATGGAATGTGGCTGCGTCAATAGGTTCAGAATAAAGGCACCAAACTCGACTGGGTTCCAACTGACGAGCTGCCCGCTGATGGGATAACAAAGGCTTTATCGGCTCAAAGGCACTAAGAATTTATCAAGATGCTTGGTTTAACTGATGTGAAAAGCCTTTCCTTGCGTAGTTAGGCAATATTTTGGTTTTCATGCGACATTCAACTATCCATGACCTCGGAAGCTGCTGAGGGGGTGTGTCGACAACTATGGTAATACTGATTATTCAGCCCCTTTCTTAGTCAAATGGTTGATAATACAACATCATTATATCACGTATATTTCCTATATGAGTTATTTCACATTCTTCGATTGTTTACCTCGCCCTTTATAAACGCGAGATGTTTTGGTAGTTTAGTTGAATCAGAGACCTAATTCAATGAAGGATAGATACTTGCGAATACGCGTAATTTTGTAGTCGACATTAAGATATTTAGATCGCATAAAGCGTCATTTTGTATGCAATACGGAGATGGCTCGCTTTCCAGTTACATTAATTCAATAAACCCTTGCCGGAAGCTGTAAAATAGGAGTAGCACGGCGTCCCACCCCTAGAACGATGCCACCCACGTGTAACCTGTCCTGTTGATCTTGCTCAGGCTGCTCAGATCTGCTCAGTAAGTCAAAAACGGCGAGGGCTGAGCACTAAAACTGAAAGGGACAGATAAAGAGGTCTCTAGAAATTACCTAACTAGCTAACTGTTCCACCACTGGTTCACTATTCCAGTATTTGTTTTACCTGTAGAAGGGCTATCGGAGAAATTACTTCTCCCAACTATAACCGAGGTGTAAGCTACAAAAGTCTTCTATCTTTTATGTTGGAAACCAGGATGCCTAAGGCCTCTTTGATCCTAGTCCCGCAGCGACCTGATATATCACACTCAGGGGCGAAGGGACACGTAGCAATAAGGAAGCGTTTGTCTACGCTCACTCTCTCGAAGGTAGAACAACATACTCACCATGTGATACTAGATCACACGATAGTTTGAATATACTATCTAGTCACCGCTATCCTAGAACCTCACGAGTCACGACGTACTCTTTTCCCCTACACACCTTCAACACTTTACACAGATGTCAAAAGCCTTCCGGACTGGCTTATTCATACCGTTGGTTTTAATTAGATTACAGTACAGAAGCTATGCGAGAGAAATAAAGACAATTAAGAAGCAAAGAATATATCATGCAACCCTATTCCATTGTAGGTCTAGGCTCTCCGGCAAGGGCTTTGATAAAGTAGGACTCCGACGGGTTCCGGCAACGTAGTATCAGAGAAGTAGAGGTACTACGTGAGGGGTAATTCGGCAGAGGACAATACAAAAGATAAAAGGGGATGAAGGAAAGTCCAGGGTTATAATAAGGATCTACGGTGAAATTGTAGCAAGAAATATGCCCCTGGTATATTAATATGTTCTGTCGGCTGGCGTCGGCATCGTGGGTTAAAATTACCGCACACAGGATTGAACGGATGGATTGCTATACCGGAGTTCTATGCTTCCTGGTTATAAATGCATAGGTAAACAAGAAAACAACATCAAGGATGGATATATGGCAAAATAAGGGGTTAAGGCAGTTCCGCTGCACCGTCGATTTCTCCGACCGTTATAACCAACCTGCTCACGTAGGATCGGTCCGAGCCCCTGATACTATAAGTCTAGCGATATTAGCTTGATCCCTTCAAGGCGTATCCACTAACGTCTCAACCGCTCCTGTTGTGGCCGAACATTCTTGGCGGCCACAATTTCCCCGCGTCCAGTAATTCCTGAGCACGATTCTGGAACGCGGATGGGTCTCAGTCCACAATGTAGGAACAGCGTGGATAGCCGGACTGTTTCTTTGTCTGTTATTTAAACCAGCAGGGTCTATCCATCCGTCCTCGTCTCTTGTTCCTGTTTCTCAGGATTGAGATAGCGCCAGAATCATCCCCAGGATGCGTTTTTCCACTGTGTTCTCCGCGCTGGCGATCACTGCGACAGCAACAGCAACGGCGTCGACTGTGCCCGCGGAACTATTTTCCATTGGACAGCCTTCGGAGGCTCTTAAAGTGTCATATCATGTTGGCTCGAGCACCGTGAGTATCAGTCCGGGCCAATCTTTAAACTCTACAGGTGCGAATTACATCCTTTCATCTACGGATCTGCTGCGCGAGTAGCTTCTGACCCAAACAAACAGTCACACATGAGGCGCCCCATCTGCACCTGAAGGACATGGACCTCGGCAGTGATGGTCCCTACGTGTTGCTCATGGTGGATCCGACCACTAACAAGACGAATCCATTATCTGTGGCATTGCATGCGCTCGTCTCCAATCTGATGACAAACGACAGTAGCGGGAATGTGATCGCTAAGTATGTCTACCCACAGCCGAGGGAGGGGCCTGCGCACAACTACACCTTGTTTCTATTCAAGCAACCTGCCAGCTTTGTCGTCTCCGAGCAATACCACTCCTTCCTGGAGACGAAGGAGACGCCCCTGAACCGGCTGAACTTTCCTCTGGTGAATTTCCTGAAACAGATGGATTTAGGAAAGCCCGTCGCTGCCAACTACTTCCGCGAGGCGGCGGAAAGCAGTTCCAGTTCGACAAAGACGACCAAGACGACAGGCACGGCCGATGCAACGGTCAGTAGCACGGGCTCGGCTAGCGCCAGTGCGAGTAGTGGGGCGGCGGGTCGGTCATTCAGAGAGACCAATGGGTTTTCTTATCTAGCGAGCTCGCTAGTGGGAGCCATGATTGCTGCAGTTTTATAGTTGGGTTCTTGGAGCTTGTAATGGGTTAGTGGACAGACATGGCGCCATAGGATGTGGACTACATCGCTCGGAGTAGCTGGCAGAGTAGTATGGCCGTGTCCGTTTTCATGTATATTATATTTTTCATTTATTACAATGATGAAGAGAGTCCCAGCGATGAACTCGTATCGTGCACGCTAGGCTGATGGGGCCACGCTCGTCCCGAAAGCTTGACAGGGTCGGTTTGTCCAGTTCCGGCAATTTCTTGGACAATCAATCAATCACCTGGAATGGTCGTAGAAGATCAGACGGAGTACGGAGTACAGAGTGCCGAGCATTTATTAGTGGAGCAGATAGGCCGCTAAAATCTTACCATTAGACTCAGTATGTTGCATTAGGATAATTATTCGCATTTTTCGATGGACAGAACGCACTACTTCGTATCAACCTGTCTCGGAGGAATGGATCCTTCGTAGTATGGTCAGCAGTTGGTGGTATCCGAATTGAGGCAATTGCATGAGTAGAGCAGCATCAAGATAATTTTTTATCCCTTAGTGAGAGAGTTCTCTGAAGTCCGTCCACATTGCCTCCCTGTCCGACTGTAGAAATGGATTCTCGCATCGAAGCCCTTGCTACAACCATCGCCGACTCGGCTCGCACGCTACGAACCCTGCTGGCCCAACATGGCCTGGAGGAACCATCCTTTGCAGCCGACTGTCCTTGGACACCTCTGCCTTCTGCCCTGGACAAGGCCCGCAACGCCGTCCTTGATGCGGCCTGTGAAATCCAGGATCTCTTACTGGACCCGGCGGACCTCTTACGGTCTTATGCTAGTGTATGACATTTTATTTTATTTCGCATGTTTATTTACTTATTTTTGCCATGTTTTGCCCTTGACACCTCCACCCCCTGACTAACGGAGACGTAGCACGCCCATCTAATATCCCTGCATTTTATCCAGCAGTTCGATATCGCCCAGATCGTTCCCGCGACTGGACCGATATCCTTTGGCGAAATTGCCCGCCAATGCAACGGGGTACCTGAGGCGGACGTGCGCCGCCTATTGCGCCACGCGATGACGATCCGGGTGTTCGACGAACCGGTCGAGGGCCAGGTCTCGCACACGCGTGCAAGCATGCTTCTTCGGACGGAAGGTATCGACGGCTGGGTCGGCTCGACTTGCGAGAACAGCTGGCCCGCTTCGACCAAGGTAAGGCATCTCCACCTTCTTCTACTCTCTATCGATGTAGATGTAACATTGACACCAATGGGTAGACAGTAGAGGCACTAAAGCGGTATCCTGGCTCCGAAGAGCCCAGTCAATCGGTATACCCCTCCCGCTTGGAACCTAGTGCGAGCCCTAACAGGAACAGGGATTTGCCCTCGCGAACAACGGCCTTGCACTGTATGAGGTAATAGCCCAGTCCCCTTCGCGCGCAGCCACCTTCGCAGCTAGTAAGCGCGGACACGCATCAGGGGCAGGGTTGTCGCCACAGACCTTCGTCGCCGCCTACCACGACATGTTCACTGCTCTGCGCGCGGGCGCGGTGTTCGTGGATATCGGCGGCGCCCACGGCCACATTAGCTTCGCGCTGGCGGACGCCTACCCTCATCTACGGTACGTTGTACAGGATCTCCCGGCGGTGGTGGCACGCGCACGCAAAAATAGTCGTCCTAGTAGTAGTGGATTTAGTACACTGGGAGACACAGGACGTGTTGAGTTCATGGAACATGATTTCTTCCGGACACAGCCTGTACGGGACGCGGCGGTTTACTATCTTCGCCATATCTTGCATAACTGGGGGGATCGGTATGCGATTAAGATTCTGAAGCATTTGACGCCGGCAATGGGGGCCGGATCGCGGGTCTTGATTCATGAATATTGTCTAGAGAAGCCGTGGGAGGTGCCGATGTGGAGGAGGAGATTGGTTAGGTATGTTTCTCTCTCAGTCCCTTTTTTTTTTTTTTTTTTAATATTGCCGTCTAATGACGTAGTGCTATGGACATTGGCATGCTCCAGCTCCTTAATGCCCGCGAGCGCGACGAGCAGCAGTGGAAGGCTCTCCTGAGGGAGGCAGATGCACGGTATCAGTGGATCGGAGTGCAGCGACCTGAGGGCAGTGCGCTAGCGATTATCGAGGTGGGATGGCTTGATCACTAATTTGAGGAACCATGCCGAGGCGTGTACGGCTAGAGATCCACAAGGAATGCCAGTGCAACGATATGCAAGCTGACGTGGATGGATTCCGGATTCGAATGCTTAGCATCGCATCAATTCCTAGCCAATTGTTAGTGGCCGAGAGTGGCCAACGAACCAAGACGAACAGGCCGCAACTGATCTGAGTAAGCACTAGTAAAGAACTAACTAGGAGAGGGAGATGTAATTAATAGTTCTGTATAACCTGAAATACTCGAAAAACTCACCTCTCATTACTTGCTCATCATGGCGACCGACAGCCGTCCCGGATGGTACCAAGAAGGCGTCCAGAGCATCAACCCAGAAGCCCAACTTCTACTACAAACCTACAGTGGGCTTTCCGCTGACGAGGTCCTTCCTCATGTCCTGGCGCTGGTAATCGATCCCAACATCTCATATACCCAAACCTAGTACTATAATAACATCATAGTACAAATCCCAGCGCGACAAAGCCTTCCAAATCTTCCCCTACCCGTGCATCGGGCAGATGCGATTCCTGAACTTCAACCTCTCGCACCTCGCCTTCTACCCTCGCATCCTGAAACACCTGCAATCCGACCCGACCGCCGGCTTCCTCGACGCAGGCTGCTGCATCGGCCAGGAGATCCGCAGTCTCGCGCACGCAGGCATCCCAGGCTCCCAACTATATGGCTTCGATCTGGAGCCCGGGTTCTTCGATCTTGGATACCAACTGTTCCGTGACCAGGGCAGACTACATGCCACCCTGGTGGCGGGGGATCTAGGCCTCGAGGAAAACCAGTATGTGGCCAGCGAGCTGGTCAAAACATTGACCGGAAAAATCGACATCGTCTGGGCCGGGTCATTGCTGCATTTCTGGGACTACGAGGGCCAGGTAGACGCGACGGTGAGGCTGGTCAGGATGTGTCGCGACCGGAAGGGGGTGGTTGTCTGCGGGCGTCAGATGGGCAGCCTCTTTGCAGGCATGTATACGCTGACGGGACTCATGGAGAAAGAGCACTATCGACATAACGTGCAGAGTCTGAAGGGATTGTGGTTCGACGTGGCGGCCAGGACACAGACCAAGTGGGAGGTCGAGGCGCAGTTGGAGGTCGGCGAGACAACCACGTCCACCAAGGACCTGTCCTTTTCCGATGCGAATGCGCGAGTGGTCTGGTGGTGTGCTACGCGGGTGGAATAGATATTTTCATTAATGAATACAGACGCTGCGGAATTATTACTCATATAGATAGCATATACCTAAATATTGCTATTGTACATCCACATCCATCCTGACCAGAATCCCATTCATCGGCACCAACGGCATCCCTCCTTGCTCTTCTGACGCACAACTCGTGCTTAATTGTCCTGTCCGCAGTTGTTCTGTGCTGCTGGACGGCTCCGGCCGTCGCATCATCGTCGAGGGACGGCCTCCCGTGGGCGACCGGGCGTAGACGTATGCGTCCGAGATTGACCGACTGTGCTTCTTCCGGGACTCACGGAAGGCGAGTCGCACGCGCGATACAATGGGCACCGCTGTGGCGCAGACGATCGCCACGTTCAGCTGCACGACGTCTAGGAGTTCAAACGGGCTCGCGGCGTAGGTGAAGTCGGAGTGGAGGTCGGTGGCGAGGTAGAGGACGACGACGCGGGCGATGGCGGAGGCGACGGCACTTTCTCGTTAATATACACACACATGGATATATACACATATATATAAGGGACATACATAAACCCCACGGAGAAAACGATCATTAGTCCCGCCTTCCGGGCAAGAGGCATCTGCAGTGTAGCGATCGTAGCGATCGGGAGGATCATGATGGCAATATCCGACACCAGATCGAGGATCAGCGGCACCGCGTCGGCCGTGGTGCTGTTATGACAGGTGCCCTTCATGGTCGAGTCCGGATTGAATCTTTCCCAGTAGTAGCTGGCGGGCACACAAGAGAGAATATAGGACAAGGTGGATCCGATGGCCCAGAGGATGACATATGCCAGGTTAGCCCACCAGAAGATGCGCATACCCAGTTGTTGCACGATGAACAGACGGCGATAGTAGAGCAGCAGGGCCACTTTAGTGCCCAGCATCGACGGGCCATTGAACGAGGCAGTGAGCCAGACACAGAGAAAGATCCATTTCAGACTGTGCAGCGAGGGGTCCTCCGCTTCGACGCGAAAGAGATGCAGTCCGAGGCCATAATGCACGGCCACTATGGTCGCTATAGATACGATATTGGCGAAGAGCTGTCAATCAATATTATCAGTCACGATGATGTGTGGGTTGATGTCTGGGCGATTAGTGACATACTAGGGCCATCATCAGCCAGTAGTCCTCGGGCATAGGGCGCTTTTGGAAGCGCCACTGAGCCCAGCAACGCAGCACCACGCCTAAATTCCCCAGAACGAGCATGGTAATGCTCAATCCAAGAACCAGCGGCTGTAGGGACTGCGACCAATCTGCATGAGAGGCAGTCCCAGGGGTGGGGGACATCGAGGACGACATTGCGGATGGGCAGCTTCAGCTTCAGCAGTCAACCCTAAGCGGGGCATGGAGTATTAAATAATAATATTAATAGGACTAGTAATAGTAGCAGTATTATTATATAAATAATAATACACGATTACGAGGTAGGGTCGCCCCCATGCACAGACGCTGATCCGCATCTGCAGCTAAACAAAAGAAATGCACATTTCCCCTCCCTGGAATCCCGATCGTTAGAGCTTGTCACCGGATAAGCCTTTCTTCTGGTAGTCAGCATTGCCCCCCACTCTTCGGTGCTGGCCGGAGAGAGAGAAAAAATAGCAGAAGAATGAGAAGTTAAAAAAAGATCTCCATGATTCCGGCCGTCGGTCAACTTATATGTATCAATTGTGCCCAGCTTTCGACCCGGATAAAAGTACATACATTACCACACTTCAGAATGTTGGCCAATCCGTCTCTTCCTAGTCAACCCCAATCCCTGCAAGGGGCGCATCTCGCCTGGACCCCCCAGAAGGACGTCGACCAAATCTCCTCCCTGTCCACTGCCCCCGCAGCCAGTTTGCTAGATGCCCTGCAACGAGCTGCTGCCTCCCCCGCTGGCATTATCTTCTACGACTCTTCGGGGTCTCCAGGGGCATCGGAAATTTACGGACGTCGCTGCACCTACCAGGCGCTGCTCGACCAGGCCCGGACGGACTCCGTCTGGTTGCAGTCGACGGTGCCGGACCTGCGTCGCGACACCGTTGTCCTCTTGCACTTCGACTCACATGCCGAGAATATCTTCTGGTTCTGGGCTGTCACCGTCGCCGGTTATCTGCCCTGTATCCTGCCCAAATTGGCGGTTCAGACCGATCAGCGTGTCGCTCAGGCCCAGCATATCCTCCATCTGCTGAATGGTCCCGTTATTCTCACGAACGACCGTATGGCCTGTGCCTTTGCGGGCGTTGATCCCCCGCGGCTGTATCGTGTCGATCAGCATCTCCACTCTTGTGGCCCCTTGTCGTCGTCGCCGTCTTCCTCCTCTCCGTTCATCCGCAATCAGCGCGACGATGACCTCGGAGCATTGATGCTCACGTCCGGCAGTACCGGCTTTTCCAAAGCCGTGTGCCTGCGCCAGCCCCAGATGCTGGCCGCGGCGGCGGGCAAGGCAGCCCACTGTGGTGCCACACCCGGCGACGTCTTCCTGAGCTGGATCGCGCTGGACCACGTGGTGAACCTGGTGGAGATGCATCTCCAGGCCTTATTGCTGAAGGCGGAGCAGGTCCACATCGCTACCGACGAGGTCCTGGCCGAACCACGACGCTTCCTCGACCTGGTCGACCGCCATCGCGTGTCGCTCAGCTTCGCCCCGAACTTCTTTTTGTCCCGCCTGTGTGAGCGCGTGTGTCATCCGCCCGACGGCGACCCAACGCCTGAACCCCCGACCTGGGACTTATCTTGCCTGCGATGCGTCTTCTCAGGTGGCGAGCCAACCGTCCGCCAGATGGCTCTGGAGCTGACGCAAGCCCTACAGCCTTACGGCGCACAGCCTTTTATCCGAGCGGGCTACGGGCTGACGGAGTCCTGCGCAGGCATGGCCTGGGACCTGAGCGATGGTTCCGTAGAAGACATCCAAACTGGGTCCGGCGAGTTTCTGAGCTGTGGGAGACCCATCCCTGGAGCGCTCATGCGAATTGTGCGCGACGACAGCGAGAACCCCGAGGAAGTGGACGTAAACGAGTCGGGGATGCTGCAGCTGACCGGGCCTATCATCTTCAACCGCTACTATCGCGATCCAGAGGCGACAGCTGCAGCCTTCACGTCCGATGGATGGTTTATTACAGGGGACATGGCCTGTCAGGACGAACACGGCCGGCTATTCATCACCGGCCGCGTCAAAGACACGCTACTCGTGAATGGACTCACCATCTCCTCGGTCGAGGTCGAGCACAGTCTGGAACAGGCCAGCATCCCCGGCCTCACCCGCAGCTATACCATCGTCTTCCCCTACCGACCGACCGGCGCACACACCGAGTCCTACTGTGTGGTCTATCTGCCGTCCTTCGCCCCGGACGACGCTGCCGCGCGCGCCCACACCACCGACGCCATCGAGCGCATCGCCAGCCTTGTTGTGCACGTCAAACCAGCTGCTGTGCTGCCTCTTCCACTCCCCCGTTTCGACAAGACCTCGCTGGGGAAACTGTCGCGTGCTCACTTCCGCCGCGCCTTCGAGACCGGCCTGTTCGATGAGGACCGCAGCTTCCATGAGGCCCAGCTACAGGCCTACCGCAAGGCCCATCGTCATGGGCCCTCGTCGGCCACCGAACACACCGTCCTTGCCCTTGTGTGCGCCCATCTTGCCGCCGACCCGGCCCAGGTCAGCACCACCTCCAACCTGTTCCATCTGGGCCTGTCCTCACTCGACTTCTACGCCCTGACCCAGCAGCTGCAGCACACCCTCCAGACCCGATTTACTGTGCCGGATCTCCTCGCCGACCCGACCGTCGCCGGCGTAGCCCGCCGAGTCGACTCTGCCCCTAGTCATACCTCTCCCTCTCCCTCTCCCTCCTACGACCCCGTCGTGCCCCTACAACGAAACGGCAACCGTCCACCGCTCTGGCTCGTCCATCCCGCCTCCGGCAACGTGCTTATCTTCACAGCATTGGCGCGCGCCTTCCACGACCGCCCGATCTACGCCTTCCGCTCGCGGGGTGTCCAGCGCGGCGAGGCGCTTTTCCCCAGCGCATCCTCCATGGCGGCAACCTACCACGCCGCGATGAAACGCACACAGCCGACGGGCCCATACGCGCTAGCAGGCTACTCGCTCGGGAGCAGCATTGCCTTCGAGATTGCCAAACGGCTCGAATCCAACGGCGACGAGGTCCGATTCCTCGGAGCTCTGGACGGCCCACCAGATATCGGGGCGCTTGTAGGCAATCTAACATGGACAGAGGCACTAGTCATGCTGGCGTACTTCTACGAACTGATTCCCGAGTCGCTGTCGCGGGTCCTACAGCCTCAGCTGGCGACGGTGGCGCCCGACACAGCGATGGATGTCATTCTGCAGCATGCGGACGCGACGAGACGGGCGGTGCTGCAGCTGGATAGGGACGAGTTGGCTCATGTCACGAACGTCACTGCCGGGTTTTCACGCATTGCGAGGGATTATCATCCCGCGGGGAAGGTCAGTAAGATGGATATTTTTGTTGTGGATCCACTGTCGAGTATCACGGATTCGAAGAGGGAGTGGGTCGATCGGTATTTGGGGGAGTGGAAGGGCTTGGTATCTGGCGATGTGGTGTTTCATTATTGTGAGGGGAAACATGCAGAGATGCTTGGGGAGAAGTATGTGAATGGCGTACAGAGGATGCTGAGAAGAGTGTTGGAGGAGAGGGGGCTGTAGACAGAGGCAGTTAGGGTTAGGAAATAGAATTCAATATAATGGCATGTTGTTACCCAAAGCTCACTCTCTCTTGCCTATTGCGGCGGGCTCAAGATTTTTAGGCTTATCGTATTTACTCATTGTAAGGAGCGGCAAGAGATATATAAACACGAACCAGGTTGAACAAGTACGGCCCGTGACTGGCCCATTTCCGTATAAATATCCCATTTACAAGGCATCTTGGTAGGTTGAATACGAGCATACTTGGCTTGGCAGGCAGCACAGCCTTACCCTGATGATCAATTACCAAGTTAAGGCACTTAACCTTGGCAACCTGCATAAGCATGCAGAGTATTAAGTTTCAGCAACATCTTCTTTCTCCTGGCGGTACCTTCTGGGCTGCAGAATCGGATGAATGCCGCCGTAGAGAAAATGGACTACCCTCAGAGCGCCAAGAAAAGCCAATTCCTCAAGGCATTCTTGTATTTGGAATTTCTTAATGCCTGGTTCTGCCTCTATATTGCTCCCTTGGCTATTCTAGCAGGTTTGTTGGGTGAGTTTCGAACAATGATCTATAGCGCACCGCGTATTCTTCAACCTCCATACAATCCCTGGATCCGAGCTGGGACGAACACGCCGTTTATACCTGTATGTATTTCTGTCTCACTCGTTCTCCAGGCCCCCCCTCCTCGTTGTCATACCCTGTTTCTTATGGACTTTTGTACACTAATGATTTCGTGGTAAAGGTATGCCTGGCTCTCGGATGGTTGCTCTTCACATGGGTCCCTCACCACTGGTACTGGCGAACCAAACGTCCCTGGTGGTTTGTTGTCGCGGTTGTCAAATTCCTAATCACAGCCGCGTTTATTTTGCCGATTTACGTTGAATCCAAGTATCTGCCACGACCCCTGAATTCGTGTCAGAATGAGCAGTTCTGGCCGGACCGCAACCACGTGCCGTATGGTTCGCTATCGATGTATTTACTAATTTCCGGTTCATATGCAAAGAATGGGGCCTATGTGAGCTCTTGCGAAAAGTTGTTAGCGCTATGGAGGTACCAGATTGCTATGTGGTATGTCTAAATAGTTTCTCTGCTTGGAAACGTCCGTTACTGAAACGCATACTCTAGTATACTTGTTGCCGTTTCCGCCCTCTCAGCAACGGGAATATTTGTTTTCTTCGACCGACTGGAGTTCAGGGATGAAGTCGCAGAGAAATGGTCATGTTGCTCTTAAATCCGCCCCACGATTATATATTTATTTCGCAGTGAGATATAGAGTTACCGAGACTTATGTTGTCAGGGAATATGCACAGTATATATGATTTTAGGGGGACCAATATCAGCTTCTAGCATAGAGAGATTTTGCGTACTCAGTGCAAGGTTATTGCCTTCTATTTATTTGATAGCAGCCATTTAGACTTCTACGGGCTGAATTTGCTCCTCTCCCCGCTCCCTTCGCTCGTCGTCTGCAAAACCCTGTTGCTAATTCTGCTGCAGCTGAGAGCTTTTTCGCAGATGAATCTACAACATACAAAATCGCGGAATTGCCCTGAGCCTCACGACATGTTCGGATAGTACTTACTAAATTGGACAGAAGACACTGTTTGTGGGAAGGCCATAAATGAATAATTTTGGGCTGGTTTTAGGCTTTTCTTCATTATATTAATGACGATGATGGTTGTCCTTATTATCATGTTCTTTCGCTTGTTGAGTGCCTTTTGATCCCTCCTTAGTCAGATGATCCTGGCCACGTATAGCCATATTCTTTGACGTACTTCAACTCCACTAGTAATTAGCTAAGGAGCTGTGTTGACTTCGAAGTTTCCCGGATCAAGCCTTTGGGCTGCTTTAATATTCGACTAGGCAACAGGACCCTCATTTCTATTACTTCTCCTCTTTAACTTTTTTTGTTACTTTACTGGATAGAAAGGAAAGTCTGTATGGATTTAAAAATAGTAGTAAGCATTAGTCCGACTGTTAGGTGTGGGTGCGTCACCTAACATTACAGTGCGCTACTATATAAGGTGCTCAGGAATATCGGATCTTATATAGTGGTCTTTTGGTCCAGTGGAAAGTTAAGATCTTGAGCCTGGCTATAACACCGACTCTCGGTTTCTTTTCTGTCCTTCCACATTTAATTGTTTTCACTCCCTTGGACATTAATGTACATTTAGTTCGAAATTCAGGTGCATATAAGCTTCATGAAAGAATTTCATGTGATTAGTGATTAACATGACCAACCAAGACGTTTTGGCAAGCTAGATCGGGACATCGCGTTTGTTTGTCGTGGCGCCGGCGAACATGCTGTTCAAAGCTAGAATCTCGGTACACAGCTGTTCTCGTATACCAGACAGGAATCAAAAGATGTACTGCCTTGTGTTTAATCTGATGTGTCGTCGTTTATATAGGGTATTGTTCATCCATGTCAAGGTAGACTGGTTGGAATGCAGTATTCGAAGGGGATATTCACAGTCGTCCCAACATGTGAGACTGCGTCAACCGCTGCTGTCATCCGAGAGTTGGGAAGGCAAATATAGAGTAAAAGTCTGGTGCAGGACGACCGCAAAGGTGGCACCGGACGCCCACAAAAGGCGCAGCTCTTGCACAGTAGTTTAAAATCGACTCTGGTGCACCGGTGCCGCTTTTATGGCTGTCCTGCCTGTTTGGGCCGAGTCCTGCCCCATCGGGTCTGCTATGGTTCTCTACGGAAAGGTTCCGACTGACTCGGGCTAGCTTGACTTCCATATTGGGAAAATAGCTGTTGCCTCTTCGAAGTGAGTCGACCCTGGCCGCTTTACCGCCATTTCTTCGCCTTCTTCCGCCCACGACTTGGTGGGCCTATGGAGACCCCGTCGGTGAAACCAACATTTCACGAAAGCTCCGCGTTGCCTTCTAGAACGATTCGGGGAGGTCTTAATACGGCCCGGCATCCATCCACCTTCACAGCCACCAGTATTTCGATCGTTGTTACCATTTGGCCTTCCAGCAAATCTGTGAGGTCTTATTGGCTCCGCTTAACTGTAATCTTGCCCATTCCAGCGTTTCCTTCACTCGCGAAGGTCCCCTCGCTAACTACGCCGTAGTCGGAGTCCCGCTTCTGAGATGTTTGCAAGGCTGACGGTTGCTGATGAGCCGGCCCCCTCGCGGAGATTTGAGGGATCACAACGAAAACTAGGAGTCTGAATGTTTCCCTAACCCCGACGAGGCGTCTAATCGGGGATACAGTTCACCCTCCTTTTTCCTTCCAGGTAGATATAGGGGGAACCCTTTACAATATTATGCAATGTTGCTCCGGGCTCGTGGCAATCTTTCTGGTTAGAGAATTCAACCCTTTTCTAAAGAGTGGGTGATTACCAGTCATCCCGGACGGAATCTGTGTCTATGACCGTATCGTATTGCGTCGTGGTATACTACAACCAATCAGTTGGATTTCTTTCTGACAGTGAGTGGCAAGCATCCAGCCCTCCGGAATATGTGCTCCGTCTCGTTTTACTGAAAAGGCTTACGGGATGTAGCTGCGGGTTTCACAGCGTCCAAAGAGTATAAAACGGGCATCTCCCAACAGGTAGAGAGAGGTAGGCTGCAGCGATATGCAGCCTTTCCCCTTGTTCACCATCCCCCCTTGCACTGCTTCCAAACCCCACTAATACCCTATACAACCCATCGTAGGCTGTTCCCAAGTGCTAAATTTGATTCAATTGATTCATTGTGAGATACAATTCTTCAGTCGCCCAGGGAGGACTAAAGTATGTCCCGGATTCGTTTTCGTGCACCACAAACCCCTTTTTCCCATCAGCAAAAGCTGTTGTCACTTACCTGTCACAGTACTAAACAAACCGAGAGCGCTCAGCCTCAGACATCATCTCTACCTAACATACAACTTACAAATTACTACTTACCCTAGAAACCACTTACTGTGGTCTCAGGATGATCCGCTACCTTCAGGCAGTGCACAACCCGGGTTAACTACTGTAAATGTTAACGTCGGTTCGGCTCTGGATAATACGGATACAAATATAGCTACAGAGAAGGAAGGAAGTCTTTCTGTAGGCTTGACGTTCGAGTCACTGAGACATGATGCCTTAAGGGGACCAGAGGGGACCCGAGAGTTTATATGTGCTGCATTCATCTTCATCAAAGCCCCTGTTCAACAGTCGTGAAACACCGCCTGAGCCTGCCACTGCAGGGTACATACAGACCATCTCACAGCCAGTACCCATGTTTGGAAGATATCGAAAATGGGAAGTCCACTACGCACAGGCGTGAAGATCGTACAAGTCTTGATGTGCCAACCAGTCCAGAGCGACGAGACCAAAGTCTCAGAACCTGTAAGTTGTCCGGCTGATTATCCTGTTGCGGCATGCTGATTTGAAATAATGCGAATAGCAAATGGTGAACCCTTCCAAGACACTGGAGTACATTTTCAGGGCAACAAGAGATTGTCCTATACCGACCCTTAGCACTTGAGACTATCACAGGGATTTGCTTTGGACGGTCTGCATCATACTTTGAGTATGAAGGATTTGCTAGTCCAATTCTTGAGGCAATAGAATCACCTGTTGCCTGGTTCATGGTGTTTAAACACTTTGCACTAGCTCATCAAATAATTTTATGTATTCTAGAGTGGTTGGGGTTGACTCTGTTTCCTAAAGGTAGAGCTTTTGCACGACTGCGGAAGGTAGGCTTATCAAAGGGGGGAAAGATGAACACTGATTCCACTGCACAGATGCTCTCTGATAAGATCATTGGGATAAATGTGAATCTTGATCTGCTGAATCAGTATTTGCACCTTATTGTCTATCATGCATTGATTAGCCTAGAGGAGCTTGATACTTCCATCCCTTCCCATGCAAGTCTCTTGGAGGCAGCCGTATCAATGGTCATTGTGCGAACGGATACAACAGCTGCAACACTTGCACTTGGCACATATCAAGTCCTGTGCAAACCAGATATTTATACAAAACTCAAAGAGAAGCTTCTGAATGCATGGCCAGACTTTGAGCAACGACCTAGAGCGGCCGACTTGGAAAGGCTTCCTTACTTGGTATGGCATTCCTTGAAAGCTAAATAAGATTATGAACATTGAAAGAAGGCACACAGACCGCCGTCATCAAGGAGGCTCTTCGAATGGCTCCTACGACCATATTAGAAACTCCGTGAGTAGTTCCCCCACAAGGGGCTATTATCGGGGGAATGCATATTCACAGTGGAGTAAGCTGGTACCTAAGCTTATGAAAGTCTGATTCATCGCTAATAATTGACAGACAATTGTGAGCATGGGAACTTTATTCGCGATGTAACATGAACACACCTTTTCCAACGCATACGAATATAATCCCGATCGATGGTTGAGGGGTCAAGCCAAAGCGCTTGATAGATACATTGTGCCATTTCCTAAAGGCCCGCGAAGCTGTCTAGGAGTTGAGTACGTGGGTGTTATTGCTCACAACAGCCTCGAAAATTAACCTGTTCATTGGTAGTCTGGCATTGTGCGAGTTGTATCTCGCCTTTGCGAATTTATTCCGGCGCTTCGACCTTTGTTGATGGCACCATGTCTTCAGTTCTGACTGTTGTCACTTAAACCTCAGAACTAATTTTTCCTAGAGTTTGTGTGATTGTCGAACCAGATTCTATCTCCAAGTCCGAACTTATCTCGCGCAACATCGATTTTGCATAGCTCAGCAATATATCACGAACATGGTTTTCGACGACGATGCGCTCTTAGTTCTCGAGACCTTGTTCACTGCTAATTGGCCGAAGGCTGAATCGTCTAGCATCCTCTTCAAGCGCAACCAGGGGAGTAAACAATTGTGCTCGGGCTTCCGCAGCTGGCTGGAGGGAGTTGCACACAGAATTGTAGATTTTTCGCTAGGTCCAAAGCTAGAGTGTCCTTAAAAACAAACATTGATAACCAAAAATAAATACTCGACGCTTTGAAACCAGCATCTAGCCTCGACATAGTGTATCTACGCATCCTCATTGTCCGCATATTGCTTCGATCTTATTATCTCCGATCCGACGAACATGGCTTATACGGTAAGATACATAACACACCGACTAACCACGAGTTATGGTTGGTTACTTGTCTGCTGCGCGGGTCGGAGTTATGCTCAGCTTAGCTGGCCTTAAATGGCCCGGACTTCCGTTGGATTTAGTATAAATACAGCCTGCATTATCCTTTAAACAAGACTCTTGGTTACCACTCATTCATTTGGAATATTTAAGAAATCAGTGCCTATTAAATACCACTGTTGAAATATTTTCAAGATGCGTTTCGCTCCCCAAATGTCGCTAGTCCTGCCTATGGCAATACACGGCATCTTGACCATCCCAGGGGTAACGGCACACTGCTCGGATGGACTTGTGAACGTTGTCTTTAACTCGCATTACAAACTATCTCAATTCTCTCAGATGCCTGGCGCTTCTAATTGGCTCACGTTCGCTTTTGGAACTCAGCCTAAGCAAATCCCAATGTTGGGCAACGACAAGGACGCTGTTGATAAGGCCATCGCGGCGGTTAATGGCCCAAATCCACCGGACTACTTGCTCACATTCAACGAGCCCGACAATGATTACAAGACGGGCAAAGTGATATTGCATCCCAAAGATGCCGCTGATCTTATTAAACCATTGTTGAAGTCACCTGGAAACCATACAAAATTCATCGCACCAGTGCCGGCCCACCAAATGAGCACCTGGCTTACTGATTTCTACAACGAATGCCAGTGCCGAGACTTCTTCGCTGCACACAACGTCCATATCTATCGACCGACCGTCGAGGAAGCCAAAGCCGAAATAAACGCTTTCCGCGAGAAGTACAACGATAAGCCTTTGTGGATTACCGAGATTGCACCGGGTCAATCTACACCACGTTGTCCGAAGACGATTCCCTGGGACAAGTCGATCAAGTTCATGCAAGAAATATACGCCTGGGGACAATCAACTGAATGGATTCACAAGATATTTTGGAACTCGGGTAATCAGATCAACTGTAATGATACCAATGTGGCTGCCTCTTATCTGCTTGATTACAAGGATAAGCCGACGCCACTACTGGATCCTTTCAATCACTTGACTTGTTCGTGAAGATATCTGCATCCGTCTAGACTGGTGAACGGCCGACGCCAGATGATCCCACTTTCTGCTGAACTATTTCTTTACTTCTTGAGTCCCGTTTCGGATTTTCGTTCGACAATGTTCCCCTAGTAGAGTCATTCTTTTGGAACCTTTTGTATGATTCTCTTGTTGGGTGGAGTATTCCGCTACTTTTGCTATGTTAAGCCGCCTGGTTTCTGTTTGTTCTTTTATTCTTCATCTACCTCAAATACACTCCTTCAACAGTCGTTCCTTTAAACCTCCCCCCTGACGGGCATCGCAGGACTGTATACAACATCTCTTGTGGCATGCAGTTCAAAAAAGGAAGAATGCGCTTCGTCATTTCTCCATCCTTTTAAAGTTACGTATTTTCTGTGCTGAACAAATTATTCCCTGCTTCTAGATTTACTGGTCAGCCGTAACAGTCTACTAGATGTAGCTTATATACAATAATATATCTGAATAGCCTACCACTTCGTAAATTTTCCCGGCGATACACACCGATATGAACTCCACTTGATGAGGAGAACGTCCATTCTCTAGCAGACCTTAGTACCCATTCTTGTGACAAAAATATAAACAGAATAAATGATATAAAATGACAGGCAAAAAAAAAAGAAAAGAAAAGAAAAGACCAAACCCGGTCAAGTGATGAACAGCTATCTCATTAGGTCAGTTTTTAAGGGCTTTTGGGGTATGGATTCATCGATATTGCAACGTCTTCGTTTGCTTTCAGCGCCTCATCTTTTTAATCGCCTCTTGGCCTTTGCTTACGTATATATTTCAATAACCGATCTAGACATATCTCCTAGAGGAACACTAGCGGAACAGTGGGCAAGAAAAGATCAGTTGCATTTCATGGCTAACAATGAAGCATTGCACGCAGGCAATGGGCTAAAGGGTAATTTCGTAGGACGATAGACTACAAAGCATGATCTTGTCAAGTACCTCCAGAGGTTGCTTCGTTCGGAGAACCAATCCCACACCATTGCATGTCGCTCATTACTTCCACTCGGCCAACTTTTCTCTGATGTGCAACTTGGTCTTGCCAGCTTCGAGATCATCCCGGTAGGTAGGTCGTTTCTGGAAGACAGTCACGATATCAGAGCCGCCGAATTGGAAGTACGAAATATTTTGTCCTTTCTCCAAACATTGTCCTTCTGTCACAGTGAGGACGACCGAAGATACCTGGGCCATTCCAATGGGCAAAACCGCAACCAGGCCATGGTCCACGGATTTTTTATTGCCCTGGCTATCATAGCTAGTGTCAATCACAACGAGGCCACGAGTTTGGCACCATTGGTAACCAGCGCGGTCGGGTGCAGTGATACCAACGTTAGGTTTCGGACCGTTGGCACTAGGTTGCTCAGACTGATTTTTTTCAAGATTATTATTCGACCTGTAGAGTGCGAGAAGATCCTCTTGGCTCTTGGAATTGGTTTTCTTCTCAAGATTCGTACTGTTGACGAATCGTCTCTGTAGTTCCTCGGGACTGATCACAATATCCCGCTCGGGGGAGATGGTGGTTTTGCCATCCTCGGTTGTGGACTGGACGACTTGAAGGTAAACTTGTTCTTGGATATTCTTTGCTAGGACCACTTTTCCCTCCACAGGGGTGTGCTGACGGTGGTAATCGCTCGGCCCAAGGAAGGCATGCGTGAAGCTCCCGTTGTCAAATGTTGTATCCCCATCGATGGCTCGGACCAAGTCTTTAATGGACCAATTAATACCCTTGATTTTGATAGACACCTCGGCAGATTCTAAATCGGCCGGATCGATATGAACAATCCCATTGTTAATGTCCCAGTGGCCGTTAAATACCGAATCAGCGCCCTGGACAATGACTTTGTCATCACCCTTTCCATCAAGTGGGCGGGAGTAGTCGATATCGGCCCATTCTCGTGAAAACCATTGATTGAATGATTTCCAACCTCCTTCGGGGGTTTTCCACTGCGTGTAGCGATCTCCCTTGTCGTACTTGGTGCCTTTGTCAGCATCACCAGGGCCTTGGCCATATTTGTGACTGGTGTAGAGACTCCAAATATTTCCAACTGACTCTGGTGTGGACATGTACTCCCCCAATCGTCGTGCATATGCAACAAGCCAATAAGAAAGCCATCTCAAATCGGTATCGGTGAATTCTGGCGCGATTGGAGTCTGAAGGTCGCTGAGTTCCTGCTGGTTGAATGGCCAGTAGAACACAAGGATCTTTCTCAGGACTTCGTCTCCTTGGGAGCTGACTGTAGGAGTCCACTCAACGAGATCGTCAGCAAATTTGAGATAGCCATCCAGATCCGTGATGTGCTCAGCCTCCATTTCTCTTTCGCCCTGAGCAATTGCGGTTGCAATGGCCAAGTTGAATAATGCTAATCTATCGACCTTGAGTGGAACCTCTTCGTTCTTCGTTTTTTCATTATTTATAATCGGGGTCCGCCGATTGATGAAATCAATCAGGTCCTGTATAATGGCATGCTTGGGCTTGTAGGTAATGGGTTTATGGATGTCGAAGCCTCTGGACGCAGTCATGAGGGGCAAATACATGGAAAAAATTCCTGGATAAAGAGAAGTAAAAATGTCACGGGGAAAGAAATTGGATGATGGATGTAATGTTTAAGTCAGGGTCACAGAACAAGCCCCGAAGTGAGTAGACTTTTATAGAAAATATTGACTATCAATAGTGTCTCCAGGCCTGTGGTCACGTCACAACTACGGCATCATCTCTTCCGGATGATCATCCTATTCTCCAAGCGTCTCGCCCATGGATGGTGAGAATCAAGGTAACATGTTATGTCGATCACACCATCCTCATCCGCTGAGTGACTGGCATCTAGATCATTGTCTCCATAGATGAAGTGGTCATATGGACTCGCACGAAAGGCTAGCATATCATGGCTGTAATAGTCGTTGGGTCATGATGCAGCTGCTGACGACGACCTCGGATTGAGCCATTTTCCTTTCTTGCACAGACGGTAATAGATGCAACAGGTAAGTCTAACACTGCCATTGTGACTAGCTCTCTGCGATGCTAATGCGGCGTCGGCAACACATTAAGGCAGACACGCATTGCAGTTGGGCGGGGAAGCTGCAGTACTTTCAACCCGCGGAAGCCACAATTTAAAATCGACCAAGAAAGGAAAGGTAGACATTAGGGTTGTTTGCAGGGATTTTCTTGTATTTTCGTACGTCTTTCACAACATGAGGAGTAGGAAATATTGAGGAGTTGTTGGCGGGCGTGTATGTATTGTTATGCATTTAGTGTAGCAGTTCGAACACCTGTAGTGTGGAGCTTGACTCTCGAAAGTTATCAGCAGCCTGTTCCCCGGTACTAACAGTAAACAATGATCGACTGGTTCTAGACAATGAAATAAACGCGAAGATCAGGAAAGAGAGGAGAAGGTTGACCAAGGATGATCCAAAGGATGAGGTTTCCTCGCTTCTCGATTTCTCTTTTTGGCTAAGGCCACCTGGATCCACATTCACTGCTTCAGCTTCAACATGCCCAATTACTATAGTACGGTGAAACAACAAACGGTATCGAGAAGAAAATGAGGTGAAACAAAGGGAACGTCAATATGTAGCCGTATTGGAACAAATTTTTCCAAGTTTCTCGCCAATTCTCCCATGGAGATGAAGGCTTGCATATCCCCGCTTCACCACTGAATGCAAAGCTGCCTTGGCAATTACAGCTTCAGTTTCCAGACCAGCGACATCCTCAGCGTATCGATTGATCTGCATGTTCCCCGCTGATAGATCAATGGACCTGTGAAGAGCCGGCGTGTAGACCTTGTCCTCACCTGCAGGTGATCAAACAAGACAAACAGTACTGTATTGGATGAATCATCGTTTTATGCACACAGATCAGGTAAAGTGTGAAAGTTTTATGGAATTTTATAAAAATGAGGGTCGATAAGGGTCTGGGCGAGATCTGCTGGCGTGACACTGTTGATCGTCCGGTGTCTGAGTGACCCCGCCAGCAGACCTTAGAGTGGAATGGCAACTCGAAAGGCGGGACTTGCAGTTGGAGAAGCTGAACTGTTGATCTAATGCACCACGATAAGTCCGGTGGAATGTTCACCATCGTGGCTTGAGCTGAATGAGCTGAAACTCATCGACTCTCCGATTTCTGATGCGGGCTGCGAATTGGGCAATACTTGCAGCGCCAAATAGAGGGTATGCTGTCATATCCTTGTCGATTTGGGAGAGACTTTTACGACTTTCTATGATGGTGTTCGAGGGGCCCACGGTGAGGATGAAGAGTGGAACGCTCAACCAAATTGTCTTGGTCGTCACAATCTCTACATTGTATCTCTATAAACAAGACAAATCGCAGTGCTTCGAAACAACAATGGTCTCCATGCAAGAATGAGATCCTTGAATCAAATATAGCTTAACAGAGTAGTCATAGAAAGTTATTGTATCATGTATCCAAAATCAATCAGTTCAATTCGTCATTTCTATTACTATCTGGTGCAAAATACCTATGGAAGGCATCCAGACTACAAGCCCAAAATCCAGACACAAAACACCGCTTAAGCTTTTTCAGCGAAGTAGTGCCAGTAGGCACCAAACAACTTGGTTCCCTCGATGTAGTTTCTTCTGTCGATTTTCTCGTTGGGCCCATGAGGTCCGTCATCCGACGCACCCACGGGGAGCAACAGAAGACTCTTTTCTCCTAGAATCTTTTGGAGATACAATGCAACACCGATACTTTGAACATCAGTAAACTGTAGTTTCAATTGATCTTTCAGTAGGGAACTCACCTTCCACCCTCTCGGGTATAGTCTGGATCAGTTTTGTAAACAGCCTTGGTGGCTTTGGCAGCAGCTTCGAAATTGGGGTCCTCGATTTTCGTCCACCAGTATGGAGTGGTTTCGGGTGATAATCCTATTTTCATTTCACATTTACTGCCCAGCTTTTTGAATTCCTCTTGGAGATATTCTGTCACCTTCTTGTTGACTGTGTCACCATCCATTCTTGGCACGGTTCTGATGGAGAACGCGCCTGTCACCTTGTTCGGGATTGCTGTGCCTGGGTCGTCGCTTGAATCCGCGCCATTGATCCCGTGGATCGAGAGCGACGGATATCTCCATCGGTGCATAAGAATGTCAGTTGGGTTCTCGTAGAGTGGCACTCTCCTGTCGCCAATTGCGTCGGTGAAATCTTTCAACTCGAAACGAATGTTTTTGTACAGTTCCTCCTCTTCTACGGTGAGCTCTTCTACCTGGTCATTGATTCCGGGTATCAGAATTTTCCCCTTGTTATCAACTAATTTCGAAAAAAGACTAAAGAGGTCTGTCATGGGCTCGGCAATAGCACCCCCGTAGATGCCGCTATGGAGCTGCTTAGGGGCGCCCGTGATGGTGACTCTGAAGTAGTTGATACCTCGAAGTCCATAGGTCAGACATGGGTATTTGGTGGTAATCCAGTAATTGTCGGCAATAACGCCTCCATCCACGCTTTTGAAGATATCATTGCCATGTTCGTCAAGAAATTTAGTGAATCCCTCTGACGAGCTTTCTTCCATGCCTTCAAAGCAAAAGATGAGATTGACAGGAATTTCAATTCCGGCCTTCTTGTGGGCTTCGATAGCATTCAGCCATCCCAGAACCGGTCCCTTATCATCAGTAGAGCCCCGTCCATATAGCCGCTCCTCCCCACTGGGGCCTTGTTTGGTCAGCTTAAAGGCCGGGTGTTCAGGCGACCAACCGGTCAACTCTGGCTGGACATCATAGTGACCGTAGATGAGAAGGGTTTTCTTGCCATTATGAATACTATTCTTCGGGGGGTACCACGCAACAAGAATCGGGGGCAGATCGAGGTCTGGGTCTGTTGGCTTCTTTTTCTGTTGCTTTCCCATGCAGAATGGTTCTACATCCGCACCAAGTTTGCCCAGCTCTTCCTCCAGGAACTTTTCCATCTAGAAAACATGTCAGCTTTTCGTGCACTGCAAGTCTGCTCAGACATTAAATACATACTGCTACTACATTTGGGCGGTTTTCAGCCTCACTCGAAACTGACTTGTAGGAGATAGCCGTGCCCAGTCCTAGAGTAGAAATGAGATATGAGTTCAATTTTCACGCAAATAGAATCACTTACTCCTGTTAATGAACTCGTCATCTGCTCGCTTATCGACCCTGACACGCATATGTTAGTGAACAAGGCACATTTAATTTGGAATTAGCTTGGGCCACAAACTCATCATAAAACTTCTTCAAGTCTTCAGACATAATTGTCCAAGGTAAAAGGCTAGTAACCTATAGTGCCCGAATAGATAGCAATGTAGAATACTAGAGTAGCGACCAACTCGAGGACCTTGAGAATTTGACGGTATATATATACATACTTGGGGGCTTATCCTTCTCCTGCGGCGTACAATCTCGAACTTTGTGCCTGTCGGAGATACATTTGTTTTGCCTTTCTCATGATATCATTCTTCTGTTAATTACTAAATCCACTTGCAAATCGCAGCATGTGCGAAATGCCGGTTCTGTTTCGGTCAACTTGTGCATTCTGGATGCAACTACAGCGTGTCGCTCTTGTTCAGTTAGAGTTTAGAATGAGTGGCCGATCCATGTACTGCTCGACAGAAGTCATTCACGCCTGATAGAGTCCCCGCGTCAGCTTTGATTTGCACACATGCTATTCGCTTGCTCCTTGCTGCGGAGACTCCCTCTCTATTTTTGTATGGCGCATTCAACCCCAAGAGCTGACTGCACGTAAGAGTCATGAATATTGTGGGTCTTTTCGAATCAATACCACCTTGCCCGTGCATAGGAGATGGAAGCAAGGGCTGCGTTGGCTTTGCATGTTTAAAACGTAGGATAGAGGAAACGAGGATGGGAAAGCTTCAATACAGACGTGCCCGGTCTTTGTCCTTTGAAAATGCCAGATGTTAGAAATTAGATTGGCTGTCAGTGTAGACGCGATCCACATGTTGGTTCAGCTGAGGTTGAGCTGTCATCACTGCGGATGCAATCTGCGCGCCATGTACTTTTTACATGAAAATTAGGCCTCGAACCTGAACCTGGAACCTGATTTGCATAATTCTGCCAAGTGTTTTCCTTTTATGGATGCATAAAATGATGATTCATCATGATTTTGCACTGTAATTTACCGCTGTTTCGGTCATCACATCCATGAATAGCGTAATGTAGCCATACATTGTGAAACTATATGAAATACGTCTGTAAATTGAACATCTAGCGTAGGAAACGTAATATCTAGTCAGAATTAGTGGCCTCAATGGACCACAGCTGCTCGTAGAGATGAATAATGAAAACAAGGAATGGTTCTGGAGAAAAGAGGGGTAAATTTTTGTGAACTGTGGCAGTGTCGCCAAGTAGTGGGGTTGTGAGTAAACTAGAAGATCGGGATTTCCGATAGGCTAGATATGCCATTCCGAACCTCCGGAACAGGGGAGGATCGACTCTGGAATGTGGAGCTGATGCGGCCCGACACGTTGACAACCGAGCGGGGAATTGGGTGATCGATGCAAGAACTTGCTTTTTCTGTATGTGATATGTGTTTTTCTTGATCAACAGTCCAAAGAAGTCAAGCAAGGTCGGTCATCCATGCTGTTGAAGGCGGAGGAGGGAAAGAAGTGATGTTAAAACCTGCACTGAAGTGCATATGTACGGACTACTACTCCGAACAATATTGCAAAGCATTATCAAATATTTTTTGGCATTCATGCATAGACACGTCAGCACATAGAGTGTGAATGCTCTGCAAAGTGATACTGGTGTCATAAATTGCAGCTCCCTATGACCTGTAAGGACCTCCTCACAAGCAAGATCAGGGCACCGTGTCTGGCGGTTATGGTACCGGCGGACATGACGCTCGAAGCTTGAATCTCGGCCAAATGGCTGCTCCCGGATACCAAAAAGGAGGGAAAGAGACACCATCTCCGAGCTAATTCAGCATAGCTTTTCCCACGTAGAGCGGTGTTCATCTATATCGGAGCAGGCTGGTGCGAGTCAATGAGCGGAGCCGACGTTTGCGACTTGGTCCGACGCGTGAGACCGTGTCAACCACAGCGGCCCTGTACTGCGTTTCTTCTCGTTCTGAGGAAGGAGTAAACCGAAGTAGAAGCGAGAACGCATGACCCTGTTCTGGAGGGATAGAATCTCTCGTATATTGTCGCTTTGACTCCATGGGCAATCCATGGATCTGGCGCAATACGTCTTGGACAGGTTGCCCTTCGTTTAAACGAGCTCGGATACTTTCTTTCATCGCACATCGAGAGGCTTGATGAGCTGTATGATACTTGTTTCTTCATCGAAGCGCTTTCTCATATATTTCCGTACCTGTCCCGTTGGCGAACGACCCAAATTGCAATTGTACTCGCAGTTTGGCTCGGTTCCAAAGATTTTTGCACAATTGGACTTCAGACTGGAATTCTGCTTCCCTCTCTTGGGATGAATCGAGTTCCACTGACCGCCGCAGGTTGATTGACTGGCTCTGCCCTCTCACCATCCAGATGTCGTCTTTCTGCTGTTAGCGACCACGCCAAATTGCGCTAACGTCCACTGGGAAATAATTTGGAGAGTAGCTGTCCTGATAGACAGAACCTGATGCATGTTGCAGAAGCAAATTCTGCTGCGCCTCACTGATTTCACCTCAGGCCCGTTAGGAGAAGCACACTGGATGACTGGAGACACACGTTAGGGTTCTTACTGCTGCTATTGATGGCTTCTCTGGCACCTCGCCAGAACCAATAAAAGGTAATAGGGAGATCAAACCTGGCCAGCTCACCGAGCCGCTTTAACCACAAATTCAGGGCCCCAGCTGAGGTATCGAAGAGCCTTGCGTCTGGCTCCGCTGGCCGAAGTTGAGGCGAAGCCGCATCTGGAGTATTTGTAATGCGTATAGCTATCTTGCAGAACTGACGTGAACGTGTTGGAAAGCCAGTTTGCACAGCAGGAGGCCCAGTAAGAGTGTCTTCGTGTAAAGCAAACGGCATGGCTCACTGGGAATCTCGGGGATTCCCAATGTCGAGCTAGATTCTGTCAGAACCAATAGTAGGGCGATTGATCGCCACTCACTTCAGCTTTTTCTTTCCTCTGTAACGTTTGGTCTTGAGAGGTTTGATCTCTAGGACCATATGAGGCCGTTCTCGTCCAGTGGAGAATGTCACCGCCACGTCCTCGTGACGCATGCTGACCAGTGAGCGAGTTGCAGGGGATGGGTGCCATGTCTCACATTGACTCTTAAGAATGTGAATACCCTAGTTACTAAATTGCACATTATCTACAGAGTTGCCCTCTTGACGAGTCTCACATGTAGCTTAGAAATTCTGCTGGTGCAGTGCTAATCATGTGTTAAATAAACTTAGAGATCCATGCAGAGATGTGTGTGATTATTCTGTATTTCCCTTGTCTTCTATGGCTTCATACTTCTTATAATATATTCCAGTGCCCTTCGCTCACTGGATGAGCTGGGGCGTGACGGTCCCTAGCCCTGCCCAACGATCACCTTGTACGAGACTTGTGATGTAGGCGTGCGACTGTAGGAACAGTTTTCTGTTTACTACTCTGGTCTTCTGTCATTGACGATATATCGGCCCATGATATATTATTCCCACCAAAGCCTTGTCGTTTGGGAATAGGTCACCCTCCACCCGCCACCACCTGGCATAAAATTCAATCAGTGTTTGACAAGGCTGCCATATTAACAGTTTTTAAATAGCTTTCGCATGGTACAAGATCCCATCGACCTCAGATTCGGGCACGATAGTGATACTGGGTGCATGATCCTTGTTTACGTGTTTCTAATCATGACACTTGCTCTTTTCACTACCCACACATTAATGGATCTATTGTAGCTGCTAACGTTGTGTAAGGATGCAGACCCTGCTTATATCTAGACTCAATTGAAGTACTATCGAACGCATTATTATAGAGATGTGAAAGGGACACAATTATTTGTAAAGACAGGCGCAGACAGGCACAAATAACACTGTTACCAGAACCAATATTGTTATGTGTGGGGTCAGTTACGAGCTGAATGATGCGCTATATACGAATGGGAGTATATATATGGGAGGGAAGATAGGACAACGTATATTGCAGAACTAATCGCTGACCTTCAAGAGTTCAGGCCCGAAGGTGCAAATATAAAACACTTCGCACCTGACTAAGCATCTTAGCTAAGGATCTGGCTGTCGTGCTTCTCAGAGCTCCTAACAAATGTTCAGGTTGTGAGGGGTTTCCGTGGAGTAATAAGGAGGAAATGCATCCCTCTAGTTCTTCGTCTCAGAGTGTGGCGGTGAATCACGGTACCGGTCTTTTGGCCTCCGTTTCTGCTTTCTCTTTATTTCCTTTGTTTCTCTCGTAGAAAAGGCCGTTTAAATGTTGGGGAGGAGGTATATCGGTTTTCCCCGGAATCAGATCACCGTATGTCTCCCAGAGCGGAATCGCCCACTCCCAATAGTCTTTTCTAGTGGCCTTTTCCCATTTTGCTTCATAGCCAAAAACACCTAGGCGCGAGTGCACGTGAGATTCGTTGGGATTAATGTCGACTCGAAGAACATGAACCCGCGCAACTTCTTCATTCTTATACGGACGCCGAGTATTCTCCCATTGTCCTGGGAGCATTCCCTGAACAATTTTCTTTAGCGCCCATACCTTTTCATTCTTTTCATCCTTCTCCGTGATCTCTTCCTGGCAATGGGCAGGATCTTCGAAGGAGAGCTGATGGGCAATTCCATTGATTACAGCGGACTGGAAAGTAAACCCATGAGCAAATGGTGTATAGCCACAGTAGTAGCTATACACTTTACTGGCTGTAATCGTTACCGGAAGCCCACAGTCTCCAATACGTCTTGCGACATTGTCAGGAATGTAGCCGTGAGCATACAAGACATCATTTTTCCCTTGCGGAGAAGGTATGATTCCGCCAACCAAGTGGATTACATCCGGGTAATTTTTTCCAGACTCGGGAGGAAATATGAAATCTAAAATATGGGTGTGTTTATAACTTTTTCGGCTATCTCTGGGCAATAGCAATCTTGTCCAATCAAAGGATGTTAGCAAACGTTTTTATTATTTATATATTTATTTTATTTTTATATTGAATTAGAAAGATAAGAAAGTCTATCGTTACCTCCGTGGATTTTAATGTCTGGTTCATAGCCCACACAGTTGTTTGCTTCCGTCGTTTTGTCTGGTCGTTAGACTAGGCTTCACGATTTAAGGGCTCCTTCAAGAAGATAGAAACACTATTGACTGAAGAGAGTTGTGTTATATTAGTAGGCAAGGACAGGAGACAAGAATCTGAGAACAGTTCTATATTTATATTCTGGGCTGATTAGTTATGAAATTTTTAAATAGTACTTTGTTATTAACAACTAATCTCCTCTTATGCATGCATGACCTATCCGGGATACCTTGTTAGGTTAGCCGCCTTCCACTTTCACAACTCAACTACTAGATACATGAAAATTTCACAATATTGCACTCACCCCCTGGTAGCTTCCGCTTGTCTTGTGGTCCATACAAGGGAAAATGTTCATATCCGCAGAGACGAGTACCAACCATGATGCCACTAACTTGAACGCGGCATCATTGATAAGGGAGCTTTGATGTGCTTGGCTTGGGTCTCCAGATCGAAAGGGCGACTCAGCATTGTCCGCAATAGCGCAACTCCAACGATATAGTGAGGAGAGGCGATTGCTGAGTTGAGACAACTGCGAAATGCAGACGTCAGGACTATTCTTGTCGCCTATCATGTCACTGCCGCTGTCGGTTGTTGTCTTGACGAGTTCGCTCCATAGACAGGAGCAATCACCATTCTCCCATGGCAAGAGACCTGGTACTGTGTCGAGAAAAGCCAAGCCGGCGTCCATCTGCTGGCTGGTGAGGTTAAATATGCTTGATGTCCAGTCCTGCTCATTGCCATCTCTCTCCATTTCGTGCAAATTCGACTGCGAAACGCATGACCACATGGCGATTGAGTTATCCACTGATACTGGGAAAACTGAACCCAGATTCGCTGTGCCATGCAAGTCCATGTTTGAGTCTGCACCTGATCTTGCATTGGTATCCGTGTCGGGGGTGGGTTTGGCTTTTTTACCGGTACCGTGTGATATTTCCGTCGCAACCGTGGCGTCGTAATCGGAATTTTTTGCGGTGGTGGCCCTGAGATTGACATTGAAATCTGCGTTGGATGTATTAACGTGGGGGTTTTAGCCGAGGCCGGTCCCGCCGTACAGTTGGAGGTGGAGGATTGGATGAGTCTGAGGATAGGTCGGCCAAGCGATACATACTAGGGGCGGCCTTTGGGCAAGCTAGAGCTATACACGCATTGGGCGCCTTGGCGGAGGCACCGAATACAGGCACCCGTGTCACTATTGCCCGAACGGGTGCATCGCAGCTTCTGTCCGTGACATCGATCACACGATTGTCGCCGGGGAGGCGTTAATTGTTGCCATTATGATGTATGTATTGGAGAGGAAAAAAAGATGGAATGGGGTACCTAGGGGAACGATTTAAAGTATTCAGACCACTTATATCCATGGTGTCAGAGGCTGCTAGGTTATCAAATTACGGAAGTACAAGCTGTCGAATTATCTGAAGCGAATCTCCCAGTTCGACACTTGTAATGTAAGGAAGCGGTTTAACTGTCTGTTGCTTGTAAAATTGATATGAATTCCGTACTCCGTACATTTCAACGCCCGATGTAACCTGACCAGAGACGCTACGGCAGATATCGGGAGCCCGGGAGGTTAAGATCAATGAGGCTAAAGCTAGTCTACAGTAACTAAGGCGGCAGCAGATATCTCAGGAATCAGGTCACCTTGAGGTGGGGCAAATGTCGTGTCAGGTCTCCAGGCCTAATTAGGCGATCTACCGGGCCAACCGACCGAGCACGTTGTAGTTTATAAAATATTTTGAGCTAAAATATTACCCTCTAATTATATAGGGATTAGCCCTGCTAGAGTGGAGCCGCCCTCTCTTCTACCTCATCTGATTCCCCCCCGCGAAAAAAAAAAAAGTAGTTCACCGGGTAAAACGGCCGGCTGGAGCGTGGACGCGTACTTCTTCAAAGAAAGCAGGCCCCAGATTGCAACCCAGAAAGAAATCGGAACATTCAATTTCAGCTTGTTTGTAATTAGACCCATTCGTGTCATTTACAACATGAAACCAACATATAAATCGGAAGAAGAGCTTATTCCAAACGCTGTGCAGGTTTACGAGGAAAGAAACCATTCTGAGACATGCCCAAAGGTAGCTCGACTCGCACGAGAATTTGGAGACAAAACTACAATCGCCTCAGGGCCAGGATCAACAGTCGAGATAGTAAATGTACGCGTCAGCCACTTAATCTACGACTCGTCTCTACTATCAGTTAACCAACACGATTCTACAAAAGAGTTATACGAATTCTTCAACGCCATCACCACGGGTCTCCGAAAACTGGCCGTATTGATTTATGCAGCAACATAAATCATGCTTTGCGAGAAAACACTGGGCGAATGACATGGATCATAGCGAGGGAGATTCCACAGAGGGACAGCAATCGTCACCTCCAATGGACCAGGTCATCCGTAGGGCGAGGTCAGAAAGTTGCATCTAGGGCAGATTCGACGATATATTGAATCCTAGAACAGGAGAGACAGGAGAGACAAAGAGAGAGAGAGGGTCTGCCAGGCGGCGACGCAAGTGACAGCCAGTGAGCCGTCTTCATTGCTTCTGCTTCCCTACGAGAACGCGGCTCACATTGACAGAATATTTGCCTCAAGCCACATAAAGTTTACATGATATTGGCATTTTTTATGTGAAAAAACTGAGAGGTTTCGGTGTGGCCTGAAGAAACCCGCCCTACAGTGTTCCTTTCTTCTAGAGAAAAAAAAAATTATCGTGTATCCCACTATTTTAGTATTATTTGGAAAGGGTAACAAGTAGGAAGATACTTATCCAGGCAGGTACCTTCAACTACTTTAAAATGAGCACCAAAACTTCTCGCCGACTGGTAAAGGAGGTAAGGTCTCTAGAGTCTTTTCAACAGAAGGAGAAATATCAGTACTAGACATCTTTTTTTGGTTTAATGGAAAAGTATTCAAGAGGTAATTAATAAGCATTTCTTAAGTTTTATTTGTGCTCTAAAATAAAATAAATTACTAGTTTATATGGGGTGTAAAACAAATCATTCTAATCTAAGATTAGGGCTCATAAATATAGACTATCCCTTTTTAGGACTCCCGAGTCCCGGCCGTGTGTGGCCTAAGACATACTGTGGCCGAAACTCTTTACAGCATCGCCCGCGGGACGGAACGAGCGGGTTTCAGGTCAACCCTTAATCAGCTGGGATGGAGTCGATCTTGTGGAGACCAGATCTTTTCTTGGCTTTTGTGGTCTCGCGACGGATTGAACTATTATAACGGAATAAGCAAACTGTACTGAGTACTCCGTAAGCACTTCGTTGATCGCGATATGACTGTGTGATGTATCATGGCATTCCCCTAGCGCAATGGTAATAATGGTTACCGTATTTTCGCTTGAAAGTTACCCAAGGTGATCCTGGCCAGCTATCTTAGGCTACAAGGTACAGTTCCAATTATCCATCCATACCCAATCCCGATGGTCTAGCACGAAAGTCGGCGGTTACTGACTCAGCAAATGCCCGTTCAGGTCGTCACTCTTATCTAGTATTTTCCTTCCCCGCATCCGTCGTCGACCTTAACCAACCCGCAGCCGGAGCATGTTATATTAGCAGTAAGGTGAGTTAATGAAGGTATCATCTTTATTGCTAGGTGTACTGATGTACTGACTCTGTGAGCGAGCAACATCATGGGATCTCTGGTATCCATGGTCGGTCGAATCTACCAGGCGTTCAGTCCGCCGCAACAGCCTGCCAAGCGTGGAGATGCTCTCAAATTTGGCATATTAGGAGCTGCCAACATCGCGTATGTGAGGGTTATCTACATGCTCGAGGACTAAGCCCATTGACATATAAATGCAGACCCCTTGCTCTAATTACTCCATCCAAGTCTCATCCAGAAGTCATTGTTCAGGCGGTGTCGGCTCGCGATCGTGAGAAGGCGGAGGCTTTTGCTAAATCTCACAGCATTCCCGAAGTCAGAGACTCATACGAGGGTGAGTTATCGCCAACGGCAAAGCCGACTGACTGCCTGCTGATGCGACTAGATATTCTCAACGACCCCAACATCGACTGTGTCTTCATCCCCCTTCCAAACAGCCTCCATTATGAATGGGCAGTCCGTGCCATTCGCGCCGGCAAGCATGTCCTACTTGAGAAGCCTTCTGTCTCAAACTCGACGGAGGCGGAGGTCCTATTCAACCTGCCTGAGTTGTCTCAGCCCGATGGGCCCGTCCTACTGGAAGCTTTCCACAGTCGCTTCTTCCCGGCCTGGTCGTACTTCCGCTCTTTGATCAACCCGGCCAATGTTGCACACGTGAACGCTGTCTCAATGATTCCTTGGTGGGGAACCAGCAAGGACGACATCCACTTCAACCACAAGCTGTCGGGTGGTAGTATGATGGCGATGGGGACTTACAATTTTGCCGCGCTGCGGCTGTTCTTTGATGCTGAGCCTGAGGAATGTCTCAGCTGCCAGGTGCACGCTTACACCGATGGGATCCATAACAAATGTGACTATGACTTCCAAGCTAAATTTCGTTTCCCAAACGGCGGGATTGGTGAGGCAACGAGTACTTTGAAAGGGCCCACGTACTGGACGCCATCTCATGTCACCGTAACCAACAAGGAGATCATCGTGGCGGATGAGAGCCTCCCTGAATCGCAGCTCAAGGCTCAACGTCGAGAGCTGACTCTCCACGGCTTTGTGCACGGGGTCTTCTGGCATCGGATCGATATCAAAGATGTTTATGAGATCCGCAGCCGAGACACGGGCAAGGTATTCCGGAGGTGGGAGGAGAAAACCTACCACAAAGCATACACTTTTAAGGAAGCAGGTGGTGAATTTGCGGACCTCCCCGGTGAACCATATTGGATGTCTTATCGACACCAGTTGGAACAATTCGTCAATCGTGTCAAGGGCCGGAAAACTCAACACTGGATCAGTGGAACCGACTCCATCGCCCAGATGAAGATGTTGGACATGGCGTATGGAAAGAGTGGACTCGGTCCCCGACCCACCAGTTCGTTTAAATAGTCTACTGCCGAAGACTTTCATGACCAAGGACAACTTCGGTTGTTTCCGTTGTTTGTACATGACCTGGGTCTTGTAACGATTGTTCTGGAGTACTTAATTGTGGTAACCCACTGGTTCTATTTAAAGCTTTACCTTCCTGATTACACTTTATGTTTTGTAACTTACTCTATTTGAACTGTCTGGTATCAGCTATGCTCGACCACAAAATAGGAGTGGCAATTTTTATCCTAAGATGCGTACTTCTCCAGTAACGAGCAAACCCCAGGCATGGAAAAAGGCACACATATTTATCTTGATCAAGACTCAGTGAAAGAAGCAACTAGCCAAGAGTCTCATAATGGTAGTAACTAGGCTTGTTTCGTTCACCAGCAGCAGCCTGATTCCGTGCGAAAGCGCCTAGCAAACAGGTCCCTGGTCTACACTCAGGGCCAAATCTTATGGACGACGTTGGCTCTACCAATTTAGGATCAAAGGGAAGGCGACACTAGTGAATGGTACCTTGGATGCATGCAACTGTATAAGGCTGTATAATAGTGAGGATAGGAAGAAAAGGTTGGAATATAGAGAAGTCGACATAGTAAAGACGAAGAGATCAAATTTATCCCCTTTCTCTTCCCATCTTAAGCGGCCAAATGGCATATGATTCTCGATGCCCAACTCTTACGCAAAGAGTTTGAAGCCCCCAGGAAGCCCTTTCTGAAACAGCTCATTGGGATCATACCGCTTACCGACAGCGATAAGATGAGCCTTGTTTGCCTCTCCATAACTACTAAACGGGTCCTGGGACTTGTCTGCATAGTTCAGATACTTGAAAGGTATATATAGAGTCCAGCTCTCTGCAAGATCGCCACCTGTGCATTGACCATGGTCCGGAGGCCATTCAGAGCTGTGTTGTCATCCGATGCATGGTCATAAGCGACCGTAACGAGTCCAATCACAATGTCTGTCTCGCCGGCTGCCTGACCAAGGGAGTTTGTGCCGTTCGTGACAGGTTGAGGCTGAACCAAGTATTGGACTTGCAGTCCCTCAATCCCAGCCAATGAATTGCATCCATCTTTCCATATCCTGAAGAGTCGTCTGTATATCGTCGCATTAGCATTCTTGAAGGAGCATACGAACTCGGTTACACTGGTCAATTAGTAAGCTTAAGCCCAAACACAAGGCATGGACTCCATACCGATTCAACCTTGATGGGAATCTCCAAATTTAGTCACCATACCACTCACGTTATTGAAGCCCAAGTTGTCAAAAATCGGGGACGGCAAGGACGTAAACGGCTGATAAACAGGGGGATTGGCGACTGGTTTCGTATAGAAAAGAAAGTTCCCAATAGAGAAGCTGCCGTCCTCGAAGTTAAGAATAACCGCCATGTCTGCTGCACTGTCGAAGTTGGTGGGATCCATAAAATTGCTGAAATCTTGGGCTTGGTGGTCCACGATACTGTCTGTATAGTTAAACAGAATCATGCCTCCCCACATAAGCCCCTGTGGAAAGGTCGCGAGGTCAAAGCGGGTGACTATTCCGAAGTTGTTCGAGCCGCCCTTGAGAGCAAGCCAGAGGTCGTAGTTGGAGCTTGCGCTCGCATAGATGACTGATCCATTCGCAAGAACCACCTCGTATCCGTATATGTTATCACAAGAGAACCCGTGCTCCCGCGACAGAAAGTTCAAACCTCCTGAAAGGGGGATAGTAAGTAAGTGCTCTTCGTTCAGAGATTTCTATAGTAGGGAAACACGAGGCTCACTAACCTCTGGTCGTGAATCCACCGACCCCGATTCCTGGAACTCGTCCTCCCATCACTGAGAGATTATGTGGCACAAGCCGGGGATAAAAATCACTGAAGATACTGCCGCCACCTACGGAGGCAATTTTATGGTCGTCACTAAGAGCCAGGGAGTTCATAGAACGCATGTCCACTGTAACGCTCCCATTAATATTTGCCGCTCCGGTGAACAGGGTGTGACCCCCACCCCTGACGGCAAATTGAGGCAGCGACCACTTCGTAGTGGCATTTACGCTGACGAGCTGGACAAATTCTGAAACTTCAGCCGTGGTACTTGGCCTGAAGATGCAGCTGGGCCTCAGGGCTCTCTCGAATCCGGAGTAATAGGATGACACTGACGCAGTGTAGGCCAAGTCGTCTGAGTACGAGACTCGGCCTGGGATCTGGTAATTGAGGATATCACAGATATTACTACTGGCAAACACAACTGTGGCCAGGGGAAGCAACCCCAGAAGTTGGATAAGCGGTTTAATAAGCCAGGACATGAGAGCCGTACTTGTTACCGTAGCGTTTAGGAATTTTGAGAGTAGAATTATTGTCTATCACGATACGATAATATATTATTCCATATGAATTTGTAATTGCAAAGTGACCCCTTAGGCCTGATGTCTGAGCAATCTCGCTTTGATGAGTCATTAATGACCGAAGAGCAACACCTATTCTTAGGAATATTGCCGAGTCCGCCGAAAACCATGACCTGATTCGGGGCTCTTACACTGTGGGCATGCAGTCAGAACCACTATGGCTTGTGTCACACTATTGTACATTCAAGTGGCCCTAACTGCTAGGTATACATTACTGCACCAGCTGTGGCCAGCTCCATAGCTGGTTGGATATTAGATGGACAGTCGCGACTAATCCCAGCCTGTGTGAAATGGCAGGGGCGTTGTCAGTGCACGAAGAAAAAAGATAAAGAATATAAAGCTAGTACCCGCAATTAGCCCTATTAAGAATGCAGTTCACGCCTGGAGTGATGTCAAATATGGCTGTACGTGGCCAGGATTTCTGTGATGACGAGGAGTAAAACAAAGTTTCGTAAACACGACCAAGATAAGCAACACAAGAATCATTATACAAATCAGTATAATCAAGAAGAGCTTTATCAGCTTAAATCATTTCAGACTGTCTTACCAATAGTACTCTATTTCCTATTCGGAATCGACCGAATATCCGACAAGCGGCTCGAACTGCGCCAATGAGGCCCTGCAGCGGTACGTTAGTATTCAATCAAAGAGCTTCAGTCTATTGACCTCCCCCTATCTACAGTGCTCTCTACTGCTCTCCACTTCTCTATAACTCGTGTTGCTCCTTAGTTCAAGGGACAGCCCATTGGCGTCCAAAAGATTGAAAATGTCAGAGCATATTCGTGATATGAAAAAAAAAAAAACTTAATTATTATTAGCAACATTTTAGAATCCATTTGTTCTGCCTTCATTGGCTTCTGTATAATATGACTGTAGTTGTCGGGGAGGTGCTTAATAAAGCTATTGGCCCAGTTCTAACTGAACGTTTCTTAACTGCCATTGACACTCATTGAATTGATTAAGGAAGTCCATTTTATTTAGCACACTTTCATATAAGGAGCTGGTCTTAAACCATATTAATAAAGACCGGGTTCTTGAGAAGATTACCTTTCAACTACGTACACCAACACCACCATGGTTGAAAGTTCAATCTCCTCTGCTTTTCAAACATCTCACAACTCTCGTCAGCTTAATCACAAGCCCGCAAACTACAAAGAAGTCTTCAAAAGAAAAGAACTCTTTCTAGCAGTCCAGTCTCATTTTCAACATCTTGAAAAGGCAGCGCAGATGGCAATGGATACAAACCTACTTCGAGAAGAAATAAAGGCTGTACGGGAAGAGAACAAGCGGTGAAAAAAAAAAAAAAAAAAGAGCAAAGAGGCAAGCTACTATCGGGACTGAAATCTTTTGATTACTGCAAGTTGGTCAGGATTGTGTTGAGCAGATTGATGAGCAGCTAGATATGCAGCTTAATGAGTAGCTTAATGGGGCTATATCTATACCTCGCCCGCGAGGTCCACCACGCTGTGGTGGTTGTGGGACTATTGGACATACTATAAGAAGTTGCCTAGTAAATAACTATTTAATTTTGTTTTTCAATTAGTATAGTTCAGTGATGTTGGTAGTTGAAAAGCTTTAAATTCCTTGTGTTGCAGTGGAAGTGGATGGGACGGCCGTGAAGTACGTTAACTAGTAGCGGCCACCCGGCCACACATTCAATAGAATAAGCAATCGCTTCCAACATTATCTTAAATCCTCGTTCGAAGAGGTAATAGACAATTAACAACCTTCTTACAGACCACGGAGCACACCTGCGTAAGGGGAATGTTGTCTTCTCTCCTACCGGGAACTTGTGGGCTCAGAGCCCACAACTTCTGAGCTGTCTAAGAGTGCCTACTTGACCTACTCCTTCGAAGTTCTACTACCATTTCCCTCTCATTCACTATTATTATTATTATTCCATATTATAGAGCATTTTTCAGTCAGAGACTATGCATGCTCTACCTACCACCCCTGGGTGGTAGGATTTGAACTAACAAACAGATACGTACATAGTGGGTAAAATCAAACATGAATAAGCAGTATGACATTCTAGGAGTAGGGAGGACCTTATAAAAGGGGTTAAACCATGAGAAATTCCAATTCTTTTTGCTGTTTTTGCTGTTTTTCCTTTTTTCTTTTGTTTTTGTTTTCCTTAGGGATCCAGGAGCCACTTTCTAGTGGCGATCCCGGTTTCCTTCAGGAATTTGACCAGTTGTTCTTGCCCTGCTTTCTTCGTAAACAGATAAGGCAGATTTCGGTCTTTTTTGTCTAGGGTCTCTATAGACCCTTTTCTAATATCCCTAAATGCCTGGCACTGAAAAAGTAGGTAGTGCGGAGTTTGGCGCTTGTCACTGCGGCACGATGTGCATATATCACTATCATAGTTAGGTGTTCGAACTAGATAGGATCTGAAATAGCCATGCCCTGGCTTTAGCTGGATAATGGTTGACCAGGTCTGCTTGGGAAGCTTTAGGGGGCTCGGTTTCCATGAAGCCGTGGAATTAAAGCCCTTATATTAATCACCCCATTGCATTTTATAAGCTTCGGCCTAGGTGCCACTATTATAATACCTAGATATAAGCTACTGCTAATGGCGATACACCTTAAGCTAATATACATTTATAAAGCACCTATATTAACCGACAACCGCGTCTGTCCTGTCAAGCCAGTATTAATGATTCCCGATGCTAGGCATTTTCAGAGCTTCGGCCTAGGCGCCATGATTATAAAGCCTAGATATAAGCTGCTGCTATTAGATGGAGCTTGGTATTTTCAGGGTCCCGGCCTAGATGCCATGATTATAGAATCTAGATATAGACCTCTACTGTCAGCTTAATCCTTATTCTGATATTTCTCATTAGCATTGGAACGCGAGGCGGAACGCGTGGTGAGACGCGCCGGGGACACGGTAGTACCCCCTTTCCCCATGAAAGTGAGGGAGCGCAGCGGAAAGAGCGAAGAAGAAAAGGAAGCGAAGAAGAAAAGTCTCTCATTCACTATATTACTCTGAAGTTTATTAACTCCTATAATATAAATAGGATTTTTTTAGCTATTTATCCACCTTATTTAACATATAATTTTAGGCCCTTAATATTAGATTTTTCAGTCCTTTTTTTTATATATATAATATTAAACTGGAGCAATTTATGCATAAATATCAAGGATTAAGCTATATTACAGGGAATTCATACTCTATACTGCGTCTCTTAGTATACGGCGCCGAATTTTTTATGGCGTCACTCTCTCTGCGGCCTCTCAGTATACGGCGCCGAGTTTTCTGTGCGTCACTCTCTATGCGGTGTCACTCAGTATTCGGCACCGAACTTTTTGCGGCGCCACTCTCTATACAGGGCCACATTTTACACGGCAGCGGTGTACTTTCATCGAACTGAATTGTATTGTACAAATGACACTCTGAAGGAAAGGTGGTGAGGTTTGTCTTCTCTAGCTTAGGGGAAAAAAAGATAGCCCAATATCGGGGGTGGGAGACTCTGAATGCTTGGCTACTGGTAATGCTTGGTTACCAGCTATTGTTGTTACTGGTTATGGTTGGTTACTGGTGATACTAAGGGTAGGTAACATAAAAGGATTGACTGGTCAAGTCCAAGCTCTTGCAAGAGGTGCTCCTCGCTAGCCGGCATGGTTAAATTAGGAGTCGATATGAAGGGCGCTTATTAAGGGTACTTAATATTCAAGTGGTTATAAAAGCAAATATTGATAATATTAAGCATGTAGCACAAGGTAAGCATACATTTAATAAAGCATAGAAAAGTATGGTAGGTCACAGAGCATTGAAATTCCTATAAAATTGGAAACCGCCCAACTACCACGGATTTAGCAAACATAGGAAAAGTGGTGCTTCACAGGGCATCTAAAACCCCGTAAAAATAGAAACCACAGGACAGCACGGCATAGAAACCGTGGTGTCACAGGGCATTGAGATCCCTATAAAATTGGAAACCACAGGACAGCCACGGATTTAGCAAGCATAGGTAAAACAAGCATAGGAAAAGTATGGTGCGTCACAGGGCATCTTAAGCCCTGTAAAGATAGAAACCATGGCAAGCTGCTATACAACATTAAAATGACACCAAATAGGCCAATGCTACAGGGCCTGCTGCAGCAAAGGAACAGGAAGATATTAATAAAAAAAGTGGAAGAAGTGGAAGAGGCACCTATTACTGTAAATACGCATGGAAGACAAATAAAGCTTTCCCAGCGATTCCGTAACACCAAAAATTAACTATATAGCTTCGTTGTTGGAAATCAGGATGCCTAAGGCACCTTCGGATATCCTAGACCCGCAGCGATCTGATATATCACACTCAGGGGCTAAGCGATACGTAGACATAAGGAAGCGTTAGTCTACGCTCACTCTTAGAGATAAAACAACATACTCACCATGCGATACTAGATCGCACGATAGTTTCAATATACTATCTAGTCACCGCTATCCTAGCGCCTCACAACATACCTTCTTCCTAGGCTGGCCGATGGGAGGGATTCGGGATCGCGGGGGTCTGGTCCCGTCCCATATTCCCATGGGATCCTGGGGGTTGTCCCGAACCCCGTCTCAAGAAATTGGGAAGGGATTCCCCTTTCATGGGAAATCGGGATGGGATAATTAATCCCTTTGCCAAAATTTAATAATATGAGTCCCATTTCCCGTCCCATTTCCTAACCTAAGATCCCGACTCCCATCCACTTCCTAATAGGGTATAGTATAAAAATCTATATAGTATAAAATTGAGAAATATTACTAGAAAAAAGCTAAAATCTATGGCTTGGCCTGAAATTTCTAGAGAAATCAAGTTGCAAGTATCTTCTAACTACTTTTGTGAAGGACTGGAGCCCGTTTGACCTCTCGGGCTAATGTCCCTATCATACCTGTTGTCCCTGTTGTCCCTATTTCCTACTGTCCCTACTGTCCCTTTTCCCATTGGCCCTCGATCCGTGTCACGTGACTTTCACCTTTTTTTTTACCACTTATTTTCCTCTTCCTTTATTCCCTTCTTCAACGATTCCGTTTTGTGCATAACCTATCCTATAGGTTCTACGGGTTCAGCCCTGACAACTTCAGCAACATCAACAGTATTGTACTATGGTAGTATAACAAACCAAGGCTACTAGATACATCTTCAAGGAAGAGGTCTATAAGTCTACGACTTAATGGCTAGATGTAAGGTCTTCAAGCTCCTTCCTGATTTCTACCAATCCTTTCTTCTGCCTTCCCTCCGCATCAAAATTAGCCTCCCGGAGCCAGAGTTCCAAAGCCTTCTTGATATTCTTCTGTTCCCATTCCTCCTTTAGGATCGAATACCATGCCGTATCTCTACTCCTGCCTTTCAAAACCATATGCTGCCGAAAGACGCCCTCAAACGAGAACCCAAGCCTCACAGCCGCATTTTGCGATGCCTGATTCAAGGCATTGCACTTCCATTCCACACGACGGTACCCAAGGATCTCGACTGCATACTGTATAAGGAGGTAGACTGCCTCCGTTGCGCCGGTCGTTCGCTGCAGTGCCGGAGAGAATAGTACACTACCGATCTCGACCCTCAGGTGCTCGGGAACAATGTTCATGAGTGAGAGCTGGCCCAAAACACGACCCGTAGAGGAATCCTGGATAGCGAAAAAGCATGGATCTGTCAACTTAGACTTGGCGGTTACTGCGCTGCGGAATGCCTCGATGTCGTTCCATGGACCATCCAGCATGTAGGTCCAGAGTGAGGCTATGGTCGCGTCGTTTCCCCCGACAAGGGGGAAAAGATGGTCTGCATGCTCAGGACGGAGGTTGATCAAGCGGACTGTGCGTCCTTCGAGCACCGCGGCGGATGATGGTCTCAGTGCTGTGGGCTGGGAGACTGGTGGGCCTAGTGGAGTCATAGTGGTTATAAGTTATGGATAACTCAAGGAGTAGTGTAGAATGTTCTGGCCCAGATAATAAGAGAGAACGTGGAAGAGTGGCATTCTGTTATATTGAGCAGTTGATACTCCAATGAGTCATAAATGGCATCGCATTCCGAGACTAACGATAATGTGGGGAAGGGAAATTTGTCTTTGGCCCCAGGATATCCAACCAACATGGTTATTATCGTTTATTATTGGATATTAACAAAATTAACACCAGAGTATTCTTCATCCTTGCGTGGTATGCCCTAGCCTACGGAAATCTTAGACATCGTAGTTCCACCCGACCTTTACACTGAGGTTGTATTTGGGCTCGTTTGCGCAGAGGGTAGAAACGCAAATCGTTTCGTCATTCCATTTGCAGTTGAAATTGAATACAGCCACAAGCACTTCCCATCCTACATTAAAATCATAGTATTATATTTGTCTCTTAGAAGTGCAGTATATTTTGTCTTTTATGGTTGCCTACGTTAGAATACACTCTTCTTAAATTCGGAAGGTTACGCTGTTGGCTCAAGTGAATTTTGCCAGAAAATACTAAACATATAGTGTCAGCCACCAGGTCTCCAAAATCTTCAATGATTGCGTTGTTGTTCTCGAGCCTGCAAACAAGAGACTCTTTTTTGAGATTAGGGCTCCTCCCTGATGCCCCGCGCCGGTGAATGATGCCAGATATAAAGGGCAGTGGTTCCCTTCTCTGTCCACTGATCAAATTTCCTTGCGAGAACAGATCATTTATCGCTACAATCAGGATAACCTTTCCCATCCCATCACCATGGCCAGCAAGGACACATTCTACGCTCACAACACCAACCTTTGGGACCTCACCCATCCAGCGGACGGCCTCCCCTCGACGACTATGCCCCTCGCGTTCCACGTACCCCAAGTGATAGATCTCCAAGCACTAGTTGATCTGCTCGCAAACCCAGTAAATGCAAAGAATGATCTGTCGGTTGCCGCACTCAGCGACGAAGAGCGCGAGTCTGTCTGCCACCGGTGGCTCACCATGAATGACCTTTTGAATTATATGAAATTTATCACCCTCGACACTAGGGGTGGTTAGGAAGAGCCTGTTGGCATCACAGGGCTGGGTTGTATCGGCACTGTAGATAACAGTTCTAAAGATGAGTCTATCGGAGCGGGCACCGCGGGGGGGGGCCATGGAGAATCCCGACCGCAGGAAGAAAAGGGTTTAGTACGGAGGCCTTAAAAGACCGTTACTGACTACGGCCTTAAGGAGCTGGGGTTAGCAGAAGTCAAAGTCAGAACTCCTTCGTGTAATACTGCTATGAAGAGATTGATTGAGGCCAGTTGGATCCACATAGATCCTAAGATGGAAAAGAAAGGCGATCGGTTTGGAAACGACCTGCTGTGGCGGATTAACTATGAGAATTGGTCAACTTTAAGACACACAAGTTATTTATCTTGTGAGCTGTTATAATTATTATCACAGGGGACTATACTACAGCCCATGGTTACAGGTAGAGCTCTACCTTGCATAAGTAGTGCTGTGTTGCGTTGTATCAAGTTATGACCGTCTCTTATGCTTAGAATGAACAAAGAAGGTACCATTTAGGCATACCACACACTGCCAAAAGTGACAAACGAGAAAACTGGATTGTCGCATTCGATATACTTAACATGATAGTTCCTAACATATTTTCTATCCTTATTACCGGTACTTACATGCGAGAAATTGCTCTACCGCACTATAGGATTTTTACGGGGAGAGTTAGCCTCTCTTGTCAAAGCGTCTCGAAAGAAGCTTCTGGATGTGAGATGATGTAAACTGAGGAAAATGATAAGCTTAAAACGACGAAATCAGCATTAAAACTTAGCGTAGGGTAGAGAGAAGGACGTGACATGATTGAAATAATGAGATGAGCTTAAGCGAAGCGCGGAGATAAAAAGTGAGGTAGGATTAGTGTGTCGAATATTCCTAATAATTAAAACTATATTAGTTGCGATGCTTTAGATACCAATTGTAGAACTATGACGTGACACTCTTGCTTGCCTTCCGCATGCAGTAACTGTCCCAACACCAACTTCGTTCTTCCCGGGTCTCCCACCTCCACACACACAACCCATCACTATCATCAATATGGCCTCTAAAAAATCAGTCCTCATTACTGGCTGCAGTGACAACGGCATCGGCTCTGGCCTTGCCCTCGTCTTTAAGCAACGGAACTATCATGTCTTCGCGACTGCTCGCAGCCCAGCAAAAATGACCTTGTTGCAAGACACCCCCGATGTTACCCTGCTAACTCTTGATGTATGCAATCAGGACCACATTGCCGCTGCAGCTGAAGCCGTATCCAAACATACTGGCGGCACACTGGACTGCCTGATCAACAATGCGGGCCATAACCATTACATGCCGATTCTCGATGAGAACTTAGATGAAGCGAGGCAGCTGTACGAGACGAATGTATTCGGTCCGGTGGCATTAACGCAGGCATTTGCTCCATCTCTAATAAAGGCTCGCGGGACTGTTGTCTTTATCACTTCTATCGCGGGGCATCTTAATTCTCCTTACATGGGTACTCTACCAGGTCCTGTATCCAATTCATAACAAGAACTAACTTTGATATTGGAATATCAGGTGTCTATGCTGCATCCAAGCGCTCGTTGGAACTCATCGCCGAGACGCTTCGTCTGGAACTGGCCCCTTTTCACGTCCAAGTGCTTTCCATCGTCACTGGCGCAGTGAAAACAATGGCCCAGAGTCACTTCGGTGACTTTCAGCTGCCTGATACGTCGCTGTACAAGCCGATTGAAGACAAGATTGCTGCCCACGCCCGTGGGGAGGATGGCAGAGAAAGGACCGAGTTGATGACACACTGCAGAAAGGTCGTCGAGGAAATAATCCGTGGCGCCTCGGGGAAGATTTGGTGTGGGTCTTATGCTGGGTTGGTCAAGTTCGCGACTAGCTTTGTGCCGGGGTCCTATCTTGTAGGTTCTCTGCTGCCATGATTAATATATATGGATTCTAATATGAAGGAAGGATAAAAACGTTTGTCGAGGCAAGGGGCTGGATGTGTTGGCAGCAAAGAATAAGGTCGAGTGATGAAAGTATGGAAGACTGCTTAGTGGTTCACCAGAATGGCCACCCAGGGAGAGTAGACAGCTAATCATTTGTATGGTTGATCGCTCGATGATAGTGGAAATTGTGTATTCTTTCATGGAGTGTGGAAAAATATCTATTCCTAAATCACTGTAACTTATTTGTGCAACAACAGCAATGCCCCAGCTTAAGCTCTGACGACGTTGAAGCCCGTAAAATCCAGCAGAACAGCTCGAGTGTCTTGAGAATAAGCACATACATCTCCCGGATAATTCACAGGCTCCTAGAATTTCCCAGGAATACTACCACACGTATAGGGGAACTGAATGATTGTAAAGAGTGTGATGTTGGCGAGTTTCTGGATCCTGGCTTTCCATTACCGCGCAACCTCAGGGGTCGGATCGATATATTTGATGCTTTGACGCTCCAACAGTTTCACTGCGTTTGCAATCCAACGGCCTTAAATCTCAATAAAGGTTGGGCCATTGTTGAGCAGCGTTGGACTATATAGACAGTACAGACGGAACATATTCGGGTATGTACTGAAGTGATGCCGGCGTAGGTGAGGGCCCAGGATCTCCACGCATCCAGAAGGGTCGTGCCATGAATGCTGCGCAAGCCCATGCTCGTCATGCCTTCAGTAGGAAATCGAACCTAGTGACGATGCAAGTCACATCTAGCTCATATTCGATTCCATCGTGGAGCCTGATGCCTTTTTCGTTAAATTCAGCAAAGCCATTGTCTTTGATATTGACCATTTCCACATTCGGTCTATTAAATGGTCCAAAATAGGTATGCTCTAAGCAGGATCGCTTCGCTCGTAAGGGTACGGCGGCTCTAATGGTACGAGGAGCTCTTGATTCTTGGGATCTTGAATCTGATCCACACTTTCTTCCTCTAGAAATCATAGACGACCAGGTTCAACTTTCGATCAAATCGATAGTCTCTATAGTTAGCAACCAAGTACCGGAATTCACCATCAGACCGCAGCTAGTTTAGAAACGCCTCTCTTTCTTTGGAGGACTTGCTCCATGATCAAAATATCGGCGCAGATTCACGTAACTGGCATAATTGGTGGACCACGTAGTAAGAAATAGTACAAATAGTAACTAACTACGGGGCAGATATTGGTTTACATAGTTGCTTATGCAGGAATACTTTATTAGAAGGGATCTACTGTGCACCGTATTTTGTATGTAAAGTACATACCTTGGAGCGGACCCTCGTAGGGCTGATGCCAGAGTAAGTAAATAGGAAAGTTTTGGGATAATCCTGTTCCAAAATATCTAGATTTCAATTCCCCCGCCACTGAATAAGCTAGTCAGCTCTACATCAGATTCTTCCAGGGCCTACTAGGCACCAGAAATTGGTTGTGACAAAAAACCTGGAGTGAGTATCTACTTTTTAAAGCATTTCTATTTAGACTGTACGAAGAGCTTTATCATATTTCATTGCTATAAAGTCGTAGAGCTTGATAGGTCGCTGTACCGGCATCAAGGTTGTAATAAGCTGTCGTTGCGAAAGGATATGTGACAGAAGAAGTTTGGTGTCGCATTTTCTGCTTGCCCTTCATCGCTTGAGTTATCTGTATTAATAAGATTGTGTAGAATTTGGGACTTAGTTGACAGCAAAGAAGTATCCTCTCTACTTGTTCTAATCTGCTTAGATATGGAAGCCTCTATAATCTCTAGGCGGGAAATCTTTCTTCCTGGTCAATCAACACAGAGTAATAATATTAGGAGACAGAATGACTAGGAGAAAACACCAAATAAATTTCAGGTCTTCTATAAACAAACATATCTAGATAAGCCAGATAGATCGAGTTCTAGCACCATAGTAAGAAAACAGCGAGAATGAAATGGCAAAGATCATACGAAGATGTTTAGCCACGACGAGGAGACGAAGCCAGAAAAAAAAAAAAAAAAAGGAAAGGAATGTGTAAAGGCCCAATACTATCTAGCCCTCACTATACTATAGATTGAGTGCAGCCCGACAACGGTCAATACCGAGCTGATTCACTAAGAACTCATTCACGAATTGACAGTTAGGATCCTGACGCTCCTGGATCTGCAGGAACTGAGGCAGCTTGGGGAAGACAGACAACGTGTGTTTGGGGTCGTTGGGCGACATCTTGTTCCAATGGGAGCGAGCATTGTACAAGGCACCAAACTCCTCCTGGAACTCATAGGCAAATTCCTGGTTATTGTATAACGTGTCCCAATGGTTTACAGATTGTATCCAGTCAATCTCAAGAATGCCAAAGACACCGCTGCTGTCCGAGTCAAGGTTATATGTATTTGCAGGAGACATATATGAATCATCGCCCTTGAGAGCACGGAGCTGGAAGATCATCTTTTGGTTCTCGAAGCCCTTCATTCTTGGGGTCTGCGCCTGCTGGAACTTGGTGTAGTTAACAGCGGCATCCACGAAGTGCTCCATTGGGAAGAAGTGTTCAATCTCAGCGTAAAATTGGCTTGAGCAGATACCCTGAGGAGGGGCGGATACTGCATCACTCGTCTCATCATAGCAAATATAGTCTTTGATGCAGTCACCACAACCATTGGCACAGTAGTTGAGAGTGCAGTTGCCGGTACCAGTGTAGTTGGTTTGTTCCCACCAGCTGGCAAAGAAAGTAGGTTCAATTATCCAGTCCTCAGCTTCAGCATCCCAATTGAAGTGAGGACCCCAGACAGTCATGCGGTCATGCTCCTTATACAGGTCCGCGATTTCAGTGTAAAGCTGATTATAGTCGGTGGTAGCATTCAGCACCTTGGTGGTCTTCTTCAAGAAGTGGGTCGGTTGAACCTTGAGGGTAACCTCGGTGATCAGACCAAGGGCACCAAGATTAACCCGGAAAGCCTTCAGCTCTTCAGGGTTGCTGTATTCATTGATCGACTTGAGATTGCCGCGGGCATCCACAACACGGAGGGCAACGACCTGCGTTGCCATGTTGGTGATCTCCTGTCCAGTGCCGTGAGTACCAGTACTGATAGCACCGACAATGTTCTGGACGCGCATGGCGCCGAGGTAGTCGAAGGAGAGGTTGTGGTTTTTCAGCTCATTTACCAGATCATAGACATCCCAGCCAGCACCGACGGTGACGGTCATGTCCTTGTTGATCTGAAGCTTTTTCAAGTTTGCAAGGCTGACAATGTGAGAGGTTCTGTTTGTGGCGCCCTTGTTGATGCAGGTCGTCAAGTTTCCAAAGCCGTGGCCATTTCCAACGACCTTGATGTGGGACTGCTCAGGGAACTCCTCTTTCAAAAATCTGACAACCTCGGCTTCATCCGCCGGAGCAATAAATGTATCAGACTGGCAGCCGACCTCATACTGCCAGTTGAACCAGTGGTATGCCGAGCCAAATGTTGTGTTCAGCAGCAATAACAAAAGAGGCAACCGCATACCTCTGAGGGGAACCATTTGGAAAAAAGGAGCCTGTACCCGACGGGACACCAGTTAGCTCCTGAACCTGGTAGAAGAATGCAATGGTAAGATTAAAAAACTCCCAGTGGTAGTACCTTTATCTGCCTGAGCCTGTTGAGTAGAGAATGTTCTGTGTGTCAAAAGACTGATGTCTATAAATTGAATGGGAAGAAAGACCCATTATATAGGCAAGTCAGTTATATAGGCTAGTCCTATAGTACTCTAAAAACATTAAGCCTCATGGTATGCAGTGATCGGCAGACTCAGTTCTTCTCTGGTTCTGTCCGTCTCACCCTGGCGGGATTGCCCCTGTCACAGGTAAACATACTTGGTTGCTTGGCTGAAACTTTAAAAAATTAGACGTCTCATCTTGGTATTCACCGGTCTCTATTTTTGACTCATTGCCATGAGTGGGTCCTTGAGCGTTAAGATTAGTGTGGACTTAGTAATATTTGTTCTAGCCCTTGTCCACCCACCACGGGAAGAGTCTTCATTTGCTGTCTCGACGTTTATGTAGATCTTGTTGTCCTGGCTTTATGGCCGCGTTTCGCTGGCCCCACATGCGCGTGGCGGAATTTCATCAGTTACAGGTTCTCTGTCTAGATATCTAGTATATGGTTTTACATATTGTAATATTTAACTATGAAACGTATAACATAGAATAGGCGATGTCGAGCACGAACATGTGCTATCGACTAATCAAACAGTGCAGATGAACTAGGCTTACTTCTGAAGCTCACATCGAATCACAAGCTGACGACAAAGTATATTGATTGTTGCAACGACGTAAGCCCGTCAGTTCTTGGAGTAGTCTGCCAAGATGGCATCAGCAATCTTCAGAGCCATACCGTAGAAAACGGTCATGACGTGCGACGACACTTGAGTCGGAGGGATGGAGCCATCAATGACACGAAGACCTTCAACATCATAAACTCGGGCGGCGGAGTCCACAACACCTCCCAATTCCCTAGCCATCATTGAGCATGAACTCACCCCGTGCCAATTGGCGCGGAAATTTTTCTTGACATAATCTGACCATTGCTCCAAGGTGGCGTCATAGGGTAGTTGATCGCCAGGCATGTTCTCTCCCGCATAGTATTTCTTCATATCACCGGAGTTGGAAAGCTCACGGGCTAGCTTCGAGGCAGCGGCTTGGCCAAGCACATCGAATTCGTTGATGAAGAACTTGGGATCGTTGGCGTAGCGGTGGAGATAAGGATCGCTTGCAAGTATATGTACAGAACCGCGAGTAAAGGGAATAAGGTCCCACAAGTCAAAGTTGATCTTCCCCATGGTGTCCAGAAAAAGCTCCGCGAAGGCAACATCTTCGTTGAGAAGCCAATCGCGGTAGTTCTCGTACTGGATCTTGAGAGCCGTCACATTGTGGAAACCGCCATTGAGAACGGTTTCCTCCGCCCATTGGTCAAGTTTGGAGTTGAGTAGCACGGCAGCCTGAGAGGCAAAGTCACCAAAGGTTTCGTTGAAAGAGGCAAAGTAGATTGCTTGACCCTGACCGTCACCAGAGGCCTGAGCATTTGAGCGAACAGTAGTAGTCGTTTGGTCCTGCATATTGAGTCCAACGGGGAGATCCACAATCTGCTCAACCCCAGCAGCTTCAAGGGTATCCTCCAAGCCAATACCAGACCACTCTAGAATTAAAGGTGAGATTGCAGATCCAGCTGCAAGTAATACCTCATGCTTTACAGACACGTTAAAATTTACATTCCTGTGCGTGCCATAGTTCACACCAGTAGCCTTAATTCCGGATTCAGTCTTGTTGAGTAGGACTTTTCCCACCATCTGACCAGTCAATACTTTGAGGTTTGGGCGCTTGTGGTTTGGAAGAAGCCATTCACGTGCTGCGTCTGACCGAATCTGGTCCTCGTGTACAGCATTCGGGATCATGGAGACCCCGCGAGGGTGGCCACAATGGAAGTCCTCTTGAGTTGGAACGCCACGCTCCGATACAGTGTTCATGAGGGCTCTCATAATAGGAGACCAGGGTTTGCTGTTATCACGAGGTCCTGCGTGTACAGTACCATTTGTTCCATGACAGGAAGGATCATAAAAGTGGCCAGCTGCAACTTGGGCCTCATCTGGAGGGCGAGAGTTTTCGGCTTTCTTCATGTATTTGACAAGATTCTCCCAATTCCAGCCCTCGTTGCCAAAGACTTTCTCCCATGAGTCAATTTGAACTTTGTCTGGGCGGGTCCAGGAACCGCCGTTGATTAAGGTCGACCCTCCCAGGCCGTTTCCGGACCTGATCAATTCCGTGCGATTGTTGATTGCAAGGGGGACAGTTTGGTATGCTTGGTCCACATTCGTGCCAAAGATCTCACCATAGGCATTCAAATCTTCGATAATTGCTCCACTGTTAGACTCATAGAAGCCTTTTTCAATGATCAGAACCTCGATATTGGGATTCTCCGTCAATTTGGTTGCAACAGTCAGGCCCGTCAAGCCTCCCCCAGCAATGACATAGTCGAAGGTTTTTCCAGAGACCTCCTTGGGATCAGTAAGAAGACTAGACTGCACGTCGAATTGTTTATCAAGTGCGTAGTCCCTGGCCGCAGCGAAGGTGAATAAAATGGAACTGAAGATTGCAGACTTCATATTGAAAGAGATATTGTTAGGGAACAAAGCGCAAGAAGAAACAAAGGAATCAAAGAATGAGTTACTTGGATTTTTCTCAGGTAGACATAAATGAAACCATTGAGCCTTCTTGTGCGGTCTTTTACAGGGTCTATATATAGCAGGTTGTACTACAATTGATGTTTCGGCATAGCACCAGAGATGCTCATTTCTGCTCCTAGAATCCTGAGTATACCATACACTATTTACGGCAAACTACAGCAAACTACTACCTCCCATGATGAATCTCAAAACATCTTGGTGGACTCCGTGCCAAGAAATTGTCCAGTCTTACGGAGTATCTTAAATACATCGAAACATCTTACTAGGATACGGAGTAGGCGTAGACTTATCGCAATCTATCGCAAACAGTCTCCTAACCCTGGCGTTAGCGCATTTTTACTGCTACAGATCAAACTAAAATAAATGCATTAGCATTGAAAACGCCCATAAGAGAAAGAATCTAATGAGGAAATAAGTTACATAAATTACCAAAAAGACCGCTAAAATAAATTAGCGGCCGGGTTGGGGGATAGCCTCAAACACTAGGTAGTAATAATAGAGTTAGAAGGTGTCACGTCATAATTCAGACGTTCCTGACCAGCAACAGAGTATATTTCCCATTTGTGCCGGTTAATCCTATTTGTAAGCGCCGCTTTGGTCGTCCGGTGAATTAAGCAAATGTTTCTAACAGAAAAGTTTGACTAGTTGTTTCCCTGGTCACATCACCGCCTTGGCAGGTTTTGTTGAACTCATAATAGGACAAAGCGGAATGCCAATTTTAACTGATCATGACCCCTAAATCATAGACTTATTTTCACACAATAGGTAGCGGTAGGAGACCTAGAGATTACATACATCAAATGGCTTGGTAAATCGCCTCGTGGGAAATGCCAAAGAAACAAGTGTATTATCAGGTTCAAATAGGGATAAAAAGCAAGTCAATTAATGTCTCCTGTTTAATGAAAGAATGTAATACATAGTTCATGAGATCAGATAGGATAGATCCCCCTGTGGTACTCTAGCTCCAACTTAATTTTCAGATTTCGTAGAACCAGGGCATAATTGATGTAGGTTTCCGAACCCTAATTCTTTTTATTGGTCCATATTCACTCATCCACTCATACTTTGAGATAATTGGAAATTATGTTATGGTTAATGCTAATACTGTATAAGTTAACTAGACCTACTGGAGACAGAGTATATGGGCCATTTACATCATTGGCTACTGAATGACAGGCAGATTAAGAGTAGAGTGGAATATCATCGGTCTCCAGCATAATTTATTCCTTAAAGTACTAGGTTAAATATATCCAATGGAAACATATCGCCTCCTAACCGTTATCCTTATGGAGCTTATTATCGAAATCCATATAAAGAACGAGGGAAATGACTGGTGGTTTAACAAGATCCGGTGTGTTTCACAATATAAACTAAAATGCCATTCGGAACACATATACACGACACTAGCTTCGAGCCGCATACTCTGCCGTGGATCCCTATAAGGTTCGAAGGCATGGACCATAGATAGTGACCCCACCAGCGCAAAGACGAATAAAATATTTTAACTTCAGAGTGTTTTGAGATTAGGTTATCAGGGTTGGGCACCTAAGTGGGTAATAAAGTTCACTACTGAGTACCTTGCAAGAGATAGGCTAACCGTTGGGACAGATTCGGGATCCCGGAAGGGTTCAAGTCCCGTTCCACAATCCCAGTGGGAATTAAATTTTGATTCCCATCCCGTGCCAAGCCTTTCGGGAAGGGATTCCAAGTATATGGGATCTGGATGCGATGTTCTCATTCCCATATACCTAAGAATTCTCGTCCCGTTTGTATCATGTAGCCCCATCTTGGCATGGGATGGGATATTCTCTTCCCAAAAATTTTAAAAAAATCGTCCCGATTTTAAGGGAATCCCATCCCGATTTCCCATGGGAAATTCCCTTCCCAAGCGGTCAGCCTAGCATGAAATGCCAGTAGTACCGATAGATGAGAGGAAATACTGAGCCACTACGTCAACTCCCCTGACTCTGGACAGTCCCAGCATTCGTTGCCAAGATTTCCGGGACGTGGCATTACGCGAGATAGTCTTCTTCTACAAGGGCATAGGTAGCGTCCATAAGGCAGTGCTGAATCCGGCAAAGTATATAGACTAGATATAGAGATGGAATTGACCGCTTGTTCCGGCCAGTCAAGCCAGGTAACGCTGCTTATGAGGTCAACTTAGCAGCATTAGACCATGCTAGATTTGCTGCATTCAAATGCCGTCTGCCTTACATTTTCCTTTGTGGTCTCCTTATCCTTCCTGGTGTCTTTGATAACTCTTTCGATAAGATAAGCTGCCTAATCCTAGTACCCTGTTTGGTCTTCTAGCGGACCGTCCATATCCCTCCTTTGATTCTATCCTCTTACCACCAATTGACGGTCAATACAACAGTGTTAATGAAACTGTACAGGCTGTCAAGCATTTTGCAGCTTACAACCACTTTGCTGTTATTGAGAAGGCTTCTACAAAGGACTTAAAGACTGGAGAGAAGCGTGCGATATATATTTATTGTAACTTAGGAAAGAAACACAAGAGCGAAAGCAAGGGCCATAGGAGAGTCTCTACAAGGAAACTTGATTGTTCGTTTAAAATATCTGTGTCGCAGCGTGATGGAGTATTCACTCTAAGCGTTTTAAATAAATAGTATTCTCATTCTCTAACCAGTGATATCTCAGCACATCCAACCCTCCGCCGGGCAGAGGCTTCTTGCTAGGGGCGATGAGATTCATTCAAAGTTTAAATCAGATCCCTGATTATCTCCATTAAGAGGACACCGGTTGCGGTATAAAACTTGAGGATCTTTATAGCTTTAAACTCCTACATAAGGAATTCCTTGACGGACGAATACAATACAAACCCTTCTTACCACTGTCAAAGACTCGGGCAAGTGGTTAATGGAATGCCATCAAGATATAAACAATCGTGTTACAGATTTATTCTGTATGCATAAGCAAACACTACAGCTCCTTGCGAAGCAACCATATATCCTATGGACTGTACCTATAAAGAGCAGCCGCTATAAAATGCCGCCACTGAGTATTACTGGAATGACTGCGACAAATCGAAACATTTTTATTGTATTTGCATTTATTACTAGCGAGCAGAACAGCTCATTTTTCCGTGTTATCCAGTGGATGAAAAGCGTCTACGAGAGATTGCAAACAGGATGGAATGGAAAAGAGAAGATAACTGCTCCTAAAACGGTTATTGTTGATAAGAATGGGGCCTTGATCAACGTTATACAAGTAATGTGGCTATAGACAAAGTTCTTATTGGTATCTGGCATATAAATAAGAATATCATCAGTGACGCAAAGCCTCTGATTAGAAGGCCTCGCTTAAAGATAAGGAGCTTGATCATGCAGATATAAATGCATTTAAAGAGCGCCTGGATGAGGATTGGAAGAAGATGCTTAAGCTTGGTACCATGTTTAACCGTAGTCACTATTATTTTTCTATATATATATATACGTAAGAAATAATACGTTGTCTGTAAATATATTTTTATATACAGTGGCTTACTCCCCCTTTCGCAGTTATGTAGCTAACTATGTAACTTGTCGAATATTCGGCTAGTACCAAATAGGGAAGAAGATACGGTTTTTGGAAAGGTCTTAAATTGAGTATATTGAGCTGGTTGGACTCTTCTTAATTATATCGATGATTATGATGATGATTATAATTGTTGTTCTTGTTATCATGCTCTTTCGCTCGTTGAGGGCATTTTTGACCCCTCCTCAGTCACATGATCCTGGCCACGTACAGCCATATTATTTGAACAACTTGCAATGTAATATTCGACCAAGGCTGGATAGGAATATGAAAGGCACGCGAAAGGATTACATCTGATCATGGCAGGGGTATAGATGAGGGGTTAGAGAGGGGAATTGTAAAGGTAACTTACATACATAGTATTCTAGTATTTCATTCTACTTAAGACTTACTACTTCACCCCGTAGTAATTGTGTAGATTCAGACTGGGGCGGGTAATGGGCTAAAAAGGAACTTTGGAAGGAGAAAGCAATATTATAACTTCGTCAATGGAGTAAATCTAAACAAAGAACTTTTGTCCGCAGAATATACCAACTGGGGCTACACTAGGCAGGCCGTTGGGAAGGGAAAACTTGGGATTTCCTTCCCGAATGGGACCGGGACGGGAACGGGACCTATTTCAGGAAATTTATGGGAATTAGGGATTTTAGGAATATCCCATTCCCTAGATCAGGATTCCCTCTAATTTCTATTCGGGAATGGGATGGGAAGTGGGACCGAACTTATAGATGGGAAGGGAATGGGATTATCCCGATTACTGGGAAAATCCCACGGGAGATTCCCTTTATTTTAATCACATGATAAATAACTACTTTATGTTACTTCACATAGCATATTTCTCATTTTTATACTATATAAATTTTTAGAATATAGCCTATTAGGGAGTGGAATATGGGACGGGACTGAAACTCGCCCGGGATCCCGAATCCCGTCCCAACGGTCATCCTAGGCCGCCGCTACACGGAGAGATTCGGAACAGTATTATTAATTAACGTCCTATGGAAATAAAAACCAAAATTAGATATACAAATAAAACAAGCATCATCCCTGTACTTTTCCAGCAAATTCCCTCACCTTCTCGACCAGTCCAGATGTCCAGCTGAGATGAGGTGAGTGACCTGCCGGCGCATAATAAACAGTAAATGGTTTACTGCTCTGACTCTGCAACGAGACCATCCCTTCTTGATACGCCTTGGGCAATGTCAGGTCGTTTTCCAGCACCACATACGCGCAAGGTAGGGCTGAATACGGGTCGTTGGTTAGTTTAGTGGTCATGATAGGTGAGGCTGTTAATGTAGATGCCCATTTCGACGCAGTATCTGCGTCAAGGTCGTTGAACATAAACCGAGGTGCATCGACAATTGTCCCTAGGCCGTCTACGCCAAATTTCTACCTCTTGTCAGCTGACATCCTTGTCCATATATTAATACTAGGCAGATAGATAACTTACATGGAATCGCATAAACGGTGGAGTAATGATATTCCCATCCTTTGGCTGGAAGAAACTATGAACGGATTCACCCACAGGGATAATAAACGCTCCGAAGTAGAACAGACCAATGATCCCCCCGGGTTTACCCTCTAACTGACGAACTTTGGCATGGAGCTCTGGCACGGCCACCTGGGTGGCCACCCAGCCACCTGAGGAATGTCCGACCAAGAGGACCAACTTGCCATCATTAACAAGCATGTGGAGAATCTGCATGACCGTGCTCACGTCCTCTGTGTCACTTGGGTACCCGCCAGTGGGAGGCTCTCGGTTGAAGTCAGGATCATTAATGTCACCCACGTTTAAATTGTTAAGATCGCAGGTTGGTCTTTGCGGGCAGTAAGCGTCAATTCCCTGCGCCTTTAATGCTTGGACAAATGGCCCATAGGGGCCGGCGTGTGGTACGAGCCGTGGCAGACCACGACGGCAAGGTCTTTGGTAGTTGTCATGGTTGAGTTGTAGGTGGAACTGCAGGTCTGGTAAGGTGGAAAGGGGAACATAAAAGGGTTGGAATGAGCAAACAGTTGTTAATTTCTTTAAATCTTAGTAGGGAAGACAAAGGCTTGTTGAAATGGAAGAGAGGATAAAGGCGCTGAATTCGGCCCCCAAGTTCGGCCCCCAGTTTTACAGGGAGGAGCCTGCCGTAATTTATGCGCCTGCATGCTTACTCTCATACACAGTCTTACTATTCCTTATTTAGTTATAAAGTAACTGGTAAGGGAGCCGGACATGTAAGCCAGTCGGATACCACTGTATGCCATATTACATGCCACATTCAAAGATCATAATATCTCAACAACAACATATCGAGATGGCTTGAATTTATTTCATAGACTGATATAATGGACTATACATAGATAGTAAACCAAGAACTGTGTATAGTGTATGTTTCTGTATATTACAATATAAGGATTTTAAATACAGTTGTATTTAAGCCAGTTCTGTATTATAGGCCAGGCTGGGAATAATTTATAAAATTAAATAAAAAAAAGAAATCATGTACTATTGTGGTGGAGGAATTCGGGGTATTGGCACGTGACAGTTGTATAGATAGCTATTATCTTAAGTCCTCGTTCAAAGTGGTAATAAGAAAAAACAACAACCTTCTCACAGACCACGGGAGGCAGTTGCGTAGAAGGAATGTTGTCTTCTCTTTGGTTGCCGGGAACTTGTGGGCTCGGGGCCCACAACTTCTGAACTCTCTAAGAGTGTTTCCTTGACCTACTCTTTCGGAGTTCTACCATTTCCCTCTCATTCACTACGTATATAATATATAGGACTTAGCTTCAGTATTATATTTTTAATAGTGGCTGTGATATTACGGTTCTAAAAAATACAATTTAGTTGTCAGGGACTGAACCGTAGAACCTATGAGATAGGCTATTGTTGAATTATTTGGGGGGTCTGAAGTGATTGTATTCAGAAGGATGTTCTGCCCAACCCCTCTATGAGAGGTATTGGGAATATATTTCACATGATGTCCCAATCTAGACTAGTTTATTCTGACAGTTATGTACAAAAAGGAATCGTTGAAGAAGGGAAGAAAGGAAGAGGATAATGAGTGGTAAACAAACAAGGTGGAAGGTCACGTGACATGGATCGAGGGCCGATAGGCCAAAGGTGCCAACAGGGCCAAAAGGGAGAGTAGGGACAGTAGGGATAATAGGGACAATAGGGGCAATAGAGAAAACAGGGATAATAGGGACATTGGCACGAGAGGTCAAATGGGCTCCAGCCCTTTACACTAGTATGGCATACAGCGGTGTCCGGCTGGCTTACATATCTGGCTCGCTTACCGGTTACGTTAGCTACAGTGCAAAGTTATTTATATTGTTGTGAAAACCTCGATGGGGTTCACGGTGCACAGGGGAAATGGGGAATAGAGCATGAGAAGCTATACCAGCTACACACACATAGCCTACTAAGGAGCGTATATATTCAACTAGATATATATTCAACGTCTCATCTAGATGCCACACTCTATGTGTATTCCTTCAACTGGGATAAGGGATTCGGCGATTGACAACGTTGTGCGCAGCCAAGGTGCTAGGAAGGAATCAGTCCGAATACCATTTCTTCAACAGATATGAAGGTTATCTCCACACTTCTAATATATTTCGTACGTTCAGCCAAGGCGTCGGCTGCCACCCGTGGCCAAGCCCTTGATCACCAGAATCATGATACCTTCTTGAAGTACCAGTCGACGCTGAAGGCGTTGGATATTCTCGCACTGTACTATAATCTGGAACCTGACTATAAGTGTCGTGATATGGAACAGAGCATGGCCCACCATCGTGACCCAAATATCCTGCTTCGCCTTGACGCTGCCACTCTCGCGGACTTTAAGCAGGATAAGGAAGTTGTTTCCATTAATTAGCAGATTACAAAATTAACGGAGGAGATTGCAGGGCTCCCAGATAAACATCCAGGTCTCGCATCAGAGCGAGCCCAGCTCTATTCAAGAAAGAGAAAGAAGCTCCACGCTAAGCGCTGTGAATTTATTAATAAGTGGTGGGATGCTTCCTATGATAAGTACATTGCTGGGAATAAATTCACAGAGCGCGACACTACGTGTCTTTTTGACATTTACCGCAAGTACATGCCAGAAAGAGCACGTTTGGGGGAGAACTTGTTTAAAAAAGCCACCCTTGACAGTGACATTGGAAGACAATGCTTAGTCGATGCAGTGAGTCTCTGTACATTAACTAAGCGGGTGGCGTATTATCCCGGCATGAGCCCTGTGGATGGAAAATGTCTATTTTGTTCCAGGGAGATGTCTAGGTTTGTCTAGAGTCTATTTGTAGTGCCATTATTTATTAGCTAACATATATTAGTTTTTATCTTCAAGGACAATTAAAGCATATTTTGCAATATCAAAGAAAGTCAATAAAAGCTGCACCCTACCAGCAGCGCTATAAAAACGGCAAACAAGCTTATCACTGTGTTTAACTGAGCTTTGCTCAGTTTTGTTACTTGTGTGCCGAGTTTATTAAAGATGAAGCAAATTGGGTCCTGCATTGCCAGACTTATTTGGAGACACTGCAGCCTCGATGTGGACTTTTGACATTCCGTTACACGCTGGTAGCGGCTGGGCTTTTGTCCTTTCTACCTTGGAGACCAAATTAAAAGGGCAGACGAACGGTTCCAGCAATGGCTTAATAAAGCCACGCTCTTAAATCACATCGATAAACACATGAAGTTATTACCGGAAGAAAAAGTATCATGTCCTTATCCCTGCTGCTATAACAAGTAATATACGGGGGCACCCGGTCTTCGCCGCCACTTCTTTGATGTGCATTCTATCGAAGAGCCTTGTTCCAATTGCGTTGCTAGGAAGAGACGGTGGGATGAATTATCAAAGCCCACAGAACCGGGCCAGCGAGATGCAGACAATATAGATAACAATAACAGGAATGAATTCATGTTTGATATCTAATACTTAGCAGGGAATTTAGAACCACATTGATAGCTGAGATTTGTTTTAGCCCCATGCTATCCTGGTATATGTCAACTAATATTAAATCAACTTCACCTACAAATTGCTGGATTTACAAATTGCGAAATTAAAGCGTGTCCTATGCACTTACATTAATTCTGATTATCTAAAAAGATTAAGATAAATAACGCATGCGGTCTTATGCCTTCTCAGAACAAGATGTCGCACGCCTATCTGATGGTAGCCCAGGATCATACTATAATATATGCGAACTTGATCCAGTTGCGGGCGTTAAATGGATACAACTCGAGGTTCTACGCTAGTAGAACAGACAAAGTTCTCCGGTATGAAAAAAATGGAAACTGGGAGAAGGATGTTCTTTTGTTGATTAACTAGCCCTGACTAAAAGGAAATCACTAACACTTTACAACTTAGATAACATATGGATGGCTTTATTTATCTCGACCTCTCGCAAACAATCGCAGGCACCCACAACTTTAACTCATCTTTCGAAACACGTAGATTATAATAAAATATACTATGTCCTACCAACACATACAAAATAAGACTTCCCGTCCGCTCAGCCGTACTCAAGCCACGTGAATATGCCAGTCAATCCTCGAAGAGCCATAGGATCCAATGTTATTGTGAAACCGCGGCGAGCAGGGTCTTGGACTGGGTGTTAATGATATGGTTGCTCACTCTCTAACGAGTAGCACCGGTAGCACCAGGGTGGTGCTGCTGCTAACACCAGAAAGGAAAGACAGGAGCACCAGGGGGTGTTGCGGGACACTGGGTTGTCCTCATATCACAACTTTTCTCTCAAAATGTCTTACGACTAAGCATAGATTCTGAAGGAAACACCGTTGGGTCTCGAATTCAATACCGCTTTTCAGGCCTACTCTCCCACATTCAAACACTTTAAGATTCTCCTACCATGTCGGGTTCAAGATCGGAAAGGGTTCTCCCTCAGCCAACAGCTTTAGATGCTGTTAATTTCTTTAGCTTGCCTATCGAAGCTCGCAATAATATTTACAAACGAGTGCTCGCCGTGCCACACCCACTCTATCTTTTTCAGGACCCAGGATCTCCAATAGAGAATTTTGCGCCCGAAAAACCCTATGGATGGATTGCATTGTTATACACCAATCGACAGATATCCGATGAGGCCAGAGCAGTTCTATATAGTACGAATCAATTTACCCTCCAGGAAGCAACGCAGCGCCAAGGCAGGTTCCTAAAATCCTCCCTAAACTGCATCGGCCCTGTGAATGCAGGTTTACTGTCCCATATATGCATCGACTTTCCGGCCACTAAGAGGATAGTGGGTCAATTAGGAGAAATTAGGATCAGAGAAGATGACTTGCAGAGTTTGCAGCTTCTCCAAAAAGAGTGCCCCAACTTGAAAACACTGGAAACCTTCATTTATGGCCAAAATTCCAGCGACCTGATTAAAGAGGACCAGATCAATACCAAGTTCGGTCGAGAGATATTGTTGAAAATTAATGCGCAGTTCAGAGGCATCGCTTCCCTGAACAAGATCATTGTAAGAGTTTACAGCGGATCTCCAGCCCGTTCGGTAAGAGATTTTCTGCAAGGGCTTGGTTGGTTTGTCTTGCTCGGCGATAGATAGGTCTGCCCTAGCGCAGCTAAAGTGGGAAACGAAGGGCAGCCTCTGTTCTACTAGACAAATAATTTGAACTATATAGAAAAAGCCTGTGGAAACTTGGATTTCTGAAGCATAGTATAAAGTGGTGGTAATATATAGCGCAGGTCGTGCATGAAATTTATTTTCAACTCCCTCTACGAATCCATTTATTGTATGAATGAGCGACGAATATAGGAAGTGTACTAGTCAATTCGTGAGCCTCCACATCAGTCCACTACTGTAGGTATTGGAGACTTACGGAAACACTATAATCCGCCCGACTTGGCGGTGCGGAGTATCTGACGATCGTTCAACCCCTGAATCCTTTAGATAGTTGAGCACCCAAGATCTGGAGCTGAGCACCTAGATAGGAATGCAAGAGACTCAGTTGGTTGAGATACTGTGATTCCTGGTGTTTCCACTGAATGACATCTACTTCCTAATTAGGCTAGTTGGCCTGTAGTTGATAGAATAGCTCCCTACGCCCCATTTCCCCCTGAGTTCCACAACAGAGACAAAGATCATGTTCAGGTTAGAACATCGCGGTCTGCAATGTCTTAGTCAGCATCTGTATGTAACTAGTTAACTAAGTTAGGTTAACAGGGATGTACTAGGAGTATCTATGTGACCTGTAACCTGATGTACTACCAGGTGATGTTGCCTGCTAATGTGAAAAAAGTTCTGCTGGAAAACACCAGGTAAAATGCCCTTCAGCTCAAATTCACCCTATCCCTCGTAACACCGCCGAAGGATATAATGGATTCTACTATACCTGTCTGACACATACGACCATAGGGTGTGGAAAATAGGGCTTCCCGTCCGCTCAGCCGTACTCAAAACACACGCCGGCAGTTTAGTAGTTGGGTGGGTGACCACCAGCGAATCCCTGCTGTTGTATGTTAATATTTTTTTCACTATTTGATTGTTAGTTGTTGTTGTGGAATTCAGGGGAAGGGTGTGATGAATCTACTAGGCCGGGTAGATCAACTGATCAGCTAGGTAAGATAGTAGAAAAGAATATCACTATATCTTATACCAAGATATATTAAGAAACTAATCCTTGATCTCTTCTCCTTCGAATAGATCAAGAGAATATAGGACACCCATAGGTAAGATAACGATACAGTCAATGAGATCATGACAATACATCAATACGTCATTAAGATACTACCATAGCTTTGCGTCACATTCAGCTTATCGATAAGGATTCAGTACCCGAGCTTGACCGATTCTCGGCCTATCCTTCACAGGAAGGGAAATTCCCATATAGGAAATAGAACGAGAAACAGGACATAATTTTTAAAATAAGAGGGAATGGGAATATCCCTTCCCAAATCCCATAGAATAGGAATCCCTTCCCGAATAGCTTGGCATGGGAAGGGAATTAAAATGTAATTCCCATTGGGAATATGGGACGGGACTTGAACCCTTTCGGGATCCCGAATCCCTCGAACGGTCAGCTTAGTTCACAACTACAAAAGGTAACTAAGGCTCATGTCAATTATATAATCTGTGATACTAGCTCATACGCGTATTTAGCTGACCGACAGTTTCCTACAGTTTGTAAGGACCACGCGTGTCATTTTAGACTATTTTGCATCGTTTGTATCCCACATCACCCACTAATACTCATCCATCTTGAGTGGTTAAAGTACTAAGTATCCTTATATATGTGGGATATAAATAAAATTTAATTCGCTTGTTATTGTATCTCTGCCTCTCCAATTACTGTTGTCAGCACATTCCTTGCTTCTTCGCGCGCGCTTCAGTAGCACAGTATCATCTTCCTTACTGCCCCGTGCTTTGCTTTCAGATTCACTGGCTACCAAAGTAGCATTAGACGTTGCCACTACCGCCACTGCACACAGCAATTTGCAATCGAAACTGCCTCCCTGGCGCTTCGTTCTGGACTTCTCCAGTCTTCCTAAATTTAGTACTGTCTACTTCAACGGATCTTCATCTGAATCGAATCATTGACGTCTGCTACACGAGGGAGATATTACCATGGCGCTTCGAAAGCACTAAATGATTATATCTGGTATCAAGATTTTCGGCGTGCATGATCTATTAATAGCTCTCATATCGGAATCTCTGCTTGCCAGCAATATCGTTGGAGTACTAGACGTTTTTAACGTCCGCCCGTTTCATTTACCGCTAAGTGAGTCAGATAATGCTGGTGTTAGGAGCGCTCGGAAGCGCGATAGCTAGATCCTTAGCTAAGATGCTTAGTCAGGTGCGAAGTGTTTATATTCGCACCCGCGGGCCTGAACTCTTGAAGGCCAGCGATTAGTTCTGCAATATACGTGGCTCTATCTTCTCTCCTATATAGACACTCCCTTTCGCACCGTAGCGCCCCATTCAGCTCGTTACCGACCCCCCACGCATAACAGCTGGACCAGAAAACGCTAAAACAACCACTATACTACTAGAACTGTGTATTTCTATCATCAGTACAATATTATAAATAGCACGTAGTTCCCATGGGTATTCCAGTATCATCAGTATCCGGTCAGCTCAGTCTTTCATCAATTTTATATTTATCCTAGCTTGCTTAGTATCGCATCTAATACAATTTGTACATTTCTTTGTCCTGAAATTGCCCAGCTTCTGATATAGACCTGGAAAGGTAAGTGATATGCAGAAGGAAAGGACTTATCTGTATCTTGGATTGACTACTGACTGACCTCATTTCTTAAGGAAAAACACCATGTGTTCTTCAAATCTTCATCCCCCGGCAGAAATACGCGCAGCTGCAAGGGAGGTTGGAAATGCACTTGCTCGTTGTGAGATATCTTTGTGTTTGAGTTATTTTGATGAATATTAGGTCTGCTTTTTTTTGCGCCAAATCAAAATGTTATATTTAGTGTTGAAAATACCGCTCGACCACAAAAAGGTGCCATAGTTTGTTTCACACGTATTTTCATGTTGTTACATCCAGGTTGACAATTATCAAATCAACAGTTCCGAATTTCACCGTACCTAGCTGGATCGGGAACCATTGCTCTCCCTGAACAATAGCTCCTGGTAGACCATCCATCCATGCTCTGTTTTCTCAAAACACTTTGGCATTCTCCTCGCTGTCCACAAATGTTTGAACTGCAGTGGCCCGCAGTGGCTGGCCCCCTTCTACCCTGACACTTTCGGTTTCGGCTGCGATTCAAATAGTTGCATAGGATTTCGCGAACCCGTCCGGAGTTTTCATCCTCGATGGGCACAGGCCATTGGAGTACGTAGGTAGTGGATGCTCAGCCTGATGCAGATATTTAGCAAAAGGTGAATAATAAGATACGCAGGGGTCATCTATTGTGAGGGCACGTGAATAGCATTCGTGACTGGGCAAAGATGGCATTGACAAATGCTCTTTACGCCGAGGAAGAATACACTTTTCGAGATAAATAAATGACAGTGGATTAGGAGTTATCATCAAAACACTTTTCTGATTCGAACTCAATCTCACCCTCATGTGCTTCACTAGGTTTATTTTGACGAATGTCGTCCGTCGCCGGGTTTAAAGCGCCACAAAAATCTTCAAGGGTCATCGGCGCTTCCGAGTAACACAGTTCGAACGAGGTTCTGTAAGAGAATGCACATCAAAAAAGTGCCGCCGAAGGCCTACTACTCCACTATATTGCTTCTTCTGACAAAATGGATGTGGGCAATGAAGCGTTTTCGCCGACTGCTGCGGCCCCAAATGATCGACAATGCGGTTGAAGTTATACAGCAGCTCAAGCAGCAGCAGCCGCCTGGATGAACAGCCTCTCCCACTTCATGCCAAACGTCGCCAGCAACGTAACGGCCCCCGCCACAATCGAGAGGATATAGGTCTGGTCGATGGCTGTCACGATGGCCGCCAGGACGCGCACCTTCGTGCCCGACTCCAGGTCCTGCACAAAAGTCGAGCCTGTTCCCGAGATGGCGTCGATGATAGTGGACCGCGCCTCGTGGGGCAGTTCCCAGCCAATTCCTAAACATGTCAGTGAATATCACAACCCAGATGGGGAAACAAATAAATAGCCTTACTCTTTGCCGCCTCGTTGACAAAAACACACTGCGCAATCACCAGGGCAAAGGTCAGCCCGTTTAATTGCGCCGTCGTCGTGAACACCACCGCCGCCGGCACCTTCTCGGCCGCGACCTTGGCCTGTGCCACAGCGTGTCCCAGCTGGAGATACATGCCCGACCCCAACCCGATCAGCGCGCTGAAGCCATAGATGGTGCCCGCGCTCGTCGTTGCCTTCACCGCGTACATCAGCGCGGAGCCCACCAGACAAAGCGCGCCACCCATGATGTACCACGGGATATAGTATCCGATGCGGGAGGTCAAGAAGCCACCAATAACGCAGCTGAAAACAAGCAGGCAGACAAACGGCAGCAGACGCACGCCTGACTGCAGCGACTCGTCTGAGGCCGTGAACTGGAAGTACAACGGGATGATGTAGGTGGGCACCGTGACGCAGACACCGGCGCAGGAGCCGCAGATGAACAGCAGGTTCATGAGCGGCCGGCGCCACTCGACCAGCTCGACGGGGAACAACCGCGTCGACTCCGTTGTGAAGATACAGTAGGTCTGCTGGATGCCGAACAGGATAAATAGCACGCCGCCCAGCACCAGCGCCACGATGATGCCCGGGGCGCTCCACGGGTACATAGCGCCGGCGAAGTTGACACCGATGACGCCGGCGGCAAAGGCCCCCATGAGGATGGAAGAACCTACGAGATCCAGCTTCTTGATGCGCTCGAGGGTGGGAGTCTTGTTGGTCTGTGGGTGCAGCGATGGGAGCAGGAATATGTACACGGGGGTGAAGAGCCCTCCAACACACAGGTTGATGTAGAAAGACCAACGCCAACCAGCGGCGCTGTCGGTGAAGGCGCCGCCAATTATGGGGCCCAAGACAGTGCCCGCGCCCCAGGTCAGGCCCATGGCACTGATATACATGGGCCGCTCGCGCATCGAGGTTAGCCGTGGAATAAAATTCATGACGCCGACATACTGCCCGACGCCGCCGATGCCGCAGACGACGCGCCCTCCGATCAGCATGTTCATGGAGTTGGCGGCACCGCAAACAGCCGAGCCAGCCATAAAGATGGCGATGGAGAAGATGTACATCCATTTAATATTAAAGTAGTTAAAGATTTGCAGCCAGGTGAGGACTGTGGCGCTGGAGGCCATGACGAAGGCGACGCCGGACCAGGCGAGCTTGTCCACGCCGTTGAGCGAGTGGATGATGGCCGGCTGGATGTTGGCGACGATGGTGTTATCGAGGGCAAATAGAAAGGTCGAGCTGTAGATGGCCAGCACGACAGCCACCCAGAGAGCACCGTGCACGTTGCGTGGGCTGGCTTCCAGCTTGTCGTCCGACTCGAGGTTACTGCTGCTGCTGCTGGCGCGCTTCTCTGGGTCGTCGAGGGATGCTTTGTCGTATGTTTCTGTAGACATGACGCCAGACGGATTAACGGGTGTATGGTGTAAGGACTATGAGGATTGCAGGATTGTAATGGTTATGTGGGATGGTTTAGATGCAATTTTGGCTTCAGGGCAGTTAATATAATAGTGGATGTCCTCAACACTCAGAAATCTTGTCGATCCCACATAGGCTGACAAATGGTTTGAAATCGCATCTCGAGTGCAACAATAGAAAGAAAATGGTCGACCATTATAATCAAATCCGAAAAGTCGTCGAGCTGGAAGCATGATCCAACTCGTGTCGGTGGCTTTTGTAGGTTGCTTAAAGGCCGAGATCGACCCGACCTGAGATTGGATCTCACGACCTGCGTGGATCCATGTCCCTGATTATACCAATCAGGGTTATCAGGATATGTATTTGTGCTATTAACTAACTATTCCATGGCATTTCTAATGTTGGGAAGCTCTCTTGCAGCGAAAGTTGTTCAGCCCTAAAAACCCCCCGAGTTCTCGGGTGGTTTTGAAGCGTTTCCCAAGACTTGCTGACAAGCCCTACCCAAATTATCCCACAGTTCCAGCTCTATGTTTATTATAAATTTATTATTATTAGAAATGTATCGTTGCTAGAATCTATTGTTAGTAAACTATCCAGTCCTAATAATTATCCCCCTACATGTATATATACTCTGAGTAGTATCCTATATTAAAATCGCTGCCTTCCAGCACATCACCCTGCGACCATGGCCCATAGACTATTTCACGAGCTCGAGACCATTCTGCGAGGCATTCAAGATGTCGAATCCCCACGGGAGCCGATTCCTGTGTGGGTGGCCAAATCTGTTACCCCGGTTTTTATGGGCGTCGCTATCCTGACGACACTGCCCTCCCCTGGTCCCACGCGCGTTGTTGTCGGACTGACGGCCTTCACCAGCCTGTGGCTCTACGTACTGACCCATTGGGTCGCTGGTCCCGTGTTCTTTATGGATGCCATCTTCATGATCTCCATCACCGCGCGCTGGATGCTCCTCTTCCTCGCGGAGACGCCCGAAGCCGACTATGTTCAAACCAGTGAGACCCGCACAATGCTCGAGGACGGCAAATCCCAGCGACCGTGGTATCGGCGGATGTTCAACAAGGCCAAATGGAGCGTGGAGCTGTGGTCCTGCTGGCGCGGTCAGGGATGGGATTTTGCAGACAAGCATCTCGGCAAGGGCGCAGAGCAGATGCAGCCCCGACTGTACTTCCGTCCCTTCCCCAAGATCAAGATCGGTATTTCTGTCGCTAACTTCTTTTGCAGGGAATTCCTTATTGCAAACGCCGGTCGAGTCCTGCTCGACCAACTTGTGTCGGACCTCGTACTGCAGCACGCCTTCTGCGCCCTCTGGCCCGTCCTCGCCGACCCTACCACCCCTGTTCCATTTAATTCCCTCCCTCTCGTCCATCGCCACCTCCTTGTTCTGTTTCAGCTGGCACGCGATGCTCTGATGCTGGATGCTGAATACCGCAAAGCCTCCCTGCTCTTTGTAGGCCTGCACCTGTCCACCCCAGACCGCTTCCCCGGCCTCTTCGGTAATCCGCTTGACCTCTACACGGTGCGCAACTTCTGGGGCCGTGTCTGGCATCAGATCTTCCGACACATGTTCACGCGGTGGGGGAACATCGTGGCGAATATTATCGGGGCCCACAAGGGCACCCTGCTCTACAAGTATTCCAAGCTGTACGCTGGCTTTGTCCTCTCAGGATTCCTGCACTATGCGTGTGCCCTGATGATCCCGTCGCCGGGCTATGGATGGGGCATGTTCTGGCAGATGCCGGCCTATGCGGCAGTGATCACGGTGGAGGATCTACTCAAGTACTATGGGAAGAAGGCAGGGGTGCAGAATAGTGGTATATTCAGTTCTTCCTCCCTCTTATTATAGTAGTCAAGTAACTGAAGATGGCAGCGGTCGTTCGGGTCCTGGGCTATGTCTGGACGGCGTATTGGATGACACTTATCTATGCCTTGCCGGTTGGGTTTGTATCTGATATCGGGGGATTTACGGGGGTATGTTCTACATACGCTTAGTTATACCAGATGTAGGCCGAAGGAGAACATACTTCACAAGAGATGATAGAACGGGCAGGACATGTAGTTCTCTTAGTTTTGTTCGACTTGATGAGATCTCTAGTATTTCTCACACAACGCTTTTTGGTAAAGCTTTCAATATCTCCTACCATATGCCAGCATGTCTATATATATAAAGCCTATGGCTTATATCTCTGGTACTTTATATAAACGTTGGATATTTTCTACGCTCGTGGTAGCACCATCGCCAACTTGCACACTGCAAACGCATTACCGAAGCCAGTGGTAATGTCTCGCAGATCTGGCAGCTCGTCCGATGGTGCAAAGACTGTTCTATTTATCAGAGCCATACCCCTCCGCTACGCGCAACTGGACAGAGCCAGGCGGTTTACCAGCCCGAGCAGAAAGCCCGCCTGCTCAAGGAGGTATTCTCCTCTCCCCCGCCAACGGCCGACCTCAGCGACCAGATTCGAATACCGTCCTATTGCACTCCTTAACAACACTGAAAAGGTTATGGAGACCGTTATCGCTAACCGCATGGGATTCCTTACCGAGGAGCACTACCTACTCCCCGGCAATTATTTCGGTGGCCACCGCGGCCGGGGGACCGAAACAGCACTGCACACAGTTACGGAAATCGTTCACTCTAGGTGGAAGCAAGGCCTCATCGCCACAGCCCTCTTCCTTAACATCTCTGGGGCCTTCGACAACGTTCCCCATGCACGGCTGCTGCATAATCTGCGCAAGCACCGGGTCTCTGAAGCGATCGTTCCGTGGATTGTCTCCTTACTGCATGATAGATATACAACGCTCGAGCTCCCTGAGTACAGCACGCCGCGGGAGAAGATGTCCACCGACATCCCTCAAGGATCCCCTTTGTCCCCCATTCTTTACCTGCTTTAAAACGCTGGTCTAATGGGTGACAGTAACACCTGCAATATCGGTTACCACGATGCTTGTAGTGGGTTCTTCTGAAGAAGAGAACTGCGGTTGTCTCGAAAGAAGTGTCCAGTCCTGCCTCCAATGGGCCCAAACGCACGCCTCAGTCTTTGCCCCGGAGAAATTCGCACTAGTCCACTTTAATCGTCCAGACGCACGCGATTCCTCCACCCTTGAGACCAATATTAAGTCAACGACACTGTGCTTCGTCCACAGCAGGGGGCAAAACTACTGGGCATGGTGCTAGATCGGCATCTCGACTTCCACATCCACCTTGATAAGGTAGAGAATGCCTCCAACGGTCTTCAGGCGATTTCATCTCTTGGACGTTCAAAATGGGGCCTTGCCGTTAAGGAGAAACGCATGATCTATAACATGTGCATTGCTCCGCTGGCCCTATACGACTCGTCTGTCCGGCAATATCCACGTCTCCATGGCCGCAAGAAAGCGCACGATAAACAAGTTCAAGTTCTGACAGCCATCCAGAGACGAGCCGGACACATTGTAACAGGTGCCTTTCAAAGAGTCAGCTGTTGCACTAGACCTCCCGTCTCACGCCAGGCATATATGGGCCGCGAAACCACTGACACAGTGCCTGCCGCAGAGCTTGCAGGCATTGTCTTGGCCCGGGCTCGTGAAGACCCGCGCTTCTATGAAGCCGTGGAGGTGTATACCGACAACCAAAGTGCGCTCCGCTCCCTGCAACGCCCGTCACAAACATCCGGCCGGTACCTGGTCTGGGAAATCGTCACGTTTCTGGAGGAACGACGCGCAGAATGTTGGGACACGGTTCTACTGGATCCCCGGCGCATATGGGGGTCCTCGGGAATGAATTTGCCTACGACCAGGCCAAACGGCCACAGGATGGCGACCTCTGTGCCGCAGTCGATGAGGGCGCAAGGCAAAGACCTTAGACGGCTGCCTCCGTTTGCACTGAAGTTTGCCGTGGATCTATGGATTAGTGAAACTGGAAGGGAAAGATGGAATCGTAGAGCTTATTGGTTTCAATCGTCTTCAACCTTTCTATTTTAGACAACAGAGGCTAGTCAATTATCATTGCGTTTTTAAGCTCTTCATTACTCGTAGCCATACTGGCTTACCTCATTAGGTCGATACCTAATCGTACTCACTGGGATTTATTAAGTCACTTCAGGAGATTTCTCAGTTGCTGGCTGCAATGTTCGACAAAAATGCATTCTGAGCAATACGTCCAAATCGGATCATTAGACCCTCATTGAGGATGCTGTTCCACCGTCAACTACACCCCATAGACAATCCAGCACACCTTTAGCGACCATAACTAAATCCTTCAGATAGTTTTATGTCGTGTGTTTGCTAGAATACAGCACAGTATTCTCCAACGATCAGGAGATAGCTTTTTGCAATTTGCAAACATCTAACGAATATTTTTGCATGAATAACTAATACCGAATAATACCGGATATCTACGCGATAACCACTGACAAATAACCAATAGTTCACTAACTAATCAAGTATTGGTAAAATTAATAATCACTCTTCCATACTGTAAAACGCCCCGATCGGCTCATTTCCCTTTTCGGGTGTTATACCATTCAGTCACTTCTTAGAAATCCGCTGAAGGGAGAAATACCAAAAAGATGGATAAAACTCCCAGTCGGTCAGAGAACTTGAGCACCTGCTGCGACACCTGCAAAACCGCCCCCCAAAAAAAATCCTCCGTTTTCACCTGTTGGTTCAAAACCCGACGAGAAACCATGTGCTTTCCCCATAACCTTTCGCCATCATGACCAATGCCTCACGCGATAAAAGAGCCCCCCAGACCCATCACCATGGGCATCATCAATAACTGCTACCCCACAATGTCGCCTTGGTTGGAATACCTCGCATACTTGACCTACTATGGTGGACTAGCATGGCTGGGATATCATTCCCTCTGGTCAGTTGCCCTGCTGCCATTAGACGTCCTTAGAACTGGGCGTTTTGCAGATGGCACGCGGCTGATTCGTCGATATACCCCAATTGTGGCCGTGGACCGGAAACTCGTCTCAGCTGTGATCTTCTACAACGGGCTATTGGATGGCGGCGACACCGTGAATCGTCTCCTGCTCGTGGATGTACATCTCACCATGCAGGCCATGGCCTTGTGCATCCTCGTCCCTCCAGGATCCCCACAGTTTGGAGCATGGCCAATCAATTCTACGGCGCCGCCTTCATTTACCCTGTCTACCTGCTCCACTACACGATCGCCAACAATTCCAAAACACTGACCCCCCCGCGGAATAATCCACGTATGACTATCGCACTGCTCATCAGTGCCGTCACCTGCGTGATCATGCCCTTCACCTTCCTGTTTCCCGCCTTTGTTCGGTGCAGCGTTGCGCGACGCCAGCGCGCCATTGCGCTTTACCGGTTTGCACCGCTCGTGCTGGCCTTGGTCCAGTGGGGCGGGGAGCAGCTGCCGCTGGAGCAGCTCGTCGCGTCCCCCATGTCCGAATCGGTACCGTATGTCGTGGTTGGGGTCGCCGCAGCAGTGGGGCATCTGTATGCGCTGCTGGGCGCCGCGGCACTCGGGACAGTCCGACAGGTGTACCTGCCCAGTCCGGCACCCCCTACATCGCCTGTCGCCGTGCTCCCCAAGGCCGCTCGCGAATTCCTTCAGTACGACGTACATGTTCTCGTCGCCGCATTTCTACCCTTCGCTTACCACCTGCTGGCACCGGTGGTATCCATTTAGACCTGCTGCAATCTAATATCCAGTGACGCATGAGCTGTTTTTCCTTTTTTTTTTTTTTCCTTCTCTTCTCCTTTTTCTGTTTTCTTTTCTTTTTTTTTTTTTTTTTTTTTTTTTTCCCTTTTTTTTTTTTTTTTTTTTTTTTTTTTTTTTTTTTTTTTTTTCCCCACATGAGTGCATTTTGTAGCGCCGTCTGACATGCAGGAGGCGATCCGCTCGACGCCACGGTGGAATTATTATTATTATGTACTCTATAGTATTCGTAACCTCACTGTCGGGATTTGATAATCCCGACAAGAGGCTTCTGACGTGGGCTGTGTCCCAGTCTCCCTCCGGCCCCAATCTCAAGTCTCCTGCATACCCGCCACCGAACTGACATTTTTCACGGCAAGACGGTCCTCGTCTACCCTCATGGCCGGTCTACATGTGAATGAATCGATTCGACCTCGATAATACAGGAGCGAGTCTGGAACTGGATCGAAACATACTTGCGTCCTGCCACGCAGGGTTGAAGGGCGAGTGATGAGTTGGTCTTCAACGGCAGCAACAACTCTCCATCACCCGCTCTATCTTGGAGAGTCTCAAACATGTTTGTTCTCTTGTTAGCAGTAGCATTCCATGAGAAACAACAGCCGGTGGGTTCCTGGGCTCACCCGCCTATAACCTGACCTATGATTGCTGGTTGGCGAATCTCCTGATGCAGAAACATGCTGCGATGCCTGGGGTACCAAATCTCAATTCAATTCCACATCCCTGTCGGCATCTTGTCTTGCGTAGCATCGCGTTGCATTAACACGACAGAACTTTAAACCTATCTAGATATGGCCCATGCATGATGTACGGAAGGATTCAGAGGATGCCTCTTCCGAAAGTTAAAAATCGGGGTTCAACCGTTTGGACCGGACAAGGAGGCGTCGAGGTAAGCATCTGGAAGGTAAGACGATGGATGGACTTACCTAGTATTTATGTCGTAAACAACAAGTGGACGGGCCGGTTGTGGAGATAATCAGCTATTAGACCACCCTAAGAGGATTCTTCTGTAGTTATTAGTTCTTCTTCACTTTATCTTCTAGCCAGGACCTGGAGACCTCGTCTTTCTTCCATCGCTCCTGGGTCCAGATAGTGGACTACGAGAACAATCGGGTCCGATATTTATCTATTGTATCTTCTTGTCATCAGTCTGCATCCTCAGGCAGAGATCCACCCAAAGGGGAAGAATTGCTGAGTCATCCCAATATCTCCCCAGTCGTTCCAAAAATTCAGCTTCGAATCGAACCACGTTCCCTCTGGCCTTATCCCCATCAACAGCGGATCAAACAACATGAGCCCCACGCCGTCATCTCTATCTCCACCATACCAACTTCCCCATCCCAAATTCCGTCCCCTCTCTCAACAAGACGTTCACACCAGCTGGGAAAGACTGCGCCGCTCGTGCGATGCCTGTCAGATAGCTAAGGTCAAGTGCAGCCAGCATAAGCCCTCCTGTCATCGTTGCATACGGCATGGCCAGCCCTGTGTTTACAGCCCGCAACGCCGCACTGGACGCCCCCGCAAGAAAGCATCGCAGAAACACGACCCTCCCGAAGCCATCAATAACAATGACCCCGATGTCACAGCAGTGTCCACCGACCCTCGTGCTCAAGCAACGGGCGCCTCCTTCCCTGGGACCCCAGACCTGGTGATGGCCGATGTTGCGGATGACCCCCAGTTCCTGCCAATGGGCCCGCAGGGGAATGGCGTGGATGGAAGGGATGGGTTCATGCAGCCCTCGCTGGAGGCCCTCTTAGAGGCCTCCCTCCCCAATAGTGGCGGCGGCAATAAGCCCTCTGGATCGCCTGGCATCATCGCTCGTCCGCTCCCCACCCACGACCAGAACAATAACCCCTACAATCCTCCCGCCAATGACGACATCCATAATCTGATCTCCAACACATCGCCCCACGCCTTGGGGGACTGGTCGCTCTTCATTCACGACTTTGATCTGCCCGTCGTGATGCCGTCCTCGTCCCAGGTGCTCGATCTCGATCAAATACCCGCCCTGGATATGGGCACCTCCAGTTCCAGCAGCGAATGTGGCGACTGCGGTGCCAGATGCTACACCATACTCCTGCGGCAGCTGCTGTTCCTTCGCCAATCTATCCCTGAGTCAAATCGGCCCTCGATCGACGTGATCCTCCAGGTAGAGCGACAGGTGCGGACTTTGCTCGATCGCATTGTCGGATGCGTCTCCTGTCTCAGCAACCGCTCCTCGGTGCTCCTGCTATCAGTCATCACTGAGCGCGTTGTGCAGATGCTTGACTGGATCATCGAAGAGAAGACCTTGCTGGACACGGAGAACGCCCGTTCCACCCGACGCGCCCTCGGCACCCATGCCCTCGCCGCCGGCAGTGGGGTGGAGCGGAAACACGTGTGCCGCATTCCCTTACGTGTGGGGGAGCTGCTGATGGACGAGGACAGCAAGCAATACTTCCTCAAGCACCTCATCCTTATGCGCATGAAGGACCTGGCGGCCAAGATGCAGGATACCCGACGGACCACGGCCACCCGCCCCAATGACTGCATTTACCGCTCAGCCGATCTAGTCATGGTTGAGTCACTGAACCGCCTGGATTATCTGCGGGGCCAGGTCCGCTTATGGGAGTGAAGGGGGCCTAGCAAGCTTGGACCGGGTGCGTTCCACATGCATTCTGTATTGTTATGCACGACTGGATACCCACTGCCTAGTGTTTCATTATCGCGATGATGAATCAAGTTAGTCGATCCCTACAAGCTCTCCTTCTCAAATTTTTTGGTTTCATGGACTGTTCCCTGCTCGATGCTCTGCTTTCAGAACCCGAAGAAGTTCCCTTTCGTCGGTTACTAATGTACTTTGGGACGGCAACGTGTGGGAACTGCTCTACTGGTCAAAGCTACCTTGGGAGTCCGACTGGTAAATTGTTTTCATTGTCCTCTTCCCTAGCTGCTCCTGGTGGTATTTCCAGCAGAATGCAATGCCATTGATGTTTTCTCTTATTCCTCGTCTCTGTTCAAAACCATATTTCGGTGCCTTACTTTCCCGCTCGGCCTATCAGGTTCGCAATGCCGTCTGGTGTCGTCTTCCATTGCTGGTGCGTGTCCAGGGAATTCTCCAGTTCCTCGTTCCATGTATCCTGGACCAGGGATGCGTGATGCGGACTGCGGGGCGTAATGGTGGCGGTGAACGGTTTCAGACATACAATGAAGCCTGGTCGCATGTCATTCTTATCGATCGGGATGGGGCTCCCATCTGCATCGGTCGCCTGGGTGGTGTTGAAGGCCCAAAGCTAGTGCGAGACCACCAGGAACAGGCTCCGTTCGGCAAGATGTTGCCCTGGACAGATCCCTCGGCCCGCTCCGAACGTGAAGAGAAGCTGGTCATTGCCATTGTAGCCAGCATTGGGTTTTCCGTCCCATCGTTCGGGGAGGAACTCCTGCGGTTTGGGGAAGAGGGCCGGATCGTTGTGAATGGCGTACGAGTTCATGATGAGGCCGGTATCCTTGGCGATCTCGTACGGGCCCCACTGAACAGGTGCGCTGGTGGCGCGGGGCAGGGATAGCGGTACCGCCGTGATCCATCGCTGGCTCCTGGAGGATGGTCAATGGCATGACCTTCTCCGAAATGCTGTCCTTACTCTTGGATGACCTGTCGCACATAAGGCAGCCTGTCTGCGTCACTGTCTGTCGGGAGTCGATCGCGACCCACCACCCGGTCAATTTCTGCAGCGTGTCAGCATCTTATCCGGAAGTAGTGTGGTGACCTTTTCCCCACCTTCCTGGGCCTTCCTTTGGGCATCCTGGTTGAGGGCCATGGCTGCCACCCAGTTGATCAGGCTAGATGCCGTCGTGTCGGTAGTTCCGGTTAGGAGATGGTGACCAATCTCCGCACCTTCAATTTCCGTGACCCCGGGCCAACCCTGCTTCAGTTTCTCCTGGATGGCATGGTTGAACGACGGCAGCGCTTCGCCATGACTGGTGCGTTGCAAGACATCAGTGTAATTCCGCCAGATGAGGTCCCGATGCTTGGCCGCGATGTCGCGGGCTTTCTTGCAGACGGGAAAGACCCACTCGGGGAGGGCCCACAGGAACGCCCATGAGTCCAAAAAGGCGCCGGTCACGCCCGTCTCTGACAGGTCGTACAGATCCTGGATGGTTTCCTTGATGCGTGGGTCGGTCGGGCTGGGGATGCGGCAGCCGTTGACCATGGTCATGGCCACGCTATTGCTGTAGCGCTCGATATGCTCACGCCATCTGTTGGGGGTCTGTAGCAGGTCAAAGAGTAGCTGGCGGGTCTCAAGCTCCTGGTACGGCATGTACTGCTTGGCAGCACTGCCGTTCAGGACTGTCTGCCACATCTTGCGGGCATGGCGCCACTTCTCGCCGTTCATCAAGCCCGGGAAGTAGCCGTCGCGCATCAGCAGCTGGAACCGTGAGGGTGGTCGCGACTGGGAACTTGCCCCCTGCTTGATGAAAATGTCACGCACCTCCTGCAGCCCGCTCACAACCACATGCGCCGTGTCTCCTAGCATGATGCTATACACGGGACCGTACTTCTTTGCCCACTTAGTGTACTGGTACTGCGGGAAGAACAAATCCAGCTGCAATGGTCAGTCGACTGGCTGACGGACCGACTCACTCCCCGGTTCAACCCACGTGTGTCGGTGCTGGATCATACCTGTTTCATGTTTCCCCAAATGGCCTCCGTAGGCGGCCCGGCGGGGAGGCTTTTGGGACGGGAGCCAACCTTGCGAATTTGCTTGGTGAGGTACAGTACGAGGGCCAGGCTGGCCGTCGCTAGGAATAGGAGGCCGGGTGAGAGCCCGAAAATGAGCAATGGCATGGTCGACGATGTCCTATTGAACTTGAGAGCTGTAGAATTGGCAGGAAATGAATGTTTGGTTCGGACATGTCAGCTTGTAGAATCTCATTTATAGAATTTATATACAACAATTTCCCATCCGGGCTCAGAGATTGCCATGATCTGGTCAAATCTTGCCGACTCCCACCATTGTGCCACGAAAGTGTAGATCGACATGTGTATAAAAACGGCCCGAGATATGACCGACTCTCCTGACACCCGACGGGGGGTTCTTAGTCAGATCAACCCGACGATGGATTCTTTCCCAGCAGTCGAATGGTCATTTAACGTACATTGCAAGGAGAAGGCGAAAAGAGGAGGGAAAAGTTGTCGATCGGACTATTATATAGACACCCATTCCAACCATAGCATAAGGAATCTAAGCCGTTTGACCAAAAAAGCGACAAATTTAGTGCTTTAGCTTCGTTCTCACGCTGGGTTTAACTTATCACATATCATATCCTATACATAACTTATTCCGAAAACAACTTCCCCAACAGTGCCAGCACCCTCGACAGCGTCCCACTGACGGGCCCGTCAGCCTCCCGCCCGTACAGTGCCGCCGTCTGCGGCACTGACGACGCAGCCACTGGGTCGAGGTCAAAGAGCCCATTGATCGCTGCAGTGGCAATAGCATTTGCATTCGCATTCCCGTTCCCTGCACGCGTCGGGGTGCTGGTGTCCTGACCTTCGCGCAGATACACAGTGCGCAGCAGGGCGCTGAGATTGGTCAACACAGTGTAGACGATCCGGCGGGCGAGCAGGCCCTCCTCCTCGTCATCCAGGGTTAGTTGTCCCAGCGCCATGAGGGTTTTTGTGCAGGTCCAGGAGGCCGTGGTCGGGGAGCAGCCGGCATTGGAACGGGAGCTGGGCGGTGTGGCGGCCGCTAGGGGCTGGGGCGTGTCTTGGTCCGTGAGGTTGTAGGCGACGCAGGCGGATTGGCAGAGGGATAAGGTGAATTCCGAAAGTAGGACGATAGAACTCACCAGCGTGGGGTGCGGGTGTTTGCAGGATTCGATAGATTGGCTGGCATCGTGGAGGGGCTGGGTCAAGGACGGGATGAGGCTGAAGAGGAATGTGGGTTGGGACTTTTGTGGGAGGAGGGACAGGAGGGATTGGATGTGGTGGGGACAGGGACAGGGCATGTTATGATGTTATGCCACTTGTAGCTTCATTTATCCCAGTGGGTTGAGATAGGGATGGGACTGAGATTAATCGACGATTAGAAATAATTCACGTCAATCGATGGACTGCGAGAGCGCGTTTATTATGATTGATTTATATTGTGGGAAGTAGACTGGCAATATTGCTTAAGGTGGGGAGAATCAGAAACCCGTAAGAGACAAGACAAGGACAGAGAATGTGATATGCATGAAGGATTCGGACCGTTGTCCCAGAGCGATCATTTTCAGCCTACTTTGGACCAATCCGAACCCAATACGAATACACATTCCTGGTTTCAAAACTGCGAAAAGGTGCTACCGATGACTAGCGATAAACCCACATGAGGCGGGTCCTAGTCATTGCTAAACATGGATAAGGAAAAATAAAATACGGCAAATACAACAGAATACATGTAGAAATACAAAGAGAAATATAAATGAAAAAATAAATTAATAAAAACAAAGAAGGTTTCTATTAGATAAATGCCGAGATGGCTACCGATACTTTTGGGGGTATATTATTTACATAGTCTAGGAAAAAACAGTGTTTTCTATTCAAATTAGTACTACTCGGTCAAAGCGACCCTTTGGGTGTTGGGCCGCCACCGCTCAGTGCCATTTTTAAGTTTCACATATTTAACTTCAATTATTCAACTTCCCCAATACTATTGACTGAGAGGGAAATGGTAGGACTCCAAAGGAGTAGGTCAAGGAGATACTCTTAAACAGTTCGGAGGTTGTGGGCCCTGAGCCCACAAGTTCCTGGTAGGAGAGAAGACGACATTCTCTTTACGCAACTGCGCTCCGTGGTCTGCATGTTGCAGGCTACGCCTGTATATTGCTCGGCTTCGCCCTCGCCACAATCGGCGCACATGATTGGTCCGCTTATTTGCAGTCACATGACGCATCGTAGTATGAGAACGCACACTCCCCATTACTTTCTCCCTCCCAGCGATTCCTCTTTGTGTATATCTAGTCATTAGATATCAAGGTATTTCGCCCCTTTACACTGCAAGAAGGTTGTTGATTGTCTATTTCCTCTTTGAACGAGGACCTAAGATAATAGTTATCCATACAACTGTCACGTGCCAATCCCCCGAGTTCCTCCACTACACTATCAAACAAAATAGGCTTTATATCCCTTCCTGAGTAGCAAAAGCATCATTCTGCACTAGCACCAGGCGCGGTGCTGGCAGATGTTGCTGTTGCTGTGACGGTCAGGCAATATGATTTTACTGGTACTATCTAACGAAAATTTCAAGCGTAGAGAGGAGGAAGAAAGTCGTAAACACTAAACAAACTGGATACAAACAACACAAACAGACCACGTGGTGCACCCATCATCTTAGGGACCTACCATATTCGGTATGGTCACGTGGCCTCACATGGTCACCCATCTAGATAGTCAGCTCGCCCGAGCCCCCTGAAATGAAGAGAATTGTGCCTCGCGAACATTAGTCACCCATCTAGGTAGTCAGCTCGCCTCCTTGAATTCAAGATAATTGTGCCTCGCGAACAATCTCTTCGAGGTTGTGGGCCCCGGGCCCACTACTTGTCCTTGCCGTGACAGTATTATGGTTTCAACTTGGATCGGTTAAAGTTGCTCAAGCGAGCACTAGATCCGCAAACTGTTTTAGACTTTCCTCAGGGACTTGCTCATGGTTAAAGGTACTATGAAATCACTGGAAATCCACGTCAAAGAGAAGGGAAGGAGAAGAGAAGGAAAGCACTTAAAATTACTTTTGTAAATAAGAAAACAACACAATATATAATAAGTAATGCACACAGACAAGACAAAGAATAGTACAACATAATTCAGAACGAAGAGTGGAGTAACTAAAGGGGCTAAAACAGCCTGCAATTAAACAAGTCTCAGGAACCCAATTGTGGTTCTCCATAAGTTTATATACTTGAGAAGTTTATATACTACTATGGTAATGTTATATCAAATCTTATAAACACTTAGAAGTACACCCTTGAATGCTGATTTAGTTCTTGGATTGACCTTGCCTTACTGACCAGTACAAATTACGCCCTCAAGTGCTTAGGGAAGCCAGGCCGAGAGGACCAACCGTTGTCTGTCCTTGTGATACCTACTGAGTAAAGACATCGCTGGATTCATCATGAAACTGTGTTAGGTCTAACCCATGACAAGACCGGTTTTGAAGAACAGTTCTCATATTCAGCTGCGCATTCCAGGGGTCCAACGAAGTGAGTTCGTTCCTTCTATACCAATGTCAGTTTTCCCTTAATGACTGCAAGCTCCAAAACCCTTAATGACATCTCCAAGACACTACTCTACCTGCTGGATAGAAGCTATGGGTATAGCGAAGGGAAATACAATCCTCTCCAGTCCGCATTGATTGCAGAAGAGAAGGTAGATAGCCATCATGTAATCGCAGCCGATAACAGCCCATAATATGGTGAGTTAACTCTGTACCCTGCAATCCACCGTAACCGGGAGTTTAACGTTCTCTCCTAGCATATATATTATTAATTAGCAAGCAGTAAGTTACTTGATTAAAAAATTACTTAATTAGGAAACAGAAATCTCGGTGTCCCGTTCCGAACTTCCGAAACTATATGGCATGGATTTTAATCCCGAAATTAATTTAGAAAGAAAACTCTAGGATGTATTTATTGAAACGGTACGACAGGTTCAAGTTTGAGAAGGAAGGAAAAGCATTTGAACTGGTCGAGACGGGAGGCAAGAAATCTTAGGTCCTGCTCGCTGGTGTCAATTCAAAGATCTCATGATGGGATGTTAAGAAGTTATTGTAGTGGATTAAATATAGAAACTGCCTAATGAAAAATCTAATACCATTAATTACCAGTATTAACACTCTGAAATATGGTCACTCATATAATCAGACCTCTGCCATGCACACGTCAAGCGCGCCGGTACTTTCCATGATGTCAGTGTAAAATCATCAATACAAGTGAAGAACGTAATCCCTTTGCCAGCATAGCCGAAGACCATGCCAACTACCCAGCCCTTATTCGTGCGGTTCAGCGCTCCAGAATCTCCTTGCCGTAAGCGAGGCGACTGTTACGGCCTGTTGCAGTGTGTTCGATCGTGGTTACCTTGAGTTAAAGGTATAAAAGCAGCTTAAACCCTGCTTGGAATATGGAAGAACTATTATTTTTTAATATTCTTCAAGGATACACTGTCCTAAATAGGAAAGTATAAGCTATTCTTTATTATTATTATATGCCTACCATATCTCTCACTCGTTTAATATAACTTTTCCCCATATACCATTATCCCTTTATTATATTATTAAGGAATAGTGTTCACAACCAATTTCCTCTAAGCTAATTCTAAATAGGAATAGCCCTCTTATATTAATGATCTTTGTTGATGATATAATAATATTATATCATTGAAAACTTTATGAAAGGTGCAAATCAGTCCACCGTAAACTAAGCTATACGACTGTCAGAGGGCTCGAATAATCGTTTTCAATACGAGTATAAAAGACAGACACTTAACTACAGAACAAACACAGTGGAATACATCAACATGTTCTCAACTCTAGCTTTATGCTCCCTAAGCATTCTCTCCACCTTTACCACCACAGCAGCTCTCCAGTTTCCCCCGGTAGACCTGGGCTACGCAACACACGTCCCAACATATATTAACACCACTGAATCGGGTACTCGAATCGGTCTGTACAACAACATCCGCTTTGCCCAACAACCTACTAGTTCCCTGCGGTTCCGAAAACCACATACCCCCCCGCCGTCCCAACACGGTATCCAAGATGGCAGGGATAGGCTGTTCTCTAGCGACTGTGTCAGTGCGGCGCCGCCGCAGGTTCTATTCCCAACAATAAATGGCTCCGCATGGGGACAGGAAGATTGCCTCTTCTTAAACGTGTGGGTGCCGGAGGGCGTTCGGCCAGGGGATAATGTACCGGTGATTCACTGGTTGCATGGAAGTGCGTATGCGTTTGGAAGTAAAGATCTGTTTAATGCGATGGGGTTGATGGATTTAATTAAGAGGAGGGAGGATCGGTTTATTTTTGTGGCGAGCAATTACTCCCCGTATGTTAGTTTGGTTCCGTAGGGTCGTTGGTTTTCTATTGGTTTTCTAATATTCTGGGACAGCCCAATCTATGCCCGCCCTCCAAAGAGGTTAGTTAGGGAGCCAGGGCGCTAGTGATACCCTTAGCGATACTTCTAGCACACATGATGATAGATGCAGTTCCTTGCACAGCCTGTTCTCGGAACTAGACACGGGTTGTGCGAGTATCTTTTTGGACCCAACAGAAGTTCAGTGTGATGGAATTATTCCAGAACAAACTTGCCTGGATAGCACTGCTGATTGCTTTGGCCATTGTGAAATACCTCAAAGAGACCAAGTTGCTTCTGACATTCAATTTCACAATGGTGATTCTTTAGACGGACAGGATTCCTATCACTCTATTGTTGATAATTATGGGATTGCTCCTATTCCTGCCCTACCTTCCGTGGAGGGTTTGCAGGCTGCGCCAAATCCAGTTCCTGACGTTGAATTTCCATTTCCACTGCCAAATCTAACTCCTGCTCATGACGCCGATGAGCTATACTGCGCTGAATGCCGTCCTACATGCGCTGGTCATCTGGATATATGTACCAGCAGTTCCAGGCAGGAAATGAATTTTCCCTTAGATGGTAAGGCTTGTTATATCCTCTCTTAAGCCCCGCCTTGTACTATCTTTATCTGTCGTCTGTTCCTAATGGTCTTCATCGATGTACAGAAAGAGATACGGATATGCGGGATAGTGTTGAACTGGTCCCAAATTCTATTAAATACTCTACTATCGCCGCGATTCCGGAATCGGGACGAAATGGCCTTCAACCGGATGAGTGGAACTTGCCGTCTGACACAGGCTTACTGCTGGACCAGGAGCCCAGCTGCACTTCTGGTTTCATAAATATTGCCGACATGGAAGGCCAATAGTTAGACGATTCAACAAACCGCTTTTATTTTAATTCTACTATTCAAGACCAGGACATTGTCTCTGAATCTAGCGGTAACGCATGATGGGATCTGCACCTTAGAGCTAATTCTGCAACTGCTTCTCTTCAACATGACACTCAGGTTGACATGCATGATGAAGCTCCAAGTATTATAACTGTAACTAACAGTCTTCACAGAGATCCCGATGTTCAGGATCTAAATGGACAGACTGAGGAGACAGCCCACAGTGGCGTGAATAGAGAGCCCTGTCTTTCGTATCAGGATGGTAGGGATGGTTCGAATTCACCTACAGAGGACCACACGACCAATACCTGGGAGCACAATGTCTGTGAGGTACGGAACCCAGAACATCCTCGCCTGCGGCCTCTGCAGAAGTATGTTGAGTTTTCACATGTTGAGATACGCAATCCCGCAAGAGAAATAGGGTGTATAGTTGACGCTATCGAGGAAATGTCCAGCGGGAAAGCTAAATGCAATAACAACGCGGTGTTAGCCGGTGGGCCGTGGTGCTTGGAGGGCACAACTTTGTCTGCCGATATCCGGGAGGTCGAGCGAACACCTGTCTTTGTGGGATATTCTACCTTTCGAGTACTGGATGGCCAACTTTTCCAATCTATTACGCTGGCCCAGGGCCACGTTAGACTCCCGTCTGCAAGGAAGCCCAGCAACCCACCCCGCAAAGCAAAAAAACGACAAGGCGGCGATACGAAAAGGGCAAGAAAGGCCTGTCAGGCGCTACCTGCTGCCACCAACCATGGTAGCCTTTCACATGAGCAGAAACAGGGGCTTGTGCGCCTGAGAGAAGAAGGACTTACGTGGAACGAAATTGCCAGCAGGTTTCCTGGTAGGAAAAAGGGTACACTCCAGGCTGCTTATTATAGTTGGGTAAAGAGCACCCACGGTCTAAGCACTCAACTTCTTCACCACAACGGGCGCCGTCCGGCAGCTTCAGATAAGCAATCATGCAGGGCGACTGAACAGACCACTCTCTCCGTCCGTTCCTGGAATCCACCGAAGAGAGTAGTCAAAAACCCGCGATACTCTTTTCGACCGAGATGTATTCCATGACATCAGTGAAGGATAGTTTAGTGGATGATTAGTCTCAACTTGATTAGTTTTTCCATTGAATATGGTAAGAAATAATATAGTAGCTCTATATAGATGCCAAAGGGGAAATTACCCCCACCCACATTAATATAATAGTGCAAGAGGCAAGTAATTTATTATGTTTTGCAGCTTATCCATATATGTTCCCTTTTAATTACGATTAATGGTTTGTCCGTGCGCACGAACTCAGACCTCTGGTACATATAATTATCAAAGTGAGAATCAAATGTCTTTCATGCTTATTAAATATGTTCTGTTTAATAGTCAATCGGCTTCCCTGTTAATCCAATAGAAAACGTAATTGACTCTTATATGTTAAATGCAAATATGGGTAATTTTGAATATATGGAGGGTTACCAGGAAGATACCTGAAGTCTCCTCAAACATATTCGCAACATATGCTCATATGCGAATGGGTTTATTAATAGAATACAGACATACTAGCTCGCAATACAGCCCCAACCCATCCAGAACTAGCGATGGAGTGGTCTAGGTGTCTAGCCTTAATAGTAGATTATATACGTCTAATCAATCCAAAGGCAGACAAGCTATAATAACCAACCCAAAGTTTGGGGGGTCAATATTTTCACTCGCTTTATTCTAACCATATTTGCAGCCTGTAGCTGTATGCTCAATTCCATTTAATTCAAAGTTCCATTGACCCGTTGCAGCCTGACCTTGCCCCTGTGACAGTATGACCATCTTAGATGCAGTGCCGTTTTTATTCGAAAAGTATATTATAGGCGAATCTAGTTTGGGGAATTAGGATAACTAACAAACATTAAAGGGCTCTAACCGCCTTATCGCCAAGCTGACGTCTGGCTTCCTTGCCAGCCTCATCCAGTTCATGTTCCTCTTTGCCAGCCAGGGCCTTGTGACTATGCGATTAGATCCTATTCACCAAGAAGGCTGTTCTTGAACTCACTGCGTCATTCTGCCAGCGCTGGAGCATGATGCTTAAAGTGTGAGGATTATCTAGGGCTTCTGGCGTCGAATCGAGGTAGATTGCAAACAAATTCCACTCTTGCGAATCGCCAGGCCCATCACTCTCGTACGGTGCGAGATACGTAAGGAGATTCTTGTACTTGATCAATAACATGCCTTCCGGTCTCGCCAGATTACGGTATTCTGCGGACCCTGCCTTACATAGCAAAGCTTCAAAGTCCGCACTCAGACGATCCGATTTATCGTAGACAGCATTGCGCTTATCCATCCATTTTCCATGAGTCACTTTCCATTCCAGAACGAGTCGTTCGACTCCTCCGGGTACAAGGTAGTTGCCTCTTAGAACACGATCCGCCTTAAGGCTCCGAAACTTCCAGGTGCTGCGGGTCAATGGCTGAATTCGATCTAGGAAGTCTGCTTCGGAAAAATTCGCAATTTTCTCGAAACAGTGTATATGGTAATAGTCTGAAGACATCGTTATGTATCATATTCCCCATCAAGGAGCGCTAATAGGCTGGCTATTTAGGACTCACCTGCTGTTGACCTGTACCAGCTGCCGTAACTTATTGCAGGGTTTAATAAAAGACGTAATTCGCCGGGCCATATGTTATTACCACAGATAGGAAGTTTACATTTGGCAGTTCTTCCAGAGTCAGGTGCCATCTCAATAAAGAATAAAGGTTGAGTTTGTGGCGTATGGGATAGGGGATCGCCAGATTCTAGGCCGAGCCCAAGATGCCGACGGAGTCGCCTTCTCTTAATTTTCAAGATATCATCATGTCGATCAGTTATATCGCCACGAGATATTCCAGTAGCCATAGTATCGCACATGGTAGACCGAATAAAGTGTAAGAGTGAAAAATTGTGAGACAGAATACTTTTATATATATTATTTCCGGGGGAAAGATCGCGAGAGTTTGTTAATACAGTAAAGAGTCACTTTGCTCAGCAAGACGACAATGCAGGGCAAATAGTCAGGAAATACTGTTTAAGGGAGTGCAACGTGAAAAAGTAGAAATATCTATTTGCTAGGCAAGGAGAGTTTATATACAGCACTTATACTCTCTCGCCTCACGGTGTTGCTCCGTAATCGAATCTAACTGTCAAATAATATGGCTGTGGGTGGACCAGAATCATGTGACTGGATAGGGGTAAAACCCCGCGGAGCACACAACAAAAACAACAGAATAATTACTATAATCAAGATGAGCCCAACCCAGCTCAATTTATTCAAATAAGACCTTTTTACCAATCGTACTCTATTTCCTCTTCGGGACTAGCCGTATATCTAACACTAACTAATAGCCCGAAGGAGCTTAGCTTATCTCCCGTAGTAGCCTTTCTAACGTAATCGAACACCGAGCGTCCGATTTTTTTCCCGCAGCATCACCAACAATTGCAAATTACTCTACACTATCCACATTATGTACATATCAAATGGAGGATAATTCTTATGGTAGGAGAATTCTCCCGGCTCTTAATGCGATTCAAAAAGGTAATTTTTATCTACCCCAAAGGCAGCAGCAGCATTTGATGTCAATGAACGAACCCTCCGAAGACTTCTTAAGGTGTCCCTGCACACGCAGATACAGGAGCAAACTGCAAAAAAACTATCAGAAACTGAAGAACCTACCCTATCAGCATGGATTCTTGATATGTACCAACGTGGCTTGTGTCCAGCGCCAAAGATTGTTGAATATTTAGCAGGATTACTATTCTCTGCACGGCTATCCTCCTCCGAGCCATCTCTAGCCCCCCTTGGTCAGAAATGGGTAAACCGGTTTGTTAAGCGTCATCCAGAGCTTTGCTCTAAATATAATGGGAAGTATAACTATCAACGCGCAAGATGTGAAGATCCAGAGCTTATTCGGGACTGGTTTAGGCTCTTTACTGAGACCCGACAGAAACACCAAGCTCACTGGTGTTCCTCAATTCCACATGATTTTCAGATTAGTCTAAGTGAGAATGGATGGACAACAAATGAGCTTGGTTTTAAATGCTTCAGAGGTTTTTGAAAAGCATACAGTTTTAAAAACCAAGGGACAATACCATTTGTTAATTTTTGATGGCCATTCTAGCCATGTAACTGCAGAATTTGATAAATTCTGTACAGGGAGAAAGATTATTTCTCTTTACATGCCTCCAAATTCTTCACATCTTTTACAACCACTGGATGTGAGCTGCTTTGCTCCATTAAAAAAGATATATGGCCAGAATATTGCAGAGATGATGCAGGGAGGGGTTCACTCAATCTGCAAGAATGATTTTTTATGTTTCTAATTTCTCTATCCCATAGATCATCAACGTGCACTATCACTCTCTAATATCCAGAGTGGATTTACAGCAACTGGGTTAATCCCTCTTAATCCACAGAGAGTACTTTTAAAGCTTTATAGTAAGCGGCAAACAAAAACACCAACACCTCCGTCTACAGCCCATAGTAATAAATCATTTAGCCCAAGGAAGACACCAGCAGATCTCTACCAACTGAAGCAGCAAAAGAAGCGAATTAAATGCCTCCAATCTAAGCAAAATAAGATATCCCCGTCGACAATCACGCAGGCAGTTGACAAGATGATTATGCAGAGATTAGCATGCATAGGGAAGTTCTAGTACAATATAAGGTACATTAGCTTCGGATATTCCAGCAAAAAAAAGAAAAAAGGAAAGAAAGCACCTCGAAAATGCAGAGCGCGAGTCTTCCAGCATAAAGATTGCTCAAAGAAGCTTCGCTTATCTCCAGTAGTAGCCTTTCCTAAATATGTCCTAGCTTTATGTTTCAAGAAACTTAAAAGTCACTCAGGATGAAGACCAGAAGCACAAGCTTAATCCAACTCGTCCATCAGGCCAACAATGTAACACCGTGGAAGATGAAGTCGAAATTTGAATTATGCAGCCCCTCCCAATCTGCAAGTTATAATCTCCGAAGTCACGAATGGGAACGCTCTGGAATTGGAATATCAGTGGGTTTTAGAGAAATGCTAGTACATACAGTACTAATATGCATGGCATAGTGTGGTTTTGACCTTTGCTTGAGACATACATTATTAGATCCACGTGTCAATCATGGTGTATACAGCAAAATTCACAGCTGTTCGCTTTAGTCCATGAGGTGAACTCATGATTTGTCCGTACAGCATGATTAAGGGGAATGGCGTATAGACTGTAAGCTTTTAATGTTAAAGTGTCTTTATTTTTCACCAGAGGTATTATTTACTGTAACTCAACTTCTGCTCTTCGTTCAACAACCATGGATTTCTGTTTTTAACTTTCTGGAACACTATATTTAGCTCAACTTCACGTCCCCTTATAGCAGTTTCAGTACCCTAGTAAAAGAAGACTACGTCTCTCTGTTTTTAAAATACTGTACTCCCTCTAAACTACGTATCCTCTTTTGTATCGCTCATCTGCTGTCTTCCAACTACCCTGGCTTGCTTCAATGATTTTATTATTCCTCTGGAGACTCTCACTGACTCACTTGTGGATTTTATACATTATTCTTGTAGGTTGCTCCCTCCAAAATGATCTATCTTACGATTAGCCTCCAGGTGGGTAACCCCCTTATCCCCTATTTCCATTCACTCACCATACGCCGTGAAGCAGATGTTGCCAGATAATACGAAAGTCCAACCAGAACATGTTATTGAGGATGTAAGTAGACCCCCTTAACGTCTCCTGCATTTAGTGCTCACTCAAGACCAGATAACCAACCGAGTTGGCAAAGAGTTACGGTTTCAACGATCACTGAAGTTTTTAGAAATTGTCGATGTACTGAGGCGAACCAAGAAAGGAGGATATATCAGGTCGTACACAGTACAGAAGGGTCAAGAGATCATGTCTTCCCTGCAACAGTGTTGTCCGCTCCAAGAGATCTATTATATCAAGATCGGTATCAAGGTGTGTCTGATGTCCGTGACCTGAGCCAGTAGCTGACAACACTTCTGGCAGGAATTGTATACGGATAATAACCGAGTGGACCCCATAACGTTGCAGAAGGAAGAGGCTGCAGATGTCAGTAGACCCCTAAAATGTCTAAAAGAAATGCTCACATCCTCCCAGTGCGCTATACGTCTGGGCGAAACGTTGGAGAAAGTCCGCACGCTGAAGAGGTCTCAGGTTGTCCAAGTGTTTGATGGCGCTGTAAAAGCAGGCTTTGTGCAATCATTTACAATGCCTCCAGTCCAAACAGTGGGCAAAAACGTCTTTTCACTGTCGTCAGGTGGCCATCTTGTCTAGTCCACTCCTTTTTCTCTCATCCGTGACCGGTCTAACCGTGTGATATTACTGTAGGAGATTATAGCCTACCCATGGATCCTGTACAAGGCATACCATCTCATTCTCCAACTGTTCACTTACCACTGAGCTATGCGAGTGGAATAGATACCCTTCACACGATTGCTGACACAGAGACAACAACAGTGTCTCCCTTCGAGATCCAAGTTGATACTTCCAATTACCCGAAACCGGTTACCAATGGTGCTAACTCTACACCCTCCGTTGCCCTTGGCTCCACAGGAAGGAGAAACCAAAGAAGTTCAAAAAGATGTCGGATTAAAAAATCAGACGACATGATAATACCGGCAGATAGCGTGATGCAGATGGGTGGCAGGTTTGAAGAAAAAAAAGAGGGCAGAATATTTAGAGATGACAAAGCTAATAACATGGTGGGGAGAAAGGGGGAACTCGATGGTGAAACACTTCGGAGGATTCTCTCAGCCGGATCTTACTTGATCAGCCAAGATTCTCCTGGGACGTTAAGACTGCTCTTGGATAGTTGGCTTACAAATGAGTCAAACGGCATACATGCTCTTGGTCCTTCTCCATGGAGGGGTGTTCAGGGAGCCGCAGATTATATGAAGACACTGGAGGACATCAAGTTCGCTCGGTCAGTTGGTGGACGTATCTCACGCCTGCTCTTTTTCCTGAACTATATGGAGCTTACGAAGCAAGAGCAAGAAGCCCACTTCCAAAAACACTTACCAGAGGTCAAGAGCATTGTAATTGGCCGGATTGCTGATGCGTACTATGGCAGTCCTGGCCAACGCACAACCTCGCAGCCGGACAATAAGGTCAAGCACGATAAGGTCAACGGTTATGTGCGTTGGGCCCGATGGTGGTGGAAACTTGCAGGGACGCTTGGTATTGGCGTTGTATTGGTTTGTGACCGCCAACTAATGTCGGCAATGTGGGCTTCTTTGATCCCCGATGATGTGATAGCCCTGATTAACCCCCTGTAGGACGTCTGGCAAGTTCACGAATTCCACGATTGATGCCTTTGTCACGTATGCCATCTATACGCGTCCAGGAACTGTTCGCTTACTGAAGTTATTGGAGCCAGCTGCCCGACAACTAATGTTTGGACACGTTTCGTCCGGTCTCATTGATGCCATTCGGAATGACGAATTTGGTCTTCTAGGACGGACTCAGCTCTCTAATACATATGCTGAAGATGGGAAAGCGTTAACCCGTAAGCAGGTGGATAGTAGCTGGCCGACAATCGATTCTGAGCAAGCGGCATTAGATAAAGTAACTGAAGTTTTGAAGTTGGTCCCCCACGATGAGGATAAATCTCTTCTGGATCTAAACAGTGATTGCACCACCTCCTTTGATAATCGTGGCTTTAACCTATCGTGATATAACCTTTCTGCTTACAGACGCATGTGTTTACGACTGCGCCAAGAAGTTTTCCTGTTCTTTGCTTTGTTTTCTAATTCCCTGTCTCTTGAGCTATTTGGCTCACCTATGAGCTTGTATTTGTTGTGAATTAGAGGAGATTGTCTTGCTGTACTGTAAAACTGAAGATTTATATACACATGATGAATATCGGATTATCCTACTAATCCGGTTCCATAGAGTAGTGATAGGGGTATCCCGCATATCGCCTTCAGGCGAGGGGTCGGGGTATGAATCAAAAAAAAAAAAAAAATCAGATTGTAGGGGCTGCAAGGTAGGTACATAGTTGTCATTGTTAATGACAAATTTAATAGGGCGAGTTGTGTGTCAACTAATAGTTTGTGGCAATGATTTGTTAGAACTGGTAACCGTGCACGCACCACCACCCTTCCGGGTGTTGGTGCTCCCGGCCTCAACGGTCCTCCCGTCTCAACGGCCCCTTTTTCTCTACTTTTTTACTCTACAAGAGGACCACCATGGCAGAGGCATATCAAGAAGTCGAAAAGCGCATTACCGAGGCCTGCGATTCTATTAAAGGCCAAAAAAAGCCGAATTTCGCGTGTTTAGCCCGTGATTTTAACGTGCCAGTACGTCGACTACGAGCTCGCTATAATGGTCGTCAATCTCGTTCGACTCGCCATCAAGCAACCAGAAGGCTTAGTGAGGCACAAGAGCTTGCAGTTATTTAGTGGATTCGGCGGCTTGATTCAATATTTATTTCACCCACTGCGAGTATGATTACAGACTGTGCGAACCAGATTTTAAAGCAAAACGCGACTGACGCGGAATCAACGCGGGTAGGTAAAAACTGGGTATATGATTTTATCGCGCGACTTTCAGACGATTTATTATATATAAAGCAAAAGCCGATCGATAAGAATCGCCTACAAGCAGAAGATCTTGGTGACATCGCGCATTGGTTCGATCTACTTAGCCATTTCCTTAAAAATATCGGTCCAAGCAATATTTATAACTTCGACGAGACCGGGCTACAAATCGGGCAAGCAAAACCACAAAAGGTTGTTACGGCAAATCGTGAGCGAGCTTCAAATATTGCAGGTGGTGGTATATCAGAGTCAGTTTCTGCAGTTGAATTTATTACAGCAACAGGCGAGAAATTCCCACCTTTTTTTATTGTAAAAGGCAAACAGTACCTCGAATCATGGTTCCCCGAGGAGCTACCAGATAACTACGTTATTTCAAAATCACCTAGTGGCTATATTACAGACGAGATTGCAGTCCAGTGGCTTGATTATTTTAATCAGTGAACAAAAAATCGCGTGGGTAGAGGTCAATATCGCCTACTTTTAATGGACGGTCACGGATCCTATCAAACCTATGAATTCCTAAATTATGTGAAGAAAAACATATTATTGTATTTCCATTCTTGCCTTATACAACACACTTTGCTCAGCCACTTGATAACAAGCCATTTCTCACATATAAACAGAAATTCAAGGTACTTAATAATTATATTATCCGATATGGTGGTGACACCTCAGATAAGCGAAGCTTTTTCCGCAACATCGCACAAGCTCGCGAAGACGCCTTTCAAGGATCTAAATTCGTGAATCATTTAAAAATTGCGGAATTTGGCCTTTTAATCCTGATCAAGTTCTTAAAAAACTTGAAGCAAAAGTCGACCCAATCCCTAATCTTAAGATCTATGGTGATAGCGAAAACAAGACTCCTCCACTAGAAGTATCAAGTCCACTCGATTCACCATCGCGAACACCTAGAAGCACACAGCGAAGTATTAACAAGATTTACAAGTATCTTGACTCTGAAAACAAAATCACACCAGGCTTTCAACGTCGGATTAAACGAGCGCTTACCCGAAGTATTGCAACCTCAAATCTCCTTCCTGTTCAACGTGAGCTTACAACAGCTATCGGCTATAAAGAACAACGTGAGCAGCCTAAAACAAGGCAACAGATCTCATCTACCGGTGCATTAGAATCTCGTCACGCAAAACGCAAAATTAAGGATAGGGCAGCTCAAGAAAGGCTTACTCAGGCACGTCGGGAGAAGAAACAAGCAGATAAACAGGCCGAGCAACAACTTAAAAACGAGGAGGAGCTTGCGAAAAAGAGATCAGGTGAAATACTACCTCCTGACAATCCTGTTGATTTACTTTTTTGGTATGATACGGTCGGGGATCCTGTATAATAGACCAAATAGTTTAAAAAGGACCGTTGAGACCGGGAGGACCGTTGAGGCCGGGAGCACCAACACCCGGAAGGGTGGTGGTGCGTGCACGGTTACTGGTCTAAACTTTATCAGACAGTAGCGTATCTCCAGTCATACGCTAATCCATTTGTGGTTTGTATGGAGATAATGTTTGCCGGAATTTTAATGATGTCGAAAGTAAGATGTCACATAATTACTGTAGTGTATCACTTGCAGTGGTGAAGCCCTGTAGACTTTATGATTCGTCGTGGGGTCGACCACAGAAGCCATACCCTACTATCAGGTTCATGGTAAGCAACTTAATCCATATCTTTACATGATCAAATCAGAAAATAAATCGTTCAGGCTAAGGGTCGAACCTGCACCGTCAAGAAAACGAGCCGGCGCCTCCATCTATGAGTCTCCACACTCCTTGCACGTATGCTGGTTATCACGCGTGATATGCTATGCTTATCATGGAATAGCGTTTCGGGTGCATCAACCTTCATAGACTTGTTGTGAACCGAGTTCAAGAGGGCTTTATCTACGGAACAAGTTCCGTATAAAATTGGATTAATAGGATATTTACCCGAATAATCCGATATTCATCATGTATATAAACCCTCAAGTTTACAAAAGGGAATAGTACTGTAACAACAATCAATCTTCCTCTGAACTCGACAGACTAGAATAGACCTGCACTCTTCTGAGAGCAGCTTCTATAATGTGATGGATTCAGGGAAAGATACACTTGTTTGCAAAACCTCTGTCGGTTGTCTTATACTCTTTTACTTGTTTCTCAACATATGTTAGGCCAGAACCGGTTAGGTTCCTTAAGTTTTACCAATCAATCATAATTTGCCAAGCCGGAATCATCTGAAGCGTAACCATATTTGGATACATTTAAGGTTCAGGAAAGCATGAAAGAGGATGAGATACCGGCATAGGTTTTGCAAACAACTGTAGCATTTGAAAGGAGACAAGGCGTAGGTTGAGCAATATCTTGCCTGAATAGTTACAGGAAAACGGGGAAGTCTCAGGGGGTTAAAAACCTCGCATGCTTGCCAAGGTGCCAGCTATATTGTACCAGCTATACGCCATATCTTCAACACTATTATATCCTGTTCAATAGGTCCAATAGTACTACAGATGTAACTGACTGCAGGAAAGCCATCAAGGCCCTTATCTTACTGCCACTTTCGTGATATTTGTCCCCAGAATAGAGAGCATAAGATAGCCACAGCAGTTGCGTTGGTGAGCAGGTAGTTAGTATTTAGATCAGACGAATTAAACCACTGTGCTTTGGATAGTGTAATATGTAGTGCTAGGCGACACCGGTTCTTTTTAACATTGTGGAAGCTACAGTATAAAAAAGAAAGAAAATCGCAAATCGTTGTTGTTGAGCAATTCATGGCCGAAGAAACCCAAGTAATTCATCCGAGCAAGACCATAGCAACAGTATATCGTGGCACTCGCATACTAAACATAGCTATTATCTACCCAACAGGGCAACGCCAAACTCGATTGCTAGACTGCTACTCAGGAGTAAAGTAATCTGGCCGTCGCCTCGGTCGACAGGACCTTCGAACCTGCCCCATCTCTCGCACCCCTGTCTCAATAATAGTTTCATCCAAGGCACCTACTATGTTGTTGTCGGTCAGAGTATCTGTCGAGGCAGACTCGGGATCAGGCAGTGAAGGATATAGTAGCGTTGACTGTGACGAAGCGCCTGGCACCTCTGCTGAAGGTTCAGAGCTCTCTAGGTAGATGGCATCAAATGGCCCCTTTCCATGGCTATATAAAATATTAGAAATTGAACCATGAAAACATTTAATAGTTAAACAGCAAGCACTCACCAGTATGCACACATGTGGTGCATAGATTGATGTCGCCCTGAAAGCCAATGTCGCACGCAGCCCAGGTGATAGTCATACGAACACCTGTCACAGGTAATAATAACTCTCTCTGTGGGGTTATCCACCATGCAGGTTGTACAGCTCACTTTGGAGATGCTTCGACTGCGGAAGCTACGTAGAATAATATAATCCGTCCGTCCATGGGAAGTCGGCACAGCGAGTGACGCAAGTCGAGATGGTGAGACCTTAAATGGAATCTGATTTTCTTCCAATGCTTCGATGCTCACCTCTTGAATTCGACCTGGGTGTGGGGCAGCGTATGGGGACTTTGAAATGGTTCGGTCTCCGTTGTAAGGTCAATAACCTCGGGCATGGCGGGAGTTCTTGGCCTTGGCGTACCGAACAAGGCTGTTCCTTCAAGTGGAGAGGAGTAAAGTGCCGAGTTGGAAATACTCAACATCCCTTGTTGTTAAGAACTCCAGATGCGATCTAACCACTTTTTGTTACCTGGATATGTTGAGCCTGATGCTATCTCTTGCAAAGGAGCAGACGCGCAATATTTAATAAGGAAGTATAGATATTGTTTGCATCAAAAGGGCCACTCCCCAGATGTTCTAGGGCATCCCAGGACATATTGCGACGATCTTGTGAGACACAGTTTTAACAAGGTTTCTTTTTATTTGTGGTGCCGATGCAGGTCCCGTGCTCGCGAGGGTCCTCGATACCACAGATAGCCAGTGGTTGCCATTGCTGAGCCATTGATTGGAGAGTAGGATTCTGAAGAGATATGATTAGAGGGTTGTATCCAGTACCAACAAGAGGATATGTGATAGTGAATAATAATAGATATTAGATCCTGAAGAGAAAAGAGCACTCTTATAGTTGTGTGTGGATACTAGCTAAGTAATGGTAAAGTTACAGTTATTTGTTTTCTCACTAAGAATTTAGTTCATGGAATTTGAATGCATATGGTATGTACAGTATACAGCGGGCTAAAATATTTAACGGCTGAATTCTACATGCCATTCCGGTCCGGCTTGCACTCAACCGTGCTCTTATGTGTCGGGGGACGTGATGGAAATTAATATAATCTACAGATGCCTCACTCAGCCCATTATAAAGGTATTGTACCTACTTGACTATACCAGAGCAAAGACAGTGTCAAGCAGCAATATAACTCGGCCCCTATCCTATATCAGCGGTACGGTACTGGTAATGACTCACATCACTTATACAAAGCCAACCCCAGGTTGTCAACCAACTCTTCCAAACCACCACTTCGATCGAGCCTAACCGTACCATCCTCTGGTTCCTGATTGCTTGTATTGTGGTATAGCTGCATTTCCAGACTTTTCCCCCTTTAACAGCTTCTTCTGCCCTCTAATCAGTTTTTGGTGCCGTTTAAAGGTGTAGGGTACTGTAGGGGAATTTTTTAAGGATGCCCTCAAACTATTTTTATATGGCCGTCTGCTGTAAATATCTCGAAATATCTATGTACACATTATACTGTAATGGGTCCCCAGCGATGGCCAGACACTTTGTGGTGCTGGGGACGAGTACTCAAGCAGTTTGCGGTGGTGCTGCTTGAGGAAACCAAGATCTGCCCAAAAGGAGATAAAAATGGTTGTGTGGGATAGTTGGACGCAAATCCCAACGCGTCCGTGAAAATTCTGACAAGCAGCCAACAACAAACAATTACGAATAGCCAAGATGCTGTGTTCCCAGCTTGCCTCGTTACAGAATAGATGGATGGATGGATTTCATTTACCCTGACCTCTCGCCAAAGCGATATACAGGCTACCTCAACTATATATATCTCTGTATGTACATTTAGAGTGCACGACTTCCTGAAAAACAAACTTAGAGCCTTGTCAAGGCCTGTCGTGGCCTAATTGCCGCTCCCATTGTTAGGCTGCCCTCTTGGCGCGCGACTTCGGAACCGTTATAACACCTCTGCGAAGTTCAAGACGGCCTTGACCGTCTGGGCTCGGCCTCGCTACAGTACAATCGATGAACTGAAGAAGTCTGCTGGTCTCTTGTCTATGCGGCGACTAGATTTGTTCTGTGGTCTATATTGTTGCCGATAGTCGAGTGAATTAAATTTTAACCGATGCGCTTTTGCCTCCACCCAACCGTACCAGCGACGATGAAGAATAGCTAAGGCTTGCCTAGTGGCCTTATCTTGCTGGATCAACTCAATGGTTACCTCGCAAGCCCCGAAATAGTGGGAGACTTCTAGACCTCCTCTGCCTCGGTTTACCGCGACATCTTCACTAGGGGCAACCCACCTCCAACATTACTCCCCGACTTCTGCTTCCTGCCTCGTGATGATAAGGCTATATTTACAATAGTTCCGACAAATAAGATACTTCGATGCTTGTTTCTCCATCTTTCCAACTGTCCGCCCGTGGTCCTAATGGTGCAACTGCAGTTAAAACCGCATAAATCCTTCCAATGTGGTCTCTGAGGGTTTGTATAATTGCTTATTCGCCTTTTAATGGTCTACAATGGTTAGAAAAGTAAAATGATATGGTGTGTGATGTGGTGTTATGCTTGATATCTTTAACTTAAGATAACGTGGAATAGTATCACCACCCTTACTAGGGTGGCTGCAATGGTTTCTTGGAAACATCTCTTTAAGTGACCCATGAATTTCATACGGTTTTTGTTCTTATTTTATGTTTTGTTTTTTGTTCTCTGCTTGTTCTGCTCGTTCCTGTTTCCTTATTAAGAAAGCTACCAAAACCGCAGTCCAGAGGGGCTGCAGAACGGAACCAGAGGCAAAGAGGCCACCACAGTCCCCTAAGACGAGGCTCTAAGTTCGTCCACATGAAATGGAATAATGTAACTACACAAACTCAAGGATTAGTTATAGTTAACGTGCATATCGCCTAAGGCGAGTGGTCAGCGTATAAATACAGGTGGAAAACCATTCATTGCGCGTTATTAATTCTTAAAGCCAAGATTCATGGATCCTACATTCTCGAGGAACAGATCTGTTGATTTACGCTGTAATGGGCCCAAGCGAAAAAAAAGAAAAAAAAGGAAAAGGAAAAGAGATTATCAAGCCTTTCTTAGAGATTCTCAGATGGATTGTCCCATTCGATCTGGGGTATGATTTCTCAGCTGCCAGATCTTCTATCTCGCCTGTGATGACCCAGAACACCTTGGTGAAATGGATGGATTATATCTAAGGTGGCGATCCAACGAAACATCAAACATAAAGAAGGAAGGAAGGAAGAATTCTATCGTACAGGAAATGTGGGAAAATCTCTACGTTGTTGGATCAACAGTGAATAAAGCAGTCGGTGACTCAGGCAGATTCGACCTAGGCCCTGACAAATGTCATCAACCCGAGTCTTGTGGAGCGAGAACACACGAAGCAGGTGTGGCTATTTGTAAAGGCGTATATCATGCAGTTCCTAGAGGTTATATCTCGCCGCAAATACATGTAGGTAGAAAACCATCTATTAATCTTATGGCTCCAAAGGCTTATGGTCGGCCGCGCCTAAGACCACCCCGTGCGCTGCAAAAGTAGTGCTGAACTACTAGCCTCGGTGGCTTGATCACTCCGATCCGGCTGACTTCCAGGGAAAACTCGTTGTAAAGCCCGTAATGTGGGGATGCTACCCGCAATGATACCCGCGGAAGCTTCAACATAAGACCAGATGATTATATTGCCGCCTGCGTCTGCACAAGCTGGAAATCAGCATAGGTTGGTGGAGTGTAATCTACGGGCAATTAGAGACTCACATAGAGGTTCAGAGCGGCTAGGCGCTTGGAGATACGGGATGCGAATGATCACAGCAAAGCTTGCACTGGGTTTCCCAAAGATATCAGCATGTTAAGATAAATTCACAACGCTTGGTAACGCACACACAAGCAATTCCAAAAAGACCTATCAAGCCATATTTGCAGGCTTTAGCCATTTGAAGGTTCCACACTATAAATACTGGTAGAAGTCCAATGGTAAAATCAGAGGTCGCAGCGACAGCGCTGTACGCATAAGTAACATTAATAATAATGGCGGCCTTAAGGCACATTTCATCCGCGGTTGTCGTGTTCCAGAAATGGGAAACTGGACGGCATTGGAAGGTAGTGAAGAAGAAAAAGACCAGCCCTGCCAAGATGGAGAATGCCATCACGAAGCACAGGAACATTCGATGGACCTGGTTGATGGTAATACGCCATACACAGATGCAAATTGAGGCCTTTGCTAACACGCAAGCGGTCACATAAAAGTCCTGACCGAGCCACCAAAACTGGTGTAATCTCGACTTGTTAGACCCACTGGTAGGTTGCTGATGACTGCATAAGTAGACACTTACCAACCTAGCAAGCCGGAGGTTAAGTTCTTGTGAAGTTAAATCGCCCATTTTCCTTCCTGTACCGCATATCGCGCCGCCGATAGTGGTCGTGGTAATGCGACGAGCATTATCTTTATATAATGGGTTTTAGCTAAGGCCGTAGACTGGCTTCATTTCTTATTGGCAGGTAACCGGTCTCACCTACCGTCGCTGCCACCATTAGGCCGTCGTCCCATCCAAACGATTTCACAATGCGCAGGCGCACATAGCACCTAAGGCAAACGATCACAATAGAGAACCCACAAAGTATGGAAGAAATAATAATAATTGTTAAACTCTTGTTTCTCACCATAGTGAAATGGACACTGGAAAGTGAGAACGAAGATAGTGAGAAATAACAGTTATCGGCTGTTTTGCGGATATTATACTGTAGGGTTAAGGAGAGACCAAAGCAATACCAGTAAACTAGTGGAATATGAAACTTGATCCTGTTGGACTTGGGTTCCGGTTTTGGACACTGCCTTCCACAGAATGTCGCGACTCTTATACAGGACTTGAATAACTGTTCCTTTTATAGAAACTTTCAAGTCACAGGGTCAAAGCTATACCTATAGAAATATTAATATAGAGTACTCTCCAGTACTCTCCTCCTAGTTCCATAGCAGCCCCACAGCGACGGAACTAAAATGAAACTGAAAAAAGAAATGAATGTACGCCATGGCACTGTACTGGGAAAAGAGCTCTTATCTCTGCAGAGGTCTCTTATAACATCTAGACTTTAAATCAGTCTCCACTCGGCCCGTTCTTCATTGGCAGGGCGACTAAGGTTTGAAGACAGTGCCACATGCTTATTTGGAATAGATACTGCCAACTCACGAACGCGGTCCATAGGAGGATAAAAAATCTAAGATAATCCAGCCTCTCTAATAGAATATTCTGATGATAATTAGATAAAAGGGAGTGAGCGGCCCGCGGTTCAAAAAACATTATGGTTAGTTTGATAAACAAATTATATACAAATGTTAATGGAAAGCACCTACTTTCTATCTACCTTGAATCCGTACGAATATGTTTCCCTCATACTACGGCAAGCTATTAATTAGGTCCTCTCCACAACATCGCATTTTTCAGTTTGTCCTTTTACCGCTGGAACGCGATACTCGGCCCACCCTTCCGGGCATGTGGAGGGGATGGAAGATGAGTTCTTCAAGCCACGCAACGCCACACTATCAGGGTAATCAACACAAGTACAAAACGGTCAGGACAAGGTGTGGCGACATGGCATGCGATGAAAAACGATCCCTAGAAAGCGCCACATCCCTTGTTCCATGCTCATCATTACAGTTACTGGTTGCCCTGGTGGACCAACACGCTGGGAAGGAGGAATAGAACGAGGCTGGACGAAATCAAGATCCGTGGTTGAGACAACTGCTTTTGCATGGTATGTTACATCATTGACTCATGTCGGGCCGAATAGCAGTAGAAGGAAAGAAAAACGAAAATTGAACTCTCGGCAACCATCTCATAATCTTTAAAATCCTCGGTTTCAAATTTTCTCAGTATCAAACAGATTGCAGCAGGAAACAGATGTCTTCGTTATTTAACAAGTGCCCAAATTGCAACAGAAAAACTTCCAGAAGTCTGTTTTGTTCTACAGCATGTCGCTCCTCCCTGTGTGCACAGCAACATACCTCTACAGAATTACCTACTTCATCGTCACCAGTCAACCAAACTCCTCCTACATTGCGATCATCTCATACGTTTTCCTTATGCAATCAGAATAGTATGGGACAGGAAATTTCTGGAATGGGAGAGCAGATGTACGACACAGAGAGGGAGCCACTTGCTGCTGAAAATGAGCTCAAAAAGTACGAAGATTATTTCGACAAGGACCGGGCTTGGCAACAATAAAACAAGTAAACTTCTCCTTAGCCAAGCGCCGTACATACTCCTCTTTATAATATGCAAGATCTCGTGTTGTATTAATTACTGCAGGTGGCGAAGAAGTGGCGGTTCTGGCTAATTATTATTTATATTAGAATATTGCTGTAGGTTAAGATATTATAATAGGTTACAAGGTTTTTTGTTATATTTCTTAGCATACTTCCGCGATTTCATCGCGTAGAGGTATTGCAATTTAATCACGAATTAACTTAGTAATCTAACAAATAAAATTAGTATTTATACTGGTTAGTAGTGTTACTATATTAATATTATTATCTCCGGCTTCCTTTATAGGATCGGAGGTTGGTAAAGGGCTGCCTTCTTGCTCTATAAAAGGGCCAGCAGTGGTTAAAGCTGGTGTTACTAATAAAGGATTCTGCAGTGCAGTTATTTTAGCCTTTTCTTTTAAAACTTTTAGAGGCATCGCAGTAATAATACTCTATTAAACTAGAAGACGGCAGATGGGCTGCCCAAAACGGCTGCAGTCGACCGTTTTTGGCCGTCAACCTGCTAGGCTTTCCGCCACTCCTCCGTGCACTTATGTCTACGCACCGCCAAGTACCGATGGTAGACGTACCTAAACCTTAGTTATCCGCAGCGCAGTAACATGGCAGGTCTTCGCAAGGATGACTTGTGTGAGCAGACACGAGACAGCATCCGCGAGAGTATGAGAAAATGTGGCGAAAGCCAGGATAGATAGGTCTGGGGCTAGATCGGTGTTAGGCCACCCTGCGCCAAAGGCTACGCCGAAGGAAGGCCGTGTTATCGAAAACAACAATTCAAATTAGCGATCCGCATTCCTTCCTGGGATCTATACTATTCGCCCCTGATCGCGATCTCGAGGTTCTCTGCTTAAGGCATTCTAGTCCTCATCCTCATCACCAGGCGGCGGATCATCCTCCAAATCCTCCCTGGTCCAGTAATACACCTCACGATCCCCTGCATTCCCAGCAGCCACGACATAGTCCGGACCAAGCTCACCCTCGTCGAAAACCTCCATTGGAGGAATTGCCTGAAACCGCTCTAGTGAAACTTGAGTTAATCTATCCTCATCAACAAGAATCCGGCCCTGCATCGTAACCCTCCCCCTTGCATCGAGATAAGCGAGCAAGAAGTGGTCGGTCTCAAAGGTCTCTTTATCCGCAATCAAGATGTAGCTCCTTGATACAAGATGTAAGAAACTCCGCGCGGCAGTATTCTCTTTAACGAGAATATTTAAGTCACTTCTCCACGATGGGTTCGACCGCTTGACCGCGTTCAACCGGTCTTTAAAACGAGAGTAGAACCGATTATCCACGCGCCAGTCTTTTCGGCGTACCCACTGGTCGTCTTGAAAAAGACGGGCAGCAATTTCTGGTATGATCTCGAGCACCTGTTGCCAGGGACCGGTTCCAAAATTAAAAACAGCGGGATTATCCAGAATCGCCCAATCCGCGTCATCTTCGAAGAACTCCGAGAGTGTTGCCCAACTCTTCACGCGCTCATCATCCTTAGGATTATACCACGTTCTTAGCAGAACTGGATTATTACCACTTGTATTAGTATAAGCCTCCCAAACGCGCCAGGCTCGTCGACGTATATCATCAGACCGCCAGGGGCGTAAGATTATAGATATTTCTTCTTCGGTCGGAACACGGACGGGTTGAGCGTCTGGGTTGGTACCACCACGTGTTGGGTCCCAGTCTGCGTTGAAGTGGTCAATGTTTAGAAATTGCTTGACTAGGCGCGCGCGCTGCGTGGATGGTTGTTCGGTAGAAGCGGGGTTCCAGGATTCCTGTGGTTTATATGTGAATAACAGGATTAGATTCTAGAAGGAGAGTCTTACAATTAGATATTGTTCGACGGGGAGCTGGCCCCATGAGGGGAGATAGTCGAGTGCCATGTTTTTGGAAAGAGATTGGGCAGAGAATTAGCAGATGTCTGGAGAACGCGGCTCACATTGACAGAATATTTGCCTCAGGCCACATAAGTTTATGTGGCCTGGGCATTTATATGTGGCCTGAAGAAACGCGATGTGGCCGAAACTCTATTTACTGTTCATGCCACAGCATCGTTCCCCACGAACGAGGCTAAATACATAACAGATGCTGACTAAGACAGTGCAGACCGGCATCCGGAGCAGAGGGATATCCCGATGTTCCAACAAGGATGCGCTTACACGGAGTTGAGGCGGCCGACCGGCGCCAAGACACGGAGTTGGAGCGGCCGTTCGAAGCCCTAACTGACGTTTTGGGACACCTATATAATTAGATAGAAGTAGCAACGCCCTCGTGGAGGATTCTTCCATTTGTATTTTTATATTTTCATTTTTTAACCATTCTGCTATAGCTTCTTTTTTACTGCCTTCATCATATGCCGGTCATGGATGTAGATCCAGAAAAACAAGGCAGCAATGGCAACGTTGCCAGCACCGACTCCAGCGAGAATGTCGTCCCCAAAGAGACATCGCCTCGTCCGATTCATGGATGGAAGGTACAGCTTGGCTGGCGACGAGTACGAGAGTGATAGCTAATTTTACTGTAGTGGGCCATTGCGTATGCCTCAATGATCTCGACTACCTTTCTCTTCGCGTTGGACAATACTATCGTTGGTCCCCATATCCCCCATCCCAGCTCCTTATGTTGAAATGCCCCAATGATAAACAGCTAACCTATACTCACGCAGGTCGCCGACATCCGACCTGTGATTCTCGACTTATTCGGTGAGGTGTCGCTTCTTCCATGGATCGGCGTCGGGTTTGCGCTCGGCACCATGTGCGTCCTGCCATGGGGCAAGGTGTACGGAGTCTTCAACGTCAAATATGTCTATCTATTCAATATAGCACTGTTTGAAATTGGAAGCGCGGTGTGTGGCGCCGCTCCGAATATGACTGCCCTTGTGGTTGGCCGTGTCATCGCCGGGGTGGGCGGATCTGGGATGTACTCGGGGACCCTGAGCTTTGTGGCCATGTTGACCTCGCTGAAAGAGCGACCAATCTATATGGCTGGCAGCACCGTCATCTGGGGAATCGGAAGTGTTCTTGGCCCAGTGGTACGTTTTTCCATCATTGAACTCCATTTGCAGCGTGATTGACAACGGCGATCGAAAATATAGGTCGGCGGTGCGTTTGCAGATAGTTCTGCGACCTGGCGATGGGTAAGTTACCATCATTTTCGATATAAAATAGTGCATTTTGACTCATGTCTATCTTTCCAGGCATTTTACATCAATCTCCCGATCGGAGCTGTCTTCGCCCCATCCTATCTCTTCCTGATCCCCAGCGTGGACCCAAAGCCGGGCAAAACTTTGGCAGAAAAGTGTCGCATGGTGGACTGGATCATGACGACTACGTTCCTTGCTGGATCTGCCTGCCTGGTTATGGCTATCACGTTTGGTGGCACGCTGTATGCATGGAGCTCCGGCAACGAGATTGCGCTCTGGGTTGTAGCCGGGGTCCTTCTACTCGTCTGTATTGTCGTGGCAAAATTCCATCCAGGTGTTGATAAGGGCAACCGGCTCTATCCAGCGCATTTTCTCAAACGGCCTATCTTGATCAACCTTCAGGTGCAGATGTTCCTGGTGTCCGGTATTGTGCTGGTCTGTACTACCCTACCACAATTAAGAGAGAGCTGCTTGATACTAACTGGACATAGGCTATGACTTATTATATTCAGTTGTTCTTCCAGTTTATCCGGGTTTGTGGCTTCCTTTCTTGAAAGTGTCTCCTTGGTGCGAAACTGACTGATCGGTTGCTCGCCGGTAGGGAGATGGCCCCTTGGATGCAGGCGTTCGGCTCCTCCCTTTCATCATCTCCATGGTCGTCTTCGCCCTGGCCAACGGAGCATTCATGCCGAAACTGCCATATATCCTTCCATGGCATCTTATTGGCAGTGCACTTGTGGTTGTCGGGACAGCATTAATGTGTCAGTGTCCTCCATCATGCCAAGGGGAAAACAGCTGATAAAGAGGGAAACGCAGATACCGCGGACCTCACCACGTTCAACGCTAGAATCTATGGATACTGTATCCTAGTCGGTGCTGGATCAGGCTGCTATGTGGTCGCCGGGTTCCCCATTGTACAGTCTCTTGTTGCACTAAAGGATATACCGAATGCCGTGGGTGCAATGGCTATTTGTAACAAGCCCCGAGTTCGTCTATTTTAGAATCTATGCTAACACTCTGTTCTATATTTGTAGCTCAAGATCTCGGTATGGTCATCTTCCTTGCTATGGCAGGTTCGATCTATCAGAATCTCGCCTTGCAAAAAGTGACCCAGGCAATGCCGGCACTAAGTGCAGCTGATATCACCAATCTCGTCGCCGGTACTAGTAGCCGGACGTATAAAGCACTGTCGGAATCGGAGCGAGCTTTGGTGACGCCGCAGATTACGGAGGCGATGAGCAACGTATGGTTGTTCTTGGTAGCTGGGACATTGAGCTTCGTCCTGACTCCTGCTTTATGGGTAAGTAACGAAGCCTTTAGGAAAACACATAGACTAACTTGTGGATTGTGCAGAAAACCAGAATGAACGGAGCAAACGCTGTTACTAAAGGGGCATGAAACTTGTCACTGACCAGAAGAGACAATGTGCATTTTGAACCACTTTAATTAGCCACACATTAATCGATTATCCATAGGCGGGCCAAACGAGAAAGCAATGAATATCAATTTGGAAAGACATTATGCGTCATTGAGCAACAGCTTAGCAAACATAGATACGATGTAACTCTTGCACTTTGTGCTACCCTTTCATAGGTTTTCATGCCTGGAATATGTGGAAAGTCAACAGGCGCTACTGATAGCCTACACACGAACGAACAGAATACAGATACTGTGCGGCAGCTGAAACTGTAATTCTCTATCTATGCCAATGTCTCATGACTCATCCATTTACTAGCGAGTCTGGACCTCCACCGTTAAGCCTGCCCGGTATAAGGGTGATGTTTATAACCTCTTTCCATACGTGGAAATCGTCTCCTTGTTTGCCTTTATGCGGTAGACTTGCCAGCAAATACTCGCTCTCCGACGGCATATTTGGCTGCCATGTCGTGCCATGCTATCTCTCTCGGCTTTGACCAAGTGCGAAGCCTACATCTGGCCAGCAGGTGGTCATCTACGGGTGAAAAACGCCTAACAGTTGCTCTTGTGATAGAGGCCATTGAGAATTGAAAATCATGATGCGTGGTCCGTTCTGTTCGCCCGCACGCTATCGGTGAATTGGCCGTATGAAGCTGCCGGCTATCTTCTGTGGACAGGGAATAATAGGCATCTGGCCATCAATCCTGTCTTTGAGAGACACTTGATGAGTCTGAACAACTGGACTTTGGGCCGAGAGTTTGCTGTGGCCTATCCAAGCCTGGCTGACGCAGCCAAAGTTCGAGACAGTCCTTGATACTTCAGTCCCTTGTCTCACTGAATGTCTTCATGACGGAAAGTGACCCTTGCACATTTTGTGAGTTATAAAATATTGATCCTTGCCAACTGAGTAAAAGCTCCCAAAAGAGCCTAGGGGCGACAAGCATGCTTGTGTCACGTTGTTGTCTTTGTCCTATTACCCTCCCGAGCTGACTGGGGATTGCGGCTCTCACCACTACCTTTGCTGTCTAGCATCTACTCATCCTATATAAGCTTCATATAAATAGAGGACCCACAACACGTCGACAACTCGGATGAGACGAGTAGGACCGACGCAAGTTCGGACCACTCAAGCCGTGTATATTGACAAAGCATAGCAGATCCAGGGACTCAAGTTGGACATGCGCGAAATAGAGCAAGAGATGGAATCTGCGAAGTCTCCAGTCACTCAGCTGGGTTACGATCATGAACAGTGTGAGAAAGAAAGAGTACGTTTTATTGCATGTATCCGATAACATGTTTCGGCTATCGCTGTGCAGGCCGGACTCGAGAGGGAAAGACCGAAAAGAAGACAGTTCCTACAAAGCATAGAGCAAGCTGGCCGACTTTGAGAGCTAACTATCTGATCACGGACATGGTATCAAGCGAGATCAGGGGTATGTGGGAACCGAAATGGTCAAAACCATTAGCGATGCGTTCATCGATTCCCTCCTCCGCATCGGATGCGCCGGGCAGGTCTCCTTGGACAAGATGGACGACGAACCGGGTCCAGATGAGCAATCCAGCGGCAGTCACTTCAACCAATAGTCGACACAAATCTATGTCAAGCTCTGCGAGCACCAGAGACTTTTCGCTACTAAATTCGCACCGACCCTCTGGGGGCGAGCAGGCCGTCAGCACAATTTTCTACCTCATGGCGCTTCGGTCGCTCTCTGCGTCACCGTTCTGCGTTCGTCGACGAAATCAACCGTACCCTATCTATACTACGCCTATGGCGTGGAAAATTCTATCAACGTGTTACATCGAAGAACGCCATACTAGTACTTGGTTTAACCTATCCTGGCCCGCCCTCTATTGCAAGTCCTCCATTGCAATGCCATTGTACCGGATGTCCAACCAATCTCCGGCGCTGGGACCCTGGCGACATTTAGAAATCTAACAAGAGCTGCCAAGGATGCGTACAATAAGGGGGGTGCGTAGACTGTAACTCATGAGATGCGTCCAGGAAGATACTTATATATCCCATGTTGGTTGGACAATTAATCAACCTTTGGGCCATTTCGACCACGGACTTTTAGCCTCTCGCATTCTAAAAAATTGCGAAGCTCCTAGGTTATAAAGGAAATGAGATAAGAAACAAGGTGACCCGGTAATCTCGCCAGAGAATACGAGAGCCAATACTCCCTACAGGCTTTTTAAAACATATTCGAAAATCTCATCTGGCTTGGGAACAGCGGCTTTCCCATTCTGGATGTCTGTACCCAGACGGACAAGCACATCAAAGAGCTTCCGTGGCTCCAATTCTCTTCTAGTTGTGCTCTGCAACCGGCCGATGAACCTATTGAGCTCATCTCCAAAGACTTTCTGCTCTGCGCCACCTAGGACATATCGAATCTCTGGTACATTTGATATGGATGCAGCGTAGCACTGGATTATCGCTTTAACCTGTCGATTTCCCCCCCAAAGGCGCCGCAGCCCGAAAGTCCAATAGTGACAAAGGAGTAGGGTTTCCGGATATTCCTGTAACAATGTGAGCAGAACGCGGTGTAGGCCTTCATCAATTCCCGATCTAGATAGCCTGGCATAAGGTCCGGAATGTTCTCTCCACCGTGGATGAGTGCGGTCAACAAGGTCCAATTCCAGGGCGTTCATGAATAGCATGACCCGGTTGCGCCAGTCAGCTGACGATGGCCTTGGCCTGCCATGCAATATTTCGTCCAAGGAGGCCCATCTGCCATGTCCTTTAGTAGTAACGATTGCTTCGGCACCCTGGCAGATGAGGACCTGGCGGTCCTTCAGAGGGGGCGCTAGCAGTGTCACTGGGTACGCCTCGGGGGAAATAACCACATGAAGCTCCTCTTGAGGGGTATAAAATTCCACTGTCTAGTTCGGAGGCCACTATGGCTTCGAAATATGTGAATAGTGCGGTTAGATACGCCTGCACAGCACCCTGGTGCATTACCCCTGCAACTGAGTACCAAGGCGACAGATTGACGAAGGACTCTGTCTGCCATGGATGGGGCGGCAGGGAGCACAAGAATTGGTGTACGAACAAACATACGGCCTGCCTTCTGCTTAAAATAAGAAAAGCGAGGGGATGGGCCAGATTATTTTTATAGACTTTATAAGCTGCACAAATATTAGCTCCGTGCTTAAGCCTCCAAGTTTATATGCAATATCCATGAATCCTTTCGCCACATCGTCGAAAGCCTCAAGGAACACACAAAAAGATGCGACAAAATTAAGCACAGGCGTGCTATCTCCGACCTTTATTTCTCCCAACCACTTAACAGCATCTTGCACGTCCCGTAAGTCCTTCCTGTCTCGATCGACCTACTAATGCATATGACAGACCTCCATATCTATTACCCACCACTCCCTCAGATCACCACGGCGTGATTACCACAGGGTGGCACCCAAATAGGAAGTGCTAATTGTTTCTGGTTTTTCGGCACATCCGCAAATTTCATCTACTATATGTCCAATCCTGCGCAAGTACTGGTTTAACTGAATACCATTGTCCGGACCTGTGCTAGAGTAGAATGCTTGTATCCTGCATAGCCGGTCATACAAGATCTTAGTATGCCTTCCGGGAGAGCTGCATCAATCGCCTATGTATATTTACCAAAAGGATCTTGTAAAACCGGATTGTTTCTTGCCAGTTTTGTTTTTTCTCGCATATTACCCCACGTTGCGGATCCTGCGCACCGACTTGGCCAGATGGGCGGATCTGGCTGACAGCCCTCCTGAGTTGGGTGCTGACTTGCTGTCTTGGCTTTTGGAGTCGTAGGTTCTCTCTGTCATTTATTGTCCATCCATTTGCTGGCTGAATTTTGTCTTGAGGGTCGATCACGTAAACTGTAGAGCTTCGTATCGGAATAAATTTCGTACAGGAATCAGATTGATTGGAAATCAATATAATGTTCATCTTGAATATTAACTATCAACTTTACTGAACAGAACAATAGCGATCAATCTTTCTCTGAAATACAACACTAGCTATTGACCAAACATGCTCAATAGGCCTTGCCATTTGCACTTGAGCAATCTTCGTGGACTATTCGTTATCGTTATCAGGCCGTAGCACCGAGCTATTAAGAACTTCGTCATTATCGGGAGTTAGGGATTTTAGTCTCCAGGCTTGTACTAGCACTACCCAACTCATCTAACCTGTTGCAGAGCTCGTGACGAAGTCCCAGGCGAACAATCGGCCAGATTGAGGATTAGGTTACCACCCAACAGAGCTCTCCCCAACAACATCAAGGATTGTGAAGGAACTGGGTCTTCCAAGGGCGAAATGTAAGGATGTACTAAATAGCATCATCAAAGGAGCAAATGGCCGAAGAACAAGCCGATATGTCCTATTTTACATCCTCTGTATTTATGGTGATAACTCCTAGGATCTTTCCTTCATAAGATTCCACCTTAACACGAGGGACAGTCCAGCCTCCACTATCCCGCGCATATTCCATCAATGCATCCTTGAGCATGATAACAATGTCACCATGTTCTATCTCCAGCTGGTTAGACAGTCGATGTGGCTGGCAGGACATCAAAGGAAATATGACGAAAACAACTTCCTTTAACTGTTTCATACCGCAAAGGCTCCTCATAGTATACGAGCAAAAGCTCTTATAATCTCTGACATCGATGCTGAGCCAGCAAAGGGTCGCCTGCTCCGTTTCATCTAAATATGCGAGTAGACTTTCGTCCAGGCGCACTATGTCGTACTCTGGGGATAAGTATATGCACCGATGCGGCGCGTATTCAGTTCGAAACAACGGTAAGTACAGGCGCTTGGCAACGTTTCGGGCTTCATGGTTGACCTGCAATTGGGCTGGGTTGATTAGGCTGGCGCGAAAGCAGTGCACGTAGCGTTTCCCGGAATTCGGATGGACGTGTCGATCACATGAGACATAGATAACTCGATCGTCCAAGACAGAAAGGTGCCATATGTTCAGGCGGATCTCGGTCGGCAGCGATGAAAAGAGGGTAAAAATAGAAGGCATTTTTAAGATGGCACGAAAGTGCTCCAAAATTATAAAAGAGTGTTTAGAAGTGCAAATCGAGAATAAGCCCGTCAGCCTATGTCAGATCTGATTTAGCGCGTTTATGCAGCTAATTGTCCCACTCACTAACATAATCGGTAAGCGAGGGACAGTCAAACATTTCCTCTTCTACTGTCTGAAATTTTGTCATCTACAGCTCATCTACGGTGGGAGATAAGAGAAGTGTTGAGACTGAGATACGGAGATATTCTTAGGAGGAAGACCCAGTGATGTTTTACCAATCAGTCAACCAGTCGATAAAACAGGGTCATGGAAGCATATCCTGACACTTTGTACGTAGGCTCCTACTTGATGCTGGGGATCCGTCGTCTCACTACCGTTGATATACCTTTGGTCTGTAGACGCGTATCGAGACTGGTTTATTCGCCAGTTAAAGGCACTTTTAACGTCGAAGCGATTAGCGAGACCACCTTCGACCGCAACCTTGCCCGTTCAATTGCATTTGTTAGAACGAGCAGTGCTTGCTCTGTGTTGCGTCCTGGGCGGCCGCCGAACAGTGTGTTTGGGAGGAGTTTGCGCGTTTCGGCCCAGTATGACAGGCGTCTTACCATATTGGCCTCCAGCAGTTTCCCTAAGGTGTTCAAGAGGGAGATCCGTCGGTACGCGCCAGGCACCGCGTAATCGGATTTGCCTAGTTTAAGAGGCACCAGACCTGGCCGGAATGGGTGGGACCGGAGCGACAGCAAGAAGAATCTCGCTTGCACTTGGCTGCCCAGTCTTGGTGCGTGACAGGGTCTTTCATAGTTTTGGAGACTTGCTTCGAATATTGAACTATGTCAATTTGTGGATGATGTACTGCATTAATAGGTAGGAGTGATACAACTCCACAGGGTCAAATCTAGTATAGAAAGGTACATAATACAATAAGTAGGATACGAAATAAATCTAAAATATTAGGACTATCAATAATCACCACTTCTAGAAACATCTCTAATAAGCTAAAGAAGCTCCTAGCCAGTCTTAAACTTGGCTGGTCCCGCCCACCGTCTCATTTTCTTTCCACAGACTTGCAACAACAAGATAATCAGGAACGCGAAGACAACAATTCCAGTCATGGTGCCAAACTGGCGTATCGCTCCCAGCTTATTCGCCCACTCCACCATGAAGTAGCTGACGATGAAGCCCCCCGTGGTGCGTCCAAAGTTAATCCAGGCGGCAACTTCGCCGCTTGCCTCGGGATAACTGTCCAGGACATAGGCATTAATCGCCACTGTCATAATCATGATGCCAAAGACGTAGAGCCCCCAGCCCAGCGCTGCCAGCATATAGTGGTAAGCGCCCTCGAGAGCAAAACCCAGTAAAATGAGCCCGGCGATCATGAATGGTGTAGCCACCCAGATGGCTAGAAGACGTGCCTCGGGCTCCAGGCGGCCTTGGTTGCGGCGCGCCGCCATAGAGGCCAGCATATCGTGCAGCCAGTGGCCAGCGAGTTCTCCGAGAAGGGCGGCTACAACAGGAGTGAAGTAGAAGAACCCTAGATACAACGTTGGATATCAGAGAAATATCGGAGTCGATATCTTGACAAGAGAATTGGACTAACCGATCTGCTTCGGGCCAAACCCATACAACGGACCCAGAAAAATGGACAGGGTCGTATTAATCCCAACGACCCAGGCGAAGGTCAGAAGGTAGTATACCGTAGAGAGGAATACAACAGGTTTTAGAATAATAGTTATCGGACGCATAATCGCGTCTTTGGGGCTATTCTTAATATATCCGGTCCTCCACTGCTGAACGCCCAGCATACGCAGAAACCGGGAGCCGCTAAGAATAGGTGGAATCTTTGCCTGGCCGTCGGATACCATGTCCGGCTGTGCCGTCTTCCGGTCGTAGTAGGTCTCATCGACAAAAATGATGATCGCCATGAGACACAGGCCGGTTTCGATGCTGTAGACCCCAAAGGCCCATTGCCATATCTGGGTGTTGATAATAAAGGCGGCAAATAACGGCCCCAGATAGGGTGAGAGCACGATAAAGCCGGACCAGATGTTAATTTTACGTGCTTGTTCATGGAAGAAAAACATGTCCTTAATAAACATGAGGCCACCCTGCACTTGCGTTAGCAGAGGTCGTCGAGAATATACGGAGAGTAACTGACTCCCTGCGTAACGGTGGAGAAGAAGCCGTTTAGAATCCGGGCCGCCTATACCGTTAGTATCCATGTATATATGTATATATATATATATATTTCATTTCGAACGCCACATACCATAAACGACTCAAACGATTGGGCACCCGCACACCAGATGGCTGTCACCAGGGCCAGCAGCGCAAACCAGAAAAGCACCGGATAGCGACCAAAATACGCAGCCAGGGCGACGACAAAGGGCCCACCTGCCCCCAGCATAAACACATTACCGACCTGAGAGTGGTTGACATGGTCCTGGGTCATGTTCCATTCCCTGTTGCCATCGGTCAAGGGTTGGTTGTAGACAATTCGGGGATGGTCCAACTTACGTAGCCTGTGGAATGAGAGTCACCGCTCCCGTGGCGCTTCCATAGTCGGGTAAGAAGGCCGTGACCGAGATAATAATAAGGATCAAGTGTTTGCGGAACGAGGGCCAGTTGAGAGGATCATTGGGGGAGTCGCTGGGTTGTGGAATGAGCACGATGCGGCCATCATCGGTGGTGCGCAGGTCGCGATTCTGGGCCACTGCTGTGTCCAGAGTGTAGCCATCGCGCTCGCCGATTTCCTCCAAATCCACCGCGGGCTGACCCTTTTCGGGGTCCGTTGTCGAGTCGGGGGAGGGAGCGATATTCATGATGATAAGATCCTAGGTAGACAGTGAGAAGTCTGAGGAGAGAAAAAAAAAAAAAGGAAGAAGAGGAAGAGTGGGAAAGAGAAAGAGAGATGAAACACATATTGTGAAAACGCTCAAGAGTGGTTGTAAATTGTCGGTATATCTTGGCGCATATAGCCCGCCATGAGGGGATTCTCGCGACACTAGCATGTGGCCGCTTCGGGGCATGGTTACAAACGTGCCATTGTATGGTTGCAGGGGTTGTCTATTTTGGTGGGCTCAATGAGAGACATCTGGACTGGATTTCCTCGAAAAAAAGAAATCACCGGATTAACCACAGTTCGCCGACGGTGACTGGGATTGTTGCAGCGACAGGGATTGAAAGGAGCAAGATGCAGATGGCGCACCAGGCAGACATTTTGATTTGATATCGGCTGCAGGGCTACCCACCGCTATGACCTGGTCGTGGAGACTGTGCGAAATACACTGGATCGACTATTAAGTGGATTCATAACGGCCGGGGAAACGCCTCTGGCTCGAAGGGATCTGGTGTTTAGTGCGAGACCGGGCCAAATAGTGGATGCATAGTGGCGGTTAGCGAATGTAACGGATCAGGGGATAAAATATATCGCATTTTTTTTATTGGTTGCTTGGCTACGAGTATTAATAATTGTTGACTAGACGTTATAGGCTATCCTACATTGATTGGCTTTTGCAGCAAATAATGGAACCCTAATAACTGATCTATGCATGTAGCCTGCACCTCATCTGGGCCGGTCGGTTTCATCCAAGTCCACCCCCTGGACATGGATCTCGGTTGTCTTGACAATTCCTTGACCGGGAGGAGGGAGTGGACCTGGATCGCCCGGAATAAACCGATCCTCACTGCTACCATCGCCGGTCTCGTGCTCGGTGGTGGCTCGCTTCGTCGCGCCTGGATAATTGTCCAACATGTAGGACACCTCTTTATTGCGACTCCCGAACTGCGCGTAACCGTGGTTGCGCATGTATTGCCGGCTCGAATATCCCTTCTGACTGGAGCCGGCGTTGCGATGGGTCGAGCGGCGGGCGACGGTGATGTTAAATAAAGGAGTGATGGCGGGGATACAGGCGGCGATGATGATGAGGTACTGCTCGATGGCTATCCATATGGTTAGATCGACCGTGTTCCAGGAGTAGTCGTTGCGTTTCGACAGGGAGGCGAGGTTGATGCTCTTGATGATGGCGGCAATCATGGCACTGGAGATGTCAGACTCCATATTCAAGACTGTTTGTGAACATTATAGGACGCACACGACCCCCAGAGACAATAGAAAGCCCAGGCCGACTTTCACCTTGCGGGCCATCTGTAAACCGTAGATTGTGGTGAGGGGATAGATGGCCAGGACGAGATCGGAGACGGCCGAGAAGGCTGACGGTCAGCGCGTTTCCCATTACCAGGAGAAATGTATGCAATACAGCCTTGAAAAAATGCGTAGTTCCTCTGCACCGTTGGGTCCCAACAGGACCCTTCCTCCAAGGTTGGATTCCATAACCGCGCCGTTGGCGTACACTGTCCGTAGATGGTATATACGCAGACAGTATTGACGATGGTCAGCAGCAACATGCCCGCCACCATGGCAGGTTTGTGGTGTTTTACCTTGCGGATGATGCGCAGAAGAAACATTGCGACCGACACCTTTCCCCAGTTCGTGGACATGACGTGGAATCCCTGAGACAGCCAGTTGTACTTGGTCGCCATGAGGCGCTGATGGTCGGCCAGGTCTACCATATGTCGACCGGTGCCGTAGTGGGCGCTGACGGTGGCCAGGGAACTGTTCATGGCGGCGCAGATCTATAAGATTCATAGTTGGTCAGTTCATTTTGTATCTTTTCTCTCTGTTATGCAATATATATCAGTGATGATAGTACCATGGCCAATACGAGAAAGGCATCATCCCACCCCAGGGACCGGATAATGCGTGCTCGAGCATACAAGCGCAGGACACAGAGAATCAAAGAAACCCCAAAGAACGGCCATGAAACGGCATCGATGACCCAGCTGCGATTAGCACCCTCCAGATTAGACCGTGGGAGGGCCATGGCCGGCATGATGCGCACGAAGAGAAGTCCAGTGGGAAGTATGATAATCGTAACAATTCCTATCCATAGTGTGGATGGAGGACAAAGGAATGATACATCGTTCGGACCAGACAAGTGGCATGGTTCGGCGCCCAGGATGGGAATCCTGGACTGGGTTCGCCGAGAGTCCATGCAACGTTATCACTTTATTTGGATATTATTTATTAATATCGACCAGGCTAACTATCATTATTATATGCCCTACGGAGTGGACATCTCCACCGCGGAAATACACGGTTGCTTAACTGACCCGCTGCGAACCACTAATAGAGAGAATCGAGCGGCACACCGCAGGGATCATTCGGTGGGCATTTCATTCCGACCTAGATTTAATTCCACGAGGAATATTCGTTGCCTCCTTTTAATCCCTTCCATCCATTTTGCTTTCTTCATGACTCTGATCACCCAGCACGCAGCGTCCCATCGGGGTCTGCGCGTTTTGCGCTCCTTTGTGCCTCCCCTTCCCCGACATTCGCCTCCATTTCCCTCTAAGGATCCCCCTCCAAACGATGGCATCGAGAGACGCGAAGTTGTCGTAGTCGGTGTATGTTCCTCCTTCTACGCTCGCGTGCCTATATATATATATATATATATACATAAGGTATACTGAGAATTAAATCACCAGGCCGGCCCAGCAGGCCTTATGCTCACCGCCCTCTTGTCTCGATATGGCCTCTCCGACGACTCGCTACTCTGTATTGACCAGAAGCCCGGTATCCTCCAATCCGGCCAGGCGGATGGAATCCAACCGCGCACCCTGGAAGTCTTCAAGACGCTGGGCCTGGCCGACGAGATCCTTACCGATGGCTGCAAGATGTACGAAGTCGCGTTCTGGAACCCCGTGGAGGACGACGGGACGGCCCGCGCCCCTGGGAAATCCATCGAACGCACGTCGATCAGCTCGGATATCACGGTGGCGACGCGCTTCCCGTTCGAGGTGACCATACATCAAGGCCGGGTCGAGCGCATCCTGGAGGACGACTTGTCGCGGTACTCCCCGCGAGGCGTCCAATGGTCGACGGCCCTGGTGGATGTGCACATCGACGAGGAGGGAGACGCCGAATTCCCGGTCGTCGCCTGTCTGTCGGCTAATGGGGAGCGACGGACAGTCCGAGCAAAGCACCTGGTGGGCGCAGACGGAGCACACTCGGTGGTGCGCCAGGCGATGCGCGTTCCTCTGCAGGGTGAATCCACCGATCACATCTGGGGAGTGGCCGATTTTGTCGCCGAGACGAATTTCCCGGATATTAGGCGGCGCACGGCGATCCACTCGCGCGCTGGGTCCGTCATGGTCATCCCGCGGGAGCGCATCGCTACGGGAGAGTATCTGACGCGTCTGTATGTGCAAGTTCCCGGTGCCGTGACGGAGGATTCACGCGAGCGGCGCGCGCAGGTGACGCTTAAAGGCATCCTGCAGCAGGCGCAGGAGGCCATGTTCCCATACTACGTGCGTCCACGCGATGGATCCGTGGACTGGTGGGCAGCGTATCAGATTGGACAGCGCGTGGCCACGACCTTTGACGTTCGCGACTCGACAGGGGTTCCGCGTATCTTGATTGCGGGGGATGGTGAGTGACAATTATTCCCTTGGTACTACACTATCCATGATCGAAAAAAGAAAGAAAAGGAAATACTGACTGCTTGGAGCGTGTCATACCCACAGCCCAAAGGTAAGCAGAGCACAATCTCATGTCAGAGTTACTATATTTACAAGGATGACCCGACAAGGCCGGCCAAGGCATGAATGTGTCCATGATGGATTCGTACAACCTCGCCTGGAAACTGGCTCTCTCTGTGCAAGGCCTCGCCGCTGATGGTGCGCAACTCCTGCGCAGCTACCACGAGGAGCGATACACCGTGGCACAGGAGCTCATCGAATTTGACCGTACCTTCTCGTCCATGTTCTCGGGCAAAATTGGCGAGTCAAACGGCGGTGAGACATTGTCGCATGACCAGTTTCTGGAAGTCTTCAATCGGGGGAATGGCTTCACCAGCGGATGCGGCATCGAATATGGCCCAAGCACTGTTGTCGACCAGGAGGATGCGGGCCTCTTGTGTGAACCGATGGATTATCTGGGGGGCATGCTGAGACCCGGACGACGACTATTGAATGTCACCGTAAAGCGACACGCGGACGGATCACCCAGGGACCTGCAAGATGGTAGGTTGACTCCCTTCCGGCTGTCAAATGAGGCGTTTCCTGACCAAACAGACTTATTCTCGGGCCGATTTCACCTTCTAATCTTTGCATCCACCGATCTCCTCTCACCAGTGGGTCTCTCGGCGTCGATAATCAACGCCATGTATCACCGCGTGCTTCCTAGTTTCTCCCCGGGGCTGATTGAGCTGACCGTCCTTCATCCGCGGTTATCTCGACCCTTTGACTGGGAGGATGTGCCGGGGGCCATCAAGCAAGGAGCGGAAATGCGCTTCTATAATGGTGTCGACCAGCAGGATGCGTATGCCATATACGGTGTTCCCCAGGATAGGGGTATTCTCGCCATCGTCCGACCCGATGGTTGCGTAGGAGTATTGGCAAAATTGGAGGATCCGGATCGAGTAGCTTCATACTTACGGGGCTGTTTGCGTATGGTAAAGGCTGAATGAATGCATACTTGGGAAACATAACGATTGGCCTTACATAAATAGTTGACGTAGTCGATTGACTGGCTTCGTTGGTTCAGCTGGATTTGGTTATAATTAGTGACCGTAGTAGGTATTTATTATTATTTTTTTTTTAAATCTACTTTTTAATACCGAGCATTTCCTGTTATGGCAGGATGTTCCAAGTTGTATTTTCGCTCCTATATCACAGGCCTGTGACGCTGGATTGGTCGGCGTCGACCGTGTGATGGTCAGCTCCGAACCTATTCTAAGGGGAGTATTTGAATGGTATGGGAGTGCAATCTCGCTCATCACACGGCCGGTTAGGTAGGGGACTGAACGAGGTAGTATAACACCATGAGCCGTAGGGACAGTCGAGTATGGGAAGGGGGCCCCAGGGCCGCCATCGAAGGCGGCCCTGGGGAGGGCTTAGGAAGTTCTCTTGAGTCTTGCGAAGGAGTGTATTGCCTAAGCTTCTTCTTGAAGTCCTCTCTGGTCTGCTACCTTAAGTAGCAGACCGCTATTTAACCTAGTGTCTACCGATGGCTTACAGCGCACTGCCGTAGGATCCCACATCGTACGATATGGGATCGTATGATCTTCGGAGTGCCTACGTGTTGTAGCCATATTCGTAAGGCACTATCGTCTTAGTCATCCCCCGGGATGACAGGAGGATACTGGGCTTCTGCTGCTCCTCTCTCCTCTCTCCTGCTCTGAGCAGGTTACAGGTCCTGTGAATACACAGGTCATGTCAGTTTCGGGGCACCCGGCCGCTTGAACAAGGACGGATCACCTGTAACCTGCTGGGGTTTTTTTTTTTAACTATCTAAATATCCGCATCGCGTCTTGAGCATAACACTCTTAAGGCACATAAAAAATCAAAAATAGACCACCAAGCTCTTTCTTTGGTGAATAAGTTTGGCAATTTCAATGTTGAATAATAATTGCTCGACAGGGGAAGAAAACATAGCATTCTTCTCCAACCATCATTAAAGGTCCACTCTCCACTAAGCGCACCCCAACTCCTTCTTCAGGGTTAATCATGTCATTTTTGATCCAGGTCATGTGGTTCCAGTAGTCTGCCTGTGTGCCGTCGCCATCGACTGTCGCATTCGCCAAAAATTTAGCATTTCCCTGTGGAGGAGGTTTATAAACATCTGGGCACTGTTTACAGGGGAAATCGCTACGATCAGCTGCAAGTGGGGAGTTGTTAAAAGAGTATTTGCTGTAGGGAATAGGATTTAACATTAAAATATAAGCATCAATCAGTGCAATTGCCAAAGTGGTAGTGGCTACGAGACCTTTATTTTATTTAGGTACATCTTGTGATAGAGGTTGGCTTATAAAGGGCAATATATCTCTCTCTATTAATACGTAATGTATGGTCAGTTGAGAAATGTTAAAGTCCAGTTCAAGGGCTCTGATACCAAAATGGTCTAGATATTTAAAGATTGAATATTTGAATTAGGTAAGATAAAATATTGGCTTTACTAAGGTAAGCTTTTACCAAGGGAGCAGCTGCCTTTGCTATATAACACGACAATCGCACTAAATAGATCCCCTGGAGTTGATTAGAGGAGGAAGAATGCTCTCCATAATTCTTAACATACATGATAGTAAGTCTATGGGCCGTAATTATTGAGAGGGGCGCAAGCAAACCTAGAGCTGATTCCAGTGGTCTTCCCTTATTCTGGAATACCTACGAAGAAGAACCTGACCAAGACTTGCCATTTCTTCGACTTGACCTCCTTCACACTCATCAAGAGCGTCAATAAAGAACATTAAACTTTGTTTATCAAGGCTGATTATTGCGCTCCGCAGCAAGTCCTTGAGTACCCTTGCTTGTCACTCAGGATGTTCGCTCGAATTCACAATAGTCTCGTGCATTTTACTTTCCTCGTCCTTGCGTTCTAGGGAGTCGAATATTTCAAGGCTCGGCGGCATGTTCATGAGCTGAAAAAGCAAGGAGCGATACAACCCAGTAGTTGACCGCTCCAGAACATCGCCTCGGGCGTTGAAGAAGAATGGAATGACTGCATTTGCTTTGTCTTTTGTTGCCTGAGTATAGGAAAAATGCATTAGGGTCGACTTCCTAGCACCAGGCTTTCTTATTATCCATAAAAATCCAGGATGTTCAATGGCCTTTTCCGAATCAAGCCAGTGTAGATAGTCGGAGTTTGTTGACAACCACTGGCATGTTTTCGCATAGGTCGCTTTAATTCCTGAGCGGTGGACATCAATTTGTTCAAACTTTAAAGACTCCATGAGTTGTCTTTGGTGGTCTAGATACGGCTCTCAGCAAGATAAGATCTATACCAGAGCTGGATAACACCAACCAGTCTTATCTGAACTTTGGGTCTCTGTAGCCTCAATGGCCGGTATGACGGAAAGAAGTTCTTTAGCATACGCCGCTGCTGTGGCCGCTGCATACTCTTGTCAGTGCTCGTTTTATGGGAATCTGAATAAACGCAAACTCCGCGTATGACAAGACTCGGAAAGCTGTCCTATTAAACAAACTCCCCACAGTGTCCCAGTTAGTAAATGTTTGAATCGACAATCGACAATCGACAACCATTGGAATATACAGCCTGTCCTGAAAAAGCTCTCACGAGCACCACATTAAATAGCCCGAATAAGACAGTACAGCGGTATTTTTTTCCTATTTTGGCCTGTGAATATGTTGCTGTTGTCGTTTTGTTATCCTTCCTTTCTTGGTTAATATATTTTTTTTCTTTTTCAATACACAATGCCTTGCAAGAATTTCTATAGGCACATACAAACCTTCCCTACTCAATCATACGCCATCAACAGCTTCAATCCAACCAAAAGTGCCTACTACGACGACAGTCGCAACAACCCAGACGGCTCCCCATAACGACACACCATTGATATCAGCTCTATCGATAGTTCTCGCGACCTGCACAATGTGTCTAATGCGAGTTGTACAAAATATATTTAGTATCAATAGAATATCTTTGACCATGCGTGAACAAATTCAACCCGCTTGCAACATATCAATCAGGAAAGACAACGCAATTTTAGAACTTGATCGGAAGAGTATTAAAAAATAAACAGGAAAGATGTATAGACTGGTCCAAGCAACAGAGAGGAGAAGAATCCGATTACCGAAGCTCTACATCAGCCGAAAAAGTAAGCTCACGTTAGAATTCAATCGAGACATCCACCAGCCCGGATGGAAGATATTGAAGATGGCAACGCAAAGAACCATCATAGCCCCGTCAAGGGCAATAAAATACCGTTCCATGGTAATCAGATATCCGGACCATCCCTCGGACAGTTCGATGGTTCGGTAGATGCTACGAACGTAGATACAGAGTACGGAGAATACTATGGCGCCGAATAGGGGGTAGATGGATACACTGGTGGAGGGTAGGAGTCGATGCAGAATCACGCGACGTACAAAGTCCGCAGCGCAGGCAACAAAGACGGTAATGGAGAACATCTGGAAGACGATACCGGCGACCATGATGTGGGTGCCTGGGGCGGTGTCGCCGCCGACTTTGTCCGCTTCAGAGGAAGCCATTCCACCGCCGATGGCTTGGATGACTAGAGAGATGACGTCGCAGGTGCAGAAGATCCAGAGATAAAGGTTCGGGCTTAGGATGGAGGATTCGCGGCCTAGGACCTGGATAAAGCGGCCGAGAAGGAGGTAGATCCCCGCTGTGAAAAAGGTCGGGGCTATGGAAGTCTCTTAGCATGCGAAACTTGGGGTTGACAACTAGCACTCTCGCTGCTGTTGGCTCACCGATGATCAGGGTCGAAATCTGCATCAGAAACGCAGTCATGTTGTAGGGGCATTGGGTAGACCATGTACGTCCCGCCCAGCCTAGAATCTCCGCTGCAGGGCCAAGTCAACTTCCGCTCATCGAAAATGCGTTTCGGTTGAAGGATCCATACTCAGACATCCGATGCTAAACACAGCACACCAGTAATTCCTTTTCCAGGCGAGCTGCACTGTATGGACGATCATCGAGAGCCCGAACAGGACCAAGAATACAATGCCTGCGACCAGCGACGGCTGATATCCGTAAGGGGTTTCTACACCGGGAATAAGGGCATGGCAGCCTTTGTTCAGCTCCAACCGCTGTTCCTCCGTCAATCCGTTCGGCATGTCGATAAGAAGCACAGGAGTCACAGTTTGCTGGGTGAAATCTGGACTGCAAAATAGTGTGAAAGCCGAAGTGGAGAGACCATGATAGATTTTTATGAATGAAAAGAATAAGCTGCTCCACAAGGGAAATAAACTCTTGGATAAGCCGACCTACTAATTAGTCTAGTTCAGTGGGACAAAAATGTGTTCGCCCCTCCAACCTGACCAGGTATCAGGTCACGCTGAGGGGCAAAGGTCGTGTGGGCGACTAAACCTAATTTAGCAATCATCACTGCTAGTATCGTCAATAACTCGGAAATTATTGTTTCTCATGTATGATCATGCCAGAGGTTGATATCCTGTCTCTAGCGAAGTGGAGTTCATTTACAGATAGGGTACCGGTAATGACAGTAGCCAAGAGTCTAGTGCCTTATTTCTGTCAATATATACTAGTGCCGTAGAAGGCTTAAATACAGTAAATATCACTGGTCTCACACAAACTAGTCTCCTTCTTTCAATTCCCACTACCAACAAGTTGAATGTCGGTCAGCTGAATAAGTGTATGAGCTAGTATCACCGATCATATAAGAATATGGATCTGCATTGAAGAATGAAGTCTCTAAGGTCTCTATCTATCTGAATCTATCTGGGAGAGCTGGATAAAAAGGTGAAAAACAAAGGAATAAAGTCGGACCGAGCGGATGCTGAATAATGAGTAGTATTGGCCCCACTTTGGTCGACAGGAAGCTTCTATGTCTCACCGCCTGGCAGATCTGGGTAAACTGTCAACTGTCATCTTCCTGTTCCTTGGCAGCCGACCCGAAAACCTGTCAGAATAAACTAGTCCAGATTGGGACATCATGTGAATATATATACCCAATACTCCTCATAAGGGTTTGGGTACACAATCCTTCTGAATACAACCACTTCAGACCCCAAATAATCAAACAAAACCGTAAATGTTGTTTGGCCTGCCTCCTGAATTATTACTGTTGATATATCAGAATGTTAGCTACCTGTATTCGCAGACATCATAGTATACTGATATGCCATAATAGCTAGAGAACTGCGATTTGTGGGCATTATTTAATACCTCAAAGGGTGTACGGCACAATGCTGCCAGGACTCTTTTTTAACTAGTTGAAATCGATCTTGCGCCAGGCAACTTTCCCGAGTCCCTGAACGAAAGGCCCCTACCAGCAACAAGAATTTTCCAACTCTTAGGCGAGTGGCTGCTACTTGTTCAAGAGATCCGCATATTTTACTACCGAGCTGTGGAGCCCTGCATGCTAAACTTGCTGAGTCGATTCCCTAATATATAGTAGTGCAGGTAAGGCTTTTAGGATTACCTCTTCACTATTATACTGCGTATTAATGCCAACAAACCATTAGTCTCGATACTAAGAGAAGTGATAAGAGCACACATAGTTTAAGGCGGCAGCTTAGTAAACAGCCAGCCCTTTAAGAATGGTTTCTAACACTATTCCTTGTTCCTGGCCACTTCTCCCATCATTCCAGTCGCTGCGGGCGCTTGAAATAGAATATTTATTAAGTGGTACTCTAGTGGTGCCCGCCGTACCAGCTCTCTTGAATTTTAATATTCATTTCAATTTCAGCTTGTACTGAGATAAGGTAAATGCGTGGGACTGGGACTGCACTGTTCTTATGGCCTTTTCAATGCTACCAAGAACTTCCAGACTGGCTATTTCTCACCTGCAGCTTGGTAACTTGATTTTCCATGGGAAACCACAATCTCTAAAGATCTTGGAAGTAATACAGTTAGAGGGTGAGTTGAGCAACGAGTTGAGCGACATTCTCCGTGCAATTAGAGTAGGGCTGGAACAAATTATCGTGAATAACTCGTGGGCTACGTGCCGAGCCCTAAATATCAAGCTATTTCCATTAAAAAGATCCATCTGTATAAGTCGACCGGATTCTTCCCTTTTCTTCTTACGAACAAACTCTCTGCCTTGGAAGAAATTACCTGGGAACGTCCCTTCCGGGGAGAGCGTCCCTTGTTTAAGGAACTCAATGCCATTCGCAGTAGTTTTCCAAATAATAAAAATAATTAGGCAAGCATTATACAACTAACTAATAGTAATAGATCTCTGACTCTATTCTTGGATTTGGCGAGACGGTATCTGATCGACTATTTCGAGTCCTTCTGGAACTTATAGGCTACCCCTATAGGCCACTCAGAGAAACCTAAATAACAGCCAGTTAGCTAAGGCTTTTGTAAATATAAGGTCAACAGGTTACAGTAGCTATGGAAATGAACATGTTCTATACCGGACAAGGCTACAGTGCATAGCCTAGTCCAATTCACTCTATCCTATCTCCTTTCACACGCAGATCAAGTGTCTAATACCCATGTCATTTCAGACTAATTTTGGCTTCCGGGTGAACTTAGACAGTTTCTCTAGAGGCGAAACTGCATTCTGTTGAGAGTGGCTCACATTACAGTACATACAGTATACTGTAAGCCAAATACCCTCTTTACTTTTCACACTTGTGCTCTACGTTCCCTCCCGGCCCTTTAGTTTTTTTTTTTTTTTTTTTTTTTTTTTTTTTTTTTTGAATGTTCAAAATGCTAAAGGAATGGATAATTGAGTACGTGATATGCCGGTAAAATGAAAACCATCTGTCCTTCAATCCCTAATAGAGGGCCTTCAAAGTCAGTGCACTAGGGCAGGTTACCACAATTAATCAACAACCTAGTGCCAGAATTTGCAGGGCAGATAAGACTTCATCAGGCTGCCGGCAGTAGCTGCACTAATAATCCGTAGATAGACAAGTCAAAATGGGCGCCCCATTTCTGATATGATTTTTAATTAAAGGAACGAATAATATTCAGCCTTGCACTTTCCAATTCTTGCTAGGCCTTGCCGTATGTCCGGGATCCATGAATCCTTGGGTGCTTTCCAATTTGCTGCGACTTCAAAATCGGCCAATCCATTACGAGGATACAAGCTAAAGTTCTATTCTTGTAGATCTCCTAATGTAGAGTTCCCTTCGCTGTCATCGCTTGAGATTAGACGGATTGCAATGTCTCCCAGCATAATTTTGTGGCATCCGGTATTTTCATGCGATATCACCAGAAATACCAAAAATCAAATTGTTCCACTCCATGTTCTCAGCGTCGATTATTTCGCCTTCCGATGGGTAAACAGAGGTCGAAAAGCCCGTATCCGAGAATGATTCAGGCCCGTGAGCCAATACTGACCCAGTGAATATGTTCAATAGAGCTGGGAATGAATTAACTCTGTCAACGTATTGAACTCAATGGTAAAATACACACTGACTGTCTGTTGAAACCGGCTGACTGGTCGTGACTAGGAGTATGTGCTGATGATTTTCAACATCTTCTCCGTAGTGCTCGACCACAAACAAGACCTCAAAACATTTAGAGCCCATGGGCAGCTCTATAGCAGGGATAGAAGCTCCAATAGCCATTTGATAAGAGGAGAGGAACGTGTTACGCCTTGATGCAAAACCGGTGCAAATATTCATACTCTTCAACTCTCTCCAAATCCCTAATCACGGGATATGCTAAAACTTCATTTGTAAAGATACTCCAAAAGCCACAGTACAGGCTGGTGTATTGAATGGTAATCAGGTTTTTAATGTCAGCATATTTTACATGGCCTGTAAACCTGCATACATGTGCATCCTTCTGCCACGTGGATATATCTCATGAACCCACCAAAGATCGTTCCAGTGATCACGTCAATTATCCTCCACAGCACAAATGGCTCCTAATCTAGCACTATCCAAACTAGAGTTCATCAAGTTATAATCTTGAGCAATGAGCTTACCCCATCCCAAATTACAAGAGCTGCTGGCTGCAACCCAAGCACTATTACTCGGCATGTCACCAATATAAATATATTTAGTAGTGTGAAAGTGCCTCCAAATAACGGAGGACGTCCACAGAGTCTCATACCCACTATGATCAAAGCACTCTGTGACCATCTTCTTGAAAAACCTCACTTATACCTTGATGAGATGACTATTTTTCTATATGATGAGTTTAAAGTGGAAGTACCACCAAGCAACATAAGCCATACACTCAAGCGTGAGCATTGGTCTAAAAATAAGGCCAAATATCAAGCAAGGGAGCGAAATGCATATTTACGTGATGCATACTTTATTTTATTTCGGACTTCAGTATCACCTTGTTTATGTGGATGAGTCTGGGTGTGACAAGAGGATAGGATTTAGAAGAACAAGCTGGTATCCACTTGGTAGTGTGCCTATTTAAACGGCCAAGTTTCATCGTAATCAGCGTGGGACATAGTAAAGAGCTGACCACAGGCCAACACCCTCACGCGTTCCAAGAGACATAATAGTAACTCTTTAGGTGTTATTTTGGAAGTAGGAGCAAACGAGGTGAGAGGAGAACATACAAGTTATCCCACCGGCTGAAGGATCAGTCGTGAAATGTGGGGAATTGCGTCTTGTCAGGTCTACAGCCTTTCAAGCGGTTGGATTCCAATATATACCATCAAGACACCCGGAGTCAATCCCATGGACCACCGCCGCTCGGTGATCGACCAAGCAACCAGCCTGCACCCTTGAACCATCGTGGGCTCGTGTTGGTATGGGTGCGTCACCTAACATTACAGTGCGCTACTATATAAGGCGCTCAGGAATGGGGATCAGATATAGTGGTCTTTTGGTCAAGTGGAATAGTTAAGATCCTGAGCTTGGCTATAACAACAGACTACAAACAAACAAGCTTAGTGCAAGGTTATGCCCGAATTGGGGGGTTTAGCTACTATAATATTATTAAATAAACCTCTTTTATTTTTCTAAAAAAGGTTTGTGTTGGAAGACTTGTTTACTTAGTATTAACAGGACTTTAACATGGTTATCGCCCAGGAGAGGAGCCCGTCGAAGGACGATGTCCGGTTAACGGCTGTAGCTAAATAATAAAATAATAAAATCCACAAATAACAGAGCCAATTTCTTTTTCTCCGTACATAGGGACTCCAGTACTTATTAAATATGCATTATAATATCCCAGCTTAACACTGTAAGAGACATAAGGATGTTAGTAACTAATACTAACTCGACATCTAACGGATGCTGAATAGTTTACTCCGCATTTGAGAATTCTCCAAAGGATTCTATCAAAGGATGTGTTCGGAGAATACGGCCTAGCAAATACGAAACACTGTGGAAAACAAGCGATGCGAAGGAAACAGGTTTATTGGCATCATCCCCGGCATCGACTTCCGGTAGTCAGTGCATCAATCTGTGGAACACGACGACGGGCTGAGATACAGCAACTTCTTTCTTTTTTTCCCTCCTCTTCTATTCCCACGCTAACAGTGTGATAGAGCTTCCATAAAACTCTTGAACTGGTCGACAAAGTCAGCAGCTGTGCCAATGGAGCCTCTATTAACCAAAATAGGAATAACAATAATCAAACCCAGAACTTATTTCATCAGGCAAAGCTCTCCCTACAAGCATATGACGACGCAACCTTTTCATCTCCTCCCTGGTACACGGACACAAGCGGCCATGGACAAAGATTTCTCTCCCTGCTCAAGTCTGTTGTTTTTGCCATTAAAGTCTCCGGCACAACACCGTTCTCAACCCACTCCACTACTGTATCTAAATCATCAGTAGGAGCAGGCCCACTCCCGCTATAACAGGAATAAATCCCCACTCCCGGAGCCTCAAAGTGTCGATAAAAGTCTCTCACCGCAGTATCCAGCGCTTCAACGCGTCGATAGTATTGTCGAGTTCCCTTTGGCGGGATCCCAGCATCAATAAGCCCATGCCAAGAGATCATTTTCCCTCCTGCGTTCTTGAAAGCAGATAGATCGGGGTCATCTGTTGCTATTATTGATGAATATTTCTGGTTGGATCGATAGAAGATATTATCAAGGTCTACATGGCTCAAATTTGTGAGGTCTCTGGATGGATTTTGCTCGACGAAGAGGTTAATCCAATCTAAAGCCATGGCAGACGGGACACCTGTGCAGTCGGACGCTGAAGCACTGCAAGATGTATTGGCCACCCCTGAGAGATTAGTGCCGGGCTCAAAACCATGCCAGAGGAAAGAGCCGTTAACAGATCTGGGACCCTCCCATATCTTCTGAACGATGGTAGTATCTTCCTCAGTAATTTCAATTGGCACACCATTGCAGTTCACAGATTGGCCGACCAGAGATGCAGGGTCGAATTGGCATAGATCAGCAGCGCCAATGACCCCGTCAACCACACCGTCGAGATCATCACACGCATCAACAGCTGCAGTGGTAATTGTATCCATGACACACTGCGGAGGGAACCTGCTCAGCTGGTTCATGACGAATTGCGGCCAGAACAACCCGACAGTAAAACTTGGCCAGTTGATGGCTGGGGCAGCAGCTACGATCCCATCAAACGCATCGGGGTATCGCTGAGCGAGCATTAGCCCCTGTCTCCCACCGGTGCCACATCCGTTCCAGTATGAGTGGTGAGCGGGTTGGCCGTAGAAGCTGTGTGTGACCTGCTTGCCTACAACTGATGCGTCGTTTAATGCCACTGAAGCGAAATCCTGTAAGAGATAGAGGTTCACTTCGTTCAAGGCATTGAGTGACCACGATTTAGAACTCCGAGATTCATGGAACCACGACTCCGCATTTGTATTGTTGACCCTATGGCCGCCATCAGTTGCCACGACAGAATAATTAGCCGCCACTGCTGCTGCAAGAATTGAATCAATGGGTCTCGTGGCATAGCGCCCTCCTCCTGAGCCTTGGAGCCGTCCATTCCAATTCTGCAAGGGAAGCCAGATGGTGACATGGATCGTGTCGTTCCAGCCCGGATGGGTGTAAGAGATGGTCACATTGCAGAAGTCAATTGAGAAATTATCACCAACATAGTTTGTTACTGGTGCTGCAGAGAGACTGAGGATTTCAGCTTCTGGCAAAGTCGGGGATGATATGACAGATGATGAGCAATTTCCGTTCTGAGTGTAATGGCCTGAGCCGCCCGACAATAGGGCTGTGGTATAGGCAGAGAATGAGATCAGTCCCAGAATATAAAATAACATCGCGATATATCTTATGGAGGTGAATACCGAGTGCGCAAATAAAGTACTTGTCATGGTAGTCGCAGACCCCTCAATTTATAGAAAATTGGGCATTCCAGAATAGAGTTAAGGTTTAGCTTTCGGGACATTTTAACTTTAAGGACCCTTCCAGTCATCAACATCGGACCAATATTTGGATGAAACTGGGGATTGGCCTCTGTTTCATTTCCCTGAAACGAACGAAGTGAGAGAAAGGGTCCCCTCCTCCAACACACCGTGTTCCTCGAACTGGCTAGATTCGCTCCTCCCGGTGTGATGTATCCCTTGGCATGCGCTAGCATTCCCTCTTTTATGATTATTGGTTCTTCCCGTCTCATCTTGTCCTCATCCATGTACTGTATTCAGTGGGCTATGCTACGACGATCAAGTTTGGTTTACAAGGGGCCAGGGTATGATTTTCGAACGAGTGGGTCATGTCGTACTCAGGCGGGCCAGGCACAGAAGAGACTTTCTGGACTTCGGATAAATTTTGCGAACATTGTCTACTGGCCAAGTTGTCTGCTCAGAGAATAAACCGTTTGGTCTTTGGGTAGGCTTTGGCTATGACAAGTTCGGCAATCGCATTTCCATATCAATCCTAACAACATCCATTTCTTTAGAGGAGCACTTCGGCTTCAATGTACTCCTCGCTCAGAACAAGCTTGGCAAGAATTAATAAAGTCCAGATGAATAATCCGAAATTCGAATTTTTCGAAACAATTTCTTGGCATTATGATCAATGCGTGTATGGAATCAAAGAGGATTTAATTTAACTAACCACCCCTCGAGTTTCGCCTCCGAAATATTACTCCTTTGCCAGCGTTTTAGACATTATATTCTCTCAATATTTTCAGCTGGTAGTTGTGCCTTTCCAATGAGATTGTACGACGTGCCCCTGAAAAAACTCGCTCAGTTTCATTGCTCATTGCTGGAATTGACAGGACGTCAATTGCCAAGTGTGATGGTTTGGTTGTCTGTGCTCTAGTAGAGAGAAAACCACTTGACCATATAAAAAGTTACAAGACAGAGAGATCTGCAAGATCTAGTCGAAGAAAGTGCAGTTGTCCATGACAGTTCGATACACTCTCCCGGAGGATTGAAATGGATTTACTGGCTTTTTCCTTGCTCGGTCCAGCAATGTACACCTTACCGCCATGTTGAAAGAGAATTTTGGTGAGCTCATATCCTATCCGTGAGTAGCCTCCTGTCACGATAAAGACCTAGCATTTATTAAATTATATTGCACTGTCATGTACGCCGTGTGCGTGCCCTACCCTGCCAGACTGATCACTCAGATTCTGTCCCGTTAGTGTTGGTGCTGGTATCCACAGCGACTGTGCTAGAAAGCTTGAGGCCATATCACGCGAGATGATATTATAGTGGGATATTGGACGAATGACACTAAGGTCCGGCAATGGAAAACCCAGGAATCCTGTACTTATACTCTAGGGTGATACATAGATCGAAGACCGACACAAGGACGGGCATACCGCTCATAATAGTACTATGACAGTACGATACCAGACTACTGCAATACAGAATACCATTGCCAGATGATTCCTGATCTACTACATAGATGTGCAAGTTACGCCAACATCCAAGCTTCTTTACATGGACATAGAGTCTTGCCCGGCGAAATTTATATATCGTACATCGGTATATAAGTCTTAACGTGCTAGCTGCTAGCTAAATGACAGCCCTCAACTGGTTTAATACGATGGTAGGTGGATCTGAACTACAGCTGCATTATTAGCCATATTAGGTGTACTGCACGTCTAAATGAGAGTAATAATACGTCATGAGACCGGGGATGCAAAACTGGGTAGTAGACCAGTTATTTGCACCTATTAACTATGACGTTGTGAGTTGTGTTAAATCGGCAGAATATCTGATTTGCTGCCTCACAATTAGTTAATGTAAACTACCTGGGCCCCTATCTTTGATATTTCTTCAAAGCTGCCTCTTTCGCCGCTCACTTCATCTCCTGCGCGCATGACCTCCAGCGACTAGGCCATGCACCCTGTTCCTGGCACTCCTAACAAGCACCAGCATCAGAATACTTGGCTCTCTTCCTCTCACCTTGGCGGAAGCCTGGCATTTGTGAAATTACAGTATCTTTTCCATGGAATTATTTCCTTCCGTTTACACTGCTCAAGGTTACGCTTTTTGATGGATTGATAAGTGACTAAGTACAACACTCTCTATTACATTACTCATTAACGTGCAAAACTGACCTTTACACACGATGACTACTCGGCCGCATAGACCTGTGCTACATTAGCACAATTATCAGACCATGTAGTTATTTCACGAGAATGTCTATGGAGAGTTGTTTCAGGAGCTTGAAATTCTGTCCTGCTTATCGTCCAGACTAAATTTAAGAAGGGGGAGAACTTACTTCGACCGGAGTATATAACAGTAGTAGTATTCATACGCTGACCCTCACCTTCGACAATATGTAGGACCCTACTATCGCTATCTCTCTATACCTATGTACCGTGATCCATTAATTAACGACGACTTTGGAGCCTCGTCAAAGCCTGTGGAGATCTAAGTGCCGGGTGCTCTGTTCTGCCGCCCTTGTAGCGCGAGGCTTGAAACCTCTAAGATGCCTCTGCAAAGTCTGGTACTACACCTAAGGTACTGCTGCATTGCATGGTATATTGCAATTTACCGTCCTTACCTTTCAGTCTTCCTCCCAGCATATCTGAAATATTATTAAGGGTACTTCCAATTTCCCTCCGTAGCTCCTATCACTGACGCTTTAATCTTGGGCAGTCGACTAGGACATAAACCACTGCTTTTTTATTCCCTCATTCGAATCTATTATCTTCCCGGAAGCGGTGTCGCTTGCCTCTGTTGCTAGCTATACGTGGGGGTCTAGAGTTGCGTGAGCAGGTAAGCTTGGATCTGTGGGAGCGAGCTGTATATTTTCCGGGTGTGGATTAAAGGCAGACTTATATTAACCTCACCGAAATTGCAGGTCCTTTATTCTTGCTCCCATTTTTTTCAAGTCCTGCTGCGAATAAATCCCTTCTCCCGCGAAAGAAGATATTAAAATGGTTGTGATTTAACTAGGCCAACTTCTCCCTTGGCTAGGCGGTCCGCTGTATTATTTCCGAGGTCATCCCAATGTCCTGGGACCCACTGGAGACGCAAGGGCATCTCACGCGCCTTCAGATTGTAAGATGACCTGGATGATTCATTGTCCAGACTTGTTCCAGGAGTTTGCTATTTCCTACATTTGTCAATGGTTGAACCCAATGTATTACTCAGGCATGACCTTCGCTCCTACATAGGGCGCTAGATGCGACTGATCGAAGATCAGGCCGGCTGCTCTCGGAGTGATGCAGGACGTTGGAATGTAGGAGATAAGACCACACTGTTCAACCGTGTCACTGGCTTTGTTGAAATGCCCTGCATGGAAGAGATTAGAGCACTGGGTAAGCAGCCTGATGGGCCAGCATTGTTGGCAGCCATCTCCGAATTTTTGTTGGTACAAAGTGAAGACAAATTGGTTCGTGCTGTGACCAGGACAGCTGAGACGGTCTGACGAGTCAAGGACAGGTAGCCTTGTTTAGATGACGTCTCAACGAGATAACAAAGTGGTTCGCGAAGTCGAGTCAACAGTAGCTTCAACTAGACAACGGGACTTCAGTCAACGAGGCAACAAGATACTCCACGAAGCTAAGGCGCCCTTGACCTATTCGGCGGAACAGCGACTCATTGAGAACAATCTTAGGAAGAAAGCTGCTTATTATTATTAACTAACTGAGGAGATAGGCACGTCTTATACTGCGCGCGTTTGATCTAAATCACCCCTTACAAGCGCGTAACCCCACTACAATACCTATACTACTACTATCACTACTACTAATAACAGAGATAATACTTATAGCAATGAAATTAACGATGTAATTTCGTCATTTTTAGGCTCTCTCAAAACGAATCGCAAATCCATACACCACCTCCCCAATGTTCGGGTTATCATATAAGGGAAAGTGTTTCATGAGAACCTGCTTCCAACCCTTAGGAACGCCAAACTCCTCCAGCGTGGAAATATGATTGAAATTGGTACACAGTTCTCCGTTACGCTTCTTCATATTTTCAATGTATGTGTCACTGAGATCCTCATGGATCGCAGTCACCGACTTCCTGGCAACCATGAACATGCGAGCCAAACACGCGGTCAAGTGAACGGGGTCCAGGAATTGAAATGCCGCGAAACAAACCACATGGTCGAAATCAGTCATGCGCTAGTTGTCAATTAGTGACCAAGCTATGGATGAAAACGTATGTTCAGGAAATTGGGGAACTTGCCATTATGAATTCGTCCATCGGCCCTATCAAGAGTGGCTTCTCGTAGTGATCCTGGATGTATGAGGATCGGGTCATCCCAGCGGAGACATCGATGCCGGAGATTTTTGCGGAGACGCCATGCTCGTGCAGGATAGCTCCAAATTCACCGTTTCCACACGCGAGATCCAGGACCGTGCCGGAGAAATCGTAGTCTCGGCTCAGGTCTTCCTGCATCCGACTTAGCCCGGTGTTGGCCCGAGCAGCATGATAGCGAGGGGCAAAGCCGTCATAAACCCCTGCTAGGTGTTGGTTCCGATCGTGGTCCTGACCCGAGCGCATTTGTTTACTAGTGACCAGCATGTCAAAGAATGCCATATGTCCGCCGGGAAACTCCTCTTCGATCACCACATCCTCGTATGTGGTATACTTTTCTCCGTAAAATGCGCGAGGAGTGCAAAGGCGACCCTCCATGTATATCTCAGCCTCTGCTTTTAGCGAAGTCTCTACACGCACAAAACCACTGCCAGATGCTTTCAACACATCCAACGCAATTGACTTCAGGATGGACTGCAGGGAGGCTTCCGTGACCCAATTGAAGTCCGCCGATGCTTCATGTAAACCTTTTCGATCGAGACTCACGGAGGTGGTGCACTGGGCTGGAGTAAAAACCATAGTTTCTAGGCCCATTTCCATGGCAAGACAAACCCACTGCTTGCCCTTGAGAAGTTCGGGGTCCAATCCATGAGTCTTTGTCAGGATTCGGACGGTACGACTTTCTTCCCTCGCGTCGGTGGTGTGAGTGAAGCACGAGCTGTTGAGAAGTATGATATCTTTCGCCTCGAGATATCTCGTGATCGCTGCCACTCTCGAAACATCATCCCCCGACTCTGCCACCTACTCATAGCTGATCAGTGAGATTTTCGTTCTCCGGGGTTTGCTGTGCGAACCATATAATTCAGAAACATGTCATATCCATCTTTGCAGATTTCATCGATCTCTACTTCCGCACTGTATTTGCTGATGTAACAGGTTTTGAACTGATGACGAGTTTGAGGTATGTAGCGACTGAGATCGACTGCACTTGGTCCCTGTTCAGGCGGAGAAAGTCAGTCTGTGTCTAGAAGAAAATACAGTAAAGGAATGGTAGTAGCCGGCATCACTTGCCTCCTCCACATCTCCGCGTAAAACCAGGAGGCAGATTTTCATGATGTAGAGCAAGTTCGGTGACAGTGCAGAACTGGCGGTGGATCGAACCTCTGAAGAACGCTGTGAAAGGTGAACACTCAACACTCGCGGTGATACCGCCAGAACGAAAGGTAGATAAATGGGATGATAGGGAAGGACTTAAAGATAAGTTATAGTGTAAGCGAGAGACATTTTGCTGCATATGCACGGCGGCCCAATAGGCAAGGCATCCGATCCATGCCTGCATTTATTGTTTGTCCTGCGTTTCTTCCACTTCACATGCAAATTGGTGGCAAACTCTACAACACATAAAAGGCTTGCTCTCAACATTCTCCCGGAAATTCCTTTGATTATTGGATTTACGTCTTACCGTTGGCCTGAACTACCCAAAATGAGCCGATTTGCCAGCGAGATAGTACGCCACGCATTCTACAATACAGGCAGCCCCGATGCGGACAGTCTCTCACTCAGCAAGGCCATGACAACGGTCTTGTTGATAGGGGTTACGGTGGGTAGCCAGTGTCAATTCCGATAAAGGCATAATTCAAGCTAACTGATCTGGCCAGTACTGCATGCTCGTCGGCATCTACCGGCTCACGCTCCATCCGCTCGCAAAGTATCCCGGACCGAAACTGGCAGCAGTGACACGTCTGTGGCACTCGTACCACCTATGCACGGGAGACATCGTTTCAGCCCTTTCGCAGGCACACGAAACATACGGACCAGTGTTGCGGATTGCTCCAGACGAGGTGCTCTTCACCTCCAGTCGTGCATGGGATGACATTTACGGCGCGCGCCCCGGGAAGCCCGAGATGGACAAGGACACCCCCCTCTACAAGGGCCCGACTGCGCCTCATTCAATCGTGACGGTAGACGGTGACCTTCATCGCTTTTACCGCCGTCTGCTCGCCAAGGGCTTCTCGGATGCTGCGCTGAGAGAGCAGGAGCCAGTGATTCAACGAAACATCAATCTATTGGTAGAGAAGCTGCAAGTGGAAGTAGCGGCAGGTAAGACACCTGAAATGACGGCTTGGTTTAACGTAAGTCTCCGAAACTCACTGAACAAAGAAGCCCGCAGCTGACCGAGTGAATTGCCCTAGTACGCGACATTTGACCTGATCGGGGAGCTTGCATTCGGCGAGACCTACGGTTGCCTCGAGAACTCGCACTACCACCCCTGGGTGGAAATGATTCTCGAGGTGATGAAACTCCGCGCCATGACGCACGCCGTAGGGTACTATCCATGGATATTCCACATCCTGATGTGGTTCGTCCCCAAGTCCCTGCGCGACAAATTCGTAACCCACCGGAAGTACACCCATGACAAAGTGCAGCGTCGAATGGACCGAAAGATCCACTACAAGGACCTGACAACCAATCTGTTCGATCCACAGAATGGGCTCGAGCGATACGAGATTGACGGGAATTGCTCCACCCTCATCATCGCCGGCAGCGAAACGACGGCCACGGCTCTCAGTGCAACACTATACTTCCTGACACAGAACGTAAACGCCAAGCGCAAAGTGATCAGCGAAATTCGAAGCACCTTCAACAGCGTTGGAGACATCAACTCGATCAGCGTGAATCAGCTGAAGTATCTGAACGCGTGCATGAACGAGGCGCTCCGGATCTTCCCTCCCGGTCCCGCGGTCTTTCCGCGCCGTGTCCCTCGGGGTGGCGATTTTATCGACGGACATTGGATCCCTGGTGGCACACAAGTCGGCATCGCGCACTTCTGCATCAATCGCTGCAGCCGGAACTTTGTCGATCCACACAGTTTCATCCCTGAACGATGGCTCGGGGATCCCACGTACCAGACCGACGATCGCCACGCCGTGCAGGCGTTCAGCTACGGTCCTCGAAACTGCATTGCTCATAACCTCGCCCGATTGGAGATGCGTCTGGTCCTGGCTCGGCTGATCTGGGAGTTTGATTGGGAACTCGCTCCTGGATCGGAAAAGTGGGAAGAGGCGTTAGTCTTCAATGTCTGGAGTACGAAGCCGTTGAAGATCAAATTTACTTCAGTGACACGCTGAAGTCGGGGAGAGAGGTTGATGGTCAAGACGGTCTTACCGTTTGTTTAGCCAGTCTTTCATCACTAGTAAAATAGCATCGCCTCTGCGTTGTGTCTCCGGTGTCTCCTGTATCAGAATATCATAGCTGTTCTTAAGATTACTTCCCGATCTACAAAGGGCCCCTGAAATGGAATCACCTCAAGCATGGCCCTTTCTTTCTTAATTATTGATTTTCGCAGTTCTCTACTTCTTAATCTTCCTGCTTATATCTAATTGGCTTCCGATAGGGTATATCCCGAGTGCAAAACGTTGAAAGGGAGACATATAGTATCTTTGCAAGGCAAGTGGATTGAAGGGCATCTACCACGCACTCCCCGATTCCTGATAGTTCGAACTGCAGACTGCTAGCATGGACGAGGGCTGGCTCAGGTCCAACATGAGCAGACCGTCACGAACCTCACAGCTCGTGGGCCCTCATACGCAATGTAACACTGTTGATTACATGAGAGGGGCGACCATCAAAATTATCAGGCCGGAATCCATGTATGCAGATGCAATGTGATGTACGTGGCCGGCTGAATCCGACCTCACCAGGCAACGATCCATATCCTTGCATTTCAGCTACGGAGTAGCTCAGGTGCAATGCGACGTATGTATGCATCGTATGATCGGGTCCGATATATGCAAGCTAGTAAAGGTGCAGAAGCCCCCTGCTAGACTAATGAAAACGGCACGATGGAAGAGACTGAAGGCAACTGAGAGCACGTGAATGTAACATATCTCAAGCACCTTAACCTTAATAGTGCGTTTGCATGATCCTATCGACACGCACAGGTCACATCTGGCCATAAACTCCTAGCCAAGCCGCTAGCTATATGCACGTCGTATATTATCGTAGATCTAGAACTGTATTTTTTTACGTAATCCAAATACGATCTGCTGCAGCCAAGAAAGTGGGAATCTCCATGTACAGTATCTCCATCCACTGGGCTGTGATCAACACTCCATTTTTCAGCTCGAAGTAGTTTTCAATATGGATGAGAGAAGACGGGCAATGCGCTACGGCATGCGGTCTCAAAGCATTGGCGTAAGAGATGCTCACGGTGAAACTCCAGTGGCAAAGGCTCTTTCTGCAAATGTGATCCGAAGAGCTAGTGACTAGCCGTGGAGACCGGCGCTGCCCTGGGTTCCCAAGACGCCAAAGCCTTGCGGGCCGGGGATCTCAATCAAGCAAAGTCCAAAGTCGGCCAGGAACAATTTCGGGAGTCAGAAGCTTCAAACTCAAGATGGCGCGCAAACATTGAGTGGTCGTCTGTTGCTTTTAAACCGGCAGTGTTTGCGCATTGGGCTGTATTCTGGCCTGTTCAACTTTTTTTTTTTCTCCCAATCTCAAGATGGCAGCCAGAATTGCGAGCTTCCTTGGTCTTTCCAGCGTCGTCTGTCTCAGTCTGGCAAATGCGATTGTCGCCCGCGACACCATCTCCCGCGATGTGATCATTCTTGGCGGTGGCAGCTCGGGGACATATGCCGCGATTCGTCTCAAGGATCAAGGCAAGACCGTCGCCGTTGTTGAACGCAACGACTATCTGGGCGGTCACGGCGAAACCTACTACACTGAAGACAATACGCCTCTTAACTTTGGTGTGGAAGGATTCTTCAACACGACCGTGACTCGCAACTATCTCGAGCGGCTTCAAGTGCCCTATGGGCGCCGCAACCCTGCTCCCGCGCACGAGGACTACCTAAACCTCAACACGGGGCAAAGGACAGAATACCCGGCAGGCCAGCTCCAGGACAGGGAAGCATTCGCGAAATGGGTCGATGCCATCTCTCAGTTTGGCTTCCTGGACGACGGTGTCTATCGAATCCCAGAACCGGTGCCAGAGGATCTCATCAGTCCTTTCGCGGACTTCGTAAAGAAGTACCATCTCGAGGATGCCGTGTATGCCATCTTCTCTCACACTTCCGGCGATGTCTTGGACATGATCACCCTCTACGTCATCCAATATATCGGGGTCCCCCACGCCGCCGCCTTGAACGAGGGCTACGTCCGTCCCATCGAAGGTATCGCTGCTCTGTACAAGAGCGCCGGCAAAGAACTCGGCAGCGACGTCCTCTTGGAAACGACTCCCGAGTCCATTCAGCGCTCTGAGGATGGCGTCGAAGTCACCGTGCGCAGTGCCGACGGGACTACAACGCTCCTTAAGGGCAAGCAACTGCTAGTCACCATTCCGCCCCTCTTAGACAATCTGCACGGCTTCCCGCTAAGCGAACAAGAATCCCACATCTTCTCCAAATGGCAGTATCACCAATACTGGGCCGCGCTCATCAACGACACCGGTCTCCCCAACGACGTGAACCTGGTCAACGTTGACACGGAGCGCCCGTATGGTGTCCCCGAGGAACCATTCATCTGGCGCCTGGATACCCACTGGGCTCCTGGCTACCACAACATCAAGCTAGTCGGTGGGTCCGAGTTCGGAGAGGCCGAGGCGAAGGCATACATGTATGAGAAGCTCGAGCGTCTCCATGCCGAGGGAACATACTCTACGCACAAGCCTGAGATCGTCAAGTTTGCAAGCCACACCCCTGTTACCATGTTCGTTTCGGCGGAGGAAATCCGCGGAGGGTTCTATCGGCAGCTGTATGAGCTCCAGGGGCAGAACAGCACATTCTGGACGGGCGCTACTTGGGCGTCGGATTACTCGACCTTGCTTTGGGGGTATACGGATGAGGTTCTCGAGCAGATGGCTTCTTCCTAGTCCTTACCCTGGGTATCTGCCTACCTCCTGATTACGTACAGTTCTACGATGGCGGTTGCACCTTGATTGTTGTTTAGGAAGGTCTCGCACAATTGCAGTATCTAGAGCAAGTGAATACATACTATTTATTTCGTCCTGCGGTTTTTTTGGAAGCACTCTTTGTTTTACAGATTGGGCGAGTAAAGTACACGAATAATTGCATTAGTTTTGGAAGTTCGCAAATATAGCTTGTAGATCCCTTGGCGATAAGTAGCGCTGAAAGTTGACCCTTGTCGTCTTTTATGGACAGCGTGGCAACAAGGGCCTACCGGTGCTTATACGGACAAGAAATAGAAATTAGCGACAGAGAGCAAAATCAAGATTTTAATGAAAGTTTAAGAAAGAACAGATTGCTTGGTTTTTCTTATTTCTACCTAACCATAATCTCGTTGGATTTTTAATGCCTCTATGCAGGGTAAGGACATAATTCGCAGCTACGAGTAACCGAAACAAAATTATATAACGCATTTAATGGGTCCACATAAATGGATCCACGTAAACTGCTCTTAATAATTACGTCCCTCATGGCACATGCTTCCCTCCTGCAGCACTGAAGGCCTCGAAAGTATGGAGGTAGACACTCATGTACGGTTTCTTTCCCTTATAGGAGAATGAGATCCACGCTTGTAGATGATTTGCGGTGCCCAGGTCCACATCCGGACTGCGGATGGAGATCAGTATCATTCATTCATTAATTCACGGATACAAAGACTTACTAGTACGCGGCCAGATCCGATGGATAGCTTTTAGCCAAGCCTCCCCACCCTCTGCGCTCAAAGAAGGTAGCCAGTCCCTCCGCGATGGCTTTGTCGTTCCTCCCAAATGCAGGGAAATAGATCTGTGGCTCGGGAAGCGGGCTTTTCGGGGACAATGTGAAATTGATGATGAAGGGAAGCTGCTCCTGTGGTGAGGTACCAGGCTCGTAAAAGCAGTCTGGCAGTGGACACAGACCCTCCGTGACGGGCAATAGCTGCCACAGCTCCCTGAGCGCCTGCAGTCCATCCAGTGTCTCTGGATCGTTCCGTCGCCCGTTCAAAGTCCAGATCCCTTCGATGGAGGCCAGGTCCAGCTGGCGTTCCATACAGTAGACTTTGATCCGCGACTCGGATGGGTTGACCAAATCACACGAGAGAAAGTGGCCGATGAGGGTTGGAGCCCGCTCAGCTATAAACTCCTCAAGGATTGCCAGTGGCGTGGCGACTTTACCCTCCTTGTCAGCGGCCTTGATTGCGTCAAACATGAGCTTTTCTTTCGGCGTCCCGGTCGCGATCGACTTCATCCGGGGGTAGATGTAGGTTTTCAAGACAATATCCCCGGATGGTTCCAGATCGGCCGCCAGTTTGTTCTGAGTCTTGAAGACGGGGATTGGAAGATTTCCATCGTGGAGACGTTGAGCCTCCTCGTCGGAAATGACCAGTGCGTTGGTAAAATGATCAAACCACTCCAGGTCAAGCCGCGGAACCATGGCCTTTAGGTCCTTGAGAACAGGCCTGATGGCCTGGGTGTTGAATGGGTCCTCCTGCGTTCCCGTTAGGGGACCGAGGGGCTCGAAGGCGAACCGCAACAACGATTTAGAGTAATTGAAGCTCAGCTCGAAGGGGAGTCCGAAGCGCGTCAGATGGCTTTTCCAGTGCATGGGCTGGCCCTTTTCGGGATACGGACCCAACGCCGGGATGATGACCTCGCGGTGGATGCAGAGGAACTTGTACTGTGCGTGAACGTCGTAGTTGGCTCCGGCCATCATGGCGGCAAACATCGGGGCCGTGCTATACCACCATTTTGCGTGGTTCCTGTTAGAGAGGTTCAGGGCTTGATTGAGCACGTGGAAGGGCTTTGGCAGCTGTGTTGCTGGTTTCCTGGAGATTTCCATCTTTCAGAACTCTGGTTACTGGCTTCTAGTATGGGTTCGGAGACAAAGATAAGGGGAGCTCAAAGGAATACTACCCTGGTTGTTCTGGTCAGGTCATAGCAAGATATTCATCACCTTCTTGGGGCCATCGCCCTCACTGTGCGTTTGTGATAGCGGCCGCATGACGCAAGCAATACGAGCCCTGATGCATGCGGTGCCACGTCTGTCACGTAACCGAGGAGCAACCTGGAAGTTTTGCGCAGGGGTCAGTTAGTTAGATGTAACTGTGTTTCTTGAAGACCCAATCTGATATGCATTGAAAACTGATGGCTGGCTGAGGTCCACATTCTATCCTCTGCAAGGGTTCAAGGACGAGAGCAATTGAGTGCACCATAGTTTTGTTGTGGGGCGGTCCATTTGACCCACTGAGACAAATTAAGTAGACGTATGAATGGCAGAAGCACAACGCGCAGCATGCAATCTATTGCAATATTGCAAGGAGCATGTGATAATTCTAGACCAAGTTTTCTCGTACATGCCAAGCAGTAAGTCCCTGATCGGCGTGATCTATCCTAGCCGCCAGGTGGCCATCTACACGATGTAGCATCCCGAAATGGCCGATGCCCCGACTGGAAGAGACTAATTGGGAGATTGGTCTGATACGCCGATCGAAGGAGCTGAATAGAGAACAAGTTTCCTGTGGCGACCAGGAAATCGCTACCGCTTGTTTGAGCTGAAATAGTGGGAACAAGAAAAATTTACCACAAGGGACATTGAGCGCCACGCACCCAAGACTGTTATGGTTAGTAGACTCAGAGTACACAATGGATCGGCTTGTCAAGCGCAGTGGAGTAACAATTGCTGTTCAATGGGGCTGAATTCCGTAATGATAGGGATAAGGCTCGAAGGTTACATGTATATACATCACTTACTCTTGCTGTAGTCATTCGGACATTCCTGTTACTGAGGCCGCCGTTATTGTTCAATACCCTTGCTGGAAATAAATTTTATTTTGTTGATGTAAAGTCCATCTCGCTGCCATGAAGACGCCAATTGCTGTTGTCGGGACTGCCTGCCGATTTCCAGGCGATGTAGCGTCGCCTTCGCAGCTTTGGGAGCTATTATCCAACCCTAAGGATGTCTTGAGGGATCTAGATCCTGAACGATTAAACCTCTCCGGCTTTCACCATCAGCATGGGGAGCATCATGGCGCTACAGATGTCCCGAATAAGTCCTACGTACTGGACGACGATGTTCATCACTTTGATGCTGCCTTCTTCAACATCAGTGCGGCTGAGGCAGAGGCAATGGATCCACAACAACGGCTCTTACTCGAGACGACATACGAGGCGCTCGAAGCTGCGGGATATACATTGAAACAGATGCGCGGCTCGTCCACATCGGTCTTTGTTGGCGCGATGACTTCGGACTATCATGACATTCAAGCTCGGGATTTGGACACAATCAGCCGATGGCATGCAACGGGCACATCGCCGAGTATTCTCTCAAACCGTGTCTCGTACTTCTTCGACCTGAGAGGGCCATCAATGACTATCAATACTGCATGTTCCAGCTCACTGGTGGCATTGCACCAAGCGGTCCAGAGCCTCCGCAACGGCGATTGCACGACAGCAATTGTAGGTGGCGTCAACCTCTTGCTCGACCCTGAGACCTACATCAGTCACTCAAACCTACACATGCTGTCTCCAACATCAAGATGTCGCATGTGGGATAGGGATGCTGACGGGTACGCCCGAGGCGAAGGGTGCGCTGCCGTCGTGATCAAGACCCTGGATCAGGCGCTGAAAGATGGCGACGATGTAGAGTGCATCATTCGGCAGACCGCGGTCAACTCTGACGGCCGATCCGCAGGAATTACCATGCCCAATTCGGAGGCCCAGGCGACGTTAATCCGCCAGACCTATGAACGCTGTGGGCTGGATCCGGTTCGGGACCGATGCCAATATTTCGAATGCCATGGGACTGGAACACAGGCTGGAGATCCCGTAGAGGCACAGGCAATCCAGCAGACATTCTACCCAAAGAGCGTCGTGTTTAGCCCAGAGGACAAACTGTATGTGGGAAGTATCAAGACCCTAATCGGCCACCTGGAGGGTTGTGCGGGTCTCGCGGGCGTGATGAAAGCTATTCTGTGCATCAAGAATAGGACCATCACGCCAAACATGCTTTTTGACAATCTCAATCCAAATATCGCTCCATTCTACGACCATCTCAGTGTTCCAACAAGCACTATGCCATGGCCATCCGTTGCCCCTGGCTGTCCGTTGAGGGCGAGCGTGAATTCCTTCGGTTTTGGAGGGACCAACGCTCATGCCATCATTGAGAGCTACGTTCCACACCAATCGCAAAAACAAGTCGGTTACTGCAAAGAGTCGATGCATAAGAAAGACGTCATGCCGGGCCCATTCGTATTCTCAGCACACACTCAGGATTCCCTATACTCGAACATCGAGCAAATAGCCCGATATGTCAAAAACAACGAAGCATTGGACCTGGGTGATTTGGCCTGGACCCTCGCCAAAAGAACCGCCTTACCCTTCAAGGTCTCCATCACTGCATTAAGCAGAGAGGAGCTTGTCGGGGATTTAGACAAGGTTGTTGAGGAATACAAAGCTAACAAAGGGAGCGAACATATCCCTTTTCCACGGAAGTATGCACCCGAACCACAATGGATCATGGGCATTTTCACAGGACAAGGCGCACAATGGGCTCAAATGGGGCACGACATCCTACGTGTGTCTCCGATCTTCCGCAAGTCTATCGAGCGGTGTGAGCGTGCTCTAGCAAACCTTCGTGACGGCCCCTCGTGGTCCCTTCAGGTAGAGCTTCTGGCAGACAAACCCTCGTCACGCCTCTCTAATCCAGCAGTAAGTCAGCCGATAACAACGGCAATTGAAATAGCCGTCTACGATCTTCTTTGTGCGTGTGGAATCAGTCTCGATGCGGTTGTTGGCCACTCATCCGGCGAAATAGTGGCCGCCTATGCGCTTGATATCATTTCGGCAGAGGATGCCATGAAGATAGCCTATTACCGTGGGTTGCACACTAAGCCGGTTCAATCAGGTGGCATGCTAGCCGTTGGTCTTGCATTCCCCGACGCGAGTGAATTGTGTTCTCAACCATCTTTTTCTGGGAAAATCGTGGTGGCAGCAAGCAATGGGCCCGCCAGCACGACGTTATCGGGCGATTACGATACAATCCTCGAAGCCAAGGCACTTCTAGACCGTAAGAAAATATTCGCAAGGGTGTTACAGGTTGATGTGGCGTACCACTCACACCATATGGTGCCCTGTAGTGCAGCATATCTAGAATCCTTGAAGGCATGCAACATCCAAGTGCGAACACCCAGGAGCGGCTGCACATGGATTTCAAGCGTGACAGGGAGCAGTGCAATACTGAAAAAAGATATCCAAAGGTTCGCCGATATTTACTGGGTCGATAACATGGTCAAACCTGTCCTCTTCTCTCAGGCACTGGAGAGGTCAATTAGTGACGGCCAAAAGCTCGGTGCGTGTATCGAGATCGGACCTCATCCGGCTCTCCGTGGTCCAGTCTTGGATACGTTGAAGCCCAAAGTGAGTTCAGGTGTTCTTTATACCTCGTTACTTCACAGAGGGCAAAATGATCTCAAGGCTGCCTCGACCGCCGTCGGTTGCCTCTGGGAACTGATGTCTGAACGTTTGGACCTTGGGCAGTTTCTCCAAGCTTTTGGAAAGCAACCCTTGCAACTGACAAAAGGATTACCAGCATACTCCTGGGACCATAGGAAGAGATACTGGAGAGAGTCTCGCGTGTCCCGAAGATACCGTCTTGGTGGTACGCAATTGCACCCGCTATTGGGCCGGCGATCTACCAGCGAATTAACAAACGAGATGTGTTGGAGGAATATTCTGCACTTGGAGGAGATGCCTTGGGCCCAAGGACACAAGCACGAAGGCCAAGAGTTGCTTCTAGCTGCCTTTTACTTTTCTTCTCTGGTAGCAGCTGCTAGCTCTGCGGCTGCAAGCCAATGCCTTGCGTTACTCGAGGTCAATAATTTCGTTGTCATAGAACCATTAATCTTGGAAGAACATAGTCATGGGATAGAATACATCACGACAGTACGATTCCATGACAAAAATTCCGAGAAAATGTCGGATGCCAGACTCGATGCCGAAGCTTCCTGCCATGCGTGCCATAGTGACGGATCAACTTTAACCAAGTTATGCACTGCACGCCTAACACTTTATCTTAGCGAAGCTCTCCGTGATGGTGATGACCAGTTACCCCCAAGGGAAAAGCGGCACCGCCTTCTAGCACCTGTAGATGTCGCTGATCTGTACCACTCATTTGAACAAGCTGGCATTAGCTATTCCGGACCCTTTCGAAGCATAACCTCGATCGAGCGCTCCCTGGACCAAGCCACTGCTTCTGCATCTTGGGCTGCCGATACAATTATCTCCGGATCCCTACTTCACCCGGCTATGCTAGAGGCATCATTCCAGGCTATGATGTGTGCCTTTGCCTCGCCGTTCAGCAAGGGAATGTGGACTTCGTTTCACGCAAAAGAGATTCGTCGAGCTCTTGTTAATCCTAACCTTGCTTTGAAGAATTTTTCATGCGAAATCGACGCATTTGTGACTGCAGTAGACAAGGGTGAAATAGAAGGCGACGTGTCGTTGTACAATCCAGATGGAAACACTATGGTGCAAATCGAGGGCTTGGTCATGAAGAGTGCCCCTCAAACCGACACTTCAAGTGACCGTAACATGTTCGCACACGTGGTGTGGGAGAGCGACCCTTTTGGGTATTCGTTGGTATCTTCCTATCACAGCCTAGAGGAGGAGGTGCTGGCGAGAGATGCGGCAGATATGATCGCCTTATACTATTTTCGAAAAACACTGGATGAGATTGATCCACTCGAATCTGCAAGGTTTATGCCTCACCACCAGCTCTTGTACCGTGAGATTAGCCGCATTGCTGTTGATGGCAAGGGCTCTGAGTACTCTATTGTTCAGCCAAATCAGTCCCAAATGTCTGAGGAGAGCATCCTGGCAATGGTCGACAAGTCTGCAGGGATCGTGGATCTTCAGTCAATCCATTCACTCGGTAAGGCCTTGCCAGCGATCCTGCGAGGAGAAGTAGACCCTCTTGACATGCCGAATGGGGCTGGCATCCTCGAGCGCTTATCTCATACTGATGGAATCCTGTCTGCACTGAACAGAGACATCTGTTGTATTGTCAAGCGTATTGTACACAAGCATCCCCACATGGAGGTCCTGGAGCTTGGTGCTGGCACCGGTGTGGTCACCCAGCGAATACTGGAAGCTCTTGATGACAAGTATACTTCTTATTGCTTGAGCAGCGCGACTCCAGAATTGCTCAACCAGACAGTGGGCAGGCTCTCAACTCAGCACCGCAACCTAGTTTTCAAGGTGATTGATCTGACCACTGTCGTTGCTGCTGAATGTGGCAGTGACAAGTATGACATGGTAATCGCTGCCAATCCGCTCCATGCAACCGAAGAATCCACCAGCCTCTTCGAAAGTTGCCGTGCAATGCTAAAGCCCGGTGGTTACTTTGTATTCGTTAGAGTCACCGGGAGAATGCCGATGTCGTTGTTGTGTACTTATGGATTGTTTCCCCAGTGGTGGCAAGGGTACGACCAAGATGCCCAGGCTTGGCTGGACATGTCATCCGTTAGATGCGACGCACAGCTCCGCTCTACGGGTTTTTCCGGAATCGACCATATCTTTCATGGTTCGATGCATCCAGATGTGGGTGGTCTCTCAGTATTGGTCACACAGGCAGTGGATGATACTGTGGTGATGCTTCGAGAGCCGATGAATTCGACCGGCCTGGCGCCGCTTACTGAGACTGTGGTGTTCCTTGGGGGCAAGACACTGCTAGTATCACGCCTTCTCCATAGTATTCAGAGAATTCTCGCTGCATCAGGTACTGCAACCGCAATAGTGAGAGACATTGACCAATTGGACCTGAAGGGCCTCACGAAGGAACATTCAATCATCTCCCTGGTGGAGCTTGACGAGCCATTCTTCTCCAGAGGCCTCTTCCACGAAAGGCTCCTGGCCTTCAAAGAGCTTGTGGAAAGGTCCAAGCACGTCCTTTGGCTGACCGCTGGACATATGTCAAGTACAAGTGTGGCGGTTGGAAGAGCGATGAGATCAAAAGAGGGAGACAATATCAACCTCCAATTTCTAGATTTGTCGACGGTGGAAAACATGTCGCCTTCCACTGTAGTTGAGGTCTTCCTACGCCTCACATGGTCTTTCGTGCCGGCGTTGACGGACGGGCAAACACTTTGGACAAATGAACCCGAATTACACTGGGACGGATGCACGCTACGTATTCCACGACTGGTTCGGGATCACAGGCGAAATAAACGATACAATTCCAGGCATCGGGAACTTCGTCCAACTGCTTATCCCTCCCAGAAACCAGTGCTTGTCCCGGCAATGAGCCAGGTTTCGGCCAGCTCGGTACATGTTCAGGTCAGATATTCCTTCCTTCTTTGCACGGATATGTATCTCTGGCTTGGAAGTCGTGTCGATGGAAAGGGAAATGTTGTCGGCATTTCTGAGCATATCTCATCAGTTGTCCAAGTAAGGCCTGAGAATGTTCATAATCTAGTTGACGGAGACGACTTAAGCCCAGACGCTTTGCGAGCTACTGCTAGCTTCAGTTTAGCAAACCTGCTGTTGAAGTCACTATCTGGACCTATACTTCTTTATGAGCCTGATGAGTTACTTGCGGCTGCTGTCGAGCAAGCGCGCGAGGCTCAGCACACTGTGTATTTTATCACTTCGAAGTGCACCGATTCAAAGAAAGGGTGGATAGCAGTCCACCCTCATGCATCGCGGCGCATGATTGAGCGAGCGCTGCCGAGAGATGTGTCGGTGTTTGTCGATTTATCTTCCTCTTGCGACGATCATGTAGTGACTATACTTCGCAATATCTATTCTGAAGCTCGGATCCAGACTGTGGAATTATATCGTCGTGTATTATTTGCAAACCTTGGACAGCTTATCGCAGATACCTATGCTCAAGCTTGTACCAGGTTGGCGACTCTTCCACGCGTGGTCCCGGAAGTTACTTCTTTAGCAGAGACCCCATCAAACAGTCCATCGGTCACTTGTCCCAAGGTGGTGGACTGGACAAGCCTTGCTCCAATAGCGAGCCAGAGTGAGGTCCTAGGGGCCACAACCATGTTCTCCTCGAGCGGAACCTACTGGATGATTGATATGGCAACACCGCTTGGATTGTCAATTCTGACATGGATGGCGAGAAACGGGGCACGGACATTTGTTCTTGCCAGCAGAAACCCGCGCGTACACGAGGCTTGGCTCGAGGAAATGTCTCGTCTGGGAGCTACTGTGAAGCTCTTGAAGATGGATGCTTCAAACAAAAAGTCCGTTCTGTCGGCTTTCGCTAAAATCAAGGAGATTTTACCACCCATTGTCGGTGTCTGCTATGCTCCCTTGGCTCTGTCCGACGAAGGGTTTGAATATACTATCGAAGACGAGCGAGGTCTTGTCACGAGTGCAAAAATCAACACAGCAACGTATCTCGACGAATTGTTCCCGGAACCAACACTAAACTTCTTCGTGATATTGACATCCCTTGTCTCTGTTATCGGAACTCCAAAGCAGGCAGAATATCATGCTTCAGCGCTGTTCATGACCGGTCTCATTCAACAGCGTAGGCAGAGAGGCCTGGTGGGGTCTATATTAGCCCTGGGTATGGTTGTCGATGCTGGATACTTTGCCAAGCAAGGCAGGAAGGTGATTCAGCGCATGATGCACGATGGACATGCGCCTCTGTGCGAGTCCGATTTACATCACGCCTTTGGTGAAGTGGTAGCTGCTGGAGCACCTGGGTCCCAAGAGAATCCCGAGATATTCATTGGCCTGCAGATGATAGACCGCCAGATTGACCAGGATGGTGAATCCTCGTGGCCCTCAAATCCTCTGCTTTCTCACTTCACTACCTATGGCGCTCGAGCCAAACAGGGGCAATCTGTGAAACAGGAGGATTCATCCTCCATCCTTCCCCCTGAGCATCAGCCTCAAGAATCGGAGCCAAGACAAAATGCATATGAGACGCTGCTGGAGCGTTTATCGAAGAAGGTCGAGTCAATGCTCCGGCTTCCACCTCAAACATTGGATGTGCATACCCCACTTCTGGACCTGGGTTGTGACTCACTTTTGGCTGTGGATATTCAGACATGGTTTACAAAAGAGCTTGATATCTACATTGCTCCCATGGATGCACTACAAGGCACTGTCGCAGGGTTGTGCGAGAAAGCCATCCCACAGCCTGATGCTCAAGTTCTAGTGCCGCAGAAGGAAGACCAGCCTGCCGACGAGATCGATTTCACAGACCTCGCGACAACTGCATCCAACTCGGAACACAACAGCTCAGTACAAGACTTATCGCTCGATATCATTAGTTCAGAGTCATCATGTGTCCTATGCCCTTCTGACTCTGGATTTGAACAGGGACAAAGTGTCATAGAGCCAAGGTTTACACGGGTTGAGAAGATGTCTCCTCATCAATCGCAGATCTGGTTCGCCGGCCATTGGATGAAGGACCCTAGCCAGTACAACGTCGTCATATCTTACAATCTTCAAGGGAACTTTATGCTCGAGAAGTTCAAAGGAGCCCTGGAACAGGCCGTCTCCCGGCACGAGTCCGTACGGACTGCCTTCTTTTCGGATCCCAACAGTGGCGACCTTCTTCAGGGTGTCTTGAAAATGCCACCACCCTTCTTCGAGCATGTCACGGCTTCTGGCGCTGCCTCTGTGTCAAGGGAGTTTGACAAACTTGCGTCTCATCAATGGCGGCTGGAGCAAGGTGAAGTCATGCGCGTTACAGTGGTGTCTGTTGGACAGGACCAGCACACGGTCATATTTGGATACCATCACATTGTCATGGACGGAGCTAGCTGGTCTACATTCCTACATGATTTGAAGTGTTTCTATGAGGGGAGCCCACCACGCGAGGTTGCGCAATACGTTGACTATTCGCTGATGCTGAATCGCGACATCGAGAATGGAACCTTTGCAAAGGAGCTAGAGTACTGGAAATGTGAGCTTTCACCACCTCCAGAAGTGATGCCTGTCCTTCCTCTCGCCAAGGAGAAGACCCGGGCGCCAACAGATAATTTCAAGGTGCACACAGCGACGCGGCATGTTAGCATCGAAGTCGCGGACAGGATCAAACAAGCGAGTCGCAGTCTCCGAGGCACGCCGTTTCATTTCTACCTTGCAACATTGCAGGTCTTCCTTGCCGGATTGCTCAAGGTCGAAAATCTATGCATCGGTATGAGCGACGCGAATCGCAAACACCAGCAGTTCATCGGCACGGTCGGCTATTTTCTGAACATGTTGCCTCTCAGGTTCCACGTCCAGCAAACGGACAGCTTTGCCCAAGTATTCCAGAAGACATCTACGAAGGTTCTCACTGCGATTTCGAATTCCTCAGTTCCCTCCAACTTGGTCGTGGACGCGCTCAATATCCCGCGAGCGTCGAATGTCACGCCTCTCTTTCAGGTTGCCATAAACTACCGCGTAGGGGAGATTACGAGAATGTCGGTTGATGACTTTGACCTCAATTACGATAGAAGTGTGATGGGCAACGCACCATATGATATGTCCTTCCACGTCACGCCGTGTGCGAACGGCTCCTGTATTGTGGAACTTAACTGTCGTGATTATTTGTATTCACCCCAAGCCACGGAATGGATCATGGATGAATACATCCAGTTACTTGAGATCCTATCCTCGGATCCTTCGCAGTCTATTCAGGGCAGTCTTTCCTCTGCATCTCCGATCAATGAGGATGGTCTCTCTGTTCAACGCGGTCCACGGCTGGGCCACGGCTGGCCTGAAACTCTGTCTCAAAGGTTCCAAAATATGACTGATCAATATGGCGACAGGATCGCCGTCACTGATGAGACAGGAGAATTCACCTACTTGCAACTGAATGAGCGTAGCACCCTTATCGGAGAAGCTGTCCTCCAGAGGGGAGTCACATCCGGAGACAAAGTCGCAGTCTTGTGCCACCCGTCAGTCAGCTTAGTGGCGAGCATGCTCGCGGTTCTCCACGTTGGAGCTGTTTACGTGCCCCTTGATCTGAGCCTCCCCTCAGCAAGACATAGGGCTATGATCGAGGCTTCTGCAGTGAAAGCGATCATTTGCTCGTCTTCCACAGCCCAGGAAGCCTCGGAACTAGGGGTTGACACCGTCATCAACGCGTCTGAAGTGGTTGGCACTCGAGTCTCGTCCATGAGAACGTTCAAAGACGTCCCAAATGGCGGTTCCCTGTCCATCTTACTTTACACAAGCGGCTCAACGGGACAGCCCAAGGGAGTCTGTCTGCCTCAAGGTGGTTTCATCAACTACCTTGCCGCCAAGCAGAAAGAGCTCGGTCTGGATAGCTCGACAGTGGTCCTACAGCAAAGCTCCCTAGGATTCGACATGGGCCTCGCACAGACTCTCAATGCTATTATGAACGGTGGCAAGCTTGTCATTGTACCTCAGGAAATTCGAAGGGATTCGGTCGAGATTGCAAAGATCATCCGCGACCACAAGATTAGCTTCACTCTAGCTACTCCATCCGAGTACCTTGTCATGCTCCAGCACGGTCGCAAATACCTCCATGACTACACTGGCTGGCGGCACGCGTGTCTGGGTGGTGAGCCTTTCACGGACCAGCTCAAACGGGAGTTCGCTCGACTGGGAGCGAACTGCCCTGTGGTGCAGGACTCCTACGGTGTGACGGAGATATCCGCGTGTACGACGTTTGAGACGATGTCTGCATCACAACTTGAAGGAGCACGCAGCGTTGGAAGAACAATCGCAAACACCTCTCTGTACATAGTGGACGCAGACTGCAACCTCGTTCCCACTGGAGAGGTAGGGGAAATTTGTGTCAGCGGTGCCGGGATTGCATTGGGGTACCTGAATGAGGAGCAGACCAGGTTGAAATTCGTGGACGATCCATATGCTCTACCCGAAGATATAGCCAGAGGATGGACCCGAATGTACCGTACCGGTGACAAAGCCCAATTGCTTGAGGATAATTCTCTAATTCTCCTGGGTCGGATGGACGGAAACACAGAGATTAAGCTTCGCGGACTTCGTATTGATCTCGAAGACGTGGCTTCCACAATGGTAAACTGCCACTCGAATCTGCTCTCGTCAGCGATTGTGTGTGTCAAGAGCCAAGGGGATTCAGAATGTCTTGTCGCATTTGTTGCCCTGAACCCTGGACAAACTGCTAGTCCTGCCGAGCTACAGCATCTCGCCAGCAATCTTCCCTTGCCACAGTACATGCACCCTGCAGCAGTCATCTGTCTGAACGAGCTACCCCGAAATGCGAATGGAAAGATTGATCGAAAACAGATAGAGGCCATGCCATGGACGGCGCCAATCACCACGGCCGAACCTGCAAAACGACTAACCTTGGACGAAGGTGAGCTCAAGCTTCTTTGGCAGAATCTCCTTCCTGGTAAGCAAATCCAGCCTGAGTCTGACTTTTTCCTCCTTGGGGGAAATTCTCTACTGCTGGTCAAATTGCAAGGCGCTATCCGCACCTCCATCGGCGTTTCGCTCACGCTTCGGGAGCTGTACGGTGCCAGTACACTGGCACTGATGGCGCTCAAAGTCAAGGCGCGAAAAGCCGAAGCACCTTCAACGTCGATCAACTGGCTGGCGGAAACAGCAATACCGCAGAATATCCTCGAGCATGTGGTCCCAACGCCAAACACCATGCCACCCAAAAATTATCAAGGATCAGGCTGTGAAATCCTCCTAACTGGGTCGACAAGTTTTCTTGGGAGGGTCTTGGTGCAGGTTCTCGTCCAGATGCCCGAAGTGCACGGAGTGCATTGCATCGCCGTGGAAAAGGAGCAAGAACACGTGCTGCCCACCAGTGACAAAATATCCCTGTATTACGGCACCCTTCTTGATCCAATGCTCGGTTTGTCTACCACAGAATGGGCGTCCCTGCAGTCCTGCATCGACGTAGTGATCCACGGCGGTTCCAACGGTCACTGTCTCAACACTTACAACTCCTTGAAAAGCCCGAACCTTGGCTCTACCCATCGCCTTGCCCAATTTGCCCTACAGTCCCAGATTCCGCTACACTATATCTCTTCGGGGCGAGTCATTCTCCAGTCCGGAAAGACATCCCTCGGGCCCGTCTCCGTGTCTATGCACCCTCCTCCCCTCGACGGGTCCGACGGCCTCACCGCAACAAAATGGGCAAGCGAGGTGTTCCTCGAGCGTTTCACCGAGCAGACCGGTGCAAACATCAGTATCCACCGCCCCTGCACGCCAATCGGCGATAAAGCTCCTGCCTCTGACGCACTGAACTCTCTCCTACGCTTCTCTGCCACTCTCGGTGCGACACCCCGCCTGACAAGAATGGAGGGATACTTGGATTTTCAGAAAGTAGAGATCGTCGCTGAGGAAATCGCCACCCTAGTGACCTCAAGGTTCACCAGACCCTCCACTCCTCAATCGTTTACAACATCCGGAGTGTCCTTTTTCCATCACTCCAGCAAGGTCAAGATTCCCGTGAAGAGCTTCAGAGAATACATGGAGAAAGTACACGGTCGACCGTTCCAAGAGCTCAATTTGCGGGATTGGAGCTCTCTGGCACTGGAACGAGGCATTGAACCCCTTATTCCGAGCTTTTTGGAAGCCGTGGACGACAACCAGGACACAGTGCGATATCCGTATCTGGGTGAATGACCAAGTATTGGGCCTTCGTTGATAGGTAGCTGTTATGTGTGGGGTCGGTAACGAGCTGAATGGGGCGCTACGGTGCGAAAGGGAGTGTCTATATGGGAGGGAAGATAAGACCACGTATATTGCATAACTAATCGCTGGCCTTCAAGAATTCAGGCCCGATAAACACTTCGCACCTGACTAAGCATCTTAGCTAAGGATCTAGCTATCGCGCTTCTGAGCGCTCCTAACAAGGGCACACCAAGACCCTGTATAACTAGCGAAACAGGATACAAGCATCTACTCTAGCTTAGCTTTAAATTATATCCAGTTAAACCAATACTTGCGCAGGATTAGATAAATAGTAGATAAATCCTGTAACCATATAAAGAACTATAAGCAGTTTAATACCTTTTTAAGCATAAAATAGGAATAAAAGCGAGGTGATCTAAGAAGGGTGATAGGCAACTAATACAGGAATCTATTATATATATTAGGAGGTTGATCGAAACAGAAGGACTTACAGGACAAGAAATCAACCCGGGAAAGGGCTGGAGACCGAATATAGAAGTAGTTAAGGCTGTGATACAATTCGCTATAGCCACAAGGCGCTTAGAACACAAGAAACAGGGCAACAGAATATAACTATGTAATTAGATGACCCAACACACTCGTCAAGGAGGTTACATGCAGCCTCAGGCTGCACACAGCTGGAGTAATAAAAAATAAATAACAAATGACGGCCATTAAAAGCCCGATGACAAAAATGACAGCATCCCTAATACCTGCAGATCTCTGTACCGAGCTCTAGACTGCATGCGATATAATAGATCTCTAATCCGAACATATCTAAGCAAGGAACTGTCTCAAATACGTGGCAATCTCATGCAACTGGATTTACTAGTTAGTGCTCTATCCATCAAACTTCATAAAGGAACAAACATGAATCGGTTTAGGTAGGAAAGAAGTCGCAGTTGCCGCTGCTGCAACATGCCATATTCGGCCATAGCTTCGGTATCTGATTTATTCCAGCACTCCGCCACAAAGGCAAAGGCGGTATTGATGGGGGACTACACGCTCGCCGGGTATTTGCAAGCTGCGAAATAAAAGCAGATACTCCTCTAAAGGCTGCTCGTAGATGAACTCGCTATCAATTTGCAAGGGTGCCCCGATCCCGAAAAACACGGATTGCATCCGCAGATGCAAGAAAGCCTCGAGCACACATTGCCCGATCGACGAGACGCACACGCCCGAGACACGCCTCTTGACCTTCAGTTCATTTAGATTCTGTAATCCACCGAGGATGTGCGCACATGCATTATCATAGCCCCCACAGAGTAGCTCGCATGTGATAAACAGCTGACAGCAAATCAAGATCACTTCCTTCAGCTTTGGCTCCTGTGATATACGACACTTATTCGGCAAGGCGCCTGTCCGCGCAGATTGCTCCAGCGCAAACCGGTGCCAGGTTTTCGGCACATCTTGCCATGTTGTAGCATACCGATTTTCTCCTGGGCTTGATTGATTGCACCCAGTGCAACCACAATATGATGAACAGCAGGGTCGCTGTAGCTCATCTGGAGGATCAAACGCTACAAGAGGGGCGAGGCATAGAGGCATAGAACCGGACTAAGTGGGGGATGGAATCGATGTTGGAAGTGAGAAAGGCATCGGACTTCGTCTGACGTTACCACCCAACCTAGCCCTGTAGCAATCCGCGGGGGTATCGAGGACCCTGTAGCGGCCTTTCTGGATGTGCTCCCGCGAGGCAGCCGTTGCAACTCGTATCCGCAAGTACGGTCAGTGAAGGTGCAGTTCTGACTAGCAACAGGCGACCCATCGCATTTGACATGACGTGCGCTGCACAGAGCATTAACCAGGAGCCTATTTTGATATCGTTATGCTCACGGACAGGGGCGACAGCCTGTCCTGGATCTCTTCGCGAATGCTTTAGTTGCGTAATGGTCATGGTTCACTATAATAATATTGGGGGCTATATACCGGATTAAACCATAGTGCTACGTGTGGAATGTACTCAACTGTTCATAACTTTTAATCCAGTCATCTCCAGTATGAATTGTACTGTATTCAGTTACCTTATAAACCACCACTGTACTTCCACTAAGCACCATTCGCCGGGTTATCCATAATGGCAAGCAATTTCTCACAAACACCGCTAGTAACCCATGGATCACGTCGCACATCCAGTCCTGTCTCCGTGATCCATGTGACTTCGGAGTTGGGGCCATACACAGGGAAATCGGACGGCGCACTCGCATTGCGCCCCGCGATGAACCGCAGCAGAGATGCCTGGATTTGCTGAGCAGCCGGGACGCTAGCCACTGGGGTCGTCGTGTTATCGACAAAGAAGGTATCTGTCAAAGGAGAATTAGTAGGAAGTACATAGTAAATAATGTAAAATGATGGTTAATAATGTTGGACAACCCACAATTTATATCCTCACCATGAGTGGCCGGAGGAATAGCCATGACATAGCGACGAGCCTTTTCTGCGTATGCGGCGGCAATGCTTTGGGAATGGCAAGCATACAAGAGAGATGTAGCCCAATCCCAAGCAAGTTGCTGAGGCCTTGACGGGGGGAAGGGAAACAAGGCTTGTATCTGTTGGACAGTCTGATTGTCAGCTGTGGGGAAGGCAGTGCGGACTAGGTCTCCAAATGCAGCAGGCATATTATCATCAGCAACGAGTGTCATTCCGTCGTGTGCCATATTGCCAACTAGTAGTTGGCGTAGTGGCTTGCGGCGCGTCGTACTGCTGTTCTGGAGGAGTATCATCGGTCCGTCCGGGATATATACCCCGTCCGGTGACGGGGCGAAGCCAATACCTGGACCAAAGGAACCGCCGCCAGTTCCGGTGGGGACTTCACTTATGAGATAATTGTTGGCGGTTGAAAGCACCTCTGGTGGAGCGAAGCGCAAACATTGCAGGGAGGAGCAGTTGGTGGCACTCAATACCTCTTCATATATTTGTTGCCTTCGTGCGGTGACATTCCGGCGCGGCATCACCGCTGGGGAGGAGATGAGAGCCTACTCTGTGTTATACATATTGATAAGGGTTGCAGACTAAGTCATCTCACTTGAGAGAACGGTAACTCGTTTCTGTTCGCAACGAGAAGATAATTCAAGATTCCGGCACCTGAACTCTGTCCCATGGCTGTAATCCTATCCGGATCACCACCGAATTTGGCAATGTACTTTTTCGTCCACCGAAGAGCTGCTTCGCCGTCATGAAGGCCGATATTGCTGTCCATGTCTTCGTATGGGGATGACATCCATCCATAGAGTCCAAGTCTATTTCACCAAATCAAAGTCAGCCAATCCATCGACATTTTAAGGACCGTCGATAATAAGACCTATAGTTACTAGCAACAAAAATGAATTTCTCATCTTGACTTTTCAAAGCATTGAACAGTCCGGTAGAGTTCATCCAGCTAAGTTGAATATTATCCTTACTCCCAAAAGCATAGGCACCGCCATACAACCAATGGATCACAGGGACATTATCGCCCTCATTGACGCCCTCGGGTACCTGTACATTCAAGAAAAGACAGTCCTCCTGGCCCCAGAAGGTACCATTGAAGCCTGGAAATGGTGCCACTGATGGGACACTGTTCACGCACTCAGTGGATTGATACTCATCTCCATGAATGACGCCCTCGTGGTAGGGGGGAGGGGTTTGGGGTTTGCGAAAGCGTAGATCTCCAGTTGGAGCTTGGGCGAAACGAATGTTGTTGTAGTTGGCTATTTGGAGACCGGATGAAGTCGTGTTGATGAATGTAGGTGCGTGTGTAGCGTATCCCAGGTTGATGTATGGGAAGGCTGTGTTTAACGGAGTTGCTGTGGTTATGGGGAGGAGAAATGGTAGGATGAGCAGCATGTTGAGAGTCGCTGTTTGCTGCACGTTTTCTGCGAGAAGACGCTAGTGGTTGAAGTCCATCTAGAACAGCAGCGCCTCTGTGAATATATCTGCTTGTAGCTCCCCGAATATCATAACAACGGTAGTACTTTAGCACTTATACGAGCATACGACCTTCGTATGGAACCTTGCAACACCATTGGTGGGCGGGTTGACCCACTCAAGAACGAGCATCGTACGGATTACGAATTAATTGGTCATATCTCATAGTCATTAAGGTAATAAAGTGGCTATTTCATTGTCTGACTTCATTTCAGACTGCCTTTCCAGTCCGTCATTACCGGCGTGTTCTGGCTGCTAATTGGACCGCCTGTTATGACCGTCCTCTTCACTCACCCCTTAGGTGTTCGCATGATTGTGCCTATAATGTCGAAATCTGTGGTGGAATGAACTTACGAATGGGCAAGGCGCATTATTGACTAAAAGATACTGGCCTTAACAATTGGCTATTTCGGCAATCCACCAGCGATCCACTTGATACTAATCGCTACTGTCTGTGTGGACTCTTTGCTCAATGAAGTAGCAACAAGAGCTCTATTCTTGCCCCTATCTTCAATCACCACGTGCAATGGAATTCTGGGTGTTGTTGCCCTATGTTCTCTTATATGATTGATGTCCCTCCGCCCCGGTCAACCTCAAGGTGGACGGCAACTCCTTCCTTGTCCAGCAAAGGTGCTTATTGCTTCGACGTTTTCGTTTTCTGCAGCTAACATCAAGGGGTTCTGCCAACTATATCTTGGTGATTGATATCAGCCCCCTCGCGCTTCGAGACTTCGGTTACAAAGGAATTTTTTCCTCCTATGATTCGGGGCTTGAGTGCGCTGAATTGGACAGCCCAAGGGCTCAATGGTAGTTAACGTCAATCTTGGGCACTCGCAGCAGCCGAAGGGCACAGTGGTCATTCTCTCGCGCCAGCAAGCAGATGAGAAGGGCCACACAATCTTCCGCTCGACTGTTGAATTCTACGTGCTCATCACACAAAAACTTTCAACATTGCCAAGTCCCCTTATGGACCCAATTGTTAAAAGAAAGTAATCATATACGCCTTTTGAACTTTAATTAGGGTTTGCCCTGGAGCCAGTGAGTAGCTTCATCGCAGCTGGATTCCTACCACTCTTTACCGCGAAACAAAGCGGAGTTTGGCCTTCGAATTTGCCCACATTTACGTCAATATCACAGCATCGGAAGGAAGCGTGCTGAGCGGGAACGAATGACTATTAGATGCCGAATAAGACGATGGTGTCTGCCCCAGGTAGTTGGTGGCATTTATATTATGCCACTTTCATGGAGGAGGATCCTCATCATGTAGGATCCATCCTTTTATTTGGGAGTGATATGGAGTAAGGTATGCCCGGTTTCATCTCTTGCGTTCACATCTAACCCTGGCAGGCCAATGAAATGTACCGCCTCCCGGGAAACTCGTCGAAATTCGGGCGAGGTACATCCCTATAATCACACGATTTTTTTGAGCTAATTTCTTTCGATGCACTTTCTCGTAAGATTGATTGTTATAAGGATCTGACGGGATGCGCTGTTATATATGCCTTGGTGATATCTTATAATCAGTGAATTTCACATACTACAGCGCTAGGTCGCGCAAGCTCTAGGTTCAGTGGGAGACTGCATGCATGTCTGATGAATCAAATAGAATAAAGTGCTGAATCTGATTTTGATCCGTCCTGTAAACATATTAATGTCTTGTAGAAACCCAGGCAAACAACTGACACCTAAACTAAGAAACTGTTAATCATGGCTAAGACAGCCAAGTTATTTCAAGTGTCCAAGTCAAGATAAATTCTAAGCACCATTCTTTCCCCCAATTGATGACGAAGCAGTCTCCCTACTAGGACCATAGGACATCAGTCTGTGGTAGGCAATATTTAACGTATGGCCAAGAGATTCGAAGGCAAAATCCCCATGAACGTGGCGCAGCGAGAAAGGAAACGTAGCGTTGCAAGCTCCTGTTAGATGAATCTCAGGAGATAAATATGGTTCTCTATTTAGACGGGAGTGAGAATAATTGTCATAACTTCTTATACCCGTAACTGATTTACCACCGAGTACGCCTTCGGTCGTAGATCGTTCTAAACCGGTATATATTTCAACTAAACAATGTCAATCTTGATATATATATAACCAGCGCATAAATCTTCCACACGAACGATTTGGATGGCTAGCTGCCTAATTTGATGTATGTACTGGGCTTGGCATGTTTCTGCAGGAAACGACATTCCGCTGAGCCTATAAATGATCACGTAAAATTTTAAAGTCAGTTCCGTTTACGAAACTCGTGACGGTTGAGTAATAATAGAGCTTGGGCATATAAAACATCTACAAGGTGTCTGAGGCAGGAGTGTCGCGGAATATACCCGTTCTGGAACAGAAGCGTTCTAGAATATGTGACGAAATTCTTGGCTGCCTTGATTTTTCTTCCGACTACATAGTTCCGTGGCTTTGCAAATGAAAGTGCGGCAGAAATTGCAAGACCATTGGTAGTAAGGTTGACTTAGGCGGGTTTGGAAAGCGGGGATCCACCCTTGACACAATGCCAGGTGTTAGTGTTGAATTAACAGGTCGGGCAAAGTCCGTGTACAGTTCCTGTCAGCGGAAAAATCCCAGCGGAAAAATCCCGCTGATACCCGACGGCACCCTTCCTCAGCCGTCAGCACCTTAGCTATGCTGCACTAGTCATTACAGATAATTATCGAGTGCTGTAGTAGCTGAGGCCATGCCTTTCGTTTGTAAATCACTGCTCAAATACTCGCAGGACCATGCTGCTGTATATCCAGCACCAGGCATCGTGAATCAAGGCTATGATGAACGTATCTGCCTGCCTTTGAGATTTATCAACACGGCACCATGACGTGCACAGTTTCGGGTTGGCCAAGTAATATTCTCAGCAGAACCTCCTTGGCAAGACAATCCTTTCTCGGCGCATCGAAAACATGAGGTGTATGGTGTCAGTTTATTTACACTGGACAGGGCCCTGGGTCCTGCAATGATAATAGTGGGCCATTATTCACAGTCTCTGCGGTGGCTGTACCTCGCACGTTTGATGCTCTTTTCTATATAAGCTTGTCTGTTCATCTTTATGCTGGAGTTTTATTTATCTCTACTATTAACAATTCTATCCTACGTCTCTGTTACGAAGTACATGCTATCGATTCCCCAAGATGAAAAAAGACTTCGTTGGGTGGATACTATCCACTGCCTTGTTTAGCTCTTTGGGAGCGTCAAATACCCTTCCGTCAAACAGAAGTATTGTTGTCGATGAAGCCCCTGAATTCGTCCGTCCATACGTCCTCCCGAAATACAAGGGCCATGGAATTAGGCTCACGAAGTCGGGCCAAACAATTCGCTTCTCTATCACTGCCAACTCGTCTGACGGCGCCTTCTCTCTTGTCCAACACAACGGCAAACCTTCAGGCTGGTTATCAGCACGACCACACACCCACGGGGTGACACACGAGCATCTGTACTGCTCTCGAGGTCGCTGTCAACTCTGGGGTTTGCAGAATGTCACCGACGCCAGCCACGAGGCCCGCGTCGCTACACCAGGGGATTACGGTAATATCCCTCCAGGCACTATCCACACTTTCCAGCTGGTTGATCCCGACTCCCAACTGACCCATGCCTTCCACCCCGGTGGATTCGAAAATCTCTTTAATGTCTTCAGCCAAGGAGACCACGATACTCACAGCATCAGCACGCCCTATATCCCCCTTACTGATGATTCTTCCCCATTTGGACCTATGACACCCAAGGAATACAACCTCCTCGTTTCGCTAGACCTTTTCGCTGCCCCAGAGGAAGAGTATATCCCGAGACGTGACTTTGTAAACGGCACCGCCGGAGATGGAGAAACCAAACAACCCTGGCACGATGGACCCAATACCCTACCTGATGACTCGACAACCCCCTATTTTATTGCTAAGGACTACGGCCCAAAATATCTTAACACCGACATCGGCTACAAGGTCATCCAGCCTCTAACAACAGCCAAACAAACAGAGGGAAATTTCACCATGGGAACTATTATCATGTCGCCTAAGATGGCAAATGAGACTATCTCCAGGGCGATATTACCACATCATTTCGCGCTGCAGATGGAGGAAGGACAACTTTCGTTCCAGGTACAGGGCTATCCCAGGGTGCATCTATTGCATGGTGATGTAGCGTTCGTCCCTGCCAGTACACCGTTTTCGTACTATGCTACTATACCCTATACCAAGTTTATGTATATGAATGCGGGCGGTAAAGGGCTGGATTATCAGTTGTTGAGCAGGAGCGTGCCGTGGGAATTCCCGGCTTATCCTACATATGCTGGCTTCAAGCCTAACGGGACTAAGATTGGGTGAGGATGATGGATACTGCTCAATACCAGTGTATTGTATTGTACTTTATGGGATATAGAAGCCAGTTTGGTGTGTTGTAATTTAGACCGGTATTGCTAGATTATTAGAAGAGTGTGGATTTACTCATCAGATTGATCTTGATATTTAGGAATAAGGAGTGATGTTATGCGTGGGGTCGGTAACGAGCTGAATAGTGTGCAATGGTACGAATGGGAGTATCTATCTGGGAGGGAAGATAGGACGTATATTGCAGAACTAATCGCTGGCCTTCAACAGTTCATGCGCAAAAAACAATTTACATGGCCGTTGGTTAGATGATAGATCACCGTACATTGTTTCTCACCCATTATTTTTGGATCTTCTCTAGTTGCTAGTTCATTTATCCAGGCGATTAACTTTCGTTTCGGTGCTTTATATGTATGCACAATATATTAGCAAAGACTACAGTCGGAAGTAAGGAGAATCAAGAAAGTAACAGTAACAGTTGACCAGAAAAAAAGAAAGGTTATTTCAAGCAGAGCTAGGATGAATACATTTGGGAACGAAATCCAAGCAATACACAGAAGCTATCTGCCTGGCTTATTGCAAAGTGATCCGTTTAATACTGTCACTATACTCTCCCCATTAAGGAGCATTTCATAAGTAATAGAACCTTATGTTAGGAAGACCTACTCATAGTCTTCAGAGAACAGGCAATGACATTTGCACAATATGAAGAGACTGGGGCATACGCAGATTCATCTATCATACATTACACGTTAGTGCTTATTCAGAGAGAGAATAAAGAGAAACTAACCAGGTATGTCAAGGACGAACACAATTTGTAGACGTTATCTCCATGAGAAAGAAGACTACCACAGCACAGGATTGAACGTTGCGTGCTGAGGTCTCCTACTCCGTGACCCAGCTCTTTGCTTCTCCCATCGTCTTAACATCTCTGGCCCGTCCATTCGTAATGTAGGGTCGAATAAAGCGAAGGGCATAGAAAAGTGCGAAGTTTATTAATCCTACTGAGGATAGCTGGGGAAAAGCCAGGATATAGATTAAGAACCACGGATGTGATTTGGATCAAAGGATAAGTTATAACTAAGATGTGATTGAATTTAGGATGAATAAAGATTTGAGAGCAGTCTGGAATAATACGCCTACACATAGGTTTACAGGATCAGATATTCTCCACTTATAGAAATCAGTTAATTCTAAGATAGTGCTGCTCATATATTCCAGCATTAATAGGGGATGGATTAGTTAACTGTTAGTTGAAATAAATATCAAACAACGCGTCTATTCTGAAGTTCCGATGGGATCAGCCAACAGGAACCCACAGAGGGTCATTGATTCATGAAGCTCAATTATACAAACAAGCAAATATAAAGCAGCCTACCATGCTCGTCCCCGTCTGCCTATACTTCTCTACCTCAGCTGAGCGTGGGCTTTGTTCCTACCCAGCGGTAAATGTCTAAAAGTAAGATCTATCTATTAAATCGGCTGTAGAACAAGCAATAGTTGAAAAGCTCCAGCAAGTTCTATTGGAACAAGAAAATTATCGGCGTCGAACAGAGAATAATATTAGCCAAGAAAAAGACATCTCGACACTTTACAGTACGTAAGATGGAGGAAGTTTAAGTGTCGATAAAACACTACATTAAGAATTCGTAGATTTCTACTGGGCCAAAATTAAATTAAAATATATAGTAGAATGTGTTACCGTAAATAGCGAACATAAATACTCAGTACCGACTTTGTTAAAGGATATCATGACGTCAGATTCATGGATTAAGTAGGAATATCTGATAACATCACAATCTTGAATCTATCCCATAATATCACTGGTGTATTCTATCTCATATCACTATCTGCGCCCTCTGTCGACATGCCCCACACCCCGCATTCCATACTGTTGATAAATAAGCGTCTACCATCACTCAACCCACCTACGTCTAACACTCACCTGAACACTGATCATCAAAATGTCCACTACTACCATCACACAACCTGCTCGCCACACTATCGTCGCTGAAGATACCATTCCCCCAGCAGAGAACAGCCCCGTCTTCCAGGCTTTGGCCCGCGGAGACCAACATGGAAAGCTGAAGTTGCGTGGGATCCCCTCCTTCGACGACCCGTATGCAAAACGACAGTGGGTGCGTGAGCATATGGCAGGGGCGTTTCGATTTTTCGGAAAACAGGGATACGGTGAGGGCGTGTCGGGACATATTTCTGTTCGAGGTTGGATCCCATCACTACCGACACTTTCCAAGGCACTCCGGAATTTTTAGATTAGGAAAAACTGATCTGAGGTTAGATCCGGTTCTACCCGGCCACTTCTGGATGAATCCGTTTGCGAAACACTTCTCGCTGATCAAGGCGTCGGATCTCGTCTTGGTTGATGCGAACGGATATGTTGTAGAAGGTGGGAACCAGGCCATTATCAACGAGGCTGGGTTCATGATCCACTCCGAGGTGCACCGTGCCAGACCGGAGGTGATGGCCGTAGCTCACACGCATGGGGTTTATGGGAAGACGTGGAGTGCATTTGGGAAGCCAATTGAAATGATCACGCAGGGTGAATGTCTCGCCAGTTTCACGTGAAACGCAGCTGATGATTGCAGATGCGTGCAATTTCTATGGTAAGTTGAGCGTGTATGAGGAACATGGAGGCATTGCGCTGGCCCAGGATGAAGGGAAAGCGATTGCCAATGCGCTAGGAAAGGATAATATTGCATGTATCTTACAGAATCATGGGTACGTGCTTGCAGCCTCGCTATCGGTTTGATAAGTATTAATATTGATAGATTGATTACCGTCGGGTCGACGGTTGATGAGGCTGCATTCCTCTTCTACAGCTTGGATAAAGCATGCCATTCCCAGTTGATGGCCGAAGGTGCTGCTGCGAATGGCGTTCCTAAGAAGATCATCCAGGACGATGTGGCTCAGTTTACGGCCAACTCTGTCCAGGACCCGGTAAGACTTCCGAGAGTGTGTATGAGATTGTATTGACATTTTGTAGCATAATTTCTACCTCGAATTCCAGCCGGAATTTGAGCTGGTCGTGGAGGAATCTGGAGGAAGGTTGCTGCAGTAGATGAGAATCAGATAGTAAATGAACTGATTCATGATATATTTGGGATATAATAGTCATACGTACTGGGCCATTGCCCGTTAGGAAAATCAAACATACAAAATATTCACAAAGAATATACAAGTAGATATCACGCTCGGCCTGCCGTAAAAAGAAAAACAGATCAAATGACATCGCCTCCCAACTCATTCCGTAGATAGACCCCATGGATCAGTCTAGGTAAACCTCACCCTAGCACCATTGCATCTTCCAAACCCTCCCAGACCCGCAGCTTCTTCTTCCGTGGCAAAGCCATGTATTTGTCCCAGAATCTTCTCGTTCTGAAAGATCATCACATCAACACGTTCAAATAAATCCGGATGTTGAGCTAGGATTTCCTGGGCCTCGCTTCGTGTTTCGGCCATAACGTCCGGTGCGAATTTCCCAGCGAACAACTTTGCGAAGCAGGCGCTATATTTCTCGTAGGAGTCTCGGTCGAGGGTTTCCTACGAAGACAGAGTTAACAATGATATTTTCCAGAGATTCCATTAGGGATGCACCTTGATATCCGCGCTGAGATCAATACTTGGAACCCACCACTTTGCACTAGTCTTGAAATCTGACTCGGGATTCTGCTCTTGTATGATGTCGATGCGTTGCGACATGCGAGCGATTTGTTCCTCGCGGGTCATTTCGTGGTTTCTGTTTTGTAGCGTTGAAGACTCCATGTCGCTCGTGTGTTAGGCTGCAGCTGGCAGTAATTAAGTGAAGCTGATAGGTCTTAATAAATATATATTTAGGTAGCATCTCAGTTGGACGTTAAGTACTGTCATCGGAGTCCACAGTGTTTATGCTCCGAAATGACAGAACCGTATCTACCCCGCAATCGCATCTGAGCTATGCTCATAATCTTCCTCCTGAATGGTCAAGTTTCATCCCCTGTTGGATGGCGTCGTAATGGTGGTGTTTCATCTGGTGCTAGTCCGAGAGGTGGCCTGTTGATTGCATTAGTCTCTTGGCGGATATCAGACTCATTTAACTGGATTTGCATTCCTCCGACTAAGACATTGTTTTGATTTCATGTGCTTTTCATATTAAGTGGGTTTGGTCAATTCTAGCCCTGGTGCTATTGCTGCTCTCGTGGATAAGCTTCTATCTATGTATGCACCCCACTCCAATATACCACGTTGCAATTAGCAATACATAGCTAGTTAGCTGGTTACCTGTTTGTTCCCTGATGTCAATTCTCCAGAAGGACCCCCTATCACCTCAACCAAGCTCCGCGTTCCATTCTCGCCTCACCGTACCTTCAAGGCCATCGTATACTGATTCCCATCGCAAGCGCTTTGACGGTTCGAAGTTGCATGAAAGACGTTCCAAATTTGAGAGCCATCGGGACTTGTAAAAAATCTAAACAATGTATCACTCGCCTGACTAGCCCCACAAGTTCCATATTAAAAGGACGCATTATGTGCAGTACCGTAGGTCCCATTCGCAGATATGAACAAAGAGCCACGTGTTTCCATCGTGGTAGAGCGGCGCGGGACCCTCATTGACTGGGGCGTCGACTCTTTCCCATTTCTCGAGCGGCTGCGAGGGATATGTTCGTCGGGGGAGTTTTGAGTGTAGCGATGTAGAGCGATTGAATCCCGTCTGCCATGCACGACCACACGAAGTAGTTCCTCGAGTTGATCGCCAGGACCGCGCCATCTATACCCCATTCGGACGTGAGTTGACCGAGATATTCGTATGTGTCCCAGGGGTTAGAACCGTCTTGTCACTTGTTAGTTACTGCTATACTAGATGGATAGAGGTACCTTACAGGGCGTTGGAACGCTGGTTGTCGAGAGTGTCGCTGCTTCCGGCGGTGTAGTACAGGTGTCATCTATGTATGTTAGATATCTATATTATCCAGATTGGTAGTACTAACGACCCATCTATCTCATGGATCTCAGGTGCCCAGGCACTGCAGCATCGAGAGGGAGTGTCATCGCCCCAGACAACTTTGTTTTTACCGGTCTTTAAACCCTCCAGCGTGGTGGCCCGAGTGATTTGCACGTTACTCCAAGCAGTGGTCGTCAGGTAGTAGTGCCCTTCTACGTAGACAACAAACGGATCGCTTCCATTGGGGTCTTTCAATGGATTGGTGAAGGTACCCGTATGTGCAGCGCGCAGTAACAAGGCAGATAGGAGAAGCTGAAGAAGACTGTGGAATGGTGGAACCATCTTAACAATTGTTCGATTACATGCATGCTTCCTGTGTCAGGAAATCTAAATATGATATACCTTGATCCCAATATAAACATGACGTCAGTGCAGATACAATTGGTGGAAAGTCTCTTGCAGAAAACAGCCAAAATGCTTGTCCTTGTTGGAGATCTGTGAATGCCGAGAAGTAAAATATCAGCGTCAGTCGGTTAATTGCATCCTGACGTGTTTAGCGGATGTGACATGTCGGATCAGTTGATGCCTACAACGATCCGCTGGCTTCTCCACGGGAAATCTCCCGTTCGACTGACGGTGGGGTTCGGTAGTTTCCTGCAGCTAGATAGATGTGCCGGATGTGTTATCCTTTTTATGCTATTTTATATCTTGTACCTAGTTAGATATTGAATAGGAAGATCCTTCATGGCACTGTTAAGTAATTATTGGCTCATGAGAGTTCTCGCGAATTAATTGATAAGGGGGGGCCGGGGGGAGAAGGATTCAACAGAACATCCACTGAATCGGATTATGCTCCGTGTCGACTTAAGCCATCGAATGCGTGGGTGTTTGGGCAGCCTTAAATCTTCTTGTTGGAGAAAAAGGATCAGTAAAATTAACCGAGAGAACATGTAGTACTACAGGCCTTCCATCCATTCTGAGACACTGCGTTGCTTAATAGTTTAGTAAATACACATAACTCCTAGCTCTCCACCGGATACAACGTTTCCAAGCTTATAATCTCCAGGCCTCCGCAGGACCAGTTAATTCCACAAATGGGATTCCTGGTGGAATCCAGCCCTCTTCAGAATCAACGCATATAAAAGGCAACCAGAGATACTGGTCCGCAAACCAACTCATACCATTTCATCATGCATATTTTTCTATCCCTAATATCCATTTCTCTATCAGCTCTAGTCCACGGCTATGTAAATCCAGGCATCTGCTCCGGAGCATGCAACGTCCACGATCCAGGTCTGATCCAGCGAGAGTCCGACGGTGTCTACTTCCGCTTCTCAACAGGCAACAATATCTCATATGCATCTTCCTCATCCATCGAAGGACCATGGGAAGTACTCGGGCCCATGCTCCCGAATGGTTCATCGATTGATTTAGACGGTCGTGACGACCTCTGGGTACCCTCTACCTTCCCTTCCAGATAAATACTCCGCATACAAACCTCTAATCAATCCAGGCCCCAGACGTCCAGCTCATCAATGGCGTCTACCACGTCTACTACTCTGTCTCGGTCTTCGGATCCCAGAACTCGGCCATCGGCCTCGCCACGTCTGATACCATGGATGCGGGCACATGGACGGAGCATGGCGCCACAGGTATTCGATCTGACTCGTCTAAGTCCTATAATGCCATTGATGCAAATCTCTTCAACGATGGAGTATTTTACTTGAATTTTGGCTCCTTCTGGACTGACATCTACCAGGTGGAGATGGACTCCACCGCTATGAAGGTGTCGTCCTCGGCATATAATATCGTATATGATCCTAATGGAGACCACGCCGTTGAGGGTGCGTTTCTGTATAAATAGGGAGGGTATTACTATTTGTTCTTCTCAGAGGGGATTTGCTGTGGATATGATCGGGGTCGTTGGGCGCAGGGAGAGGAGTATAAGATTAGAGTGTGTCGATCGAGTAGTCCGACAGGTGGGTTTGTGAGTTTCCCTTTTTGCTTTTCTTCTTTTCTTGTCTTTTTTCGATTAAGTGAGAGAAAGATCAGCTTATGGGTAGGTGGGTCCTAATGATATCGCGTGCACGAATGGAGGGGGAACGATTGTACTGGAAAGTCAGGAGAATATTTATGGACCTGGAGAACAGTATGTTCACCTTATGAGAGACAGTGAAGATAAGGCTAACTGGCCAGGGGCGTGTTCACTGACCCTGAAAAAGGTCCTGTCCTGTACTATCACTAGGTCGATACGAGAATTGGCTATGGAGATGGTCAGAAATTCCTTGGATGGAACACTATCGATTTCTCAAGCGGCTGGCCTGTTGTTTAGCTCGAGTATGGATAAAATTTAAGTTATATATATTCAGTGCACTATATGAACCATTTTACGGCTTCAATGCAGAGAGCAGTATTTAGCTACGCTAGAGTAAACCAGCCATGACCTTCGTCAATGCTTCTTCCTCCGCCTGGAATGCAATCCCCTCGGTTCCTGTCTCCGTAGCCAGCCCGTCATTCGGTCCCGTTCGAGGATCAAAGTATAAACCACCCGCTAGTTCAAAGAAACTGGTGAGGTCCTCGCAGCTATTATCATTTCGAGCATGATCGTCGGTCATCGTAGGTGCAGGGGAGAAGGACCAGAGAGATGCCGCTACCTGCGGAGTGGGTGTCGCAGATGCAGGATTCTGCTGCTGCTGATTCGGTTGTGAGACGGGGTTGGCCGAAGGAGTAGCCGTTGGTAATGAAGCTGACTGGGCAATTCGATGCTGTTGAGAGTGTTTTCGTTCTCGTTGATGGCATGGTACGTCTCGTCCCGGTGGCAGATTCAGCCTGATCAGCTTCAAGCTCCGGATAATCTTCTGTAACCGTCTAGAAGTCCGGGCCCTGGTCGACGATTTCCGAACCATGTTGACCGCCGCGTAGAATTCCGGACGACACACCTGACTAAATTGTGAAGGAGCATGTAACACAGCTAGGAATAGTGCCGCCAGGGCCGAAATAAGGAAGTAATTGAACGGCTCTGGACGCTGGAAATAGATCTCCGAAATCCGTGAGAAGTAGTCCAGCATGTGGACGGTGCTCTTAGCCGTTTCGACGGCAACCGAAGCCCCAGAGACATTGGTCTCGATGCTCTCTCCAGATAGCAAGTTCTGTCGGTACACGAGGATACGAAGTTGATTTGCCTGGAGGGCAAGCAGAACCTGTAGCATCATCACGTTGTCTGTTTGAGGGGCAGAGCCTGATCCACGCTCCGATGGATCGAAACGTAACTCCCGCGGAATCGACTGAATCCATTGCTGGACTTGGAAGTCGAGATAGGAGCAATAATCCGAAGTGGCGGAACGAGAGCGACTGCGCCATCCCACTACAAGTCCCCAGATCTTCGTGCTCAATCGCGAATATGTAATCATGCAGGTCAGGTACGGCGTGGAATCGCCCGGCTCAGGAAGATTAGTGTCCATGTCTGAGTCCTGGATGGCGAACGGTAACCCAGTACCAAATGACCATTTTCTGTCCAGTACGTAAATACACCAGAATAACCGGCTAGCCCATCTCCACTGCAGTTCTCCGGGGAACACTCCTCCTGTTCTCAGCCATGTCTCTTGACAATGTAGACCGAGCTGCATGGATCCACGGACAGCCATCCCGATGAGACGCCAGGAGATAACCTCGTCATCACGGTACGAGTGGAATATCGACTGCACCTCACATTAGCAGACATTCATCACAGACCACCCGACTAACGAACCAATAAAGTTAAAATGAGTAGTTCCTTCATATCAACCTCCGCGATCTTCAACCGCCCCGCAAACCGATCCTCAACACTATCAGCTAAAAATGCCGCGCGTTCGCTGCGTCCATGCGATTCCACTAACAACGCCGTAGCCAGGATAATCTTCAACACTTCGACATCTCGCGCAAAGAACCAGTCCTGTTCCACGGCAACAGGGGACGCGGGTCCCGGCCGACCATCAGTCCGATAATACTCCGCCACATACGCACGTACACTATCCAGATCAACACACGGGTACATCAGCCCAACGCTATTCTCATACGCCGTCACCAGTCGCAGCGCCTCCGTCAATCCCAACCATCCCAGCGGATCGCTCGACATCGCCTCTGTATCCGACTGCGCGACAGGACTAGCCGCTGCAGTGGACGCGAAGTCATCCCCATCGCTATCGTCGACAGACTTTTGACGTGCCATGAGACCGAACTCTGCGCTCGTGGGGCCAACATACGACGGCGACTGAGGCCGGTTCATAATCCGCTGTAGACCAGCATTATTCGACGGCGTGGAGATAGTTGATCCGGAGGTGGGAATGGCGCTGTTCGCAACGCTTCCACTAGATGAGGATTCCAACCGGCGTATACGAGCGGCCATCACGCGCATCTCATGCCGAAGCGTTTCAATCTGGTAGTCGACTGTTCGGAATCGAGTCGAGAGTCTATCGTGACGTCAATGATGATAAACCAAAATTCTGCCCCGGGATTATTTAAATACCCATCATCCTTGGACTCTCCTACAGATTCCACAGCGTTACTCGTCGCATGCGCATTCGGCGTGTACACACATTCTATATCGTCGCGCGCACATCGTGCACAGATTGGATCTCCGCTGCATTTAAGTTTCCTTCGCTTGCACTCGTTACTAGAATTTCATTAGTTTGCACAGTTGCGAGCCATGGATATGCAGGGATCGGGAAGCTACAGCACTTACCAGGCAACCTGGGTGTATTTGGCTCGTTTTTTGCTCCGAGGCAGTTCCGACGCGTGTCCACCTCGTTTTGGCGTGCCGATGTCCATATGGTAGGTCTGACTGGGGCCATAAAATGGATTATATTACTCCATAATGCGAGCAAAGCTCCACTGGATAGCAATTTCCGAGGGTCTAATCAGTGCAGGTTGAATGCAACGTGGCGGAGGAGTTTCAGATTCCGAAGATCCGAGGTCGGATGCGGAAACGCCCCGCTTATCTTTCTTGTACCGGTATCTTATCGTGGTCACTATCGTTATCGTGGCTGAACTGTTCCGAGTGATAGATATCTATCATTCTCGATATGTACAATATCGCTTGCAAATCTCAATGTACAGTCGTAAATCATAGTGTAAATTACAAAAATCGCCAAGGTAGTCCTCTACATATGTGCATTGCGACAGCATTCCCCGCCAACCACCTTGGATGCGGCGTTCTTGTCCGACGGCACATCCAGCGCTGGGTTCGCCGTGAAGAAATCCGAAGGTCGGATCATGAGCTGGAAAGTCTCAACAGGCCTGTCTAATGTTACAATCATAGTAGATTCATGCATGTATGGAGAACTTACATCACAGGCCAATCTTCCACGCGCGGGTTGTGTGTGATTCCGAAGCAACTCCACACCACCACGTCCGTGTCGTCCACTGAATCTCCGCGTCGAACCGCATCCGATACTCCGCCAATCTCCTGCTGACTTTGCAGTGTGTACCGTCCTCCGGCGTACAGCTCCCAGTCGCGGTACTTGGTCACCCAGACATGGTGCTGCGCGAACTGAGCGCGCTTGGCCTGGATCGAGTTGGGGTCTGCTAGCAGTAGCTGCGTTGCTAGAGGAATGAATTTGTAGGCTACTGGCTTGCCGCTGATCGGGTTGATGCGATGCGGGTTGACCATTTTGATTGTCCTGTTCAACTCCGGAGCGGCGTCTAACCATCCTGCACGCTGAATAGTGTCGTTCGTCACCTGGTAGAAGTTGCCGTTGGGATTGGTGACTTCGTTCATAGGCACGGGGTGCGATTCCTCCACGACGACGGAGTTATCGCTACCATCAACGGCAGGGTCGATGCGAACGCAGAAGATGTGTTGATGATTCTGGGCCAAAACACCTCCACTGACCACGTTGCCGTATTCGCTGACCTTGCCGGCGTCGATGTTGACCACGTTCAGGATACCAGTTGCGCGCGACTCCACGGTGATGCCACCTGCAAGGTCGAACTTGTAGGCAAACACGTACTCGTAGTTGGCCAGCGTGATGATAAATTGCACGATTAGTTCCCGGTTGCGGGTCACCACGGCGCGACCGGTGCGCCAATTGGAGTGTTTCCAGCCGATTCCGTTATCCTCCTCGTGCAAGCAGATGGCATTCGGTAGCTTCTTTGCCGTGCCGTCCGACTGAGTCACGAAGGCGTCGAAGTACTTGATGACACCCAAGCAATCGCACCCAATAGACAGATTATTCGCCATGTTTCCACCACCGCCGTCACCGAAGTCGAAGGCCTGCTTACGGTGGAATGGAGGACGGGGGTCGGCATATGGCACGGTCTGCATTGGTTAGCATGGATTCATCAATACTGATAAGAGGCAGTTCGTACCATCTCACTGATAGCCAACCGGTACATGACACTACGTCCATCATACCAAACATCATGAATAGTGGCTCCTTCACGGGGATTGAAGCCAACGCGGAATCTCCACTTCTGCCACTCGACCAGCGATTCGTTTGTAACCCGGAATGACGGCCCTTCAGGTTGTACCACGTTCAACGGCTTCAGATCCTTCCGTGTGCCTTGGGGCAGCAGTTCCGGTACATAATCAGATGCTTTGCAGTGTCCGATAATATCCCTCTTGAATGTCTGGTCATGTAGACCTTCTCCCTTGCCTCCCGTAGCGGGACGATCAACCCGGATGATTTCCTGGGTGTGCGCATCCATTACAGGGATAACAGGCAGAGGGTAGGAGTAGAAATTGGCATCGTCATTCTTCTTGCTTGCGTCTCGAGCAAAACACAAACCCTGGAAGTATCGTCGGTTCTCATCGGAGTAGTCCAATCCACCGTATGGCCAAGGCTCGATGACAACTTCGAAGCCTTCAGGAAGGTCGAACTCCGCTAGAGCTTGTTTGAACAGAGGGGAGGCAAAGCATCGCTCCACGAGGATGTCAAATTCGCTCCTATGACATGTTAGTTAGTCTTTCTCAGGGTATTTCGCCCCGACGTTGACTCAGACATACAGTGTGAGGGCTGCGTGATTTGGTTTCGCCACAACCTTGTGCTTGACACATTTTCGGTTTTCCACGTCAATTACGGCCTCTTCGTATGATGGGATCTTATCGGACCCAATAATACGGTACTGACACAGGGCCATGCGCGCAGGACGAGGGGTAGTCGGGCTTAGACGACCTGCGTGCTCTAGCGCGAGAAATTCACTCAGTTGGACCTTGGGAGGTTCCAACAAGTAGATCTCGTGAAAGTCAATGACGGTGTTGGGATGACATGAGACGACAACATCGCGGGCGATGTTGGTCTCCTCCTCCGTGAGGATTGCAAGCGGATGGGGGGCCATTATCTGCAGTGAATTATGTTTATGGTAGGTATATTCTGGCAGATCGAGACGTCCTCTACTTCCTTATGTACTATCGGGGGCGTATTTCTTGCCGAATTAGGAAAGTCCTTGCGAGGACCAAGCTCGGAATCTGGTTCCGCTGGGCGAATGAAAAGGCGACGGAATTACTCCGTACAGTATAAAATCATAATGAGCTTTCCCCCAACGCGGGGTTGCTCCAGGTTTAACGACTGTATCCATATTAATCCATTTGTGTTATTGGTATCATATGTAAAGCGTCTATCATCGTTCCCTTCACTCATCCGTTCTAAAATATTCGCGTTGTGCTTGGTTTCACCCACAATGGCTTCTCGCAGGGGTGAGTAGCTCTCCAGTTCTTGAGTTTCTCAAGGTCCCAACCAGCAGATAGCTGCACGTCTGCAGTCGCGGGCTTTGCCGTTCCGAGTCGCATGGTTGGTACAAAGACACAGTGCCCTGCATGGTCGTAGGTGTATGAGCGACAGGCGGTGTGCTTATGGCATGCTTCCCGACAGTTCTCGACGGACTTGTGAGCCGCTGACTCCGGGGGTTCCTGGAATCCGCCCCAATCTCCATTATCCCAGTCATTTTGACGCTCCATGGTCCCTAATTTCAAGTATTCAAACAAATCGGCGTATAGTAAAGGTTTCTACACAGTCTAGTCAGTCGTTTATGATTCAATCGAAATGTACCACTACATACCTCTCGATCCCGTTTATGCTCCCATTTCACCAACGCCTCCATATCTGCCAGCAACGACTTATGCATGCTGATAACAGGCTGACACCAATATGCATTGTCGAATGGGATCCCGTGGAGAGGATGAGGGTTAAACATAGGCCAAAGCCCTGACAGCTGCACTCCTCTCTCATGCAGTGCCCACCCCAGTACCGAATCCCCGCAAGGATCAGCCTTCAGCAGCTCTTCATACCGCTTGCTCAACGGCGACTCGATATATTCGCCATGCGACCCGATTTTCCGAGCAACCAACTTGTCAATTGCAGCTGCCGAAAGTACGAATCCTGCCCCACCATAGGCAAAAAAAGTTCTCTTGCCGCGGTCTTCTTTCCCCGGTGACGGGGATCCAAAGTACAAAGGAACTGACGGATCAAAGTGGTCCAGAAGACGGAACAAATTATCCCATACAAAGTAGGTATCAGACTCGAGGAAGACAAACCATTCGGCAGTCGGGTTCATTTCATACGAGAATTCAACCATGGGGAGGAACTTAAAGCGATCGAGTCGCCAACCTTGGGCCGCATCGATTGACTTACCCCTCTGCATCAAATCGTATGCTTGAAAGTCCTCGGAGCTCTCATGGTATGATCCCGGCAGTGTGGCAAGAATATCATATACATGGTGTCCGTTCAGCTCGGACCGGCGGTCGGAAACGATAATAAGGTTCGAGATGCACCGAGTGACTGTCGAAGTCTGGGTCGTCAGGCGATCCATCGGCTCCGAGGATCCGATCTTCAAAACTACTTGAATGCGTGAGAGAAGGTGAGTGGGGAATGTGTCGCAGATATTATCATTCTTAACGTTGAGTTTCGCAGCGGTGTCCGGGCGCCTGAAGCGAGTGGAGGTCTCCCAGTCCCAATAATCGGTCTCATTCTCTATTTGACTGAAGACATTATGATAAAATGAGGGTGAATCTAGCGACGAGTCGCCCAGCCCGAGATGCAGTACTGAAATAAAATGACCAGCAGCGCCACCACAACCAGAACGCCCGTAGTTTTGCGTACTATCATTATACACTCTGTATCGACCAAGACGACACACTGCGTAGGTAGAGCTTAAAAATTCAAAGCACTAACAGGCCACTGGCAAAATATTGACGACCTAAGAAAAATGAAATCCAAAAATCAGAATTTTCTAGGGTATCACCGCTACCAAAATTTGGCCAGCTCAAAAAAGATAGTATCCATACATCAGCAATGAGAAGAAAATGTTGAGAACAGTCCATGGGATGACACAGGCAGCAGAATCAACGGATAAGAATAATCAATATAAGAAATAGCTCATATGCATGCCGTGACGGGATTGACAGCGGGAAAAATAAAAGCTCTCCATCGGAGGCCGATCAGGGTAATGTACTAAGGCAGAACGAGGTGGGGAAACAAACCATGGGACTACATTCACATTTGGAATTGCTTATCTTTAAATAGTTAACCTGACGAACTGCTTTTTGTTATTCAATTACCCCTAAAACAGTCTATGGTTGTGGATATAATATTTCTCCACCTCTATCCTGTGGTGGCTCCAATTACCTACTCTGTACAAGATCGGCATGTAACTGATAGGCTCTGTCTTACTATTGGTTACACTCCTTCCTATCAGCCAATCGCTGTATTTCTTCAGACACCTGCACAGCAAATTGCTTGTTCGATCCATCCAATCGCATCATACTCAGCTAGGATAAGTTGCAGATAGCCGTACGGAGTAATACTACGTGATCCTCTGTTAGGAGCGCTCGGAAGCGCGATAGCTAGATCCTTAGCTAAGATGCTTAGTCAGGTGCGAAGTGTTTATATTCGCACCCGCGGGCCTGAACTCTTGAAGGCCAGCGATTAGTTCTGCAATATACGTGGCTCTATCTTCTCTCCTATATAGACACTCCCTTTCGCACCGTAGCGCCCCATTCAGCTCGTTACCGACCCCCACGCATAACAGTTCTAATCGCTCACCCCAACGGTAACCCGCTGAAAGGAGCACTATGGCACCTCGACGCGTGCAGCGTGCTGGCTCCCAAGTCACCCGAAACACCGAGAATTCTGTCAACCCCGTCTCAGAGAATACCGCATCTATCCAAGCACAACCTGATGCTTCGATGAATCCGGGCCCAGCTGAAGAAACAGTTGAGGAAACAGCTGTGTTGCAAGGCGATAGCCCTCGAAAAGGGGCTACTGGGTCCACAACAACAAACGATTCTTCATCGGATAATGAATTTGCCGAACTCCGGGACCAGATACGCCAACAAAAGCAGGAACTCAAGAGATTACGCATGGAAAATAAAAGGAGGGCATTGCAAGAGCTTATCGATTATGAGAAACGCATCCAAGAAAACCGAAGTGCAACAATTTCGCGGCCAGAATCCAATATAAGCACACCCGACCATGGAAATACCAAGAAACCGCACCCCAGCCTATGCCAGAGCCCACGCACGCATTGAAACCGCCAGCACCCCAGCACATGTCTCGGAATACATGGGAAAGAACATGCAGGAATATCAGACATTTATCGCACGCATGGAAACCCATTTCGAACGAAATCGCTACTACTTTACTAATGATACGACGAAAGTGGTGGAAGGTACGGCACATCTATGCGCAACATTTATCCGCCTATGGAGGCAACACGAGGAGGAAGTCGCCGATAAACCTACCTGGGAGGACTTTCGCAAATTTCTACTACGCCAATTAAACGACCCTGTTAACCTGCGAAGAGATGCGAGCCAACGCTACCATGACGCCAGACAACAGGATCACCAAAACGTGCGGGAATTCGCAGCTTACCTTAACCAATGGGAAGTTCAGCTCCCAGAAGCATACACAGAAAATCAACGAAAGGATCACCTCCGGACAAGAGTCAAGCAAGACCTGCGACATGAAGCGCTTAAATACCCCAACGAACCAGAGACATATGAAGGCTATATCGCCCACCTCCAAACAATTGAAGATTCCATACCGGGTCGACGCAAGGAAATATCGCAAGCGAAGAATAGGAGAAGCCAACACAGCTTAGCTATGCGACACCGGACGACGACCCCAGGCAACACGGAAAGACAACAACCTTCCAGTCAACGGGGCCCAGACAAGCCATGGAGAGGCAACAATCGCGCCTTTAGAGGAAACTCTAATAGGTCCCAAGGTCATAAGCGACAGCAGTCGCATAACCCTGATATTGAATGCTATGTCTGCGGAGAAAAGGGACATATTGCGCCTCAATGTCCCAAACGTGCGAGAAGGGACGACAACCAGGCAAAAACTAGGTGGCCCAGTGATGCGAGCAGCTGCGGCTCTGGGCCTAGAGGAAGAAAATCCAAAAGATAATGCCATTGAGACTATGGTTGAGCTGCAAGCACAAGAGCGCACTATTCCAACTTGTGCGTTAATCGACTCGGGGTGTCAAGCCCTTCTTATCAGCCGAAGGTTCGCAGATGCGCACCTCCCGGAGCCTGCAATAGGCCCGCGGAGGATAGTGGCCCTAGATGGTCACCGCATCCGTTGCTACGGACGCTACAGGCTGAGGGCAACCACCCAAGATTGCCACGGTGTTCGTAGAACGATTGAAAGAACATTCGATGTGGTTGATATGGACCATTATGATGCGATTCTAGGATACCCTTGGTTGAGAGAGGCGAACCCAAACGTCGACTGGGAACTAGGAACATGGGAATACCGGAAAATACCTCCGGAGAAAGAAGTCGAGATAATCAACGAAGCAGAGGTGAATCGCACTTTAAGAGAGGGAAAACAAGTCTACGCAGCGTACGTATCCACAACCGAAAATAACCAGGTCGAAATCCGTGTGGGTTCTGCGACAATCGGCGAAGGAGTGCGAATACCCGCAATCTACAAGGAGTTCGAAGATGTCTTTTCGGAGGAAAATGCAGGGATTCTACCTGCGCATGCAGACCACGACCATGCAATTGATATACAACCGGGAAAGGAACCCCCATACCGACCAATTTACCCCTTGTCCGAAAGTGAGCTCGCAGTTCTGCGCAGATATATTGAAGCAGCGCTAGAAAAGGGATGGATTCGTCCCTCGAAAAGCCCAGCTGGCGCACCTATTATCTTTGTACCGAAGTCCGACGGAACACTGCGACTCTGTGTGGATTACCGCGGTTTGAACGAGATTACTGTCAAAAATCGTTACCCCTTACCACTTGTTAGCGAGACTATGGATCGCTTGGCTGGCGCTAAGATATATACCAAACTTGACCTGAGAGACGCGTATCACCGCATCCGAATTAAAAAGGGGATGAATGGAAAACTGCATTTCGCACAAGATATGGTCACTTCGAATACACTGTCATGCCATTCGGGCTAGCCAACGCCCCAGCTACGTTCCAGTCCTATATTAATCGCGCATTAAGCAACCTACTAGACCATTGCTGTGTTGTTTATCTGGATGACATTCTTATATACTCGCAGAGTGAGGAGGAACATGTTGAGCATGTTACCGCAGTTTTGGAGAGACTGCGACAATTCGGGCTATACGCCAAGCTGAGCAAATGCTCATTTCATGTGAAAAGTGTGGAATACCTGGGATTTATCATCACGCCTTCGGGCATTCAGATGGAGGAAAGCCGTGTGGCTACCATCCAGGCTTGGCCGGAGCCAACAACCGTGCGAGAGATCATGATATTCCTGGGATTTGCAAATTTTTACAGGCGTTTTATTGAGGGTTATTCCCGCATTGCATTGCCGCTGACCCAGCTCACCCGAGGGGAGCAAGGGGGAGGAGCAAAAGGCAATGGTTCTTGAACCAGCGCCTTGAGCTGCCTGAGGACGCAAGAGTTGCGTTTAATAAACTAAAAGTGCGTTTTCGAGCGCACCATTGCTATCTCATTATGACCCTAGGAATAGGACCAGGGTAGAGACAGATGCGTCTGGTTTCGCTATAAGTGCGATAATCTCCCAATTACAGGATGATAACGAGTGGCATCCTGTGGCATTTTTCTCACGAAAGATGACCGATTCTGAACGCAGGTATGATACGCATGACCAAGAGTTGTTAGCGATCATTGAAGCATTCAAAGTTTGGCGACATTACCTCGAAGGGAGCGGGGAGCCAATAGTGGTGAAGTCTGACCATGCCAACCTAAGCGGTTTCATGCGGCCCACATTGAAGCGGCTTAATGGACGTCAGGCGAGATGGGTCGAGTTGCTGAGCGCGTTCGATTTTCATATTGAGCACCGACCTGGGGTAAAGAACCCTGCAGATGCGCCAAGTAGAAGGCCAGATTATCTGCCGAGCGCAGATGAAGTAAGTGATGCGTCACTGCTTCCCACATTGCGATCAAAGTTGAAATTGGCCATGGGCAAGAGTCATTGGGATGACGCACCCAATGAGTTAAAACCGCATGGGCGGGAATAATGGCGCTGGACACCGAAGGCGGGTCCAAACAATTAAATAAAATGAGCTCTGATGCGCATATCTCCATGGGGAGTATGCATGCCCACGTGGATAAGAACGCACCCGTGGATGAGGACTGTGCTGCCGGCGTTACCAGAATTCTAGACACCTGGGTGCCACGGATCTATGTCCGCAAGGTTATTGGATCCGAATCAGCTTACTCCAGCATTGAGGAGTCCATGGTGGACTATTTGTGCAAATTGCACCAAGAGAATCGCGAGGTACGCGATATTAAGCGAAAAGTTGATCGCAAGCTGGGGACTATGGCAGTCCGGCCTGGGGAATTGGCGAAAATGGCCTACTCAGGTACCAAGGTCGCGTTTATGTACCCAGAATTCCTGCGGTAACACATGAAATTATGAAAGCAAATCATGATGATCCTCAGGGAGGACATTTTAGAGGAAAACGCACCTTGGAAGCCGTCGAACGCAAATACTATTGGCATGGTATGCGTGGCGATGTGCTGGATTATGTGAAAACCTGCGATATTTGTCAAAGAATTCAAGTGCATAGACACGCACCTTATGGCAAGCTGGAGCCTTTGCCGGTGCCAGAGCAGCCTGGGGAAGTGCTGACTCTTGATTTTTTATTACTGGACTACCGCCCAGTTCACCGAGTATATCTGCCAGCCCAGGGGCACAGAGAGTTATGATGCGATATTAGTGGTTGTGGATGCCCTAACAAAGTTCGCACTTTATATTCCTTGCAATAAGGATATCTCGGCGCCAGAACTCGCACATTTGGTTTATCAAAAGGTGGTACCCATGTTTGGTAATCCAAAGCGATGGGTGTCGGACAGGGGCTCGCTGTTTACCAGTAGCTACTGGTCGACACTGTGCTATTGCCTAGGATCGAAGCGGAAACTGTCTACTGCGTTTCATCCGCAGACAGATGGTCAGACAGAACGCCAAAACCAAACATTAGAGTATTACCTGCGAGCCTATGCGAGTTTCTTGCAAGATGATTGGGTTGACTGGCTGCCAATGGCACAAGTTACATATAATGCTGCGATTCATTCATCCACAAAGACAAGCCCACATGAAGCATTGATGGGCTTCGTCCCTAGCCTGAGAATCAATGTCGATCCTGATCCCACTGGCCATGCGCCAGCAGCGTTGGAGCGCGCAACACAGCTCAAGGAAAAGCGA